CCGCAAAAATATTTGCCGTAGTTCTATCACTGCACGTCGATGGTTTGGATTGAAATATGAGTACAGTGACGTTTTCGGACATATTCGACCAATGTTGGTAAGATTTGGGGGGTTTGCAGGGCTAGCGACTTGAATTTCCGTCATTTGAACATTAGAAAATCCTTGTTTTCGTATGGTAGACGCATGTTGGATTTCAGAACACTTTAAACCAAATTACACAAAGAGCCAATGAATATATATATTTGTACACATATGTATAGTGGTGAGAAATGATGGATCATAAAATATTGTCTTGCCGCATTTGAAGTGTTGAAATAGGTCAAATTGGTTCCGGATCCTCGAGGTCCAAATGAGAGATTTTCACCAATTCTCTCAAACAAGTAAAGAAACTGACGTTGATAATTCGTGTCCATGTTTTGTAGATGCTAGCTCCTCAATAGTCATACAAAGAGTACTAAAAGTGGACTAAAACTTTAATATTCTTGTGAAAATGAATTGTTTTCAATATAGCAGAAGACGCAAACCACAACGAAATTAATAATTAGCCCACCACAGGTTTATAATTAATTAGCCTATTTTGCGGAATTCAACGGATTTCCGCTTTATTACCCACATTAAAATGCAATTAATATTATGTGCTTATTTCACCACAAATCATACATATTTAATGATATCGCTGCCGACAAATTATAATTTCGTGTGGTGAGAAATATATAAATGAAAATAACGATTTTTAAGTTAATGTATGTCATTTATTTAAGGTTTGAAAGAAATACTCAAATTATAGGAAATGGTTAATGATTTTTAAGCAAATCAGTGCATGTGTACATATTTATGTATGGAACTTTATCAATCAAAAATGATCATCCTCTCCAGCCCCAACCCCAGTTCGGAGATGAGGGACGCTCAGGACTGGGAATATGTGTCCATCCAGTAGGAGAAGGGCTAGGGCTGTGTCCCCTTTGTTCACCTCGATGCTGATGTTGATATTGACGAGACCATCCAGGACGTGTGTTTTGAGTCGTTGGTGCTGGAACCCTGTTTGGGACAGGGGATGAGCCTGATTGAATCGGCTCTCTTGGGGGTGGTCTTGGGGGTCATTTCCATTGTTGACGGACGTGTTCCGCCACCAGTCGGCGTTGATCCAGGAGCTGGACGGGGTGGATTGCTTTGTGGTGAACAAGCTGTTCGTCCTGCGCTGTTCATGTAGGGATCGCCATTAACTTCTCGCATTCCAGTGGGAACGCCATCATTTCTCATCTCCACTCGCTCTTGGTTGTAAACCACCCGCACCTAGATACACACAAACATATGCAAATGTGTGAACGATAAAAGATTAGAAATTGATACTAAATTTTATCCTCAGATAAGACTAACTTGAAGAGCTCTCATATTTGGAACTCGTGAGACATAGGTTTCCAAATTTGGCACAGGAATTTGAGGTCCGTTGGGGTTGTTCGAATTCACCGTTGTGTAAGGGTTCCTATCAAAAGGATACCCCATAGGTTTCCTGTCAGGGTACCGCTGATCCAATACTCCACAATAATTAACGGCATCCCTGAATGAAATTTTACAGATTGTTGAGTTTTATATTTCTTCAAAATACCACCAAGAATAATTATTCTTATGCCTGCAATTATTGGATCTGGCAGGTTGAGAAGTCGCTGGTAGTTCGACGCGATCCTCGTTGCCATCCGTAATGAAGACCACAACGTCGTACAACTACATTAACGTTACAATATTTCTTTCATTTTTTAACTCGTTGCTTTTGTTTTTCGGACAAATAATACTATTCCAGAATTTGTTTCAGCCCATGAAATTTTTCACGGGCTAGGACAACATTTAGATTCACCTGTCCAGTTGCTGTCCCTCTTGGGATCACCATGTGTTCAGGCCATCCACACCCACAGAATGTTTGCTCATATGCAGCCGGAGTCTGCACGACCTTTCCAAATCTCGGAAAGTTTGCTCCCAAGGGATTGTTACACTGGACTCGGAAGATCTCCGAGTAATTTCATTGACTCCGGGACTCACTGTATTAAAATTCACAGTTTAACAGAAAGTGTAAAATTAGTCAAGGTGGAATTTTGAATAATTGCATATTTTTAAATACATTGAGTAGTAAACTTATCAAGTTGGAAGAAAAGTCTGCGTTGTTGAACCTGCATAAAAAATAGTGGGCATGCGTAAATTTACACGATCAGATTGTTTGCACGACAATCACTTTTATGTTTACCATTGGAAATTGTTCGTTATGCTCGTTGAGACGTGGTGCCATGAAAATTCGAACGGTTCCAGTCCTTGGTACATTCGTGTTGTTCCTCACCTACCGTTATAAATTATATGTAACATTTCCCACATTGCTGTATTTCAATTCCAAGTAAAATATTAAGGCTGCCTGGGACACAGGCACAAAAATAATTTCTTAAAAATGATGTTTAGGGGTCATTTTTGGACAGAATGGAAAACGGATCGGTAATTCTGTGGAGAAACCCAATCCCCACAGAATTACGGATCCGTTTTCCATTCTGTCCAAAAATGACCCCTAAACATCATTTTTAAGAAATTCCGTCTCCCAGGCACGGTTAATACGCTGATTGTGAAAGTGTAGGGGTCATGGTTAAGATGGACGACTTGAACATAAACAGGCCCCAAATTGTTCTGAATTCTCAGAAAATCCATTCCTCGACTCAAATCTATGTTGCTTCTCATTCGGAAAGTGCTAAAGACATTTGGCTGCGTTTGTCTGCAATTGAACACTTTCGACCTGAATCCCTTCCCACGCGAGAGGAAACTCGCCCTAATAAAGTTAATTATTTTGATTACTAATATTGCAGGTACTTAATTTTTGTATCTGCACAAATTAATCAAACTCCAGTAGGATCATAAGGCTCGTGTTCCTCATGGAACAACAATGGAACACGTGTTCCTGGTCGCGTTCCTTATGGAACAACAATGGATCACGTGTTCCTGGTCGCGTTCCTTATGGAACAACAATGGATCACGTATTCCTGGTCGCGTTCCTTATGGAACAACAATGGATCACGTGTTCCTGGTCGTGTTCCTCATGGAACAACAATGGAACACGTGTTCCTGGTCGTGCTCCTCATGGAACAACAATGGAACACGTGCTCCTGGTCGTGTTTCTCATAGAACAACAATGGAACACGTGTTCCAAGGTGTTCCAAGCTTGTTCCTTGAGGAACACATGAGGAACATACAGGAACACGACCCGGAACACGTGTTCCAAGGAGTCTATTGACACATGAATAAAGGATATCAAATCAAAAAAAAAAGTTCCAAGCTTGTTCGAGTAACAGGCTGGTTTTTCGAGTAACAGGCTGTGTCACTAGAGTAACAGGCTGGTTCTTCGAGTAATAGGCTGTGTTACTCGAGTAACAGGCTGGTTACTCGAGTAACAGGCAGGTTTTTCGAGTGACAGGCTGTGTTACTCGAGTAACAGGCTGGTTTTTCGAGTAACAGGCTGTGTTACTCGAGTAACAGGCTGTGTTACTCGAGTAACAGGCTGGTTACTCGAGTAACAGGCAGGTTTTTCGAGTGACAGGCTGTGTTACTCGAGTAACAGGCTGGTTACTCGAATAACAGGCTGTGTTACTCGAGTAACAGGCTGTGTTACTCGAGTAACAGGCTGTGTTACTCGAGTAACAGGCTGTGTTACTCGAGTAACAGGCTGTGTTACTCGAGTAACAGGCTGTGTTACTCGAGTAACAGGCTGGTTCTTCGAGTAATAGGCTGTGTTACTCGAGTAACAGGTTGGTTTTTCGAGTAACATGCTGTGTTACTCGAGTAACAGGATGGTTTTTCGAGTAACAGGCTGTGTTACTCGAGCAACAGGCTGGTTTTTCGAGTAACAGGCTGTGTTACTCGAGTAACAGGCTGGTTACTCGAATAACAGGCTGTGTTAATCGAGTAACAGGATGGTTTTTCGAGTAACAGGCTGTGTCACTCGAGTAACAGGCTGGTTTTTCGAGTAACACGCGGTGTTACTCGAGTAACAGGCTGTGTTACTCGAGTAACAGGCTGGTTCTTCGAGTAATAGGCTGTGTTACTCGAGTAACAGGTTGGTTTTTCGAGTAACATGCTGTGTTACTCGAGTAACAGGATGGTTTTTCGAGTAACAGGCTGTGTTACTCGAGCAACAGGCTGGTTTTTCGAGTAACAGGCTGTGTTACTCGAGTAACAGGCTGGTTACTCGAATAACAGGCTGTGTTACTCGAGTAACAGGATGGTTTTTCGAGTAACAGGCTGTGTCACTCGAGTAACAGGCTGGTTTTTCGAGTAACACGCGGTGTTACTCGAGTAACAGGCTGGTTTTGTTCCTCGGTGTTCCTCGATGTTCCTCATGTGTTCCTCGGTGTTCCTCATGTGTTCCTCAAGGAACAAGCTTGGAGCACCTTGGAACACGTGTTCCGGGTCGTGTTCCTCGATGTTCCTCATGTGCTCCTCGGTGTTCCTCATGTGTTCCTCAAGGAACAAGCTTGGAACACCTTGGAACACGTGTTCCGGGTCGTGTTCCTCGATGTTCCTCATGTGCTCCTCGGTGTTCCTCATGTGTTCCTCAAGGAACAAGCTTGTAACACCTTGGAACACGTGTTCCGGGTCGTGTTCCTCGATGTTCTTCATGTGTTCCTCAACGAACAAGCTTGGAACACCTTGGAACACGTGTTCCGGGTCGTGTTCCTCATGTGTTCCTCAAGGAATAAGCTTGGAACACCTTGGAACACGTGTTCCGGGTCGTGTTCCTCGATGTTCCTCATGTGTTCCTCGGTGTTCCTCATGTGTTCCTAAAGGAACAAGCTTGGAGCACCTTGGAACACGTGTTCCGGGTCGTGTTCCTCATGTGTTCCTCAAGGAACAAGCTTGGAACACCTTGGAACACGTGTTCCGGGTAGTGTTCCTCGATGTTCCTCATGTGTTCCTCAAGGAAGAAGCTTGGAACACTTTGGAACACGTGTTCCGGGTCGTGTTCCTCGATGTTCCTCATGTGTTCCTCGGTGGTCCTCATGTGTTCCTCAAGGAACAAGCCTGGAACACCTTGGAACAGTGTTCCGGGTCGTGTTCCTCGATGTTCCTCATGTGTGCCTCAAGGAACAAGGTTGGAGCATTTTGGAACACGTGTTCCGGGTCGTGTTCCTCGATGTTCCTCATGTGTTCCTCAACGAACAAGCTTGGAACACCTTGGAACACGTGTTCCGGGTAGTGTTCGTCGATGTTCCTAATGTGTGCCTCAAGGAACAAGGTTGGAGCATTTTGGAACACGTGTTCCGGGTCGTGTTCCTCGATGTTCCTCATGTGTTCCTCAAGGAAGAAGCTTGGAACACCTTGGAACACGTGTTCCGGGTCGTGTTCCTCGATGTTCCTCATGTGTTCCTCCAGGAACAAGCCTGGAACACCTTGGAACACGTGTTCCGGGTTTTGTTCCTCGGTGTTCCTCATGTGTTCCTTAAGGAACAAGCTTGGAACACCTTGGAACACGTGTTCCGGGTCGTGTTCCTCATGTGTTCCTCATGTGTTCCTCAAGGAACAAGCTTGGAACACCTTGGAACACGTGTTCCGGGTCGTGTTCCTCGATGTTCCTCATGTGTTCCTCGGTGTTCCTCATGTGTTCCTCAAGGAGCAAGCTTGGAACACCTTGGAACACGTGTTCCGGGTCGTGTTCCTCGATGTTCCTCATGTGTTCCTCGGTGTTCCTCATGTGTTCCTCAAGGAACAAGCTTGGAACACATTGGAACACGTGTTCCGGGTCGTGTTCCTCGATGTTCCTCATGTGTTCCTCGGTGTTCCTCAAGGAACAAGCTTGGAACACCTTGGAACACGTGTTCCGGGTCGTGTTCCTCGATGTTCCTCATGTGTTCCTCGGTGTTCCTCATGTGTTCCTCAAGGAACAAGCTTGGAACACCTTGGAACACGTGTTCCGGGTCGTGTTCCTCGATGTTCCTCATGTGTTCCTCGGTGTTCCTCATGTGTTCCTCAAGGAACAAGTTTGGAACACATTGGAACACGTGTTCCGGGTCTTGTTCCTCGGTGTTCCTCATGTGTTCCTTAAGGAACAAGCTTGGAACACCTTGGAACACGTGTTCCGGGTCGTGTTCCTCGATGTTCCTCATGTGTTCCTCATGTGTTCCTCAAGGAACAAGCTTGGAACACCTTGGAACACGTGTTCCGGGTCGCGTTCCTCGATGTTCCTCATGTGTTCCTCGGTGTTCCTCATGTGTTCCTCAAGGAACAAGCTTGGAACACCTTGGAACACGTGTTCCGGGTCGTGTTCCTCGATGTTCCTCATGTGTTCCTCGGTGTTCCTCATGTGTTCCTCAAGGAACAAGCTTGGAACACATTGGAACACGTGTTCCGGGTCGTGTTCCTCGATGTTCCTCATGTGTTCCTCGGTGTTCCTCATGTGTTCCTCAAGGAACAAGCTTGGAACACCTTGGAACACGTGTTCCGGGTCGTGTTCCTCGATGTTCCTCATGTGTTCCTCGGTGTTCCTCATGTGTTCCTCAAGGAACAAGCTTGGAACACCTTGGAACACGTGTTCCGGGTCGTGTTCCTCGATGTTCCTCATGTGTTCCTCGGTGTTCCTCATGTGTTCCTCAAGGAACAAGCTTGGAACACCTTGGAACACGTGTTCCGGGTCGTGTTCCTCGATGTTCCTCATGTGTTCCTCATGTGTTCCTCAAGGAACAAGCTTGGAACACCTTGGAACACGTGTTCCGGGTCGTGTTCCTCGATGTTCCTCATGTGTTCCTCGGTGTTCCTCATGTGTTCCTCAAGGAACAAGCTTGGAACACCTTGGAACACGTGTTCCGGGTCGTGTTCCTCGATGTTCCTCATGTGTTCCTCGGTGTTCCTCATGTGTTCCTCAAGGAACAAGCTTGGAACACCTTGGAACACGTGTTCCGGGTCGTGTTCCTCGATGTTCCTCATGTGTTCCTCAAGGAACAAGCTTGGAACACCTTGGAACACGTGTTCCGGGTCGTGTTCCTCGATGTTCCTCATGTGTTTCCTCATGTGTTCCTCAAGGAACAAGCTTGGAACACCTTGGAACACGTGTTCCGGGTCGTGTTCCTCGATGTTCCTCATGTGTTCCTCGGTGTTCCTCATGTGTTCCTCAAGGAACAAGCTTGGAACACCTTGGAACACGTGTTCCGGGTCGTGTTCCTCGATGTTCCTCATGTGTTCCTCGGTGTTCCTCATGTGTTCCTCAAGGAACAAGCTTGGAACACCTTGGAACACGTGTTCCGGGTCGTGTTCCTCGATGTTCCTCATGTGTTCCTCGTGTTCCTCATGTGTTCCTCAAGGAACAAGCTTGGAACACCTTGGAACACGTGTTCCGGGTCGTGTTCCTCGATGTTCCTCATGTGTTCCTCGGTGTTCCTCATGTGTTCCTCAAGGAACAAGCTGGAACACCTTGGAACACGTGTTCCGGGTCGTGTTCCTCGATGTTCCTCATGTGTTCCTCGGTGTTCCTTATGTGTTCCTCCAGGAACAAGCCTGGAACACCTTGGAACACGTGTTCCGGGTCGTGTTCCTCGGTGTTCCTCATGTGTTCCTCAAGGAACAAGCTTGGAACACCTTGGAACACGTGTTCCGGGTCGTGTTCCTCGATGTTCCTCATGTGTTTCCTCATGTGTTCCTCAAGGAACAAGCTTGGAACACCTTGGAACACGTGTTCCGGGTCGTGTTCCTTGATGTTCCTCATGTGTTCCTCGGTGTTCCTATGTGTTCCTCAAGGAACAAGCTTGGAACACCTTGGAACACGTGTTCCGGGTCGTGTTCCTCGATGTTCCTCATGTGTTCCTCGGTGTTCCTCATGTGTTCCTCAAGGAACAAGCTTGGAACACCTTGGAACACGTGTTCCGGGTCGTGTTCCTCGATGTTCCTCATGTGTTCCTCGGTGTTCCTCATGTGTTCCTCAAGGAACAAGCTTGGAACACCTTGGAACACGTGTTCCGGGTCTTGTTCCTCGGTGTTCCTCATGTGTTCCTCAAGGAACAAGCTTGGAACACCTTGGAACACGTGTTCCGGGTCGTGTTCCTCGATGTTCCTCATGTGTTCCTCATGTGTTCCTCAAGGAACAAGCTTGGAACACCTTGGAACACGTGTTCCGGGTCGTGTTCCTCGATGTTCCGCATGTGTTCCTCGGTGTTCCTCATGTGTTCCTCAAGGAACAAGCTTGGAACACCTTGGAACACGTGTTCCGGGTCGTGTTCCTCGATGTTCCTCAGGTGTTCCTCGGTGTTCCTCATGTGTCCCTCAAGGAACAAGCTTGGAACACCTTGGAACACGTGTTCCGGGTCGTGTTCCTCGATGTTCCTCATGTGTTCCTCGGTGTTCCTCATGTGTTCCTCAAGGAACAAGCTTGGAACACCTTGAAACACGTGTTCCGGATCGTGTTCCTCGATGTTCCTCATGTGTTCCTCGGTGTTCCTCATGTGTTCCTCAAGGAACAAGCTTGGAACACCTTGGAACACGTGTTCCGGGTCGTGTTCCTCGATGTTCCTCATGTGTTCCTCGGTGTTCCTCATGTGTTCCTCAAGGAACAAGCTTGGAACACCTTGGAACACGTGTTCCGGGTCGTGTTCCTCGATGTTCCTCATGTGTTCCTCGGTGTTCCTCATGTGTTCCTCAAGGAACAAGCTTGGAACACCTTGGAACACGTGTTCCGGGTCGTGTTCCTTGATGTACCTCATGTGTTCCTCGGTGTTCCTTATGTGTTCCTCCAGGAACAAGCCTGGAACACCTTGGAACACGTGTTCCGGGTCGTGTTCCTCGATGTTCCTTATGTGTTCCTCAAGGAACAAGCTTGGAACACCTTGGAACACGTGTTCCGGGTCGTGTTCCTCGATGTTCCTCATGTGTTCCTCGATGTTCCTTATGTGTTCCTCAAGGAACAAGCTTGGAACACCTTGGAACACGTGTTCCGGGTCGTATTCCTCGATGTTCCTCATGTGTTCCTCGGTGTTCCTCATGTGTTCCTCAAAGAACAAGCCTGGAACACCTTGGAACACGTGTTCCGGGTCGTGTTCCTCGATGTTCCTCATGTGTTCCTCGGTGTTCCTCATGTGTTCCTCAAGGAACAAGCTTGGAACACCTTGGAACACGTGTTCCGGGTCGTGTTCCTTGATGTACCTCATGTGTTCCTCGGTGTTCCTTATGTGTTCCTCCAGGAACAAGCCTGGAACACCTTGGAACACGTGTTCCGGGTCTTGTTCCTCGGTGTTCCTCATGTGTTCCTTAAGGAACAAGCTTGGAACACCTTGGAACACGTGTTCCGGGTCGTGTTCCTCGATGTTCCTCATGTGTTCCTCAAGGAACAAGCTTGGAACACCTTGGAACACGTGTTCCGGGTCGTGTTCCTCGATGTTCCTCATGTGTTCCTCGGTGTTCCTCATGTGTTCGTCAAGGAACAAGCTTGGAACACCTTGGAACACGTGTTCCGGGTCGTGTTCCTCGATGTTCCTCATGTGTTCCTCGGTGTTCCTCATGTGTTCCTCAAGGAACAAGCTTGGAACACATTGGAACACGTGTTCCGGGTCGTGTTCCTCGATGTTCCTCATGTGTTCCTCGGTGTTCCTCATGTGTTCCTCAAGGAACAAGCTTGGAACACCTTGGAACACGTGTTCCGGGTCGTGTTCCTCGATGTTCCTCATGTGTTCCTCGGTGTTCCTCATGTGTTCCTCAAGGAACAAGCTTGGAGCACCTTGGAACACGTGTTCCGGGTCGTGTTCCTCGATGTTCCTCATGTGTTCCTCAAGGAACAAGCTTGGAACACTATGGAACACGTGTTCCGGGCCGTGTTCCTCGATGTTCCTCATGTGTTCCTCAAGGAACAAGCTTGGAACACCTTGGAACACGTGTTCCGGGTCGTGTTCCTCGATGTTCCTCATGTGTTACTCAAGGAACAAGCTTGGAACACCTTGGAACACGTGTTCCGGGTCGTGTTCCTCGATGTTCCTCATGTGTTTCTCGATGTTCCTCATGTGTTCCTTAAGAACAAGCTTGGAATACCTTGGAACACGTGTTCCGGGTCGTGTTCCTCGATGTTCCTCATGTGTTCCCCGGTGTTCCTCATGTGTTCCTCAAGGAACAAGCTTGGACTTTTGGGTATTGCACACATGTTTAAAGTATGCAAATTATGACATAACAGATTATTTGTTGTTGCAGCTCAAAGGGACCTACCGAGTCTAATGAGCATGGCATGCGTTTGCAGAGACAGTGAAATGATAAATCCAAAAGTGTGGATAACAGCTTTTGCGAGCTGTCTTCTTACTCGTCCCGATACAAAAGGGTTTCGAATGCCTGCAATCTGGGAGGTGATGCCAGACTTGTTCTTCAGCCCGTTTTGCTTAAAAGAGTCTGTCCGACAAGGGTTTGTTATAAATCATCGTGTACAATATCTGCAATATCTGTATGTAAATTAAAATGTCCATTCTTCAGGTCAATCCCACCACAAGACCGGGTACAACACTTTTTCAATAGTTCTATTTACTCTACCCGGGACGGGTCAATCTCGGATTAAGGATTGGGTATTGAGATTAGGATTGGGGATTAATTAATCTTTAATCACAAGTTTTAGAATTTTAATCCTTCATCTCTAACCCATACATAGTCCAACCAACGCGATCAATTATAATCGAAAATTGTGATTAAAATGGGATTAAGTTTGCATTGACCGAAAAGTTGAAAAGTTAACTTCTGTTGAGTTCGCTTGCCGTTTGAAAATTGTTTGCATTTCGTACATTTTTGTCGTTCATTGTTTATCGACTGACAAAGTGACAATGAGACTATGTGACTCCCATTGTCAGTCACAGAGTCTCACTATATCTCACTCTTATATATGCAAAGCTGCGTACATATATTAAATAGGACAGGGTAACAGGTTTCTTTTCATGTTTGGAAAAGTATAACTTGATTTATTAAAAATGAATAGGCAATTATAGAAGTTGATTCAAATTTTACTGGACGAGACACAAATGTGGAGAATCGGTTGGCTTACTTCAGGGAGGACCTTGGGGTTAACTCGCATCATTTCCATTGGCATTTGATCTACACTCTGGAAGACCCACGAGGTCGTCGAGACCGTAAGGGTGAATTATTTTTTTGGTAATACATTAAATTAGTCGAACAATTTCAAAGACACACAAGCAAACAAACAAAAATTATGCATTTCATTACAGGTTTCACCATGATATGTAAAATTATTAACATTTCCATATGTTATATGTGAACATCAGAGCGAAATTCTTATTATGGCTTTTATTTCATTTCCTTGCACGATGTGCGTGAATTCATTCATCGTGTAGGATGGCCAGGTTCGTGGTTAATTAAACAATGCATTACTGATGGAAGAAATGAGGGAGCTTATTTAAACCAATTAAATAATCTGTGTAGGTACGATGCTGAACGTTTGGGAAATGGATTATCCAGGGTGCGACCACTACGACCAGATGATCCAGTTTTAAAGGAAGGATACTTTTCAAAATTAACCGATTCGACGTCAGGTCGAGTGTGGGGAACTCGTCAGGAAAATACTCCACTTACGGTTTTTAACAGATATAAAGGGTGTTAATAAAGTCCGATCCCATTTTTCCTATAAAAAAGTGAAGGCTAGTATAAAAAAGACTACCCGTGATACTTACAAAAAATGTTCGACATATTTACCTTAGTATTTGGTCTTGTTACCATTTACTTTAACCATGCCCTCAACTCTTTGTTTAAGGCTCTGTGCTAATTTTTCCAATGTGTCTGTGGGAATCGAATTCCATACATCTTGAACTTTTTTTACTAGCTCTTCCCTCGTCCGGGGTTGTGGTTCTTTGTATACATTTTCCTTAAGTATGGACCACAGGTTCTCCAGGGGATTCAAATCTGGGCTGTTTCCGGGCCACACCCCCTTGCTCCAGACCGTTGAAACTTGCGTCTTGATGAGACTCAAACTCGCTTTTGCTGTATGGGCTGTAGCACCATCCTGCATGAAAACTATTTTTCTTTCATTCGGAAATATTTCCTTGTTCCCCATGCTATCGAAATAGATAGGTAATATTTTTTCCATATAATACTTTGCATTGACTGTTTGGCCTTTTGGTATGATATGTAGAGGAGTCACGCCACGTGCACAAAATCCACCCGCTACCATAACTTTAAGCCCGAATTTTGGGACTGCTCTTGATGGTACATCCGATTTGTTTTCTGTCCTGTAACGAACATTTTGTTGGTTCAATTTTGGATATAGCTCAATAATAGATTCGTCAGTCCAAAGGATGTGACTGCGCAATTCTTCACCAAGTCTTTTTTCACTCAAATGGCCACTTTTCTGAAGGAGTTCTCCAAATTTCAGACGGTCATCGATATTTTTTTGTGACATGAGAGGTTTTTTGGTTAGTTTGTAAGCTGTGTGACCCCACCTCGTAGATTTCACAAATTTTTGCACGGTCACATAGTTAATTTGCTTCTTCTTCTCTTTATAGCGTTTTGAGTCATTTAACTCCCTTGCACAATTACGTAATGAACTACCGGTTTTCTTGTAAAGTCTGTTTTTAATCATTCTCTTTGTGGTAGGTGACACCTTTCTGGGTCGCCCGGGTCGCTTTTTGTCGTGGACAAAATTTTTGTTCTTCCATTTCCAAACAGTTCTGCGGCTGCAGCCCAATTTTTGCACAATTTCTGCAGGTTTAAACCCCTGCTGATGCAATGTTTGTATCTTAACTCTAAGATGCTCATGACTTACACGTTTAGTTGTTCCTCCCATGGTAAAAATTTGAAATAAATAACTTCACTGGTTCAAAAGTTCCAGCTGAATTTGTAACAACCGCGCTCCAAAAAATTCATGGGATCGGACTTTATTAACACCCTTTACATACAGAGAAATCCAGCATTCATGAAGGGACGAATTGTGCAATTATTTACATTTTTCAGAACATCAACCGAGAAGATGACACAAGTCTTCCAACTGGAACACGAACAATTTCAATGGAAACTTTCCAAAAATACCGTGACAGAATTATGGAAGCCATTGACAAGATGACCTATTTGGCTGAAAATGGACAACGTCAGCCACTCAACATTGACATATTAGGGGATATTGTGGAGGCTAGTAATTTGAGTCCAAATCGTCAGTATTACGGAGAATGGGTTCGTACATATTTATAGTTAAAAATTATGTATGCAGATTAGATATTTTTTACGTAATCGATAGAAAAATACTAAAACATTGCAGGGCCTTCATAACATTGGGCATCTGCTGATCGCTCTTTGCCATGATCCAGAATACAAACACAGAGTAACACATTTTGAATATTATGACTTTTGGATAAAAGCAAAACTAGAGTTCTTAGTTTGGTTGACTGACTTTTCAGGAAAATATGCGACATTTATAATTCCACCCCCACCCCCACACAAATCCACCCCACCCCCACACAAATCCACCCCCACCCCCATCCACCCCCACCCCTATCCACCCCCACAATTTTTATGGGGCAACGTGAGATATCTTGGGGTAACATGAGATTTTATTTCATATTGGGGTATCGTTCGTAATTAGCGAGCGAAGCGAGCAGGTTAGGTCAACTAGGTACGGGAAAAGCGTGGAAGGCTTAGCTAGCTAACCTAGCTAGAACCTAGATAGCTAGGCTAGATAGAATCTAGGTAGCTCTGCTAGCTAGCAAGGCTACCTAGGTTCTATCTAGCCTAGCTACCTAGGTTCTATCTAGCCTAGCTAGCTAGGTTCTATCTAGCCTAGCTACCTAGGTACTATCTAGCCTAGCTACCTAGGTTCTATTTAGCCTAGCTAGCTAGGTTCTATCTAGCCTAGCTAGCTAGGTTCTATCTAGCCTAGCTACCTAGGTTCTATCTAGCCTAGCTACCTAGGTTCTATCTAGCCTAGCTACCTAGGTTCTATTTAGCCTAGCTAGCTAGGTTAGCTAGCTAAGCCCTCCACGCTTTTCCCGTACCTAGTTGACCTAACCTGCTCGCTTCGCTCGCTAATTACGAACGATACCCCAATATGAAATAGAATCTCACTTTGCCCCAAGGTATCTCACGTTGCCCCATAAAAATTGTGGGGGTGGATGGGGGTGGGGGTGGAATTATAAATGCCAAACATATGGGAGTGATGGGCGACACATCAGCAAATATGAGAGATCCTGCGTTCTATCGTTGGCACAAGTATATTGATGAATTATTCGACTTATACAAGCAAACTATGCAACCGTACAACCCAACTGGCGTAATAACATTTTGTGATCTAAATCTCTTTCCTATGCATCTATTTATGCATTTTCTACTGCACACTTAATTAACGTCATAGGGTGAACTTCAATTGGTTTGGGATGGTGTCCAAGTGCAGAACATTCAAGTGCAAGCAGAGAGTTCACGCCAAGGGTTGGCCGTTCCCCCGCAAAATGTGTTGAGGACGTTCCGCATGCGGAGCCATGTCGATTTGTCCAGGGGATTGGATTACTTGCGCTGGGGAGAAAATCTGGGTCCCATCTTTGCAAGAACGACTCATTTGAACCACGATGCTTTCACATACACCATTAATGTAAAAATCAACATAATTGAATGTTCTATTTATACAGCTAAATTAGTATTGTGGTTAATTTGGAACAAAATTATAGGTGCAAAATAATGGAGCGGCTCGAACTGGAACCATCCGCATCTATTTGGCACCGAGGTTTAATGAACATGGCGAAAGATTACCAATGGTCAACCTTCTGATTTTTTACATACGATATATTTTTTAAATACTCTTCTGCAAACAAGTTTAAAATTAATTGTATGCATTGTTCCTCATAAATAAATAGGTGCAACAACGATTATTGTTTTTTGAACTGGATAAGTTCACAACGCAATGTAAGCCGGTTACAACAAATAATGCCGAATAATATGTGTATACTTTCACACCTGCATTTATACTGCAATTAATCCGCAGTGAATCCTGGAGTCAACGCGATCACACGACGGTCCACCCAATCGAATGTGACGATCCCATGGGATCAGAGTTTTCGACAACTTGAACGATCTGTTCAAGCTCCTTCAGCAGAACAATCCGCTTGTGGGTGTGGATGGCCTCAACACATGTTGATCCCACGCGGGAATCCAAGCGGACAATTGTACGACTTGGTAGTGTTCGTAACGAACGGGGAAGACGACAGGGTTGTGAACCCACAGCCAGCAAATAACCGAGGAAGAGATAATTGCCGACAAGCCATGGCTTATTGTGGAATTTTGGATCAACTTTACCCTGACAGGAAACCAATGGGGTATCCTTTTGATAGGAACCCTTACACGGTGCCTAGTCCAAGCAATCCAAATGGAGCGCAAATCCCGGTACCAAATTTGGATGAGTATATTTCAAGAATTCCAAATATGCGAACGATTCAGGTCGGTAAATAAGTAAATGAATCAAAGTATTCAAAATTAGTTATATTTAAATTTGATTATCTTTGATAGGTTCGCATTGTTTACGACGCTGAACGAATAGACATTCGAGGTGATGACGGCGTTCCTACAGGAATGCGAGTAATTTCTGGGGATCCATTGACTCCAGTTCGGCCTGGTGCATGTGGTAATGGTGGGGCTCGTGGTTCCAGCCCCCTGCATCATCGCCATCGTTGCCTGCATCTCCTCCCAGTCCCACTCTACCAAGACCTTCTGGGCAGGAGACCAATAACGCTTCACGTGGTCAAACCAGCAGCAGGCCTGGAATTCCTCCAAATCGTGGACCTAAAGTGACTAGTAGTGTTGTATCCAGTGGGAGTCGACCATCAAGTCCTAATAGTTGGTGGGGAAGCAGGGAAAGTTCACCATCATCGCCAAGAGTGAACAATGGGGGATGGGGGTGGGGTGGATTTCGGGGGTAGTTTACCTACTCTCATATCACAACCCTGCGATATTCGTCCACGAACGACCATAAAGAAAACGATAATATTATTCCAGATTCTGCTTATTCTGATGTCTGTAAATATATTTAGCTTATTGAGTTTAGTTCATTATGTATTGGATATAAACTGGTGTAGGCTAGACTGAACTAACTCACTCCTTTATGTGCCTTCTTCTGATAATGATTCTGCACATTGAAGTACTTATGCACTATTACATTGTTTTTTTCCGCAAGGTAAATATGTACTTGGTTTTCCTAAATTTCCAACTACGCTTCTGCATGTTGAGTTATTTGCTGGTAGATATTTAGCAATTACTTGAATCCATTAACATTTGCTAATTTATGCTAATCTTATCCTCTCTTCAGTTCAAGCTCAACTTTTCAACTGTGAATAAATATTGTCAAAAATGTTCTTACACGATTCATGAGTGAGTTCATCATCATCATCGTTTATGATATCGTCGAATATTACTTTGCTTTCTGAAGAGCTGACCTGGCTAATTGAAAGCTTTACAAAAGTTTTTACTACCACACTTGTGGAATACTGCGAAAGTTTATGGATGCAAAATTGCGAATTTCCCTGTTGATGGTCCAGGATGCATCTCAGCCGACCAATTAGCATGATTATTGGTCCCACTGATCAGTAAAAAGTTGATCGGTTAGGTGCTAAATTTTATAATTAGCAAAGGGTGACCTTCATCATTGAGTGTTTAAACGGTGATGATGCAGTCACGTCCTGAACTCGTAGTTACGACGATGAGAGAGACCACCAGTTTGTAGACGCTGATTTCCGGAGGTGGATGATTAAGTTACAGACCAGAGCACACTTTTGTCTGAATATAATTGAAAGTAAAGTATAGTGAAGTTTTTTTTCTACATTTAACTTAACGAATATAACATTATGAAGTTTCCGGTAAGAAATTCAGTTTAATAATTCTCAAATCCGAAACGTATTTCTACGAATGCTTAAAAACATTTTAAACATTTTAGGTTTTTAGTTGTATGCTTCTTCTTCCATTGATGGTGACTGGGAAAAAAGAATCGGCTACAACAGAAAATTGGGAAAACGACGAATCTTACACATTACACAGGGAAGATTCTACACATCTACCACGTAATTATGGTAGTCCGGAAAAAGTCAGCCTTGCTGGCCCTTATGATAAATCCACAACAGAAGACCCAATCCTGCCTCTAATTTTAAGGAAACTAATTGAAGACGGGCTGAACAATGAGCTTGATGATGAGGGCAACAAGAAGAAAACCACTGAAAAAACAACTGGTTCCAAAACTCCTTCTTTTCCTTTGGCGTATATGACACCTCCAGCAGTACTTATTTCTCCTTCTTCAAAATCTGCAATGTCTTCCGAGGAAGATGATGAAATAATTAGCACAACGATTGGGCAAGATTCGTCTGGAGAGATCACGACAACAGATTCCTCAGAAATTGATGATTTCGATACTACCACGCCACTACCACTTCCAGCAATGAAATTTGTTGTGAACAGCAATAATAATAACCAATGGGGACAAGATGACGACACAATGAAAAATAATATGAATCCTGAGCAATATGCCCCAAAGTTTCAGAAATATTACGTTCCTAAGATATCCCCCTCAACAGAGACAATCCAGGAAATAGCCGCCACGCCGGAGAGTGAAGCAGAAGATGCGTCCCCTCAAAGCCAAACCCAGCCAGAAGAGCCTGACAGTGACCGCTTGTCTGGACGGGAAGACGAGGATCTGGATCAATCCAGTACTACTGTCACTCCAGAGAATCAGGATGAACAAGGACAAAATATGACCCCTCCTCCTCCCATGACGGAATCAGACCGACGACCCGTCTATTACTTTTTCTTGAGACCAAAATCTAGAAATCCTATGTTCCCCTCTGATATGTCGAACGACAATAATGACATGGTCCCAACCCCACCCAGATCATTCAACGAGGACATGCCGTATCGTTTTTACCCCCAACAACAGCAAGGAATGATGATGAACTATCCTACCAGAGTCTACAAATTCCCTTCATTTATTGCTCAAGATTATGAGAGTCAGCAGCAGACGGTCCCATCATCTTATAACAGTTTGTCCCCTCCCTATTACAACAATTACAATAGCTATCCTTCACCCATGGGGTCCAGTTCGTACCCTCAATATTATTATTTCCAGCAACGGTCCCAGCCCATGAACCCTTACGTTTACCCACAAAGGGGTAACCCGTACATGAGTCGGCAAAGTCCAATGTTCTCCCCAATCCCATACAATGATATTTCAAGGATAGACCAGTTCAATAATAATGCTGGGGACAACTATTACTATCGTGGTGGTCCAAGCTCCTATTACGCATCTTCAGACCTCGCGCCCAGATCTTACAACAATTACAGAGTTCCTTCGTTCTACCCATCATACAACAACGCGGCCGTGGAGTCTTCTAATTATGCGCCCAGCTATAACAACTTATACCCCAGGCCTATGGGCTTCAATAATGGTATGGCACCGAGATATTACGGAATCAATAATTAGTCTCTCGAAAGTGTTGTCGCACCTGATAATGCAACTACTTAAAAATATAGCAACTCTAATAAATTATCTCTCGGCTAACTACCCCGCAACCCTAAATTGTAATGTTAATCTTGCTATAATGAAGTTACGTTTAAGACGATGACTGGTTTCAACAACAATTCACTTTATGTAAGCTGTCAATAAAATGTTGTTAAATATTCATGAAAATGGATAGAGTTACTTCGGAGGAATGTTATTAAACACCTGCAAATTATTACGCATCAACTATGATTTTATTTCAAAGGATTGTCTGCGATAAAAACAACTTGTTTTTATTTTTATACACATACACACATTCGACATGTTGCAAATTGCTAAGGCTCACACTCCTAATTAACACGTGTCTGTGAAATGGTAGACAAGCACATATATAGTCAAAATCATGAGCGTTTTATGGACATGGACTCATGGAGCGTTTCATGGACATTACATATTGCAGCATCGATCACTTTTCCAATTTAAACAAATTTATATATTTGCACAAAATTTTCCAAGATGCTAAATCACTTTGCGTTATTGGTAAGTTTTTAAGTTGTTAAGCTTATATATTTGTACAGTTTGTCCACCTGCCTGCTTTTTTTCAGATCACCACCACGCTGACAATATTTCAAGTAGGACAGGGAACAAAACTTGGTGCGAATTATTCTCTTGCTTCTGAGAGTGCAATTTCATTGACGAATGGGACCACCAATTTTACAATTAACCAGAATTCCACAACAAATAAGAAACCTGCAATGGTGCAATCAACTGTTGATACCAACAGCAGTACAATAACATCCAGTAACGGTTTTGGAGGGGATGATGACGAGATTAATATTTCTTCTTCGGAACAGAAGAGCCAAGAGCAAAATTTTGGTGATTTGGACCTTGCAGCGTCCAATTCAAACCCTTCATCTTCTTCGTTTGGTAAAGGTGGAATGCGTAGAGGTTGGCAATTCTATTCTATGCATACTAACTTTGTATAAATAATCAATTTGCTAATGGGTTGTGTTGCTGTCTCATTTTCATATTTGCACGATCAATCTGGCTCTGGCGTGTAACCAACCGTGTAACTCAGGTTATGGAGGGACCTTGAGAAGACCTTGGGGGTATTCTTCCCATGAATGGGGATTAGGTAGAGGTTAACGTATGTAAGATCCGTGTACTGAATCCTAGTGATGGATAAAACTGACTGAAATGAATATGAATTTTGAAAAACTGAATAAAGTATGAAACTGCACTCATCACATGTATATAGTCAATCTTGCATAAAGCTGAACGTCCAAAAGCTTCAAGACGTTAAAGCCCGAACCGTACTTGAAATTAAATGAAGATTTACAACAACGGTTAAACAACTCGTACCAAATTGACGGTTTTTTATATTGACAATTGAAGTATATCACAATTTTCTCAATTGAAACGCTCTTGTCATAATTTTGACTTTTGAAGAATTCAAGCATGTATATGTACATGTACAAGAAAAATGTACTTTTATTTGATTAAAATACGCCTGCATATACTGGAAATACAAAATCAGTCGACTGAATTGACTAGCTAGTAATTAATCTGGAAGATTCTGCTACAGGATGTATGGTAATTGCATCAGAACCTTTTTTTAAGTTATCGAGCATCTTTTTAGTTGCTGCAATATCTTCATCAACTGAACAGGGAATATTGATTGAGCTTTCATCCTCCTTGATTTTATTTAGCGTAGTCAACTTCATTTCCAAAAATGGTATTTTCTCATATTCCAGCAAGTTTTTGTATTCCTTCATCTTTTTGTCTCGGATTTCGTTGCACAGCATGTGAACCAGTACGTTTATAGATGCTCTGCGCTGAACAAAAACATTCCTGTACGAAAAAAAAAATAGTTAATAGATTTCGAAAGCAAACAAAAATGTGGTGAAGAAACGGGAATTATTATTTGAATAATTAATAATTATGACTCACTTATAATCAGGCTTGAAAATAATACCCAGTACGTCCAAAATCCACTCGAAACATTTATAATCTGCTTTTCGCAATCGTCGCAGCCACTTTTTTCTTTTCTCAATCAGTTCTTTACAAGTGATTCTGTGTCCGCCGGACCTCAGTGTCATTTCATGATTAATAAATTGGTCCTGCAAACTCCGGATTCTTATAGTAGACCTTGCAACTGGAATAATAAAATTCTTTTAAAACTTGCATTATCTACTACATTCTTTAAGTTGGTCGTTCACTCACTCTTATAAGGAAGAGAAGTAGTGTCGAATAAATGACACTTGACTTGACTAAGAGTGTCCTCCATAATTACGTCCACTCCATCTTTGCGATGCCCATACTCCACCGTGAACAATTTTCGATGTTCTTCCGGTAATCTGTAAGTTTTTATCAAAATAATTATCAAGCGAGCGATACATACATCACAAATTATTTATAACAATATCCATTTACTTGTCAATGATGTCTGAGAAAGGTCTAAACTCCAACTTGAGCCAATTGGGGTCGGTTTTTTGGAGTGGGCGGAGGTCACAAGACCGGATGGGATGCCAAGGTTTTACATAGTCCGGCGGCACCCATTTGATAATCTTGTGAAAGTCATGCTTTATTTCGACACGTTTTGCCACAACTTTGGCGTAAATCGACGAATAATTTCGCACAGGCCCAACGCTCTTTCTCAACATGTCGAGATGAGTGACCTTCTGTCAACACACAGATTGTGACCACCTAGAAGACACGTTGTTTAATTTATCCTTTGTTATTAATACGATTGAGCACATTAATTTAAATACAAATATTTTTTTTAAACCTGATGGATGGAAAAGTTGTGAATGTTGAAATGCCCACACGCAGTGAGTGAGGTGAGAGCGGGATTGAGTTATTTTGTCCAGTGGTTAAAAATACACGATAGCAGTGGAAAAACGTTGGATTGCAAAAGCAAGTTGATTAAATTTTCGTGTTTCAAATAAAAATTGTAATTAAACAAAAATAGCCCAAAAGTTTTAACCTAGTGCTTGAAAAGCAAGCAAAGGGGTGGCCCAAGGTAATTCTACTCTAACTTTTCTATTTTTGTATTATAATGCAACTAATGTAATGTGTTATTTATTTCTTTGTGTTTGCAGAGATTCGTATTTGGTTGATCCGTTTGGTTCGTGATTGATGGTCTGGAGACCTATTTAAGAGGCCAGTGTTTGTTTGTTGTTAATTGAATGATGAAATATGAGCGGAGGCAAGGTTGTTGACTATAACACATGGTCGAAAGAGGATCTAATTGATAAAATCAGAAAACTTGAGATTCACGTCACTCAATTGAGGAACGTCATTAATAACAAGTCGAATAAACCAACTTCTTTCGAGACTGACCATCTTGACCATCCGAGAAAGCGACTTAAATTGGAAGGAGGTGACGATGATGACACCAGGTTGGAAAACCAACCATGTTCATCACACAAGAAGGACAAGGCCAAGGTTCACAGGAAGTTTGACTTCTCCACGTAAGCAAATCTTCTTGGACTAGTAGATATGGGTGGTAAATATGTATATGACCAGTTGAAAGAGCTCGATTACAATAATTGTTTATTATTGCAATGACGGACTCTCGATATAGGTATACAAGCCAAAACCATCACATTTTTTTAATTGAAAATGAATAGCGGGAATAGCTTAGAAATGCTGAAAAAAAAATCGGAAAAATATTTATTTTTCGAATTGCCCCACCCCCTCGCCCCCAGAGGCAATTTTTGTTCCCCACACTTTTTCTCGGCCCCCAAAGGCGATAAATGCACCAAACTTGCCATGGACTTCTCATTTGGGGTCGTTCATCGTGTGAGTAAAGATGAAGTCCCTAGGTCAAAGGCTGTAATGCCCTTGACCTGAAAATTTTGACCTTTTTTTCGTTTTTTCGAAATATTTTCCATGTTTATGAAATGTTAACTTCCCCACTTCAAAACCGTACAGAAACAATATATTCTGCGTCCGATGCCGGTAGTTTGAACCTCCTAGGTCAAATACTAAGGGTACTTTGTACCACGCCCCTTGGCTGGACTTATATATTTTCGAGTGTCCAAGCGTGACGCGCAAGGTACTTTAGTGTCTTCCATATGCGACCCTGAGCAATTCCGCGGTCCAATTGAGGGTCAGATGGATACTAGTAGTGAACAAAATCAGCCCAACTACACCCACATGCATTGTGGGTGTGGCTCACAAAAAAAAATTCAAAACCGAACAAAACGTCGATACGAATTAACATTTCATAAACATGGAAAATATTTCGAAAAAACGAAAAAAAAGGTCAAAATTTTCAGGTCAAGGGCATTACAGCCTTTGACCTAGGGACTTCATCTTTACTCACACGATGAACGACCCCAAATGAGAAGTCCATGGCAAGTTTGGTGCATTTATCGCCTTTGGGGGCCGAGAAAAAGTGTGGGGAACAAAAATTGCCTCTGGGGGCGAGGGGGTGGGGCAATTCGAAAAAAAAATATTTTTCCGATTTTTTTTTCAGCATTTCTAAGCTATTCCCGCTATTCATTTTCAATTAAAAAAATGTGATGGTTTTGGCTTGTATACCTATATCGAGAGTCCGTCCAATAGAATGCTGAGTTAAACCTCACATAATATGTAGTTAATTAGTGCTAAATTTATATGAAAAGAGTGAGCAGGTGGCACACTAAACTTGTGACATTCGTCGTTCATGCCTCATACCCAGTTAAATAGTTTTGTTTTGTTTCAAGTATTATTTGCTTACTTCTTGACAAAGGGTTGCGATGCGTCACGTGGCCTTGAAGATTTTGTATTTGGGGTGGGATTATCAAGGACTTGCCGCACAGGAAGATACTGATGAAACAATCGAAGCCCATTTATTTAAGGCACTGACTATGACTAAGCTAATTGAAGAGAGAACAAAATCAAACTACCATCGGTGTGGGAGAACAGATAAAGGTTGGCTGATTTATGTAACAAACTATAAAATATATATTATTTATAGAAAGAGATAAACAGCAAGAATTAGTATGTGCATAATAAATATCTAACTTATATTCTACATTTTCAATAGGAGTATCTGCTTTTTCTCAGGTAACATACCAAAACATATTTCAGGCAATAAACACTTGGTATGTTGAATTCATTAATTTAGTCTGTTGAATTGGTAGGTCATTTCAATTGATCTTCGGAGTAAGACCGTTGACGGACAGGAGACGATGGACTATTGCAAAATACTTAACAGAACATTACCAAAAGAAATCAAGGTCACTGCTTGGTCACCGGTTCAACCTGATTTCTCTGCTCGATTCAATTGTTCTAGGAGAACTTACAAATATTTCTTTCCAAAAGGAAATCTTAACATTGAGGTGCTACATATAATTACTTGTAGTATTTCAATTATATTGTTGCGTAATATGTGCTAATGAAATGCAAATTAATTTGGATAGAAAATGTTACGAGGAGCTCGATATCTAGTTGGGGAACATGATTTCATAAATTTTTGCAAGTTGGATAAAGATCTAAGATCCACGGTGCGAAAAATTTTCAGTGTTAGCATTAATAAAAGCTGTCACAGTGCTAATGGAATCGATAATATGTACGATATTTATCACCTGGAAATTAACGGTGCATCATTTGTCTGGCACCAAATACGCTGTATTGTTGGAATTTTATTATTGGTTGGACAAGAATTAGAAGAACCGGAAGTTGTGCAGAAACTATTGGATCATTGTCAGTACGTTTATACCATAGAATCAAAAGTTTTTTTCCATAACTCTTTCTAATAATTATATTATATAATTCAAGACCTGTATCTTAAATCATTATGCTATATAATCTTGTAGAAAACCACAGTACGCAATGGCGATTGATTATCCATTGGTGTTGTATGATGTTGACTATCCGGCAGATTCAGAAGTCAAATGGACCTATACTCCTGAAAATATGACATGTCTTTTGTCTCAAATGCAAAATTTGTGGGTGGAATTTGCAATAAAGTACTGACGATGCAAAAATCATTACATTACAAATGAAACCTATTATTAACCTCAATTGTTTTGCATTTGTGCAGGAGCGAAATGATACTTAACATTGTGAAAGATATTGAAAACTTGACTGGGACTCGAAAACCATCCATGACTGAGAGTTTGATCATGGGAACAAAACGAAAAAATTATGTCAAGATACTTGATAGACCTGTTTGTGGCAACTATGAAAGATTGAAATAAGATTATGGATTTTATCTTGTTTTCATAATATTGATTTTTCTAAATAAATGTAAATATGATGGATTAATGGCACTACATAATAATATAAAGAATAATAATTTGTAATATTACTTACGTTAAGCACACGTGCATATGTTCTGAAAAATGTTCTGGCTGCTTACTTTTGGTAATGTAGTGTTTAAATTTTAATTACATTTTGTACCTGCTCTTTCTGTGGTCATAATTATACACGCTTGAAATCTTACGTAATAATTCTGTTATCTTTTTTATTGCAGGCGTCATTGTGTTTATCCTTACACTTTTCCCAACTTTCCCATTGCAAACCTATTGTCAAGATGACTATATCGACTTTACTGATATGGGTTCGTATGATCACGGATCACAACTTAATAAAATTATTGGTAAGGTTTGGAGTCTCGTATTACAGACGTTTAATACAATGTTTTTATCATGTTCAATTTTATTTTGTTGAATTATTTGCAGATACAAGTGTTGAAGAGCATACCAAAGTTAGTTTAGCCATAAGACAGGATCAAATCGCCTTGGTTGGAATTGCAGTTGACAACGGGTCTCGACCTATGAAATTTTTACAACGGGTTGTGAAATCAATTTTGCGCCAAATGAACGTCCAGGTAGTTTTATATTTTTTCGGTTAACGTTTTTTTTTATTTTACAAAGAAATTATGTATTCAACGAAATAATATTATATTTGAATTATGTGTTTCAGTCTCACACATTTGGTCCTGGTGAAGCCATAACTATCGACCTTCAAGCAGAAATAAAGTATAATGACTACGTTATTTTAAATAAGTTTGTCAACTCTGAAGAACAGGAGGAATCGGATAAATATTTAAGCAAAGTGGACGATGTCATGTCCAATTTAATCCATGTTGTAGAGCATAGCAGCTCGAGATTTGACTATGCTGAATATATCTTTAATTTACCCATTTTCTCTAGTTTAAAGGTACTTATTTTGAATCCAAATATTATTTGTTGCATGTATATTATTCGTACGAACCCTTTTAAAACATATATGCTAAATTATTGTGATTTATTTCAGTTTTGGCTGGTGTTAACAACAATGTCCGTCGTATGCTTTCTCATCGTCATGCTATCTTTAAGGACTATTCATGCAGCAAATAATGTATCAATGTTGTTATACGGCTTCTTGATCATCTTTATATTGAGCTGTATTTGGACATTTTCCTACATGTATGAGGTAAGGAGGTAGTATAGTAATGATTTAAAACACTTTATGTAGAATGTGTTCTATGGTTCACTAATTGGTATTGTTATTTTTGTTCATGTAGGATGCGAAAGCAACGAATTATGCGAAACTAGTACAAGCTCAAAACCCTCCAAAAGACTGCGAGTATGAAAATTTAAGTTTTCGAGACTCTGTCTCTTACTTTTTTCGAGTACAGTTATTTGGATGTAGGTTGACCACAAGATTTCTATAATATATTATTTGAATAATTTGACGACATAATGTTAAAATTGCATGCTAATAATTTGTACTTGTAACTTTGTAGATAAAGATCAGTGCGAACAGTATTACAGTACGACCATGACAGATCCATTTTGGAGTGTAAATCCCCTAGAAGCGATTAGCCAATCATTTACTGTACTAGTCTTCGCACCTTTTGGATACATTGGAGACAAAATAGGTCTTTTCTTTAAAGGAATAATATCGGGAATTCCATTCTGGCTACAACCATTATTAGTTCTCCTCATATTTGGGTTTACATTTATGAGTCTATTTGGATATCGTGTCGTCAGCCCGCTATTCACCATTGAGCCTGCTAGAAGAGGAGACAATTGTGGACCTGCACCTTCAGGTAGTCCTGCAATTACTGACAGAATCAAAAACGAACTCGTTGAACGACCTGAAAGAAAAGTGATGAAGAGTATCCGTGACGCCCAGACAGACATGGACGGATTCGAAAATTATCTCGATGGGACTGATCAAGCAGAAATGCGTTCATCACGGCGTCCTTGGTTGCCACTTTGCATTATTTTTGAGAGGATTTCAGCACTTTGGTTTTTCATTGTTAACTTGTTGGATGCAATTCTGCGACAGTCTCCTACAGGAGGCGAAGTTCCTGAGCCTCAAGATGATAATAATGAAGACAATTTCAACTTTGGTAACGAAGAAATTCCAATAATTCCAAATCCAGAGCCGGCAGCTGGTCCTTCACCCCCTTTACAACAACGTATCGGAATTGCAGACGTATTTATCCCAAGACGAAGAATGCATATTGGTCTCGAAGGCTCGAATGTGGACAAAGAAAATTTGAAGCCTTCTTGTTCAAACTTACATTCTTCTAGGATGTCAACCAGTCACCCTTCTTGTGATCATCGCAGTAGAAATAACAGTAGTAGTTCTGAAGACGAACGTGATTCAGAAGGAAAGTGAAATCATCGAAACTGAATATTTTGTTTTGAACTTAATTGGTCGCGAAACTTTCGACCTGCTTTATATAAATAAATACCCGTAATTGTTGTATAGCTTTTGAGCATGATTGAGTTCACACACGTTTTATTATCGAGTTATCACTATTATTAATTATTATTATGCTTTATGCAGATGCTTACATATATACATAAATTGTTTATTAAATAAATAAAAAATTGAACCTGAAATAAAGTAACCTAGCCTCAAACTTAAGCATCATGAAAGTGAGTACTTAATAATGCTTCCATAACGGACGGACGTTCCATAAGCATATTTTAGTCAATGAGGTGAGATGAGACGAAAGAACCAGATTTTCCTCTGCTGGAAGAGGAATGTGAGACCGACCAGAGAGATGATTACTTATTGAGACAGACCCTGAGCTGGTTTCTGATTTGGGCATAAATATCATTTTTAGCCCGAACCAGGGCTTATGTAATTGTCATGTCCGTCTGTTTTTCGATAAATCTCGAACGAGTTGACCGATTGAGTTGAAATTTTTACCATATGCATATTGAATAAAGTCAGGAAACGAGTTCGAAGATATGGGCGACATTGGTCCAGTGGTTGACCGGTGGGGGTCATGTGATTAGGTGGGGTAGTATGTACCAAAATTTCAAAATTATAGTAGAATGCTGAAATTTGATTCAGAGGATGCAAATGGCTCCTAATGGAAGAATAAGAATTAGAATTGGAAAAATTTTTGGCGGTGACTTTTCTACTTATTTGTTTCATTTTTTAAGAATCCTGGAGAAAGCAAAGAAAGTTGTTGAAAATCTGCAGCCGTCTGCAGGGTCCGATTTCTGACAGCGTCTAATACGGGATTCGATTTGTGTGTCCTTTCTGAAGACTTGGGATCTTACTTATTGATCGCATACTAAATAATTAAGAGTTGCTTATGTATGATAAAAGACTTTCATATCTTTAAAATAAATTGCCAAATTCAATGCTACGACGAAAATTGTATACGTTTTGTGATGCTGAGAGTTTGTTTTTAATTTGCAGTTTTGTGATTTCAACATGAAATTGATTGCACATTATGTGTTTTATAGGCATACTACCCTGCAGAGAGGACAGGGTATTGTACGCAAATAAGGAGCAATAAAAATAAATCAAATACGAATAAAATGCAGTTCTGCGAGACATTAAATTATTAAGGAGATCGGATCGGAGACAGGAGAGGAATTGTCCAAATCATTTCCATTGCCTGAAAAAATAAATGAAAATGAGTAAAACTGCAAATAAATCCAAATATTAGCACGAATTCAAAGATAATGCTTACTTTCATCGAGACATCCACAGAGTCCATGAGGGATTGTTCGTGAGTCTTTTGCATGGCGTAGGTCCTCCGCTTTAAAGACTCCATTTTCCGCCGTCGTTCCCGTTCTTTCAGTTCTTGGGGCAGTTCTTTTCCCTTCTTGATGATCGTATCCGTAATACTCAGGCATGAATGTTTTGTTAAAATGGGGCGACCGCTGCTGACACTATGGCTGAAATGACGGTCCGGGGGTGGTGGCATCTTTTCTCGGAGGAGCAAATCCCTCTCAGTGGCAGGTTTCTTGTTGGGTGGACTTTTCCCAGGCATACTAGTTGCATTACTGTTATTGTTGTGATTATTGCTATTGATTGCTTCAGGTACTGAACGATTGTCGGATTTCCGTTTCGCAAGGAGAATAGATGTGGAAGTAATTGTGTTGGCTTGTTGTGAACCATCATCAGCAGCAGCCGACGAAGAGGAGAAGTTGGATTTGTCCTTACAGGAAGAAGAGGAAGTGGAGACGTTCTTGGTGAATCCGGCAGTCTTCATGGCTTTACATGACTCTTCCGGCAGCTGTTTTTTAATTCCATTACTTGCTCCGAATAATGCTTTGTGTTGGGTGGGATGTCGATTGTCCAGGCCGTATGAAGATGGTTTACATTGTTCCGAGTGGTTTTCACCATTATTTCCGAGTACAAGTATTGGAGAAGTGGGGTCAATGTTTGATGGTTTTTCCGGTGTGGTTGCACTGGTAGTTGTTGGGGACGTGTGTTGTTGGACGCTTCCTGAGTGGTACAAAATCTTTTGAATGTGGACAACATTGAACCCGATTGCAATTGGAGGCTGGAAGCAAAATGAACGTTGGGATTGAATTTATTATTAATAATAAGATTTCCACACCCACTTATTAGCTTTGTAAAGACGTTAAGTAAATTGGAAATATAATAAAAACACACCTTGTAAGGCTCAACTTTGACTGGACTGATGAACCCCGGAGAATCTGGGCGATGGATAGGAGTTCGCTTTTTCTCCCCTAATACAAACTCTATCACAAAATTATCTCTTGGAATACTTAAAAAGTTGTTGTCGTCTTCCTTGTCGTCCTGCTCCTTCTCCTTTTCTTGAGATTTAGGGGGCGGTGTTGTAAATAAGTTTTCAGACTTTATTTTCGTTTTATGACCATCCCTGTGCTTTTTACTACTACTTCGATGTCGATGTTCTATGGGTCGCCTATTTTCTTCGTCGGAACCACCCTGGTGACTAGGATCACCTTCATCTTGATGGTGGCCAAACGGAATATTTTCATCTCCAAAAAGCTCAGTTAATTGGTGACCTGATGTGGAACGACGTCGAGGAAGTGACGACGACTTTTTGTGATCCTTATTTCCTTGATTATTACTTGATGATTTATCGGATTTCTTGGCCTCTGATTTTACCTTGTGTTTCAATTTGAGGATTTGGCCACGGTAATATGCGTCCAATTTGTCCCACTCGTCCAAAGCAACTTTCACCGGAACGTGTTTTTTGGGAGAAAACTCGGGCCGTCTCGGTTTTATGGACAAGATGACCACATCACTTTTTGCAGCGCGTCTCCCATCGCTCATTATTGTCACCTCGTGGTTATTTCAAGTATGGTCTGAAAATAGAAAGAAAATATGCATAAGTTATACAAATTGCTCCACGAGATTTTGTGCATAACAATACAATACAATATGTAAATATTTGGATACTTAATAAATTAGAAATCAAAACAAAATTTTCGATTAAATGCGTCGTAATTTACGATTCGAAAATTCAATCAAATAAAAAGTTTATGCAAAGCCAAGAGTGCTGTTCATTTTGTGGTGGTACAATTCGACTATTAATATTTCAGAGAAGAAATTTTTATTTAACAACAATGTTTCCAGTCAATTACACAGCACCATCGTTTCGATTTTGGAAAAATGCGAATTGGACTATTGATAGTGCAAGTAAATTGGAATTGGATCGTAAAATTCAAGATAAGGGTCGCGATATTAAAGCTCCAGGAACGTTTGAACAGCGATTCTACTTGCAGAATCTCTCACTCTCATGAACATCATTTAAATATTACGGACGTACAGAATACCGCTGATAACAGAGAAGTGATAATGTGCTTGGTGAACCAAATACTGGGCTGGACTTTCCATGAACTCTCCGCATAATATTTTTATTAATAATGCATGGATTTTGTCCTTACATGGTCAACTATTTGTACTCGGTGGTCAATTTCACCATCATGATAAAGGTATCACGTCATTCCAGATGCTTGCGTTGCTTGCATGCACATTACTTATTAAGTACAAAGTCTTATCAACTTAAGATAAGTCCGTTTCATGTATGTCATCGGTTTAGTTAGTGGCAATTAAGCTATAAAATGGAAGCATGGATGAATGATTGCCATACCTTTCATGTTCCTGATTGTGATATTGAATAATTGGTACAAGGCAGATCTGGAGTCCGTGGGGGGATAATCCCACTCTCACAATTGAGGATGCCGTCATAATCAGTCCAATTTTTTTTATATGTGTATAAATATTTTAGTCAGAAATAAAATCCAACCAAGGCCTCGCAACGACTCATGTGCTGTTCATGAATATGTACATGTGCCACGCAGGATCATCAGATACCGAAAGAGACCATATTCAGCAATTTTGTGAAACCAGCTTGAAAATCCGGTATTCTCAATAGTAAGTTCAGCATACCTTTGACCTTGTCGGACTTTTAGTTTGAAAGTTATGTATGTGGAGAATATCACGTACTTAGATCTCCACTATTTTTAGATTCTATTCTCTAGCTCATACATAAAACTTATTTCAGAATGACAAAGACTTGTGAGATCTGAGAAGCATAGCCCACAATTTGACTTATTTACATGGACTAAGCTGTACCTTCGAGCTTAGCAGTAGTTGTGCCAAGAGATGAGCCTTACAAAATTAAAGGCCATCATTTGGGTAAAATATGTAGATCGATGTTCAAGAAATTAGAAATTCACTTTATTTGATGAAGTTGGTGTAAAGTTTTAAAATATGAAAACCACAAAAATCATGACATCTTATTTTGTTACTGACTTAATTTTGATCTAATTTGTAATGGTACATATTCATACAAAATATCCAGGTTGCAACTTTATGAATCTATGAAAAATCAATGTGGACGCCAAAGGTCACCAAATGTGCAGCCTGTATATGTGTCAGTAAAGTAGCTAAAACCATAATTATTTTGGGGACTTAATACACACAAATCTATTCCATTTCGTGCATGCAGATTTGAATTCACTTGGTGAATTTTTATGTTTTTAAAGCCAACTTTGCCACTAAGGTCTTTACGTAGCACATTGCGTTTAGAGTTTTATTTATTCATCCACGTATGCAGCAGCCCTGGTTGCTATTTAATTGCACATGTGTAGGTGTGCTGTGAATTGCACGTGAGAGATGGCCGTAAAATCAGAAGATGGACGGACAGGAATTTATTTCTCATTATAGACACACAGGTTGTAAGGTTGGAATAAATTAATCGAATGACAAGATGCGGAAATATGTAGGAAGATTTCCTGTTGAATAAAAAGCAAAATGCGCTCAGCAACACACACACGATTAGCAAACAACTCCTACATACACTCGTGCGTCCGTTGCCCATCATCCAATGCTGATCATTCCTCAAAGCCAAGCCAACTTGATTGAACAATGGGAAGAAAATGCATTTATTTTCCATTTCATTTTCATTGCATCCACACTTTACATCCGCCTACTTACTTGCTAGCATTGGATGCAACGCTAATTAGAAATCATCCCATGGTAGAATTTTGCTAAAGTGCAGCGTAATGCTGGTGGTAAGTAACATAGGGTCAGAATGGATGTCTCGAGATTTATCGATTGTTCAACACAATTACATGCAATGCTTGCTTCATAGCAAGTAATTTTATGTTCTATTTGCTTAAATAATAATGACAACTCGCCTCTATTACAGCACTTGCCGAGAAGATGGTCGTAAAATCAAGAGTGTCACTTGTCATGCGACAAGAAGAAACTTTTATTAGAGTTTTGTAATTAATTCGGATGATGCACATATGTATGCATACAAGTAAATAAGTGCATACATATGAAGTATGTAACAGAAAGTAACAGAAAATGCATAATGCCTCCGCACAAAATTATGACCACTGCAATCAGTAAAATCAATGGTGTCTTGTTAAATTTAGTATGTACGAATTGAAAAAAATGTCCTAGCCAGAACTACAAATTTCGCCCCAAAACAACGTAATGAATGTTCTCCATGAATGTAACATTTGTCTAAAAACTGAATAACCCCAAATACATACTTTGTAGAAACTACACATTGTTGCGAGCACTAATTAGCTCATCATCTTCACCTCAATCTCTCATTTGACTCGACTTCATATAATTATCTCATCTCGTTCGACTCAAACTCGTACATAATTGGATTCCATCCATCGAATGATTCTCGAAAGCTAAATGAGAAGCATAATTCTGGCAAGTCTGATCGTGTACCAACCAATTTTATCTCTCTCTCTCTTTCGGCTATACATATTTATCTACATTTAATATTGGATTGGAATATTGGAGATTGCACATTGCTGACCAAATATTGATTAAATGCAACCAGAAACGTCGACTGCTTATCGATCGTGTCACATTTCCCCGATGAGTAAATATGAGTTAATGGCAATAAAAATACTTTTTGTAAGCTCAATATAACTCACCTTAAGCAATTCAGAGGCGAACTTTATCACAATAATGCACTCGACTTGATTAGAAATCCACAGAGAGGAAAAAACAGGGTTGAAATTATTATTCCCAAGGACCAAATGGCTTCAAAGGGTTGACACGGAATCCATAAATATGAGTTCTCTCTCCTCCAGGATGTGTATGTCGTCGTCCTTATTCGTCTCAGAAAGTGAGAGAGAGAGAGATGATGTGGTAATCCTTGGACGACAAGCACTTGGAATATTGGAACCACTGCTGGGCTGGATGGTGAATCCTACTCTTTTCACAGGTCAACTTTGTTCAAAGACTTTAAAATCAGAATCCGGTCGTACTTGAGGATGTGAGACCAAGACCAGCCGAATGGATTATGATTATTCTTGGTTCTCTAGTTTAGTCGCTTTGGTGCTGCTGATGCTGAACTCCAAACAAGTAAGTGAAAGGGAGAGTGAATTCTATTTAGGTGCCTTTTTTGATGGATGGATGGATGGAGATTTGGGTATGATTTCCTTGAACCACTGCTGTCGTTTGCTACTGTAGATTCCCTTCTTCTGCTAACTGACGAGTCTCGAGCAAGTGCCAAAAATAATTGTCCTGAGATAGTTTGCTGCTTTTGTTCTGCGAGTGAAGATTGTATGTAAAGAAACGTCTCAAGTTTTTTTCTCCCTGGAAAATTGAAAGCTCATGCACTTTAGAGACTTTTAGCTGATTGCTATTGATACTGCTGTATTTAATTAGTTGTAAAGAAGAAGGCGTCGTCGTCGATGTCTTAGCCTATAAACTGGAGTAACCCTAACTTACTGAGAAGTGACTAAACTATTATTTATCGTACAGGGCGATTATATATATTACACGGACGATGGTTGGTAGGGCTAGTTATTATTATTGTAGTAAGTATTAGTGATTTCAGGATAACAGCTCCATGTCCCAGCCACTACCAACTAACTAACTAGCTGGAAAAGTTGATTAGCGACACCAACAACTACGACACTGCCACCAGTAACCTCACAATGCATACCGCAACAGCTTCACATCTTTGGTGTGCTGTAATGCAACATTTGCTCGTATACAGGGCCAAATTATACATATTCCAAATTCAATTGGGTTGCATATACGTACGTATAAACTGGATACGTGAGCTATAAATTGTATACAAGCAAAGCAACTAATTTGGGGAATGAATTGAAATACACACGAATGTATTGTGAGTGAATATTACGCAGAGTTGTATTGGGATTGAGAATTGCATTGCTCGTATTGGATGGGATATTTGGATGATGGAAGCAAAGGGTTGCGCTGAGTTTGCACTACAATTTTAAACGAAAACGAAATGCAAACGGCCCAAGTGAGTGAGTGCCATTAATAATAATAAGGTTGCTAGTTAGTTAGTTGGTCCAAGTACTTGCAGCACTTGTCGCAACCAGCCTCACACTTGCACCACCAACAAATCTCCATCCAACCAAATTGACACAGAGATGTGGAAGCGTTTAAGGTAGACATACAAATCTGTAAAGGTTTCAACTCTGTGGGTTTGGCTAACAATGTGATGTTGAACAATACTTTGGTTGGTGGATTGGATCTTGGTTTGGTTTTCTGTTGTTTGGTACACCATACACACATAACACAGCCCTGCTCAATGGAAATTCGTCAAGTTGAGGCTAAATGATCCAAGATACAAAAGGTGCATGAATAGATAGATTTTTCTCAATGCCAAATGCCAAAACCATCCAAAATTAAACCAATGATGGCTTTGGACTCTTATTATAATAATAATATCGTCGTCGTCGTCGTACGAGTCAGATGGTAATGGGAGATGGAAAAAATGGAATGACTGCCATTTTGCATACATCGTTGCTTCAAAAATGGGAATTGGACAACGAAATCAATCAACTGCTGCTGTGAAGGATTGCTAGAGACAAAATTGAAAAATTGATGAATATAAAACACGCGGAGAGTTTGCTGCAAAATTAGTGCATTAATGTGACCCTTGTTTTTCTCCAGTCTCAAATTGGTCAGTCACTCATAAAGCTGTAAACGTAAAGCATTGTTAGCTCAAGGTGCTTATTACATTTAAAATTTTCACTGTGGTTAAAAATGAGTTTTTGACGGGCTGTACTGATAGAGATGTATGTATGTAAATACGTCAAAATTATTACAAAAATCTACTGTATCAGCGTCTCGTACTGACAACGTGCGTGATTGTGTGATAGGGAAGCTTAATCCTGGATTTTGAACTTTGATTTTGGTTAATGTAGCAAATGCATGTGGACATACGCAAGTGTTAGTTCACTTGAGATAAATAAATAATGAAACCTTTTATTGACAAACAATTACCATTCCCTCGTTTTTCCATCTGTATGCAGTCTCTGTAAGCAGGGAAATAAAAATGGCCAAAAACCTTGGGTAAATTGTACATATATGATTGGACACCTGTCTACCGATTCTGATAAAATTTTTATGCATAAATTTCTGGATTACGTATGTATGCACTTTGTACTTTCCCATACTCATAATTTGTCTCTTTAATCGCACTAGAAAGGATGGAAATTTGTCAAAGTAGAATTTTTTTCAACTCTTGTTTCACTCTCTTTGTTTCGTTTGCGAAAGGTTGACAACTTTCCATTATTTTGTTGTCGTACGTTTTGTTCAGCAGCTTGTCTCGTATTGTATGCATCGATTGGTATTTGACTGTATCATGACCAAAGGAGAATGAAATGGGAATAATGGTAAATAGGCGAAGACCTCGTTCTTTACAGGACTCGTTTTATTTTGAGATTGTTTTGTTTATCCATCAGTTCCTTGAGTAGCATGTATCTATCTATTTATTTAATGGGCTGCAAGAACTGGGTAAGCTATCAATCAATCAGTTCAATAACAAAACAACATTATGCATTATATAGTCTGGAACGTCCTGATTCAGAACTATTTAGATATTATTGACGTCGTCGTCGTTGGCAGATCAATTCGTTCATGGAATAAACAGATGATATAATGAACATGATTTTTATTTATTCCTGTGACTAATTGTAAGTGTTATCATAAGTACCACATAGATATGCATATTCAATTTAAGAAACAAATGAATGTTACACACGTAGAGTAATTAGTCCTGGTTTTGCTTCATGAAAGCTTCATGACTCAACGGTACACATACTCAAAAATTTTGCATTTTTATGCATGTTCTGACATTTTTTTAAGAAATCGATCAAACTCTCTTGATGGAGGTTGGAAGATAAAACATAAAACGAAAGGGAGGAGGAGTTCATGAGATCAGATCAGACGAACATTATAACAATAAAAATCCACTCCACAGTCTACAAATATGTACTTAAAACAGTTCACTCTACAAATTACGTCCTAGTTGCAAAAAATATAATAAAAATCGCTACTTGTACTAATCGCGTACTTGTACATATTGAAACACTTTCGTGTTTTTTGCCTCTTCGAAAGGCTGTAGCGGGCACAAATGTGGCCATGACATCAAACCACTTTGGGGTTCTTGTTTACTCATGGGATACTATATGCAAAGGACATCAAAATCTGAGAGGGCCAAGTAGTGAAGCTTTCCTCCTAAGCTACCCAGCATGATCATGTTAGAACTAGCACACATTTGCATACATACGTAACAATCAAACACAGCCCAGCGAAGCGTGTTCGATAAATCGTATGAAAAGGTTTTTCTGCCAATTATGGCCAAGATCTATGAAGCAAATGTACGAAGCAAACTTGTTTGCGAGGCTAAACATGTAGTGATACTCATGTCTTTTGATAAAGAATTTGGCTGGAGCAGGACTTGATCTTTCTATTTTTATACAAGTTGTGGGATAAACAACGGGGTGTTGAATTATCCTTGTTTTAATGGAAGGTCAAAGCTAAAAATTGGTGAATTACGAAAAATATAATAATTATTATTCAGGGTTGGATGAGCAGCAAAATAAACAGGAATTAAAATAAAATTAAGGCTCAAGTCCGTGATCAAATTGAATATTTGTATAGTACAATTTCTGGACGTTAGGCTCAAGGTGTGGCCCTGCAATTATTATCTTAATTTAGCAAATAATTATCACACAAACTCGCTTCGCGTTCAAGGCGTTGCCTATCATCGTATTAAATAAATTAAGAGATCTGGGTCTTTCTTGAGTGCCAGCATTCGTACAAAATCTGTAGGAAGGAGTCATGAGCATATTTTTATCAGAGTTAAAACGCTTGGACAGCATGCATCGGGGTAAAGTCCGTTCTTACGATAACAATTTATACTACGATTATACAATTTATACATATTTAGTCATAAGGTGAAGTGCATTCACTGGTCCCCCTTGTTTTGACCTAGAGTTTTCTTAACCCAAAAATCTAAACTCCTCGCATCCCAGTGAAAAGTGTCACTGCCTGACAATATTTCGAACAAGTTGGTTATCCGAGGATGAGTTATAGCGTTACGGCACCAGACCACACTTATTACGTATTTCTTACGTATTAATCCTCCAAGACAAAGTACAAGTTTTAATTCAATACTGAGCGTCACTCAAAAAAATTATTTTAAATTTTTCAAATATTTAAAAATTCTTGTTGGAAATATCTAGGGCATACCGAACAAGACGTCAGGTGCTTCATATACATTTGCATGCATGTGATATTTTTTTGCATTTTTGGTTTATGGCTTTGAAAACATTTGCATTATTTGACATTGGCACCATAAGTATAAAATAAAATTGTACATTGATGCAGTAATTTACAAATGCATATAAACATTTTCACTTAAAATCGTGTATGAATAAACACAAGAAATTTAAAAAAAAACAAACACTATGATTCCCTGATTGCCATTATCGAAATTTCTGGCATATATATTATTTTATTCTAACATTTCTGTCGAGTTTTACGATGGAAGCACTTACTGGAATCAGGGAACTGTACATGTGTACTTGCATAATAGTCACATTCCTCTAATCTGGAGTAAGTAAACGTGTTCTAAATTCCTATTTGTTCTGTAAAACATGTGGAGACCTGCCAAGTTCCAGTTTTTTTTACATCCGTTCCACACAACATTCTGTGATGACATTTTTATTGAACGAACACGAATATTTGTTTTGTACGTTCAAAATAAATGTTAAATTAATAACTAAATTGTGCAAGTTTATTTATTCGTGTTGTACATTTTTCAGAGTTGTGGTGTATCTAACCGTACATAATGGATGGAGATATGTACATAGATTTCGTCGGTATTATGTTTCGCTCATCTCCTGTCGTGACGACTATTATTATCATTAGTCAAGCAGTTGAATAAAATTATTGCTAAACCGCACACACTCCTAAAACCTTTACGTCATTCATTGTCAGCGTACAAAAGTTACATTATCCTCATTCACGAGATTATATAACAAGATTTTTTGGTGAATGAATACCCCGATACACAATCAAATTCGGTCCGAATGCGTTCCACGGGGGGCTAACGAATTCGGCCCACATGTCGGATCTTGCCGCAAAAAAGCCTTCGCTCCGAATGCGTGATCGGAATTCGGTCCGAATGCGTGACCGGAATTCGGTCCGAATGCGATTTTCAGCATTCTATGCGCTTTCGGAATGCAGCTTTCTATCCGCGTGCTATATTTTCCATTCGCTCCGAAGGATATTTCTCGCAAATAATAATTAAAATACACAAATTTAAGGTTGACAAATCATTTTATTTTATTGAGTGTAGCAACGGAATACATATAAACTTACATTTATAAGGCATCCTAATATATTTACAAATTATATCATTTTGTTTAATATGTAAATATTCTTGTTCGGATACGTTTGAAGCTTCAAAAACTCCTAACTTCGAGCTATCAATTGGATAATCTTTCACGGGTTTGATGTCTCCAAAAAATTGACAACTAAATTTAATATTACTATCATCCTTCTGAAAACGACGAATTACAACAATTTTCCCTGAACGCAGCATGTAACAGTTATCACCGTTCTTACAAATATTTTTAGGAGACAACACATTATGACAATATTTACTAAAACCTACATTAGTATCGATTTGCAGAGCTTCTGCTTCCATTAGTCGTTTAGAAACTTGCTCTAAATGATAATTATGCGAATGAATTAGACTTTTAATTTTTTGCATGAAATTTTCAAACGGAAATGTGCTAGCATTATCCAGTGCGCCAAAAAGGTTTGCATCTTGATTAATGTGTAGAAGCCCATGCAAATTATACACAGCAAATTCCTGTCCATAAAGTGAGATGCATTTCTCCACAAACTTTTTTAACAACTTCTTATCCACTAAATTCCATTCAATATTATCGGCTTTTGGGGATAACAAAATTAACAAGGCAACATGGAAGCGTAAAAAGTTTTTATATTGAACTTTCGGAATTATTCCTTTAAAGACTGCTACTCCTGTGTACAGTAAAAGCGTTCTAAATTCTGTCCCTTTATAGTGATCAATGTGATTGATCCCTCTTGGCTTTCTTTGAAACTCAGAAGGAAAATAAATTAACAAATTATTCAATCTTCCACTAATTAATAATATATTCCTGCTTTGTAGACGGTGGGGTAATTTACCTTTCACCCACATGCGAGTTAATTTTCTTGTAATCCCTAGACATACAAGATGCAAATAGTCTAAAGGAACTTGTGATACAAGACCAATTTTCAATTCAGATAAAATTGTATTTCCTGTGTGATGAGATTTATCCGTCTGCAACCTGAAACTATCATCCGTTCTGCTTCGGAAATTACCTTTGCAATATCTGACACTATGCATCCACTCACCATCTTCTAGACATTTTTCACACGCGTGATAACTGTTATGATTTTTACAAGCTTTTATGAAACTTCTAGCGGGAGCATCAGCTAAAATACGTGAAACCCTGAAAGAGTAATGCATATCCAGAGAGATGCCATCCCTTTCTAACGTTTTACACTCATTTACAAAGTCAGTTAAAAAATCTAAATTATTTGGTTTCGACTCTCCATAAAATAAAGCTATAACAAAAGGTGTCGAATTAAAGGATTGATCAACACTACCTAGTATGGGCCAAAATTGTTTATTGATGCTTCTAGTTAGAGGAATTCCATCAATCCCTACAGAAAGGCTAATTAATGGACTATTAACCTCTGATTGCAATGTGCGTAAAATCTTGCTGGAACTACAAAAATTTTCCTTAATCCCGTACTTCATCCTGATGAGCATATTCTTTCTAATTCCAAAATAAAAATATTTACCTCCGCTAATATTACAAGTGCGAATTTTAGCTGGTGTTCGCATGAGAGTTCTCGAGTCTAACGGTAAAGTAGGAAAAGTTTTTTGCCTCTTAAATAATTTCAAGAGCTCACCAAGAGCGAAATGTTTAATGTTATGAGCTAAAGCCCACTTCCTCAATTCTAAATCAATTGAAACAATTTCTGTAAGTTCTGTCGCATCCTCGCTACAATCTGAATCTGAATTTGAATAACGATCTAACGTATCTACTTCTTGTAATTCTAAATTCTCATCACCTGCTTCATTACTAATTGTACCACTTAATCTACTATTACTATTATTTACAACAGCTGGGTGATGTACACTGACACTATTAACAATCGAACCGACTGCTGGGACCCTAACACTATTCAAAAATTCATTCACGGCCCGTCGATGTTGCCATCTTGCTGTTCGTTCGGGAATCTGCCTGTTGAACATTCTTCCTTATTTCGTTGTTTACGTCCGCCGTCTCGATCTTTAGAATTCTTCAGCCACCTCTTGGTAAAATCGTCAATTTCGCTGTTCGTTAACTCACGAGTAGAACGATTGAGCCGAACAGTTTCTGTGAAACGATGAATTACGAACCAAAGTTATTAATTGTATCGAGAATGCTAACTCCTGATTAAAATTTGATTCCATACCATAGAGCACCTGTTGTAACTTCGAGTCTTTCAATCCTCGTTTAGCACATTTGCCTGCTCCAGTAAGGCTGATTATTTTAGCCAATTTGTCCAACAGTAGCTGTTCTAATATTCGGGTTACAATTTCGTTAGGATTTTTACCACCAAGATATCGTAATTTTTCGACCTACCCAGACAAATTTAGTTGATTAAATTTATGAAACTAACAAACATTAAAATTTTTTCTCCTCACTATATTTGAAAACATACCAAAATAGTTTTAGTTTGATTACTTTTCAACCAATCGTTTAACAAATCCAATCCTTCTGGAGTAGACAACGGAATGTCCGGTCGATTTGGATCGTCTTCTAGAGGAGATTCGTCGATTGTTCCAGCCGTTCTCCTTAATATCTCTTCCTGATGACCTCTAATTTTAACCAATTCTTCTGTTACTTTTGTTTGAAAGGCTAGAACCAAATGTATAAAAAATGTGAATCAAAAATTATCGAAAAGGAAAAATTAATCGATGATCAAGAAAACGAATGATTTTACCATTATTCTCGTACTTGAAATTATTAATCAACTCGGTCAGAGAAGCAAAGAGTGGCACCACGTCAACCGCTGCAAAAATTTGAGATTCCGGCTCGTTTTGCGACAAATTTACAATTTGCCCTCCTAGTGATGCTGCTGGGGGGTGATGAATCGGGGAAGACAAATTGACAACTGTTGAGTCCACTGAAACAAGGGTTGGTTGACGACGGGGTTGAGGGTCACTGCTTGGATTTTCAATTACAGTTGACACTAAATTAAATTGGAATCGTTAATAATATACCAAGATCGTAAATTTGTGCAAAAAATAACTCATATTAATTTTACCAGAATTAATCAAATTGACAAGACCAGAGACGACAGGATCACCTCCAGAACTGACTTCCTCTTCCGAATTGCCTCCCGAATCCGTACTTGGTGTAACAATTTTCACTGCCGCTGCTACCTTATTCTTTCGCCTGCGTCGTGGCGGTGGTCTGCCTTTAGAAAATCCAGCTATCTCAACTTCGGATGATGATAATTTGTCACTCGTCCGGGCGGAATTCGCTGATTTTGTCGCACTTTCAATTGTACCTGCAAAAGTGTGTACATAATTAATCAAGTAATGATGATGGAAGGAAGTGAAGCCTCCATTTTTTAACTATTTAAAAATGACGAATCAAACAGTAAAATAGAAACTTACTTGAAAATTTAAGAAGAGAGCATTGGTATTTTTCCCAGGTCACATCCGGAAGAATATGATTAATTAATTTTTGATGACTTCCTGGACCTGATGGCCAATAACACTGTGTATTGGCAGCACTTAACCAGTTTGCTGACACAACTGAAACCAACGTTTTATCTTTTTCAATGAATTCAACAACGGCAAAAGGTTTACTCTTTAAATTATTCATTGTCAGAACTGTTTTCTGGGATGTACAAGCGGAGTGAAATGAGCGACTGGTGCTAAGAGCGAGGAAGGCATGGCATGGCAACACTTTTAAACCCCCGCCACTGAGCTGAACTCGCCCCGTATTCGGGCCGAAGTCGGCAGAAGAATTCCGATTGCGAGAGAAAATCCGAATTCTGCTCGATAGCGTAAACTTTTCGGTTAAACGAAATCTTTTTTTAGCTATGAGACAGAAGGTGGCCCACCCGCTACTTTGAGTTACTACATGGAATCTGAAATTAGAAATCTATCCATAGTCGTAATTGAGGCGACAATTTCGGCCGTCTCTAAACCGAAAAAATCGTATGCGGGGCGCATTCGGACCGTATTTGATTGTGCATCGGGACCAATTTAGAATAGAACCAGACCAAGCGTACTACAAAACTCTTTTCCTTATTTTGCGTGAGGCAGAGTGAGAATCGGATTCTGGTGGGTATCCACCACCACCGCTCACTGTCGTTGTGACAGTGCCGTATGGTGGTCTGTCCCACTTCTCATTCTCTGCAAATTGTTCACCGGGATTATAAATTCCAAAAAGCTTAAGTTTTAAATTTGGACCGAATTTGTAATTCAGATATTACAAATTTGAATAAGTTCTTTAATTGCAATTATACGTCTCATTTTCGCATTAGTGACAATAGTTTGTTACGGCTCTTGCAAAAATAAGCCCCTCACCCAGAAACTTTGACCCCAAAAAACTCATGGTTCCCACACTTTGCAGTCTGACAACAAAAGCTTAAAATATTCGTCTTGCGAAGGAGAAAAATCTGGCATTAGGTTGTCAGACTGCAAAGTGTGGGAACCAGGAGTTTTTTGAGGATTTGTATGTACGTAAAAAAACCGCAAATTTTCAAATTTTGAAACTCTTGATACATAAAAATGCTCGTATTCAAGAGGGAATTCGAATGTCAAATGCAAGTTGATGTCTCACTCTTGTTGTACGGAGTGTACATTGACTTTCTCATTTTTCCAAATTTTCTTCCCCCGTTTTTGAAGGGGGGTTAGATGCACATATTTCAAAAATCGTAATGTTATATAAATCCTTGCACCAGGAATTCAATTTACAATTTTTTAAATTGAATTCGGTGACATCGACGCGAAAAGGATTTGCACAGTACACTTGGCCTTGCTCTTTACGTCAGTGCAGCCAATGACCAAAAATCAATTCTCATTAATAATTCGCATAATTACACATGATGTGCAATTAGTGCATAATAGCTTAATTAAGAATTATTACCTACATTCCCGGAAAAATATATGTAAATAAATGTAGGAAATCCCGGCTTCTTAATTAGCCATGAAACGAAAAAAACAGGTAATTTAAATACAAGAAGACCAAAAGTCAAAGCCCTCCCTGCTGCTTCTTGGATGAGCAAATTGATGGTTAAAGAGTTCATCACTTAATTTACGCTCAGGATTTACTTGTCAGCAGTAATGAATTGTGACAACATTAATGAAGACGATGAGAATGAATGGGAAAGGAAGATGCACAGAAAAATAAAGATAAATAATTAAATATGTCCAACTTTTAATCGCTGATTATTAGTCTTCTAATAAAAGGTGCCTGCTTGAATTGAAAAAGTACGACCTTGAATCTCTTCATATGCGGTCTATTGCGGTCAACAGTCTTAAGACTCGCTTTTACACGTGTTGTCTTATCACAGTCCTGAACCTGAATATGTCTCGTTTTATAAATGTCAATGAAAATTGACGAGTTTTTCGATAAGGATTCTTAAGTTCGGTGCATGAAAATTTCCTGAAAATCTATGATAGTACGTTATGTATGCATATCTAATTCATATGTATCCAGAATCAAAATAGGTTGCTAAAAATTTCTTCAAGTTCAAGGTTTAGAAATGCATGCGAATATGTTTGAAGCTGTACAAATTGCAAAGGGAATTTAACAAAGTACGACTTAAATGATAAATGAGCTAATGGTCGAACAATGCAACTTCCCTTCAATAAAAAACTTTAAGACCTTGTGAAAAATATTGCATTGTTCAAATTGATGGGTAAGCTGCAATCAAAGCCGCACAAAAAGTGTACATTAATCAACGTTGAATTTTTTAAAGATTGCTTGTCCAGTGCACATTTAATTATTCAACAAGCTACTGAGCTGCATGATTCTTTTTAATTAACAAATCAAAATCTTCTCTTTATATATTTTTTACTTGCATAAATTGTTCCATTTTAATACCAAGACTTATGTATGTTGAACTTGCTAGAAACATGAATGACAAAAATATTATGAAAATGCAGGTCGTCCCATAATAGCCTTCCGTCATTATGCAATCATAAAGTCAAACGTCACAATACATGCTCAGATAAATGTCTCAACCGATTTCTTACGAACTATTGACTGGATTTTGAACAGAGCAAATGCTTCACAGCATGCTGTAAAAACTACTCCAATTTGATGTCAATTTCTATTGCCTATTTAAAGTTTGTAAACATGATACAAATTTGTTTCCTTGTGTTGTTGTTGTTGGCTGGAATATTTTGGATTTTGCGTTTTGTGTCACTTTTACGTAGAAATTAAATAACGTATCCGTATTAAATACACTTGTTTATAATAAAACTCGCGTTATACAAAATAACAGTTGTAAAAACAAGTGCTGTTCCGTAAACTGATAATGCTAATTTAGTAGCTGGAACCTCATACATTTGGCTCTTACATACATATATATACATATTTAAATATGTATGTACGTGCTGAGGCTGTTGTACAGGGTGTTAATAAAGTCCGATCCCATTTTTCCTGTAAAAAAGTGAAGGCTAGTATAAAAAAAAACTACCCGTGATACTTACAAAAAATGTTCGACATATTTACCTTAGTATTTGGTCTTGTTACCATTTACTTTAACCATGCCCTCAACTCTTTGTTTAAGGCTCTGTGCTAATTTTTCCAATGTGCCTCTGGAAATCGAATTCCATACATCTTGAACTTTTTTTTACTAGCTCTTCCCTCGTCCGGGGTTGTGGCTCTTTGTATACATTTTCCTTAAGTATGGACCACTGGTTCTTCAGGGGATTCAAATCTGGGCCGTTAGCGGCCCACACCCCCTTGCTCCAGACCGTTGAAACTTGCGTCTTGATGAGACTCAAACTCGCTTTTGCTGTATGGGCTATAGCACCATCCTGCATGAAAACTATTTTTCTTTCATTCGGAAATATTTCCTTGTTCCCCATGCTATCGAAATAGATAGGTAATATTTTTTCCATATAATGCTTTGCATTGACTGATTGGCCTTTTGGTATGATATGTAGAGGGGTCACGCAACGTGCACAAAATCCACCCGCTACCATAACTTTAAGCCCGAATTTTGGGATCGCTCTTGATGGTACATCCGATTTGTTTTCTGTCCTGTAACGAACATTTTGTTGGTTCAATTTTGGATATAGTTCAATAATAGATTCGTCAGTCCAAAGGATGTGACTGCGCAATTCTTCACCAAGTCTTTTTTCACTCAAATGGGCACTTTTCTGAAGGAGTTCTTCAAATTTCAGACGGTCATCGATATATTTTTGTGACATGAGAGGTTTTTTTGGTTAGTTTGTAAGCTGTGTGACCCCACTTCGTAGTTTTCACAAATTTTTGCACGGTCACACAGTTAATTTGCTTCTTCTTCTCTTTATAGCGTTTTGAGTCATTTAACTCCCTTGCTCAATTACGTAATGAACTACCGGTTTTCTTGCAAAGTCTGTTTTTAATCATTCTTTTTGTGGTAGGTGACACCTTTCTGGGTCGCCCTGGTCGCTTTTTGTCGTGGACAAAATTTTTATTCTTCCATTTCCAAACAGTTCTGCGGCTGCAGCCCAATTTTTGCACAATTTCTGTAGGTTTAAGCCCCTGCTGATGCAATGTTTGTATCTCAACTCTAAGATGCTCATGACTTACACGTTTAGTTGTTCCTCCCATGGTAAAAATTTGAAATAAATAACTTCACTGGTTCAAAAGTTCCAGCTGAATTTGTAACAACCACGCTCCAAAAAATGCATGGGATCGGACTTTATTAACACCCTTTAGGTAAACTTGTCAACAGAAATTTCACGGAATTTGTCCATTTGTACAGTACACTGAACGTGGTTGCAGTAAAAATGATAAAAATTACTTATAAATTCCACAAATATGAGTGAAACGATTGAAATTTTCAAGAATGACAACTTTATTTGTCTCACTTATGTCGATATTTAAAGTCTGAACAAGTCATGAACTTTTTACAACCAATAAATATTTACCAGAAACACTGATGAACGATGACTCACTTGGAAGAATGTCCGAGAAGCAAATAAAATTCTCGTTTTTGATGCACATTCATGAGTCTTCATGAGAGAAATGACATTAGTCACGTCGCAATCTCGTCCAGACGCTAGAGTTTCACTCACAAATGAATGAGTCACATACGCTTTACAATTGGCATGTCAATTTATTAGGTTTAAATTGTAATGAAATTGAGATTGAAAGCCCAACAAGCAAAGTTTATGATCTTAACCTATTAATATACCAGGAGGTACAACAGGATTCTCCATCACAGGACTTGGAGTTTTTTCTCCTTCGTGGTCAACACCGTCGTCCTTTTTACTGTCAATTAAGAACTTGTTGACGTGAACCTCATCATAATCGAATTCCTCGAATTCGGGATGGAGAGACACGGACGGGCTTCCTGGTTGGGACAATCCTTTCCGCCGTTCATACTCGTCAACGTATTTGATCTGATTCGGATGAGAAAACCTTCTGCCCGTCGTTTTCTGTCCAAAATGAAAAAGCGACAACTGTTCCTGTATGCTCTCCTCGTCTGCTTGCGTTCGGTCCGCGGTCAAGGCAATGCTCGGCGGAGATTTGGACATTACGCTATCCGGCGATGTTTTGTTGCTCCTTCGGAAAAACCTGCGAACTGTTTTCTAAAATTAATTTTCACGCCTCCATCACATTTCTCATTTACTTAATGTATATATTTATTTATACCTCGGAAGCATCTTGTGTAACAGCCAAAACAACATTCGTTTTTATAAATGCAGCTCAACCCCATGAACAGAATAACTGTGGTTTACTGATTGTCAGAATATTTCAGTATTTGGGTATTTTCTTGGTATTATAATTTATTATAATTTACAGTGCAATTTAGTTAAACTGCCAGCGTCACCATCATCCATCTGTCATGGAACGTTATTTTTATTCAATTTGATGCCAATTTCGGATGCCAATTTCGGTTGGAGCGACATAAATTTGGCGTAAGCACATCTGCATCGTCAATGTCTGTCGTCACTCTGTGTACGTAACACTACAATGAGTGTAGCTGGTGATCATCCTCTGCGGCTGCCTGCTGCTCCTGTCATGATAACCAAAAAGAGCATTTTTTACAAACGTGTTGATTGAATTCATTCGAGATGCAAGGCCACGTTCTATTCTGAGGAATTGTTGACATTTATCGAACAAATGAACTCTCGCCCATTATTTTTATCAGCATGAACCAATGTTTTTCCTGTGGAGGTTAAAGGAATGATGTGACACGTGAATACTTTTTGATTTCCAAAATACGTTTGAAATTAACAACGAAACAAACCTAAAACTAAGATTTTCCAGTTATAATTATGTAGAAATCGGCGCTATCAAACATTACTACACACTCAACTATATTACATTGTACGTGGAATTTAGAAGGTTAAACTTTTCAAATAGTAATACTTTAAGAGTTTGATGCTTAGACTTGATTAAATATTCAGTAATAAAAACGCATGCACAAATTATCGCCAGGTATATAATACTCAAGTTAACGTGAATTTCCCAACGTCAACATTAGCAAAGTCTTTGTATGCAGTGCAAATATTAGAATTGTGATGGTGACTGCATAGCTTTTACCACCATGTTCTATTTATGACACTAACGAGGAGATACAAAACCAAGGTTATAAGTAAGTATCGTCATAATGATATGATACAAGCTTTCATTCCATTTCAGCTAAATCCCGAGTAAACTTTGAGACATAAATATTCACAAGTTCTGGTAATTAGTTCTTCGAACGATGCTGGGTCGGTGAACTTTTAGCCTGTGTTTCACTCGTTTCCGAGTCTTACGAGCTTTGGGAATTTTGATATTCACGATAATGAAAAAAATGAAAATGAAAATAATCCTTTAACGTCATTAGATATCAGATTAACTCATCTGGTTTTCAATCCGTGACGGTTCCTTCTCACCATATATCTCTGGCGATGAGTTGGATCTTCTCACAGAGAACGGACTCTGCGAGGGCTCCCCTTTCTGGCATTGCCAGACCGTCTGGCCGGGCTCACCCAACCATGAGAGGAGCACCCACCCCGTACTAACACCGAGCCGAGTAGGATTAGCAAATAGCTTCCCGGACAGAGAGGAATCGAACGTGTGACTGCGTGGTGACAGTTCCACCCCCGATCCCCTAAGCCAAAGGGCTATTGATAATTTGTAACACTTGTGAAAACTATGATCGATGTGAACAGAACCAATAATAAGATCTGAATTCAGATAATTTCAATCATGTCGGAGTAGGGTAAATATTTACCCGTCCAAATACGCCATCCTTGTATTATTAAATATCGTGTAATCTGATCCATTGTGAAGCGTGATGATAATAATTAAAACAATTGGTAATTTTGTGATAAGCTCGATGATAGTAAGGTCAATACATTTACGTATTTCAGTTAACCACGGACGATAATTCAGCGTGAACACTTATAAATTGCTAAACGTCAGATAAGTTTCGAATGGTAAACTAAAATACTTCATACTTAAATAATTAAAAGTGTTTTCGATGGAGGGAAACTGACAGATATTTACCTGCAATGTGATCAAAAATTGGCTGAATAGAGATCCTCAATGAAAAACTATGGATCCTTGTAGAAAATCTTGACCTGGTATTAAAATCCCAGCAATATTAGCGAGCGTGGCAAAGGAAACACTAGCATAAACTGACCCCGGAACTTTCTCTCAAGCATCGACTTCCTCACTCGCCCAAACATAAAACTACAAACTTTCTTTCTCGTTGAAAAGTAAATGTTTGCTTATGTACATTTCGAGACGCAATACAATCAACTCTGCGCCCAAGTGATTTTTAACCAGTAAATAGTAACCACTACTTTTTCATAGCATATGTACATACATAAGTTTGTAGCGGAGACCTTGTCCAGTAAATTCTCATACAGACGGGTTAAGGGTTTAATGGGCTGCTTAACCAATGGTATAGGACACATAGAGGTGTAAAGTCTAGGATTACATGGTAATTAAGTGGTTGCACCAGCAAAATGTCTGAACCTTGACGTGAAAAGTTTTAATTGTGGGGTAGGAGAAAGGGGACGAAAGATCAATACATATGTTTGACACGAAAGGGAAACAGGTCTCCTCCACTTACGCAGCATTGAAATTAAACGTGCATGACGTGACAATTGGTCAAGTATTGGCGAATATTTACATTTGTTAAGGTGAACGGCACAACCGACCTCACACTTTCAAATGTTAACTGCCCGATTGCTTTATTGTGCTACTTACATTCTAACCAACAGCCATCACAGGAACCGAAATTTTCACTTCCAGCAGAACGGTAGAGACTGCACGCGACAAAACAATTAATCTGATGTTGGGCAGCAGGATTTCCTAAGAAGTTGGATTAGCCCAGATCTGCTCGAATCTCGTAATTGTGTCGCGTACCATATTTAATATTGGAAAAGAGGGAAAGTATGAGCCCAGGCACCTGTGGGACACATTTATTGTATGCATAGGAGTTTTTACTTGTTGTTGCAGCTATATATGTAATACATAAGTACTATGTATTGGCTTTCTGAGAGTGCTTTTTGACCTCGCACTATTTAAGTTCGCAATTAAATCAGCTATGCTACCCACCTAAATACGTACAGTACATGTACTTGCACATTAATAGTAAAAGTGCCCTGACACAAACATGACATAAACACAGAACGAATTAAAAGTGCAATTAATGAGTCCTGCAATCAGTAAAATGTCACTTTTATTTCCGTATTGGTGTATGACATAGTTTCTTTCAGAAAATGCATACATATTTACATAAAGGTTTACCCAATCCTGATAGCAAGAAACTTGTACACGATGGATGCTTCCAATACAAAACTGTTAATTGGTAGGATTTTATGAGCTAGGAATACCAATTTTATTTTTTACAAATATTATCAAAATTTGATCGTCATTTTGTCAGGTTGCGTCTCGAAAAAATTATTTCGGGGGTACAGAAACAGACGCAATAATTGCATGAAAAGTATGACTTCCGGAGAATACTAAATTTTGATCTGTGTGAAGTCAGAATCCCATATATACATAGGTATCTACGTAAGTAAATGTACGTTATTTATGGACATGAATCTACCTTCGCATGCGGAAAAGTTGCATAAGTGCGGCTTTCTCTGACTAATGCAGCGGATAGGCTAATTAAACGATTAGTTTGCGAAAGATAATTGCACACCTAAATTACTATCTGTAATCATGTAATTGATTCAAATTTTCTAATAAGCAACCTGAGATTTTTATTACAGATAAGATTATTTATGTGTGTGTAATTACATCACTCATGTGATTCTGATGGGTTTGCCTGTAATTCAATGTCATTTAAGCCCGAACCTCTTAATGCTATGACACATAATCTGATTCGACAAAAACTGTAAACTAATTCCTTGTCCAAATTCCACGAAATGCCACGATTATTATTATTCGAGATTGTGTGGTCAAGTGGCATTTCCGTTGACTGTTGGGCAAAAAAATTGACCAATAGAATGCTCCGTGAATGCTGTGAATGACAAGTTATCACTGAATTTTAATCATTTCCAGATAAGTCTTACAAAACAAAAAGCGGGCATATATACATACGTATGTATTGATCACTGTAAGTTGAAATTTTTGCAGTATTTGCTATAGACTTAGTGACTCACTCAATCAAATAGACTCTTATAAAGCACGTCGTAGATGCTAGTTTGTCAGAGTTTAATTGGAGCGCTATACAAAGTTGTAAAGTTTATTCCAATATAAATTCTAAATTTACGATTATATTCAATTACTAAAATGCGAGTTAATCTCAGTTTTGAGTCTTGTTTAATCACAATATCAGTTGGGGTGCTGATAGTGTGGGTAGCCGAGGTGTCTGGCACAAGTATCATCGTATTAAAATCTGCAGAGAATTCAAATCTCGACGGTGATCATTGGTCGCCACAAGACCCAGAAACTGCAAAACATGCGTTTAGCATTGAAAGAGGTGGGCTTTGTTCAACCGCAGAGGTTAGTTTACTGTTCCATGATTTTGGGTGCTATTTAGAAAAAAGTGTATAATAAAGAAGACATTTTCCTATCAAATTTTCAACTTTTTTCAGAGGACGCGGCATCGACGCCATCAACAAAAAAGGGGTTGTCCTTGTCGTCGAATTTTGTGCCCAGTGTGTGGGACGGATTCTGTTAGCTATGCAAATTTATGCTACTTAAACTGTCAAAAGTTAAAGCATCCAGGTATTTACACATTTTGAAAATATTTAGTAACGCATTTCTCAATATCTATTTATGTATATAATTTTGAACATTTTAGATTTGGATATCGCTTACACTGGCAGATGCAGTTCTGAACAAATTAGTTTGTGAAACGGTTGGCAGCCGAAAAGACAGGAATTTTTCTAGAACTTGTGACATGTGAACTCATCATTTGTGAACTCGTCGCATTTATAATTCATTCAGACGTATAATTTGTAAATACTTGTTAAGTAAAAGTTTTCTTATCCAGCAATCGTTAATTAATGATAAAATTAAAAAATAAAACAACCCTTTCAAATTACGTAATATTATGAATGTGTGTTAATCTCATGTACTTATTATGCATGTAAAATGTGAATCAGCCAATTATGAGCAAATAATTGCCGCTGTATTTCTGGTATTTGGGTGGCTGGGATATCCGGCCATTCAATAAATATAAATATTAGCGATTCAAATAATGTAAACACGCAGTGTTGAAACAAATGGAGTGTGTTTGCATAAAATGGTCCCAATTTCCGCTAAATAGCTCTCACAATATATGTTTTACTTGTATTAACAAGTGATGATAATTAATGATACAAAGATTGACAAGTATGGTTGACTATTCGGAATTACTGTGAGTCTGCGATAACAAAAGCATGTGTGTACAACAAAAATAATTATGTTACCAGATATTTTAATTGTACACAGCCCAAGTATAATAATCATAAGCAAGGCTAAATATGTTAATAACAAGCTTAATATTTCCGACATGGTACATATATCGCCACACAAATTTTTGAAGTTATTTAATGTCGTATATGATTTCCGTTGTTATTTTCTTATGTTCTAGTTAATCCGAATAAAAATCATACGAGGAAATTCAAAAGACTCCGGCCCGTGGGTCGCTAAAAGATAAAAATCTTGTCGTTTTATGAAATCCGTAATCATATCAATTTTATGTAATCATATCTGGCGAAAATTAAAATTCAGTTTTGACTTTTGACCACACAAGTCACAAACAAGGCAGTTGCTTTTCTTAAAATGTACCTTGGGTCAACTGTCTTGAGCAATTAATTAGTGCAAAATGTATGGTGACCACCTACCCCTCTCGACGGTGTGACCTACAGGGTTGGTTAACGAAATTATTATAAATTCCTAAACACGCTGACATACAGAGTTTTTCATAAAGAGATATATTTCAAAAATAATTTACTGTTAAGTTTTCACTTCTTTTTCCCCAGTAAATGAATCATCTATCTATGTACATATGTACTTCATCGACAATAACACTCCCAAATCTAAAATGTTTCAAATGATTTTTCGAAATAATAATTAGCATAAATCATTCTGTATACTTGACTCAAAGGAGAGACTACATTTAAGAAATGTAATGCAATCCGAGAACCTTAATAATTGATGTTAGGCCAATGTGTGAATTTGGCGAGTTTCAATCTGTAAGTGCATACAATATCAGAAACAGAATAAAAATGTTCCTGCCTTTGTTACAGGTTTTATTTACAGTCATCACTTCATCAGTGAACAAATATGTATGTGTATCGCCCAGTGAATCTGTCTACTGACACATTTATAGAAAATGTTAAGCAGAATAACTGGTTTAATTTCCCGTTTATTATTTCGATAGTGAAATCGTGGGAGTCGAGATATCCGAAAGTAGACTAAAGACCACAATAGAATCGTCCATATGCGAATATACAAATATGAGCAATAATCCCTCTTGATACAATCTTGAATGAATTTATAATACGTTTTATCATGTGTCATGTTCAACAGAACCAATTGCAGTTGTTTGTTACAGATGGACGGTTTCAGCCAAGACCGTAAAATACAATGGTACGGAAGTCTTCACGTCAGCTTATCTTACCTCCGATCCACTATTCACATACTCGCATCATAATAATCACACTTACTCGTTCAGTTTTTGTTAGCAAGTTGTTTGATTTTCTCACACTTGTAAATTGTCAATGTTGGCTTAATTGTCGCCACTTTATAACAGACTTACTATACGATCCATTTTAACCTTTCTAGCGATTAGCAATTATGAAGTATTAAATGGCTTAGAAAACCGGTACAGGATATGAATAATTTATTGTGGAGGGTAAGTTGGAATCATAAAGTGTCGGCTTATGGTTATTTTTTTGTGTCATCAAAGTATTCATCCTCGTACATTTCGCAAAATTCCATTGTTCTCCAACTCGACAAAATCTTGTCTGCATACAGACAAACTTAGCTTCACTTTTGCTCTCGATTGCAAATAATTGCATTGTTTGAAGACGTTCTTACCGCACCGTGTCCCCGATTAATTGCGAGATAACTATATTTACTTTGCACTCTCATTTTCTTAAAAAAATACGCAAACGAAACTTTGATTCAAATCGCAAAACTATACCAGAAACAAATTGAGCGTTGAACGTATCACAGCAGGCGCGGTCAGTTGTCTCGTTGATCTTGTCCTTTCGATAAAGTATCTGAACCATTGATAACATGAATTTCGACATCTCTTACAGTTTTAATAAGCGCAGTGTTCCGTCTTGTCAAGGAGTCTTAGTTAGGAATAGTAAACGAAGAGATCGCTGAAAGGACGTGCATTAAAATTTAATAGTTTTCGGTTAACAGTTTAATTAATCGGACTTACTTGAACTTTAAGAAATCGTGATCAACGATTTATTTTTAAGTGTACCACGTTCCTATATCAAGTTGTATACATTGGAAATATCACACGAATTGTGCATTCTCTTTGGAACAAGCGTCTTAATTCTTAGGAATTTTAAATATACATTTGCAATGAAGTCACTCTACTTAAACTTTCACCTACAAACACTACTTGTGTTCATGATCTGGACCAGAGTGTGCACATCTTCTCCACACATATCCAAAAGAGACACGGTATGGATTAATTATGAAAATAGCATTCCTTTGTCAATTGTGAATCCAATTTCCAAAATATTTTTAATTAGTTTCAGAATTCTGGGAATTCAGTTTTGCGTGGCTGGTCTCATTATGGAGGATACTCACCGAACACTTATCAACGCTACAATGCAGCAATAGTGCATCCTAGTCCAAAGTTCATCGCTGTGAGGCCGGATCCCCATAATCCAAGTGGGATAAAACGGAAGGATACTTACGGCCCAACGACGACACCCACCTTCGGAATGAACTTTAAGGGTTATGCAGCTGTCCGTGATTCCAACCAACTTCCGGGTGACAAGAGGAGGAGTGGCGGCGGCGGAGATGGCGACGGGTGGGGAAGCGACGATGGACCCGTGAGTCGCACTTGCAGCTTTGTTCCATATTTTCAGATAAAACTTTAGCCCAGCGTTTGCAAAGGTCCCTCATTTTTTTAAATTTAGGGCTTCGGGGAGACTTTCGCTGATATCATTTCTGGGAAGTTGAACACAATTACGAGCACGATTACAGGGATTAAGAATACAGTGAAGGGAGTTAAGCGGGGGACGGCCAAGAAGATTGCGAATAAAATTGAAGGCTTTGGGCAGTTCGTTACGGCCATTACCTCAGGTTTAACTTGTTTTATTAATGGGATTGCCAACGCCATGTGACGAGACGAACAGCAGCATCATATAGCAGTACAACTTTACCTTACCCAACGGCAACGACAATTCAACCAACATGATCCTCAGACTGACTGTACTTACATTATCACTATTACAACAGGGTAACAAACACAAGGACAAATATTTGAGTATAAAAAACTCAAAGTCGAAACATGAATCGTTCTGTAAGTGTTCAAAATAGAAATTTATAAAATGTTCCGCTACCAAGAGTAAGTGTTCAGACTTTCCGTTCCATTATTTATTTATCTCTGTTGACTTGTTGACGAAAATTTTTGACACGTTATGATTATATTTGCATTATGCTGGACTCTTGGAAGTTTGATTCTTGACGACATTCCTGCAATATTTATTTTACGGACACGTTTCTTGCTTTGAAATCTGATTCTCTGGCTGAAATGTTGACCATGTGACTGATTTTGTATTTCAATGTAACAGGAACTGCAAAAATACTTAAGAACAAAGGGGGGCAAATGAGGCACAAAGGCTGGCAACAGAGTCCTGCATCTGGCGGGGGTTGGTCTTCCGGAGGTGGCGATGACAATGACAACAATAAAGGCGGTTGGTCCTCTGGCGACGGAAAAGGTGGGGGAAGCAGTGGGCGTGGGAACAGAGGTTCGACGAGGGGCGGAAACAACAATGGTGCCGGAAAATGGCGTGATGATGACAACGGGAATGATTCGGGCTGGTCCTCATCATCAGGTGGAGAGGGTGGAAACAGAAATAACCAAGGGAATCGGGGGCGTGATGACGACGACGAGGACGAGGCTTGGGCCAAGTTGGCACAATTGCTGAAAATTTCTGGCGGTGGTGGAGGAGGTGGAGGAAACAGATGGGGTGGCAGTAATTCTGGTGGCTTTGGTGGGGGCTGGTCTGGTTCTTCAGGAGGTGGGAACAATGGGGGACAATGGGGTGGTGGGTCAAGTGGGGGACAATGGGGTGGTGGGTCGAGTGGCGGACAATGGGGTGGTGGCAACGCGGCTTGGAATGGAAACGCGAACGGGGGTGGACAATGGAACAATCAACAAATCAATTCATGGTGGCAGGGAGGAGGAGGAACAGGGGGAGGAGGACAAAACTCGTGGAATAAAAACCCCTGGAACCAGTACGGGGGGCAGCAGCAACAAAATCGCCAAAACCAGTATTATTTCAATAACAACAATAATCCCCAACAAGGTGGCCTTTATGGACAACAAGGCCAACATCATTATGGTTGGAACAATAACAATCAGAATCAGAATAATGGCCAAAATAATCAAAATGCTTGGGGAGGCCAGCAAAATAACAATTGGCAGAATGGGAATAATCAAAATCAAAATGGTCAAAATACTTGGAATCAGGGAAACAGACCTGCGCAGAATTCTTGGAATACGTCAGCTTCTCAACATGGACACAATCCTCAAAACGCTTGGAATCAAAATGGTCAGCAGAATCAGAACAATAATTGGAATACTGCAAATCAGAATCAGAACCATCAGTCAGCCAACCCCCACGCACAGGCCCCTGCTCAAAACTGGAACAATCAGCAGCAGAAGCCTGGAGGAGCGCGTGGATGGCGGCCATAATAATCAGAACTCTAGCCTTTGTGTATGCATCCTGAAAATTGTGTATGAGAAAATTACATGTAAAGTAATTGCATTTGTTATTTATTTTTGTTGTAAGTACAAACGTGAAAATAGTTTCGTCAACGGAGAGTAAATAAATATTTCTTCGTATCCATCCAGTTTTTATATGAAAACTATCATAAATACATATAAAGTACATTCTGATGCATGTTTGGTATTTCTCTCCGTATCATTCTTTGGCATCAATACTACTGAGGAGGTAACTTTTGCATTTGGGGGTAGTAACTTACTACGTACTAGTAAGTATGATAAACATATGATACCGTTATTTTGTGTAATTATTGCAAGTTTCATCAAATGAAAGTAATGAAACTTTGAAAAGTTATAATGGAAATAAAAATTTATTTGTTAATGTTATGTAACATTTATACAGTTTTCGCTCTAGTCAGGTTGCAGGGTTTATGTACCCCTTCCTGAGATGGGCACAACCCGTCAACAGGGAACCAGTGGGGATCGGGTGAAGAATATCGTAATCAATTAATCAATCAATACATCCAACCTTGCACACGCATAAATGTACATTGGTTTTAAATCCTCTCTAACGTCTAAATTACATCTTTGATTGTACCAAAAATTTATATTAAAAAAAATAATATTTACGAAAGCCCTTGGTGTTTGCAATGCAGTCAGTGTAACAATTTCAAGCCCCCTGCACAGTTATTACGATGATTAAAATGGGAGCTTGTGGTCGACCTTGTCCATGCATTTCGAATTATGATTAAATGATGATTTCAAGAAAATATCCATTTCTATGAATTTATGCACATTTGTATGTACCTACGAGTATGTACCCAAGCAAATCTGCACAAAGCTGCAAATTTGTGTTACACATTAAATAATTCTAGTTTGTCATAATTTTACTGATGTATATAATAATATCCACATTTGTTCCGCTATATTATCTCAGCTTATATTGCAACACCATGTTTGTGGTAAGTATTTTGATCATCGACTTTTGCGCTGTACATACCGATATATGTAACTGTTCAGTTTGGTTATTTAAAAAACACAACCAGTCAGAAAACCAAACATAGCAAGCACTGATTCAAAACTGAACAAAAGCACAACTGACATCAACCTCACATGTCACGCGATGTATACAAGAAAAAGTGAATCACAGCACAATTGCTTACAGCGAGTCACAATCATTTAAACCTAATAATAAGTATTCTTAACGCCATAACTCACTTCCTTTTCTGTCGCTAAAAGTGAAAAACGCGTTTATTACGAAAAGATAAGAAGCTGTATACTTAAATCATACACTACATAACGTACATGAGAATAGTTTATTTTTATTTTACATTGTACTCCTTCAGTCAGTTTACAACTCAAAGGGGTCCTGTCAACAACTTTTTTAGATTTCAAGAATTGCATTGTCGAAATGTGTCAAATTTATAAAAAATCAGCTGCGGCGTCACATTTTCGCCTGTTTAATATTTTTTTCAAACATTTCAAAGTGCTTACTGGATTGCTTGTTGTAGCTTTTGCAGCCCATATTTCCGATGCGAACCAGCGTGGGGTAAATATTATAATGGAGGAATTGACAAAATAGGAAATTAAAAACCTACAATGATTTATTTTATGTTGTGTCATTTAGTACACTCTGCATTACGAAGAACAACCCCACGAGATTCAACAACAACCTGAACAACCATGGATTGGATCTCACAGTCTCAAATTCACTCCGAACCCGTTTCTCAATCAAATATCCGTCCCACAAACAAAGCAATTCCCAGACGCGTCAGAATCCAGCTTCCACCCAGACTCAGAGGCTCCCCTCTCATTCACGACTACGGAACCTTCTTCCCTCATCGCCTTCTTGAACAACGGGACGACCGGAGAAGCAGGGACGTCTTTTCCACCACTCGTGGCGTCAATGGGAAAAAGGGGGATGAAGAGTCGAAGGAAGGTCAAAGGGCGTCGGCGATTTTCTTCTCAAGCTCCGATTAGGAACAATGCAACTCGCTACCAGTCCAAGAGGAGTAAAATTGATGGAAGCAGAACTCAGTTCAGGACGAGAAAACCAAGGGCAAAAATAATTGTACATTTGTCCAAAAATGACGCTTCGACAGACCAAGAGCCAAGTATTGACAATGACTTCAACAGAGGTCAAATCGAGTTTCTGCCAATAGACCAGGTCAGCATGGGTATGGAACACTCGGTTTCTCCTCCACCAACCGCCATTTCTTCTCCAGAATTACTCATGATTACGGTAATTTATTTATAATTTAATATATTAATATTTACTAGTGTGCATAATACTAATTTTATTCTATCGTAGGCACCACCACCCATACAATCTGAAAACGTGATCGTGGAGAACAATCTGGTCCCAATGGATATGCTAAATCATCCTGAAAAACTGAATCCATCGTATTTCCGCAACATAATCCTAAAGACGATGATGGATAAGTTGGTCGGGGTTGGAATTGCCACGCATGCACCCACTTTAACACGGACTCAGGTGTAATTCAAGTTGTTTTGTCACATTTTAATTATTGTTTTCTTGTACCTCGTTTTGTTTGGGTCAGTATATTCTGTATTTTGAAATAAGTCCTATTATTGTATTATGTTTTGTGTTTGTGCATAAAGTAAATAAAGTGTTAACAATGTATCAAGATTGTACGCTCATTTATAATTGCATGATTCAATAACTTGGAAAAAATAGATTCTCAGGAAAAGGAAGTTAAGCCAAACGCTTCCGAAGTGCATTTCCGTTTCTGTAGTTTTTCTAATCTTCTAGGATCGTGTCAGATTTGAGTATCGCATAACGATAAGTAAATACGAGAACAAAGAACTATTATGTATGCACATACACATTTTCGAGTTTCACCGTGTAATTCACATTGTTTGCAATGTGAGAATAGAGCACATTAGTATGACACATGTAATTATCACATATTACGATAGACAAAGACTGGTTTATCACAGGTTCACATTACTGACGTAAATTAGAAATGGTTTATCACTAACATTTCGGTGATGTAGTGTCAAAGAACGATTCTTAAATAAATAGTACTCGTTCTAATACTGCCGAATCTCACATATTTTAATTTATTCATTTTCACTTGACCACTCAATTAAGCAATTAGAAATTATAATACGCATTTCATTCAAGATTCAAGTAATTTTGTTGTACTTGAGTACATATACTAATCAATTATGCAACAAGTGTATCATGCTGCTTTGCATGCGATAATACAGTTTCTTCCTTATTAATACTTCCCGTGCGGTTACCTATATCATTAAATCCTTCGTGGGAACTTTTAGTTCGTGGCGATAATTTGTCAAATGCACTTTAAGCGTTGTTTCCACAATTATTATTTGTATTTACTATCATCACGAGCAGAGAAATAATCATGAACGTGATAATGTTACTAACTAGTTTGGTGTTGCTCTCGTTTTGTACCAAAGTAACAGTTTCTCAGAAAAATAAAAATTTTCATCAGACAAATGTAAGAACTAAAAGTCCGAAGGAAATGGTAAGCAAATTTAAATGCTAACTTATTATATAAATATTTTGACTATCAGTAATTAAAATAAGAGTACGTTTCTGGTTAAGAATTCGGATTCTATCCCATTGACTCACCTAGAACCAATTGCAGAGCTTATGAAAATTAATGATGTGTCAGACTTTAATAATTTTCCCCATCGCATGGTAATTATGATAAGATCAGTTAAGTTAGTAATTATGAAAGAATCAAGTATGCATTTAATTTTGTAGAAACGAGGAATTATTTGGAATAAGATCAAGAAAGTCAAGAGTGGTATCTGGTCTGCCAAGAAAAAGATCTGGAGGATTAAACAGAAAGCAGTTGAAATAGCGATCGGTACATATGCAAAGTTATATATGATTGCATAGCACAAGTCGGCTAAGTAATTCTTCTTCACTCGTTTTGTACAATCTTAAAGATTTTTTTTGAACATTATTTCAGGAAAAGACTACGAAACTCCGAAGCCGCATTATGAATCAACGGGAGGTTCTTGGGGTCGGTTTCAGAAGCAAGTGCCGAAAAGAAACCTGCCCTCGTTGAGTGGAGTTCACGGACCGCCCTACCACGCGTCCAGCAAAGGAATCATATTCCCAGAAAATGGGTGGTCGAACAACGATATTAAATCACAAGGCAGCAGCACAAAACTCACGTACGCCGATCTTTTAGCCATTTACAGACTCCCCATGAACCTTGAGGCACTCCGCAAATTACAGAAAATGGATGCAAAGTCAAGACGACTCTAAAGTCCATGTTATGTGTTCCATTGCCACATTAGCTACGTAGTACAATGCAATTAAATATATAGTGGATTAATAAATCTAAATTTATTTCTGAGGAAAAAATTAACAAACACACATGATATGAATTTTGAGAATATATTCAGAATGCAGAATTTTATAACAATTAAAAATTTTCAAAATGGTGCTGAAATATAGATTCAGCTCCATCAGTTAAACTACTCACTTCTTCACAAGCCTCGTCAACAGTTTTTGTGAGAGGAAATGGTCCACAGCTAAAAACTCCAAATTTTGATACCTGATAACAAATGGCAGGTTGTTAATGCATTACGATATTAATTTCACTACCTGTATAAGTCTGGTATGATACCAGTGGTATCCTTACGTAAGTCTTATATACTTACATTAGGATGGATGGACCTCAAAGTCTTAAAAAATTGGACGAAATTAGGCCTTCCAAAATGAGTTGTAGATTTCAAACCAGTGAAAAGAGAACGATTGTTAATTCGTTGAAAGTGTCTTTCAAATACATACTGCAAGTAAATTTTTAAAAATTCCTCATTTAAAAATCCATGCCACCTGCTATTAAGATAATGTCGTGTACCAGGAGAACAGTTCTCAAATCAAATTTGTTGTAAATCTGCGTAATGAACAAGTGAACCGAGATCAACTTGTTTGCTTCCACCTCTCTGTTAAATGTCATTGGTCATACTGATGCTATTCGGACCAGAATTATTGCTTAATTAATTAATTACCGAATAATGTCCACCAACCACTCAAATTGCTTTTGGGTACGAGTTACCCATAGGAAATATATTTTCTTGCAATTTCTTGGATTTGAACTGTAAGCCACATCTGCAGAGAAATCCCAAGTCAGCCAGAGTATGCAATCCGTTTATATGTCAAAAAATTATTCTGTTCCGTACCTTTAAGAATTGACGCAAATGGAGTTACACCAATTCCTCCCCCAACGAGAATAGATACGTCATAACGCCACCAATCCTGATGACCTTCCCCGTAGGGCCCATCCAAGAATAATTTCGGTAGGGAGCTACATAGTGCATATACATACATGCCCACATTTAAATCCTGTACTTCTTAACACAAATGATGTGCATGGCGTATTTATGTAACTTTAGGTTTTGCTAATTTTGATTTAGACATTTAATTTCATACCGCTCATAAATTTGTCTAATGTTGGCCGTAAATGGACCAACGGCTCTGATGTGGCAAGACAGGTGTGGCTCATGTGGGGCGGAGGACAAGGTGAATGGGTGGAACTCTCGTGCGCTGAGTGCGGCCGTGGCGATCCTCACCCACTGACCTGACCTATAATAAACCACATTATACGTATCTCCCCTGTTTACATGTTCCGTCCGTATTATTGCTCTAAACGTTAAACCTACTTGTACTCAAACCCAGCAGGTTTCGCAAACTCCAACTTGGTCACGTCTGAAACAGTATTATCCTGCTAAACAATTGTTGAAGAGTGCTAAAAATTATGGAAGAGTTGGTTGCATACTAGAGGGGAGGATTTCTGCTCGTAAAACTGGTATTTCCACTTGCTTTCTTCCCGCAGAGATTAATTTATCCAGCACAAAAATTATCAAGGGTCCACATAAAAAGTTGAAAAATAGCGGCTCCTGAACCAAACGCCCACTTCCATGGATTAACATTAAGATGTAAAATCTGCAAACAAATGATGATTTTTACAATTTTGACTGACGAGAATAAAATCTCCTATACATAATAAGAGCTATGAAATAATACAGTGGGTAACTGTTGTGGGTGATCCAAAACATTCGAAAAGCGAATGCTCTCGCATAATTGGTCGCAAATGAGTAAATCAAGGCTCCAAGGATCACCAATGCAATTCCTGACAAGCCCGTGACTGTTTGGAAGGCCCAGTAATGAAATTTCGGTAGAATGTGAGTCCTGAACAGACAATACTTATAAACAATTTTAGGCAAACTATACAAATTGGCAAGTTAGCTGATTATTTAAATTTACGGTCTGTGATAGTCGCGAAAGAGACAACTTAGATCGGAAGCCGTTTGGGTGGAAATATGATAAAAATTGATGGCATGCCCAACAATGTGAATAAGGCAGGATCCGAGCCCAAGGATTGCAATGAACTTGTGCAGGCCGATGAAACTGTCAAAGGGGATGAAACGGTGAAGGAATGTTTCTCGGAGTCTGGTAATTATGTTGCGACACATTGTGAGCAAAAGCGATGCAAAAGTAAACATAATTGCGGACGCGGCTCCTCTGGTCACGGTCACGCCATAACCTGCAATCCTTCGGAGACCCCCGTGTTCTTTTTCCACTGAGTAAACTGATTATCGGTCGGAATATGCAATACATAAGAATCATAATTAATCCCAGCACTCAAATCTTGACTGACTGTAAATTAGGTAAATATAATATCTGCATATACCATAAGCTCTCTCCACAAAAATGACAATGAAAATTAGTGTATACATAATTCCCCAGAAAATTTGCAATCGGTATAGCTCAATCCATCGAGATAATGGACCTTGGGCGGCTTCTCCCGGTGTAATAGTCACACTCGTCCTTTCAATTTCCTTTGGCACTTGGTCAATCCCTTTAATCCCTTCCTCCATAATAGAATCCCTATTTTAACGAAATTAAATTGAATTAAATATTACAGACATAAAGTGAAGATGTCGCCCAGTAAAATAATTTCCAACCCCACGTACATTCCGTATATGCTCAAAATGGTAGCTCGAGCTTTATCATTGAAGCTTTTTCTTCCTGATTTAGCCATCGGTTGCGACTCGGGTACATTAACTCCAGAAAAATTTAATTGTGCGTAACCCAGTGTATCTTGGTATTGGGACATTAGTCGTTGAAAAGTATGAAGTGATATTTCAGACTACAAATAAGATTGTACAGGTTTTGTGAGTACTAATTTTAAGAAGTGAATATATTTTATCTGCATGTTTACATCACGACCGAGTCCTTTCAGCATCAGTTTGGTCATTTTCTCCAACTCTTCCTCATCCACATCCGCATTGGCTGCTTCAACCATGGACCTTATCATACCCTTGAATTCATCGGGAGATAAGGTGCCACTTCGATTGATGTCATACATTTCGAACATAAGTCGAGACTTTTCTGTAAGTGAATGTTAAGTAATGTCTGCTTAGTTAAGTACATACACACATATTTAGCAATCCAAAGTGTAATTAGTCGAACCGTCTGCCGTCCCTTTAGCAAAGGTCACAAGCATCTCTAGAAACTCCTTGAAGCTAATGTAACCATTTCCATCTCGATCAATTAATCCAAACATCTAAGACGAGCAAATTACAAATGCACGAGTTATATATCATGTTGTCTTCATGTTGAGAAATCCAGTTTAAAATATGCAAACAAAATTACTTTCTCCACAAATTGAGAACCTGATTCCATTCCCAATGCATTTGCAAATTCAGCTTTGGTCAGTTCTGTTCGAATAACTTCCCTGATGAGCTTAGGGTCCACAAGTTCGGCTTCTCCTTTGGGTTGATCTATAGAAAAGGCTTGGGCGAACACCAACTTGAAAAATTTGTCCAGCTTCCTTAGTCGCTTATCCTTGGTTAAAGCGGAAGCCAAAGATTGATGAAGACTTCCAGTGTTCTCATTTATTTTGGTGCTTCCTTCTTGAAATAGTTTCTTCAATTGAGTGACAAATGAGGTTCGGAGTATTTTCCCTTCAAATGAGAAGACACCTGATAATGATGAAAAGAACATAATTAACTATATGGCACTAATTATACATTGTCCGCCCTGTCAGACTCCCCATTTTGCTGGAGCTCCTCCCATGTAACACTTGTCTTTAATATAAATTTACAAAACTTTAATAAAGGACACACTTACAATCATATTCTTTAGGATTTTTTATGACAACGTGCTTCCCATCGTTGACTAAAATAACGTCAAGTTCATCCGCTCTGGAAAAGTCAACGCTTCGGAGCAGTTCGTCCTTATGAGATCGTACTTCAAGCACTTTGTTTGGCGTAAAAATTAACACGACAGCCCGAGAACCCTCTTTCGACCCAAGATATTCTCGAGCTGAAAATATTTTTATAATCCTAACTAAGTTTATGACCTTAAAATAAACAGTCCAAGCAATTGATACATAACTGATGACTGACTGACCTGAGATTGGTGAGTCATATGAACCAGATTCCGAGATAAATGATTTCAATTTAGTTTTTCGTCTCATAGCTGCGTCCTTCTCCTTTTGTCGAAATGAAGCAAACACGGGCACCAATGAAGCAATAACTACGCAAAATATAACGTTAGATCGGTTGCGGATCAATTAACTAATAGACCGAGTAATTTACCCAGAATAATTATTCCAATTACTGTGAAAGTCGTTATAAACGAAATCTCACTGCCATCGAAATAATCATACGATGAAAGTCCAGTACATTGTTCGACAGGGACAAGGCTTGAGTCTAGCTAAAATATTGAGAATAAAAGCATAACCTGTTAACCTGCCGCATTAATCTTACTCTTTAATAGTTAGATTTCTTTGTTCTAAACCTGAGGAAAATGGTAGCAAGTATTGGGTTGAAGACTGGTCGGTAATTCTGTTTCGTTGTCAAATGTGTAACATCTTCCAGTTTCCCAACTGCTATTTTGAGCACTGAAGCATTGCGGTGATTGTTGCTTGAACACTGCAAAATTATTTCGTTGCAAGATAAGACATGAACTTGAAGTACAAATTATTTTTAAAATTCTTATATGCTTACCCTCCGTTGGCACGCGGAAAGGATTTGCTTGGATATCCTCGGGAAGCATTTTTGTTACTGACACAATAATGTCAAAAACTTTTAGTGTTTTTATCCTATCTATTTGTGTGGCCGTGAACCGTCTGAGAAGTCACAATAAATGGTCACAATATGTACAATATTCACTTATTGATAACATTTAGACTCACTCCTTCTTCCAATTTTTATTCTCAAACCAAAATCGATCAGCATTTCTGATTCTTGCAAATTGATCCTTGATGATAGCTCTATTTTAGTAGAGTTTTACGAATTGCATGCTACCTGCGTATTATTTACATAATGCTGTGTGTGTCGTTTTTCACCTAAAAAGACGCCCAGGCCTGTAGGTCGTTTCCAAAATCCCACCTGTCCACACGTCGATATTATCCCATAAAAATTTTGTCGAACTGTTGTGACTTTTTCTGTGAATTCGCTCAAGTTCTTCAACAATTTCACGCGGAGTTGCAGATTTCGTTTCTTTGAAAAACTCGTCAACTGATGTAATTCTATTCAACCCGAAGGCTTCTCGTGCAGTATTGTAGTCCGGAGTCCCGTGGTCTCTTCCTCTTTGAATGTTGACGGCCATTAAATCTCTTCAATTAAATTCAGAAGACATGCACATGTATGGAATTGAATTTTAACACTACCAAATGGCTATTTTCTCACACGAAGTGGTGCAATGAGAAATGTTTTTTTGGAAGCAATGGAAGAATGAGAATTATTAATGAATTATGAATTGGTTATGCATATCGAAAGAGTAGATCGTAAATAATATCGAGTTATACTTAAAACAATATTGCAATTTTTCTAATTTTATATGCTGATATATTTTGATTTTATACCTTCTAGAAAATTCTAATGGTCCAAATACTCGGCCTCTCAAATCCTCAACAATCATGTTATCCTCCCGTTCTGATTTGTGCGAAGCTAGACCCTGCCATATACCAATTAATTAGTTAACGTGCATGTACGTATGAATAATCCGTGTATTGATAAAGATTCTCTACCATTAGCATTCTGTCAATGTCGGCAAAATCACGATCGCTTTCCCCAACACAAGGATGATCTTCGTACTTCATTAGAAGTGGTTCCTACGCCCAACGCACGTAGGATTAGAAATATTTCGGAGCCATATGACTAAACCACCGCATGTTTTCTACCTGAGGTCGCCAAAATATGTTACATGTTCGGACAGCACCATAGCTCGCAGCTGAATTTCGACTCGTTTCTTGTGCAGTGTGCATTCCTTTGTGACCTCCCAAACCTGCAAAGGCCACAAGTTTGCACTGGGCACAAGCGTAGTCTCGTATGTATCCTCCAGGTGTGACCAATGTGTGACCAAACCGCATGGCCGCAGTTTGGAAAAATTGCTCGATTTGAGGGTCAATACTGGGGTCATATTTTTCGTACTCGCCCAACGAGTCTCCGAGCCACTCGGGAATCCAGTCATACATCTATTTTAACACAAAGTGAAAGGATTTAATTTCTTACACATGTATCATACACTAAATGTCAATCTATAGTGTGTAATTCTTTTTTCACTTTTGAACGGTTTTATCTGTTCCGGTATAGTAAATAAATGAGTAAAAATTATTCGATTCAACAATGAAACCCACCACTAGTTTTAAATTTTGGAGTTAAGTATTTTAGGATGTTACTATAGTCGATGTGTGATAGTCACAGCAAGTTTTTTGGGGGCAATTACCCTGGGGGGCGTTATGGACTTATAACATGGTGTATATAGGGAAATTTATTTCTCTGGAACGGGTGGATGGAATTTCAAAATATTTTTTTTTGTTGTAATCCTTACCTAAATACCTCCACCCCTTTTTGGTGTTTTCCCGGAATTTTGCGTTTGAACTTCGTGGCAAATTTTCTAAAGTTATTATTAATTTCGATATTTTGCACATTTTTTATTTCAATATTAGGAATTTTGCTCCGAAGTTCAAACGTGAAATTTTGGAAAAACACCACAAAGGGGTGGAGGTATTTGGGTAAGGATTACAACAAAAAAAATATTTTGAAATTCCATCCACCCTTTCCAGAGAAATAAATTTCCCTATGTATACCATGTTGTAAGTCCATAATGCCCCCCAGGGTAATTGCCCCCAAAAAACTTGCTGTTACTATCACACGCCGACTATATTAACATCTTAAAATACTTAACTCAAAATTTTAAAATTAGTGGTGGATTTCGTTGTTGAATCGAATAATTCTTACTCAAATGAAGTAATGTTCGGAAAATAACTTACTACAATGTTTTGATAAGTTCCTATCACCCATTTTCTGGCTTCCTATAGTTGAAAGAATAACATGATCTCATCAGCATAAATTATTAATTCACAAGTAAATCCAACAACTAATAACAGTGTTCGTTTTAACCTGAAAAATTCGTTCACCACTCCATTTTGGCCGACTATCATGCAAATAGGTGGCAATCAAGTTGTGCCATCTGAATAAGACCACCCCAAAAGATAATAGGAAAGCATTTTCATTTCCACGTGGATTCCCAAGCACTATATTTATACGAAAGGGTGAACATAATAAAGCAACCTCAACCAAAAATTTATGCATGCATAATAATCTCACCGAAAAACCTGTTGACATTTGCAGTTTCATGCTGCTTAGTCCAGACACTGTGGTGCGCAGGGGGTGGTGGATTTGCTAATGGTAACCTTAACTTATTTATCGCTGGGAAGTAGCCTTTGTTGTCGACGGAAGCCAAAAGTCCATGAGGTACCAAAGTCCCATCCGGATTCGTCCTCAACACATCTTTTTCATGGGTTGTAATGAAGAGAAGACACACCAATTAGGAAAACATAAAATTAATAAATAAAATTGACCGTTCGAATCACTTACCTGCCCATCCCTTTGCCGTCCCGTAAATGAGACCACCATCAATCCAGGGCGTAATTTCATTCAGCTGAGGATGATATGACCAATACCAAATTTTCAAGCATGAAATAAGTATTTACAATTTTAATACATATTCCGGATCGAAGTCTTTTGTAAAACCGTACCTGTTGCCTCGGATTGCCTGGTGAGTGTCCAGAATTTTGACTCCATCTGGATCTTAGGAACGGCATTTCAGACTTTCCACTTTCATTCTTTTCAGAAGAAAATTCGTGATCTGGTGGAATTGGTACATTAAAGTATTCAGGTGGACAACCTGGTCGCTGAGCATCTAAAAGTTCTTCCACAACTTGTTGCCCAAAATAGACGAGAAAAGCAGTTTTGCCAGTCTTTGATCCGCAACCCTCTGGACCACTCGAACTTAATGGGTCATGCTGCGTGCAGCCTGGTTTTCTTTCCATCAGTTTACTTGCCTTGAAGGGGTTTATTCTTTCCCCCTCAACAGGTTCATAAGTACCGTCCTTGTAAACTGGGGGGACCCTTCGGAGGAGAGGTGTATCTGGTATAGCAATAATAACAGCACGATGATAATCACTCAATATCTATCTGTAAATGCAGTTGAGATATTTTCATCACTTGCCCACTGCTCCCAAGTCTACTTTGAAAGGGTTATTAAAAAATCCGTCGTAAGTCTGAAATTCTGGCGGATGACTTTCATTATCTGGATTTTCTGTAGGATTATCTGCATGTTTGCATTTCTCATAAGTTGACGTAGGTAAAAACTGTTGAACTTCATCCTTCTTGGTGTAAAAGTAGCAACCATCGATGAGCCATGAAATTAAATTAAGTTTGTCCTCCTTATTCCGTCCGAAAATCCATTGATGAGGAGATGGTTTTGAGACCACTAGTGGCTCAGCGTCAGCTTTAAAGCTTTCTCCTAAAGGAGGTGATTCCGGAAAAGTGACTGGACCATTTTGTGAATTTTGCAAATGAGATGGTTTCGGCCCTGACCACTGAGGAAAGAGGGGACGATGAGGCGACTGTTGCAGAGTAACCGGCCTTTGCTTTGAACCCCTTCGGCCCTGTTGATAAGATTGATAAGAACTGTCCCGAGTTTGATGGGAACTTCGAGATTGGTCATTAGGGTCCGTGTATCGATCTTGTTTTGCATGCAAAATAATGTCCTCCGCTGAAAGTAATGAGAATAAATGTATTAGATTTCATTATTACATTACATGGAGTTTCCCATAGTATAATTAGTACCTGAAACGCCGTCAGGGTCTACGTATGGAAATAATGAACCGTATTGAGAGTTGGAATAGTCATTATCATTCAGACCACGTTGTCCTTCAACAATATGCAACAACCCGAGAAAGGAAATATACACAGACAAAAATATAATACAACTAAAAGAGTACATTTTATTGCAGGACACAAATTAAGGACACATTTTTGACAATGTCAGACAAAAAATTGAACCCCTACAGTAATTTTCTTATACATAATTTTAATGGCACACTAGCAAGAGATATTATATGCACAATTCTTTTGAAATTTTCCTCGTACTAATTTATTGGACACATCCCTCCTTTGATTGTGGTCAATAAGCGGATGAAGGTGTCGGTTCTTGAAAAACCGCAAATTATTGAATACCCATATATTGCCAAACCTGAAAAGTAATTATGTATTTAGACCTTCGCTTCCTCTTCACATAACACACCGTTTCATTTAACAGAATTGTAATATATCAACAAATGCACATTTTGAGGCGTCATGTTATCCGACTATATCTCAAATTTCTCATGCATGAGAACGTCCAAAGCGACATCAATTCATCATCAATGATATTGAAAAATGCTTGAAATACTTACTCCTACTTAAAATTCTTGTGCCCATGCTTCTTTTATTCCTGTCCTTTATTATAACAAAGACTTATCCAACCATATTTATCATAATATTTAGGTTCTATGATTTATCCTTGCGAATCATATACGATCCACCGTTAATCGCGCAATGCCCCGAATGGTGGTGATTGGGTCTGGCTTTTGTGGCCGGGATCGTTTAATAAAGCTGCCGTGCGGTGTGCTCACTCTCCATTAGTTTCCTTCCCTTGCCGAGTAGTCAATCGCCTTCTGCTCATAATTTCATAAATTAAAATGGTAAGATTTAATTTGTTGGTGTAAATGTTATCGTTGTGCTAATGAGGGGTTCAACTTCCATTTTGTAGAGTACCAACAAGAAGAAGACTAGAAAGTTGAGGGGACACGTTTCCCATGGTCATGGACGTATTGGTAAGTTTGACTTTTCTGACCCAGCTATTTGATGTACATGATAAAGATTGATGTGTTTTATTCAGGAAAGCATAGGAAGCATCCCGGTGGTCGAGGTAACGCCGGAGGACAGCACCACCACAGAATCAACTTTGATAAGTACCACCCTGGTTATTTTGGAAAGGTAACAAAATGAAGCTTAGTCTACTAATTTCTTCCATACTTGCAACTTACAAATTATAATTCATTTATTTAACACTGAATTGTCAAGTAGAAGTGTTTTGAAATCGGAAGAGGAGCTACAGAATTTTGCTGATTTCGTGTTTTAACTTCTTTTTACGTTTGCTTTTATAGTTGGGAATGAGGAACTATCACGCCAGACCCATCAAGAAGTTCTGCCCTACTTTGAACCTTGACAACCTTTGGAGTTTGGTCAGTGAACAGACAAGACTTCAATATAAAGGCCACCCTGACGGAAAGGCCCCAGTTATCGACTGCGTCCGAGCTGTAAGCAAATAGTTTTTGACTGGACAAAAATCATTGAGTTCGCTGTTTAACGTTTCTTTTGAATATCTTTGCTACAGGGGTTCTACAAGGTTTTGGGTAAAGGAGTCCTCCCCAGACAACCCGTAATTGTTAAAGCCAAGTTTTTCTCCAGAAAAGCCGAAGAAAAGATCAAGGAAGTCGGTGGAGTTTGTGTACTCCAAGCTTAATTTGATGTTATTTGTACGTTTCATTCAATAAAGTTTGAAATCCTATTTGAACGCTATACAAATAAGCATCTGTATTATTGCATGTTGTCGTTGGTCACTTACTATGCCCTTGACTGAATCCCATTAGTATAGACTCACGTGAGGGTGTAATTCATCTAAAATAAAATACTTTTTTTCATGCACCGGCACCATATCGTATATTCAAGTCGTATAAATTCCAGTGATCGCATGTCTCAATTTCTATCCGTAAATCAATGACTACTTTTTGCAATATATTGTATCACTTTAACATTGGAGCCGTGTCGTGCTCAACGCTCTTGTGTTTGCACCAATTACTTGCAAATGGAATTAGAGATGGTCTAGTAGCTGTAAGACTCGGGACTTTGGCATGTTATTTACTTAACTTGTCTTCTAGATTATTGCGTTGTTATTATTGTTCATGGCTACTTAGGATTAGTAAACTCAGCTCCAGAGCAGGGACTAGTCAACAGTTTACAAATCGGTGCGACTACCAGGCGCAGAAATGATTATTGATAACCGATCTAACGTATTCACCAACCCCACAAAATCAATGCAACAATTAACAAACGACTCTCACCTGGCCCCCTCATCTGAAGCAGTAATGAACATGGAAGGATGTTGGGGCGATGAGCCAACTGGAAAACGGTATTTGCCTGCTGAATTTTGCATGGAAAGCAGTCTTCATGGTCTCCGATTCATTGGACAGCCTAAACGTCACGTTGTTGAAAGGTACTTATTATCTTTTACTGTATTGTAGACATACGTGTAGATGCACTTGCTTGGTCCGGTTTCAATGATATAGTTTGGTCGCAGGATTTTTTGGATCATATCATTCACGGTCGGAGTGGCCGTTTCAATCCTCTTTATTACCCAAATTTGGGGAAAGTACCAAAAAACTCCGGTCATAACTGTTTTTCAGCCGACGGAATTAGCAATTGACTTGATTCCATTTCCAGCCGTGACAGTTTGCAATACCAATAATGTCATTAAGTCCAAAGCAGATGCATTTGTCGAGTAAGACTTTTCTCATAAAACATTTCATAAGGTTTACACTGACATGTCATAGTCCTATTTACATGCATGTTCCTGATGTTCCTTTGTAGGCGAGTGCAACTTGATCCCACGAACCAGGAGGCAAGTCAAGACCTCTACTTGCTGGACCATATCTGCCAAACGTCAACTACTTTCTCGGAAACTTTCAATTTTTCCCTAGAATACGGATCAATTAAGAGTGAAATTAGAGAACCACTTCTGGATTTTGGAAAAAATCAAACCACCAATAATTCGAGTGCTGCTGGAAGGAAAATTACGGATTTACTGCAGGATGTAAGTGTAACTAAACATAATACCAAAATACCAATCAATACAATCTTTGAGACGTTAGAATTACAATAATATTTAATTGTCATAAACAGGTTGCCCAAAAATGTAGTGCCATGATTTTGTTATGCATGTGGCACGACGAAGTCTACAATTGCAGCGAATTGTTTGATGAAGTTGAGACGGATTTCGGATATTGTTGGTCAGGAAAATCTGGGATAATGCTGAAATACCTACATGGATAAATGCATGGATAAATACGTACGGAAGAAGGGACATCATACTGAAAAGTAGGGTACACAATAAATCCCTGCTTTTCAGCATGGATAACTCCATGTATGTATTTATGTATTTATTTCTCGAAATTATCCCACATTTGATCCTAACTGGCTGAATGTTGCGTCTTTAACATGATTCCTCAATCCCTCCTGCTAAAATTGAGGTTGGTGAAAGTAATTCAAAGAGAGTTGTCTCACTTTGTTAAGGTGGTCATATTCTTACTTTTACAATTTTATAGAAATGACTCCAGAGATCAAGAATTCAAAGTTAAGGAATGGGAATCGTTAAATCTAGACACTGATAATTTAATATTGAAAGATGATGGATTTGATCATGAGAGCACTTTTAATTTAGCAAGCGAATCACAAATACCACCAAAATTTCCTTATAGACAAAATCGTGCTGGAAAAACTACTGGTCTTTCAATTCTACTAGATCCAGATTTAGAATCCTACTTTTGTACCAACACTGATTCTGCCGGATTTATGGTACACTTTGATTTTAATGATTTTGAATATTTACAAATTCTGGGTTTTTTGCACATCTACATTTATATTTAATATGTACATACTTATAGGCAGTGGCTCATATCCCATTAGACTTTCCACGAGTCGCAGATAAAGGAATTGCAGTAAAGCCAAACTCGGAAACATACATTAAAATTCGCCCAGAAATAATTGCTGCAGAAGATCACATCAGAGGATTTGCATTGGTAATTCGTACATACGAAAAAGTAAAGAGTTTATGTCCCTCCAGATTTATTTAATGCCAATTATTTTTCTCTCATTTCCTAATCAATCAGGAAAAAAGGAACTGTTATTTCGGAAAGGAATACACATTGAAATACTACAATTACTATACAACATCGAATTGTGAAAGCGAATGTATTGCCAACATGACTATGAGAGAGTGCGGATGTGTTCGATATTTCATGCCACGTGGGTATTTTTGTATTTACATATTATGTAATGTAGCTTGATTTGATAAGATTTTTAATTTTGTTTCAAACTTCTAAATACCAAATGTAGGAGATGAGAAGCAAACCATTTGTGGGGCAAACAGATTCAATTGTTCGGAAGGGGTTCGAAGTGTGTAAAAAGTTATTATTCGAGTTGATGTTGGTGGGAGGCGACATTTCCAGTTTTCGTATTTCTGTAATGTTTTTGCAGGGACACTCTTGAAAGAAGGGCTCAGGAAGCGTTGTAGGGTTTGTCTCCCTTCATGCACAGAAATTGAGTACCACATGACCAGCAGCTACATGCCCTTGAGACTGGATATTCCACTTTGGGAGCACCCCAACGGGACCAAGGCGTCATGGTATGCATGCATGTTCAGAATAAAAATCACCCTATAAATTAGATTGCACTTGAATAGGAATGTAATACATGACTTCTGTATATCGCTTATGTAGTGCTATGCAAATGTAAATATAATTTGTTACGCAAATTCTAACTGGCTTTTTATGGAGATATTGCATGTTTTTCCTCACATTGAGGTTCCATTCATGAAATAATTCTGTGTCAAATTTAAAGGACTCATAAGAACGTTTCCATCCTCCACGTCCATTTCTCGGTGGATTCTACATATCCGAAGCTAAGGACAGAGCTGTACGGATTTATTGACTTGGTTTGTAAGTTATTGCAAGCGCTTAGTGTGCACTTTATGAAATGAGACAAGTTAGTTTAATACTGTTCATGTATTTACAAATTACAACAGCAAACACGGGAGGCATTTTAGGACTGTGTCTTGGATTCAGTGTTTTAAGCCTGTTAGAAATTGTGTACTTTATAACGCTTCGATTATATTGTCAGACACGTCGAGGGAAAATGATCGGGCACAAGGTCACGAGAGCTACTCAGCAGTTATGGGGTAAAGCATTTACTGCGATTAATTTCATGGGGAAAATACCTGTATCATCGCTATCACCACATGAGCCCACGACCACTTATCCGACAAATGTGGAAGAATATGGGGAAAGAGTGCTGCGAAATGTCCTGAGGAGTACAAAACTGCCTGCAATGAGAAATAGCTCAAATAACCCTTCGGATTCTAAGCTGGACACACTCCCGTATTATGTGGAAAATGGGAAAAGCAATTTTAGCTGGTGATTATCATCGAAATTACATATGTACGTGTAATTTCTTTTCATTTCATGAAGAGGAATGAACATAATCGAAAGTTTGGACATTCAAGTTTTATGGTTGGAAATAGGATAATAATGATGAACGGAATAAACGAACAATTTATAATACTAATAAAAAATATATGCTGTATGACGACACATCCGTCTGGGAATCTATGTGGTGTGGAATCATGTGGCATAAATACATCGCCATATCAGGTTTCGATATAGGGAAGCACATAATTTACATAATCTTCAATTGGGTAGCTTCATTACAATTATAACGTTACAAATTTACTTCCGAATGTTAAACCACTGCCACTTTCACCACTAATCCTAAATTGAGACATTCTCAATTTCCCCATCTCATCTGGCTTTGCCATTGCAACTGTCTCATCTGACCTCATATTTTCCTAAATTGAGTCGGGCTCAGCAACAATGATGTTGGACTAATTAATTCAAAGTACTTCTATACAGTCATCATAAACAATAGTAACGAGAAGGACGAAATTTCGCAAAGATGCCCAAAAAGTATCCTAAAAGTGATCCCTTCCTGTACTCATCTGAGGACGAGGAGGAGGAAGATGAATGCAAAACGTGTCTCAAGTCAGATCGGGACAGTTATTTTATGGAATATCTTCGAGATTCAACGATCCATTCTCTAAAGTACATTGGACAAGTTCAGGAAGCGTATTTCGCAAGGTTTGTATATTACAGATTTGACCATGTCATTATAATTCAGTGCGAAATTAATTTGGAAATTAATTTCACCATGTAGAATGTTTTGGGTGGTAGCATTTGCGACCGGAGTCGGAGTATCAATTTACTTGATAATGGTTGGAGTAGCACAAGATATGCAATCCAACCCTGTCATCATGTCATTTCAAGAGTCGGAAATTACGGTTAAATGCATTATTCTTATTATTCATTATTATTTATTAATTTATTATGCATTTATTAAATTAAATTTGGTGTAAATTTTCCACCAAATGGACCCCGATTTTTAGAAATTGACGTAGAAAGCTGAATTTTGGCACGGACATCCCTAGTGGTTTCTGATAAAAGAACATGACGTTAAAGGTGAAGAAATGTTACCTGACAGACGGCAAGGCTGACTCATACCGAGTTCTACACCATATTGAGCTGAAATTTGGTATCGATTATGAAAATGACTCATGTATGGGAAATTTGACTTCGGATTTCAAAAATTTTATAAGAAGCGAGGCACACTGAGGGCCACTGGTCCTAGTAGTCAAGGGAAAGAAAACGTTTGGTGCCAAATACTAGAAAGTATTCTATAGATGTATTTGACCACGGCGGTGGTAATAGTTTGGTTATCGGTCAAAATATAAAAGCGGATACTGACCCTGACTCGGGCTATGTCAAGTCTGCACTGCAAGTTATTAATTAATTTTTATTAAAATTATAAATTTTATTTTTAATATCTTATATCTTATATTTAATATTTTATATTTAAAAATAAAATTTATAATTTTAATAAAAATTAATTAATAACCTGCAGTGCAGACTTGACATAGCCCGAGTCAGGGTCAGTATCCGCTTTTATATTTTGACCGATAACCAAACTATTACCACCGCCGTGGTCAAATACATCTATAGAATACTTTCTAGTATTTGGCACCAAACGTTTTCTTTCCCTTGACTACTAGGACCAGTGGCCCTCAGTGTGCCTCGCTTCTTATAAAATTTTTGAAATCCGAAGTCAAATTTCCCATACATGAGTCATTTTCATAATCGATACCAAATTTCAGCTCAATATGGTGTAGAACTCGGTATGAGTCAGCCTTGCCGTCTGTCAGGTAACATTTCTTCACCTTTAACGTCATGTTCTTTTATCAGAAACCACTAGGGATGTCCGTGCCAAAATTCAGCTTTCTACGTCAATTTCTAAAAATCGGGGTCACATCCTAGGGTCCATTTGGTGGAAAATTTTTGCATTTTCACTTCGGAATATTTCATTACACGCCATTAGACATTTTCATCCTACATACCAAATTTCTGTTAGATATATCAACTTTTAGAAATCGGTATGGGTCGCCCATACCGTTCCTCTGATTGCATTTTGTTCCCGTGTAAAGTTATATTCCTTCATGAGAAGCCATTATGGATCTCTGTGCTAAATTTCAGCTTTCTAAGGCAGTTTCTGAAAATCGGTATGGGTCGCCCAGTACGGTCTCTTACGAAAAAATATTCTGCAATTTGACCTCATATTCTTTACTTTGATATGTCCTTTCACCTTCATACCAAATTTCACCTTTTTCTGACCATTTTCAAAAAATCGGTGTGGGTCACCCCTAACGACCCCCTGGAAAAAATATTCTGCAATTTGACCTCATATTCTTTACTTTGATATGTCCTTGCACCTTCGTACCAAATTTCACCTTTTTCTGACAATTTTTAGAAATCGGTATGGGTGACCCCCTAGGGTCCCTCTGGTGGAAAATTTTTCCATTTTCCCTTCAGAATATCTCATTATAAGTCATTAGACACATGTGTGCCAAATTTTAGCTCTCTAGCACTATTTTGAAATTTTGGTGCATAATACCCCACCCACCTAAATGACCCCCACTGGTCAACCACTGGACCGATTTTTCCCATCTTCGAACTTAACTTGTAACTTTATCTCATATACATGTGTGCAAAATTTGAACTCAATCGGTTCAGCCGTTTTGGCCCTATCGTGTCTCAGACAGACAGACAGACAGACAGACAGACGGACAGACGGACACACCGGTTACATAAGCCCTGACTCGGGCTAAAAATTAAATAATAATTAAATAATAATTAAATAGTTAAAATAAATAATTCTCGTGACAAGGCATAAATAAAACTAAAATGATGGTTGGAATTACAAAAGAAGGCTAAAACTAGAATATAAATTATATGCATCAGCAGAAAACAGTTCAAAGATAATTCATAAGTTTGTATAAATAAGTATTGCAATGGCGGTTTCTTCTCGACTAGGGAACGAAAATACGTCTAATGTTTAATCCTCCATCTCCTCATCTTCCTCCTCTTCTGCCTCAGCCCATGCCCCATTTCTGATTGTGTCCTCAAGATCTTTTAGGATGGAAAGAATCTCACTCTTTACCAGCCTTTGCCGCCGTGTAGTCCAAAATAGCTGGAACTGTGAAAATCCAAGAGAAATATTACATGAAAGCAAAATAACAAACACAATATTACATTTTTAAAAAATTACATTTTCATCCGCCTTCCAGTGGTCCATTTGCGACATACGGTATAGGGTTGGATTAGGAAGTTCATTTAAAATGGCGAGGATTGCATGATGAATATCTTCTTTTTCTCCCCATGTCAGAGTAACCCTGGGACGAATAAAAGTAGAAATTCCTCCACCAAGCATGGTCCTCGCGTAAAACTTGAAGTCCCATCTCTTCGAAGCGGGTGCCTTGCACAGAGGAATGACATTTCCCGTGTCCGGCGTCCAACCCGCCCATTTCAAGAATCTAAACAAATTCAAGTTATATACGACATGTATTTGTTTTTAACGTAAACATAAATTATTACCTGTCGGTGCAACATTCAGCTCTAACATGGTTGATAGCCGCTTTTTCAAGGTCTTCAAGTATGGTCATAAGACACACAACCCCGGCTGGAATTTTGCTAAGGTTTAGCCAGCGCATGAGGTAAATCATAGATTCATGTCCTTTATACACTCCAATGCCACTACAAGCAAATAGTGTATTATGGTTACGATTTTCCGTATTCTGAGTATAATTTGTGCATATACATCGGGGTATTTACCATTTTGTAAGGTGAGCACGGCACATATTGAAATTCCTTGAAGACTGATGATCACATTTCCCGTAACAGCATAATTGCTCCCATCGAATTTTATCATTCAGTTGGACACCTTTCCACCGGATACCTTCATCATCCTCATACTCACTACCTTCATTACAATTTTTCGGGTGCCTCCTATTTGATTTCCTGTTGAACAAAAGCTTTCTCAGATTTTGTATTTACTATAATAATTTTTCAATTTACTCGTGATTGTTTAAGAAATATTACCTCCCTGTTACACAAGAACGGCATGTAGCACTACCTCTAAGAGCAAGCAATGGACAAGGTTTATTGGAACACATTTTGTTGAACCCTTTGTCGGAACCCATTTTCCATCGAACTCCGTCATCGTCCTCATACTCGTACCCTGGGCTTTTATTTCCTGGGTGTGACTTGTGCGGTTTCCTGAGGTTTATGTATAAGTATTTGATATTAGATTTTTAGTTTATTTATATACTTTTAACGAATATTACCTTCCACTTCGACAGGTGTAGCATGTATCACCTCCCCCGGCAAGCAATGGACAAAATTTGTTGACACACATTTTGTTATACGCTTTCCCATTCCCACTCAATTTCCATCGAACACCGTCCTCGTCCTCGTACTCGTAACCTGGTATTTTATTCTGAGGGTGTGATTTATGCGGTTTATGTGGTTTCCTAATGTCATAGAACAATATTTTATGCTGCAATTCTAGTTTAGTTGTGTACTTTTAATTAACAATACCTCCCAGGATCGACAGGATTTGCATCTGTCACCTCCGTAGGCAAGTAGTTCACAAGGTTTGTTGGAACACACTTTTTGGTATGGGCATCGTTGATGAAGCAATCCACTCCATTTCCACCTAGTTCCGTCGGGCATTGTGTGGATATAGCCGCGTTCGACATTTAGAGGTCTTCCAACTTTATCCGTTAAAATTGCTGAGGTGTCACCAGGCATGCATATCTCTGTCTCGTCGTCCAAATGAATACGCTTGGCTTCCTGCGTCAATCCAGATTGGCATCGGCGAATCCGAGTCGGCGTTATTCTGTAATTGATGATATACTATTGTTAGACTTATTACTGTTGTTTATGCAAGATCCGATACTTACACTGTTGGTCCACTCGGTACATAATATTTCCCGCCAGGAAGTATTGTGTTGAAAGCGCTAGCGTTACGAATATCCGCTTCCAATGCAAGCTTTCTAGCGTTCAGATTACTGGAGGAATCGCCGTATGGAGTGCTTTGGTCGACAAGTTGTCGCAGCGAAGTTTTAGCCGAACGGAGTTGTAGCCGCCGGTGGAAAAGGATTAACATCTTTCTAGTTCGGTCTTCTGCCCTTTCATTTGGTCCTGCTTCCAGCATAGAACGCCCATTCACTTCACTCCTAAGGAGTTCCATTGCAATGCTAAGGCGTCGTGTAGGAATCTCCAACGGCTCAAGACTATTGATATCTCCCAATCCCCCTTTGAGTAATTCTTGGATAAAAGCCAAACAGAAATCTCCACACGAAAATGCATCCCTTTGTCGTGGAACGTTCACTGCTGCATGATATCTCCATGAGCATCTATCAATACCATAACGGCTCTGGAACATGCGGGCTAGTCGATCTTGATATTCTCTAATTTTAATACCGGAGATAGTTCCGGGTAGACTGTCCAAATACCGCATGCTTCGATCATCAAAGTTGACATGATGTAAAATCCAATGGTTGTTGTAGTTTTGTACATTGTATAACTGTCCTTCTTCTGGGTTAAAATGTCGCGAAAGCGATTCGACGTTTCCGTCTACTCCAAACACTGCGGTGGCTCCAATAGGAAGGTAAAATTGAGTAGTATGATCCACATTACGGAAAAGTTGTTCTGCTCCTGCGTTGATGGCTGCGTCAGTTAAAAGTTCCTCCGGAAAGAATGAAGCGCAGTCGATTTCGTCCCCTCCTGGAATCACTCTTGATAAAATTACATCGACTGGTATACCTTCAGGATGATGGGTAAGTGGTAAGTTGTAATTATCTTCCTGAGACATGGTGACGACGTTGAACTCAGCTGAAAGAAAAAATATTAATTAGAAATTAACAAATTTGGTTTTCTCATATTTTCTAATATTATTCACAAAACTTTACTATTAAACTTAATTATTACACAATTGTGTTGTTGTTTAGATTAAAATTAACAATATTATTATTTTTATATGTAACAGCAATCACCACAGATTTTGGCAGCTTATTTATTCCACGACTAAATAACTGTGGTGAGACTCGTTACGCTACGATGACACAAATACAAATTCCGTATGTAAAATACTGGCCGATATGCTAAACGCACAATCTACCTGATTATTATACTTAAATCTCAAAAAGTGACCTATGAATGAACTGCAAAGAAGAAAATAGATGAAATTACAAACCTGCGATTGGAATTCATGTTTAGCTTCGTTAAATCCTTTTCTCTCTGGAAATAAACTCGTTCAAAGACACAAGGACCAGGACCGAAAAACCCAAATTATATCCTTAAAAGTGGGGCAATTTCTTCAACGTCAATATCACTCTGGAGTTCGTTAACTGTCGTTTTAGTAAAAAAAATAAGATTCCTACTGCAATTTCAAGGTTTAGCCGTAGGATGGAGAGATTATGTACGGAGAGAAAGATGACGGTAAAACGTGCGTCCAACTTGCAAGGTGTCGTTCTGTAGATTAAAGTCACTATGGCTGTCGAATACAACATAAGCACTGATCGTGAGCAACACGTGGGTTCAGCCACGGCTTGCTCTGGTTCTGTGACAAGATTCAACATGACTGCAATTCGTCGTGCAGACGAAGTGCAATCAACAAGATTCAACATGATTGCACTGCGTCTGCACGACGAATTGCAGTCATGTTGAATCTTGTCACAGAGCGAGATTCAAACGGTGTCAATAGTTTTAACTTTGAAATCCGAAATCGTTCCTTTGTTAAGAGGGATCAAAAATTGACACTTTGCATTTATTATAACGGTCACATTCCTAATGACAAAAAAAATTCCACTCACATTTTCCTGAGGCTGAGTGTGAGTGGCGAATCGAGTTTGAAGATGAACCATATGGGTTAAAAGGGAGCTATGCCAGCTTGCTATTCAGAGAAATGTGCTATTTGATAAAAATAAATAAAAGTTTCGTAAGTTATTTTACGAAACTTTTATTAAACAACATATGGATAAAAAATGAAAAATAAATAAAACCTATTTGTGCTAGGTAACAAGTTGTATCTAACGGAATGGCGTCCAGTGGTACCTTTGGAACCAGCTAAGTTAAAACATGACAGTATCTGATGAATTGGCCCAGCTTTATAAATTGACTAGAGTTGTCTAGCAACTTTGGTTCCACTCATCTACAAATTTACACGAATATAGATTTACAATAAGAATTCAACGTCAGTTCTTTGCGTTACCCAGGTCGTGAGTGTGCAACCATTTAGGATACTTTATGCACGGACTCGTCTGACGGGCGACCCAATAGAAAGCAAGCAACATAATAGTTTCTCGAAATAAGTAGTTAATCATTGAAATATTGGGTTACGTTAGCATTTAAAATTAAATTGCTATGTAGAATTTGACAGAAGCAGTGTTGGATCGGCCAGAAACTGGATGATCTAACATCCATTCTAAATAGTGGAAAATAGGTGAACGACATGCAGGACAACAAATGTTAAGCAGGTCTTCATGCAACGAAAAAGAATTCAAAAAATTAATCATGCACCTGTAACAAATAAGATGTGTTCTACACTGTAAGAGAGGGCTATGATAATGCCACTCAACTTCGTTGTCGTCTAAACAGATGATACAGAGCATGCTGGAAATGTTGCAGATTTTGCGAAAAAAGATAAAATATTAGTGAAGTAGAAAAGACAACTATAACACAGATGTTTAGAATGGCGAATGCTATAGACGGCTTATTTCCACGGTTATAAATAAAGATCGTGCGTCTGACGTAGCTTAGTTGGCGCTTTTGTTAAGATTTTGCATCATTCCCAGCTAAAATACTATTTTAAAAATAGTACCAGTTGATGGCGGATGAAAATAACAGAATCCTTTGGTCCATGCTCACACCTTGTCTTAAATGTGTGGTAAATTTCTGATGAACCGCGGAAAAAACGAACAATATACGTTTCCATAATTTGGATAGTTTATTGTGTCAACTAATTTTTTATATCAAACAAAAACTAAACCAATGGCTCAATGATGACCAAGATCACTGCTGGTTCTGATTTTCTTTTCTCATGTATCTAATATTACATATTTGTATGATAGTTTCGGCTGTTACAAATCGTGAACACACAATTTCAAATGAAGGAACAAGTGTTTTCCGAAAGCTTGTACATGATAAACATCAAATTTTACATCCATGAACTCCGATAAAATGTCTCTTAATCTATTTTAGGATAAATATGGTTGTCAAAATTAGAAGATTCTAAGACACGCACTATACGTGAATACTACAATCCGAATGACTCGTCTATCACTTCCGTGTGGACCTGATTTTCATAAATAGAGTAAGGTGAAACTTTGTATCCATATTCTGCATAGCCCTTCCAACAAGCAATCTTCAACTTCATTTTTAACTTCATACTCTCAATGTGTACACGGTGTTAAAAGAAACTGGTTAAGCTCCACCCATAAACCAGAAAATAGAAAAACCCGACGTACCAAATGTCACCGGCCCGCATCTCGTCCGAGGACGACATGCACCGGCTATAAATTATGTATATTAAGCAAATTTATAGTTCATCTCCACTGGGCAACATGATTGAAACTCATAATTAACACATCCATGCTTATCTGAGTCACTTATCCACTATGTTAGATAAGAACAGAATGTTACAGATTTTATGAAACTCATTGGATTTTATGTGCGTTATTTGCATACAGTATTTTATAGTTTATTGCACTTTATTGTAGTATTTCACATATTAATTTTGCTGCTTAAATTAGTTTGAACCATAAATTCGTTAACTTTGTGGACTTTAATCAACTGGATTTGTATGTTGGACAATAAGAAAAGTCTAGAATAATCTGCTTCATGGGTAATACTTCGTGGGTAACATTGTAGGTTTAGGCCGACCCCAAGAAATGTGAAATACACATAATATTATTATAATATCAGAAATACATAAATATATACATCTTAGCCCGAGTCAGGGCTTATGGAATCGTCATGTCCGTCTGTCCGTCTGTCTGTCTGTGACACGCTAGCGGACGAACCACTGAACCGATTTTGACCAATTTGGTCTTAAAATGCGTATTTCGACAAGGTCTTGGATGAGTTCGAAGATGGGCATGATCGGTCCAGTGGTTGACCGGTGGGGGTCATTTAAGTGGTGTGGGTAAATAGCACCAAATTTACAAGTTATCGTAGAAACCTGAAATTTGGCATGAGGGTTCACGTACCCATTAGATCAAATAATGTGAAGTCAGATTTTAAAATATTTTCGCCAGAGGGACCCAACAGGGTGACCCACACTGGTTTTTGAAATTTGTTAGAAATAGCTGAAATTCGACATGGAGGTGCAAGATCGTCTCAAATTTACGTTTATGAAGTAAATTTTTAGAAACTTTGTAAGAGAACGGTCCAACAGGGTAACCCATACCGATTTTCAGAAATTTATGGTTGGAAGCTGAAAGGCACAGAGATTCTCGTGAATAAATATGAATAAAATCAACCACAGTGGTACTACCACTGTGGGGTGTAGTAGGGTGACCCATACTGATTTGTAAAAGTGGCTACATTCGAATAAAATTTAGTATGGGGGATTTGAGTAAAAAACTTTGTGCGAAATCATTGAAAATATTTGGACGTATTCGACCATCTAAGTATGGAGGTGGTAATAGTAGTTTGGTCGTCGGTAAAAACGTAAAAGCTGATAGTACCCATGACTCGGGCTATATCAAGTCTGCACTGTAGGTCGACAGAATTCCATTTCCCGCTGTCACAATTTGTACATCGTCAAAACGAAAATACCGAGCTTATGAAGAACAAGTAAGGTTAGTTAAATTCATGGGCGATTAGACTCAATTTGAAACTTGTATAGCTTTAAATTATTATCCAACCGTTATCTGCTCCATCCTACAATGTTAAAAGTAGCATCGGGGTAGGGCACGTGGCCTGTGGCCCTTAGCCGACCAAACGGTTGGATAACAAAACTATACATAGATGCCATGCTATCTGGTCGGATAATATTACGATAACCTCACTTTGTAGAGAGTATGAAATGCTGTGGAACAGATGGGCACCTAACTTTACTGACATTCCTCAAAACCAACTGGAAGATATGCAAAGGCGCGTATACTCTCTTTTTTATTTGGAAGACCTTTGTCGAGATTCCAACAGTTTCAGCGACCACTTCAAAAATAATATAAATCTTACATATATTTCCAAGCACAACAACACTGAGGTGGACTTTGCCATGCAGTATGCCAGGAAAGTATAAGCAATTAAATATTGCAATATTTTCTATGTATGTATTCATATATATACGGCATATTTGGAAATTTTATATGATGGGTTTGATTATAAGGCACTGCATAGTTGTAATGACATCATCAAACTCTGCCTCTGGGGGAACAAGCCATTCAACTGCTCAGAATTCGTATCCATTACAACGGAATACGGACATTGTTGTACTTTTAATTCGATGCCCGAATTCATTTTGAGGAAAGACTTCCCGTAAGTACGCTTGAATTTGAGCCAATAACATAAAGAATGTGTATGTTAACCAACTAAAGTGGTTCAGGCTGCCAAAAAGGATAAAAATTAGGAACAGAACTGCCCACAATCGTCGTCTGCAACGACAAAGGACCTACGATGCATGGGCAAAGTGGGACATTGATCAACATTTGATAGAGAAAGAGGTGGATACTGTGCAGAATACTTCAGACGAAGTGACCTATGACGACGTCTTCGTCGTCGACGTCCCAAAGCACCAGAGAACAGCAGGAATGAGAACCGGGCTGTCCCTTCTCCTTCATCCAGACCTGGAAAATGCTGCCTATGATAATTGCGACTCTTTGGACGGTGTTGGATTTCGGGTAATCAATCATGTATTACATATGTCCTCGCCACAATATCATCCTGAATCATTTATCAAAATTGAATCTCAAATTATGCTGGATTTCAGGTTCAAGTTCACTCACCATTAGATTATCCACACATTTCTGACTTTGGAAAAACTATCAAGCCAAATACAGAGACATTTATCGACATTGAAGCCTCCATTACTATGCCGGATAGAGATGTGGAGGATATCAGTAAAGTAACGAACGAACCATTAATATTCACATGAATTGTGAGAAATTACTGAGAAACATACTAGTCTTAATGACACTTATGCAAAATTAATGACGCTTAGGAAAAGAGACAGTGTTACTTCCGGAATGAATATCATTTGGCCACATTTAATTTTTACACCCAAAAAAATTGTATTGACGATTGCATAATGAACGAAATTTACAAACGATGCAAATGTGTCCGAATCTATATGCCACGTATGTCCTGCTGTCACTCGTATCCATGTTCTCATAATTTATGCTAAAAGAAATGCTATAACAAATATAATTTTATTCTAGGGCAGAATCAGTCGTTGTGTGTGACGGACGAGGATTACGTGTGCACGAAAAACATGAAACGTATGTATGATGATATAAAATATATCCACATATTTTATAACATGCAAGACTTATGACATAAAGAATGAGGGCTTTGTGTTTCTTAAAGGTGAAATCAACGATGTTGGGACGCAAGAATTTTGCAAATTTTGTTGGCCGTCGTGCACTCAGATTGAGTATTTTGCAGATACAACTGGATTTCCATTGAGAGATGATGTAGACTTGTGGAAGACAACATCCACCTCAACAAATATCAGTGGACAATCAAATTGGTATATTTATTTAGTAGCTAATACAAAATAATAAGTCTTTGAAAGCACACTGGCAACGATAGAATAGTTTATTTTCGCTGCTTAAATGTGTAGGTCTCAAGAAAAAGTGGCTGTAGTTCACTTATATTTTTCAAAAGAAACGGTCGATTCCCGAGCTCGGAAGGCGTTATATGGCGCAATGGAAATTTTAGGTCCTTTTATATACTAAAAAAATCATGGATTTTATTTGAATTCTAGTGATTTATTTTGAATTTCAGCCTCTGCTGGTGGGGTTGTGGGACTGACTCTCGGCATAAGCATGCTCTCAATTGTAGAACCCATATATTTTTTTACGATAAGACTTTTCTTTCGTGGAAATAGTTCTACTTTGACAACAGTCGATGACATCAAGAGTAAGAAGCATGCTGAAATTAAACCAACCAAGATTATGGTCAAACCTGCACAAGTTGCAACAAGTAATCAACAATTGAGTGTAACAAGAAGAATTCCTAGAGAATGGATTACTAATTAAAATAAAATGTGTATGTAAATATTGTTGCAATAATTTTATTCCAAGCAATTTTTTACATGTTTCACTAGTTAAATATTCCAGAAATTTAGAGGAAGTCTCACAATATGCAAAGTTATATATTTTTAATCAAGTAGATATTTCCTTTATTATAGGATTTTTGTTTAAACACATTTATAAACTATGAATAAAATACTTTTAATTGGCTTGGGGAGTAGAGGAAAAACCGCAATGTTGGTGGGTTGAGAAAACCTCTACTTGCTTCGGACAGGCGTCGATAGGAGATCACGAATAATCACGATGCTGCCCCTTACAAGATTTTCGTACATAGATTGACATATCATTTAAAACATAAAATAATTCTTCGATCTTCTTTGATGTATAGAATGTGCATAGTAATAAATATTAATGCGATCTAGTACTTTACATATTTATAAATTGCATACTATTATTCACGTCATTCGAATGCTTGTTAGTGAGCGATTAAAAAATAATCCAAAGCTAATCAGAATTAATGTTAAACAATGCATACTATTGCTTATCACTGTAACAATAGCCCGGCGGTCTGATGCCATTGCCATATGCCACGAGTATGTACGTATTTAAGGTATGTGTTCATACATACGCCTTAATTTAATGTACGATATCTGGTGAAGCGTGTGAACATCCAAGCCAACACACTTAACCTCCACTTAGGATTAATTTTCAATATAACCAAATTTAGTTAGTTCTTAGTTTAGGAAGGGGAAAAGGGTGCATTGGCTTCTGCCTGTTTCCTGTGCTGGATGGCTGGCTGTACTTATCTTTAGTCGTACAAGATGGTACGTGCACATTGCTATTAGTACTAATCAGAATGACCCTTCTTTCTGCATAATAGAAAAATTTGCGCTTGAACATACATAATCAGCAAGCACTTCTGCTCGCACGCATCTCTGAACACACATAAAACATGCCAATGACCAATTCTACCCTGTTCTGCATGCTTATTTATATGTACGCAGTCCATGGTTAACTATCCTGATAATTAATTTGAGGATACATCGACGAAGGATTTGTAACATTTGTGTTCCGTGACATGGTCAAACGTGCAAAAAGTGGTGAGTGAGAAAATGGAGAAGGCTTATCCCAGCCACCAAAAACCACTGTTGTAGTTAAAAGAACACATCCGTGTTCACCTCATCGTGAGACAATTATTTCTAGATTCGATCAAAAAAACAATTTCTGCAAGAAACATGTAATTAAGTAACTTTGGACCCACTGAGCTAGTGGGTAACAGGAAAAGTAATTTTCTTGCATAAATGCTAATTCTGCTGAGTGATTGATAGCCACTGCATGTTTCTGGATAAGGTCAGGATTGCATGCAAATACTTTAGACTTTATAAACCCACCTCCACGAGTGGTGTTTATCTGTTTTGTACGTGATTTACCTCAGTGAATATCGAAAATAAAAGTCAGTCAGAATTTGATCCAGTTCATTTGTGCATCTCGAGTGGAACAAGTAATAAATAAGTTTCAGAAATGTCGCAAAATAAGCTGATAAACGTTCTAATTTCAGCAACGCTTCTTTTACAAGTGACGGTCTACTGTCAAAATAGTTTAGAATTGGAAGAAAATATTGGAAATAGTTTACTATCATCAACTACTAGTCCATCGTCCACTCATGAATTAAACACTCCAATTACAGTGACCATTGTGCAATCAAATGAGGAAAACACTGTCCCCACATCTAAAGTATTTCCGTCGGCAATACACGAAAATGTTGGATCCCCAAAAATTCCTACAGTCTTGCACGAGGCCACCACGAAGTTGTCTTCTACAAATAATAGAAACAGAGACAGAAGCCGAAATAGAAGCCGCAACAGAAACCGAGATGGAGATACACGTAGTTTCGCACGTGGCAGAAATTTTGATCCAAATCGCAACAATCCGGACAAAGTATTCTTTCGACGACTCGTACGACTTGGTTCCAACTTTGTAGCTCGATCTCTCGGACTTGTTACAGGAAATGACCCTCAAATTGAGAGCAGCAGTGAAGACAGGTTCAGAAATATTGACGAAAATACTGAATTTTCACCTTTCATAGGATCCGTGAAAAATTCCAGTCAAGAAGACAATCAGCAATTCTTCAACAACAACAAATGGCGAAATGTTAATCCAGTAAGATTAAAAATTAAAGGATTCTTAATTAAACTTCGTTTGCAAAGGGTTGATAATTAAATGCGTGTAATTTTTTTGTAGGCTCAACTTTTACAGAGTCGATTTTTGATTAAGCAAAACAAAATGCAACGTTGGAGAGAGGTAAAAGACGACTTCCGAAGAAAAGAGCTTGAGCGAAGAGTTGATTTCTTCAATGATAACTCTGGCGATGTGATAACCAGAAACGCTCGGAATGTTATACGAAACCTGGTAAATCGGTTTGAAAAGAACACGGAAACTATGCAGCTGTGGGTTGACTACAGGAGACAAAGGCTGCAAAGATTTCTCCAAATGCCATTGGTTTCCTCCATTTTGAAAAATAATACTGCCAGCATTACAGAAGACGACAATTCGACGACCACTGGAATTTCCTCATCATCCTCAAATGAGAATGATCAGGACGACGTCAGGGAAGTAGACGATGTCAGCAACGATTATTACAGACCCTTCAATCCTATTGCTGACATATCGAGGAAGGTCATGAGATTCATTCAAAGCATTTAGGATGAACAGTACACAATACAAATTTATGTTCCTACACATGTACTTCATAATGTTATTATATTGAAAATATTTATTCTTTTACTTATATGTTATCTGTTATATTATATGTAATCTTCAAAGGTATACTCTGTAATAAATATTCCGATTCCATCGAATTATGTATGCAATGTCTATGATGTATTGCTGTTGTAAAATAAAATCTTCCGACTTAAATTAATGAATGCAACTGCATAAAGAAAAATTATTATAAAAATCCGTATGTATTTTAGCTCTTACATCTTGTTTAAATTATAAATCAGTGGTTATCACTGTGACTGCAAAGGGTGTCCTCGCATTAGTCTTAACGTAATATAATTTCCTGCTAATATTTTGGACTGGGGTGTACTCGCCCATAATAACCTTAGTGTTTTCCAGAGTTTTGGGACAAATGCCCTTCTCCAAATTATCCAAAGTATCGCATTCATTGGATAAAAACACTCGTTGATTGTGGTATCGAATACTTTCTGCATAATAAAAGTAACTTCTGCTATGACTGCAGAGCGCAGGTAGCTTTTGAAGTTGTAAAACACAACCGGGTTGATGTGTTCCGTAGTTTGGGTAGAAGTCACTAATTCAAAGATATTGATTATTATTTAATTAAAGTTTTTAAAGCGAGGATTGTTAAATTGTTACCTGTGTCCCATTGGCGCTTTAATGCCGACTGGAAATGGAAGGAAACCGAAGGACAACGCTCCAAGAAGTTTCCACTGCTTCGTTGCAGTATGGATTACCTGCAATGACCAAGAAAAACACATGGCCGACTTTTGCTAATTCAATATTTGGCTAGATGTATTTACGAACATCAATAAATTCAGCATCCGTATAATCCAAACGTTCCGCTGGAGGACGATCCACAAAAACCGGTCGAGCTGGATCAATAATTCGTCCATAATTTTATTTTAATTGCTTATCACCTATTTAGCAGACCCTTACATAGGCGAATTTTATTAACAATTAATAATTGCTTGAAATTCGAATATCTCTCAAGAGACTAGTGATAGACAATTTGTACGTATGCAGTTTTTATTACCTGGATCAAACGCTGTGATCCTCGGAAGTTTACCAATCCTTATAAATTTGCCTGTGAACCCCGCACAGTGTGACCTTGAATAATTCCCAACAAAATACACTTTCCTGATTATCAAAATTAACACTCGGCATTTATACCAATTTCACATTAATTCTACTAAAGCTTACCCTAAACTATGTCCCATTACGTGTACTTTTTCTAGCGTGGTGTAATTGCTCTTTATAAGAAACTCAATCATTTCTGCCGTTTTACGTCCAACATGTTTCGTACTCTGTGATGCGATATCATAACAGATTCCATCACTTGCTGTGACCAGATTTGCCAATGCTTCCCAATGCACAGCAATAATGTTAAACTTTTCTGGCACTTTTGCATAAGCTACACAATTCAAATATTGTTACATTGATGTGACGCAAATAACTTGAGTTACTTAATTTCCATTCAAAAATGTGAAATTTTTACCAGCTCGAAGCGTTGGAGCTGGTCCAACAAATGCTGATGACATAAAACCATGAATAATAACTTTCACTGGAGCACCTTTGATGAAATTGGAATGTTGTAGCGAGTGAAGATCATTAACGAGCAACTCCTCAAAATCGAACAGTCCCAGCGTCTTCCTGTCAAGAGTACAATTTCAAATTTATAACAATGAAGTTTATGGGACCTCATATCATATCTATTTACTTTGTGTACAATAAGAACCGAATGGTGTCCAGCCCAGGAATGCTTGAAGCATGACAAGTCATGAAAGCTCGGGTTAATTTCCCCCCTTTAAGCTCATTTGGCCAGAAGAAAGGAGTTTTGGCACCTCCTGAGAAAAAAAATGTCAAACATCAATACGGATTAGTTATAATAATCTCATCTTGGTCTCCCAGTACATAAATTCTTAATACCTCTCTCATCATTCCCTTTGCCCTTAGGACAACAAAACACTCCGAGTAATAAATGTTTGGATAATCTCTTATCTTGATTGTCCAGAAATTGCTCGTCCTGAAAAGTTTCTGGCAGTCGAAAATAACCAGATTTACAAATACTATCATCACTTCTATTGTAGGTGTCACCACTGTTATTAGAATTAATGAATGAATGAAAATAACAGTCGATCCTAAGTTCTTCTGCGACAATAATTGTTGTAAATAATATTTGTATTAATGTGAAAGTAGTCCAGAATGTTAAGCATGTGCAATTCATTTCGGCTTCGTTGACGATGTCTTAGAGAGAGAGAGAAAAAACGTTATTTTTACCAAGCTAAATGTGAAACACGACTGTATCGACTCTGCCTGCGATGGTCAGCAATACATATTTGCTGGTTTGTAATTAGCCCGATAAGAATTCAAGGTGGGTGACCTACTAATGTGTCATTAAGATGTAAACGCTTTCGCAGTCACGACCAGAAAAAATAACATGCAAAAAATACTCCGCTCTCGGCTAAAAAACAAATATACTAAACTAATTGCTTCTTATTAGTCGTAATAGTATTTATTTTTCATAGTCAGTAAATCGGTGTCTCATCTTGGCTCCAGGTTCGGTTGGACATTTTCAGGAGGTGAGATGAGACTGAGACGATTTCCAATTTCTTGCTTTGCCCCTCCCAAATCAACCCGTGCACACCAACACCACCGGTTTTCACGAAAATAGTAAAACGAGTGACTCGATCGCTGCGTGAAAAAATTACAGTATTCTGTTTAAATTCTAAATTAATATTTAAGAACTTAACTTATTAGGGTTGGTTCCTGGTTGAGAATGAGCAAAGGTGTATCGAACGGGGTGGGGAACCACGAGGGGGAAGAGGAGGCAGTGGGAGGAATGTACGCCATGCCTCGACCTTACGAACTCCCAGCAGATGTTCAACTCCCAAAAAGCATGTATGCCGTCGCCCCCATCAATAAGACCCCCAGTTCCAGTGAGGCTGCCTCTGTGTCCAACTCCACCCATGACGTCCTCGGGGGCAGATGCATCTCAAGGTGGGTAGTAATATTATGCAGTAGTATCGTTTGAAACCTTATTCATCAATGCACAATGACCAAGGTCGACAAAGTAATTAATCTGGCTATGATGGGTGGATTTTTGCAGAGGCACGTTAACCAAAAATTCAAAATCTTCCGGAGCACAGTCTGATGACGCTATGAACAGCCTGGAACGAAAACAGTTGAAGATTATCGAGCAACTTAAATCACTACAAAATGTTATCACGAATATTCACCAGAAATCATTTAGCAAAAGTGAAACAATTGTTGGAAGCAGTCACGAAGTTGCACCAGCCTGTTCGGAGGGCAAGCAATTACTTACGAAGGAGAATATTGTAAGCGAATCGTCATTATAAATCTCATTACATTCGATCATTGAATTATTTTGATATTGAAAGTGTTTGAATTTTGTTTAATAGGATGTCGTTATTCATGCAAACCCAAACGAAGCTCCATTTTCTTTGATGTTCTTTGCAAACCTATTTGAACAACATTACGAAAATGCCGTGGTCAGTATAAAGTCGCATATTCACTCATCTTACAAAGGTACCGTCAACATGGATGCGCTATCTGTATTCAACCAGGAAAAGGATGGAGCAAACTTTCGGTTCACTGTGATATGGAAAAATGGTATGTGTTTATTTTATATCTAGTTCAAATGCTTGCTATAAACATCAAACTTTCTATTTGTTGACATGTTTTTATTTATATATTTTAGTTGACACTTGCACCTTGATAATTACTCCGATTGAGTCGACCTACATCATTGGAGAGGCTAACATGGCACGGTTCCTCTCGCGATTACTACCCACCACAAATGCATCTCTAAATTATGACTGTCTAAACTGGGAGCGATTGGTGCGAGTAGATTCGCTCTTGGATGTCGCCCATGAAGAAAATGTAGTATCCCTTGTGGAGAAGGAACTAAAAAATACCAATAATAATTTCCTGACTGGCCAACCTACTATTGCTGATCTCGTGATCTACTCTTCCGTTGCCTCAAAGGTCGTCGCATCAAAAGGGGAGAAAAATGCACCTGCCAGTGTCAAGAATTGGTTCAAGCAACTGGAAATCGCGTTCGGGTTCTACAACTCTATGAATTAATGATCCACTTAATAAAAATGCCCACAACCGTTAAGCTTGTCTTTTACTACTGTTGATGGAATTCGTATGTCACACGATAAGCAAGAAATCCGATATTTATGAAGTTGTGATGAGATATATACTTAACTCCTCGACCGAATTTGGAACGTGTGAGAGTCATAAATCAAATAAATTAAGCATGGCTAAGCTGAATCTACACTGTAAAAGTTAGTAGTCCCCCAAGAATTCTGTGAGAATTTTCACATTTCTTCAATATCCTTGTCAATCTAGGCAACATTGCAAAACACTTAAAGTGTTCCGCTCATCCATTCATGCTACATGAATTCCATAGGCTATACATATGCATAAGCACAACATTTCTTGGCTACAATTCTGCAACAACGACAACTGTGCTCGCACTTTTACTATAAATCCTTTCGTCCTTTTCGTTGTTAATTTTAGCTTTTGTAGCATTTTCACTAGAAAAAAATAATTTGCTCATTTTTTTCATTTCTGGCATCCAAAGTAGAGAGATTTGCAATATATACTCGCAGAACATCTCATTTCAACTCAAGCGAAATGGATTTTCCATTTAGAAAGTGCACTATGTAGTTAGTAGTTGTTTTGCATGTGTTTCCCTTTTCATTGTTCCAGGCCTTTAACCACAGCTCACTAAAAATAGAACTCGGATCTCACAAAAAATGCAGTGTCAGGTTTTTCATTCACGCTTGTTGTTTTTTTATGGCATCATATTCATTTTACATTTCTTGCGTGATTATGCATGCATATTCAGTTTTTAATTAATCACATGCTCTGATTCTGATTAAATATAGATTTTTGCGACACAAATTTCCTCAAGTCCAACATACTACGCATTATTTCAAAGCAGCATGCAGCAAGTCAAAAATTAATTAAAAGCACTTTTCGATGGAAAAGTGTGCGTTTTGTAACAAGACCTCCCAAGTTTTGCAACTGTGCCCTCAATGTGAAAAGGTGTGGTATTGTAATGAGACTCACATGAGCCGTCATTACGCCCAGCACCAGTCAGAATGCTTTCCTGCCCTCGTTCAGTCTGAGGAGGGGTGTGGTCGCTATTGGGTCGCAACGCGGGACATTTCCAAGGGTGAGCTCATATTTACAGAGACGGCACTCTGTAATGGCCCCAATTCTGAGAGTCCTTCTTTCTCCCCCCTCTATCCAACCTGCTTGGGATGTTCGAGGAGCACCAACACGTCGCATTTCTGCTCAAAGTGTCATTGGCCCATGTGTTCCAAGCAATGTGAAAAAGTTCCACAACATGCTGACTTTGAGTGCAAAGTGTTTCGCAAGAATAAGGTCCATTGGTCAACGAGACCTCAATACTATTTGTACATTCAGCTCCTTCGTGCCCTTCTTCTGAGCACCGTCAATCCTTCAGCGTTTGAGAAAATGATGCAACTAGAGGCTCACGTCCAACCCAGAAAAAAACATCCTGAAGAATCTCAACTCTCAAAATCTTTTTACAAATTTCTCACCGAGGAGTGTAATATTACCCACCACGATTTTGATTATGTCGATCGAGTTGTGGGAGTCAATCGTATTAACTCTTATTCTGCGGATGTTTTAAGTACAAAGTCCAAAAAACGGTATGATTATGATTTTTTTATAAATCATTTTGACGTAATTAGTCCTTGAGTCTTATAAAATTTTACAGAAATTGCACAGCTTTGTTTGGGCAAATGAGTTTGCTGAACCACGACTGTCAACCCAATACTCGGACAGTCATTTATGAAAACAACTCGGACCTTTCTTTAAGCCTCGGCCTGTTCGCTTCCGTTGACATTTGGAAAAATCAGTGCATAACACAGCAGTATCATCCTGTCGTGAAAGGAACAATGGTTCGTAGGAAGGCGTTGAAGGAGTGGTTTTTTGACTGTGTTTGCAAAAGATGCTCTGACCCCACCGAATTTGGAACCTACTTTTCTTGTCTAAATTGCTGGAAGTGTGAAGCAGGATTTCTGTGCCCAGTAAATCCGTTAGACGAATGCTCAGCTTGGGTGTGTAACCAACCAGACTGTGGTCATTCTCTAACGCCAGCCGAAGTTCACACCATCATCACGGAGACGGAGCAGGAAATTGCTAAAAATGAAAATAGTGTTCCTCAACTCGAAACTGTGCTGGATGAACTGATCTCAAAAAAACAAATTCATTGTCATCATTACTTGGCAATCAGTGTGCAGTATGACATTACACAGAAAATTGTGAAAGCACTGAACAACGAGTGTGAGGTGAATCTAGTTCGGCGTGGGTCTCGTTACTGCCGGAATATTTTGAAAGTTGTCAACGTTCTTTGCCCCGGATTCAGCTATTACAGAGGAGTCATTTTGTATTTTTTGGCCAATTGTTTCTTTGCTTTGCACGAACTGGACGAGTTACATGAAAGCACAGATTGTGATATGAAAGAACTCAAGGAAATCATTATGGAAGCAATTGAAATCATGGAGGTTGAGCCTGAAGACAGCACTTATCACGCAATGGCTGATGAGCTCGAAACTTATCTAAAAGCTTTATGTAATTCTAAATAAATTATGCAACGTATTGAGCACAGAACTTGACCATGGGTTGAAAATAAACTCAATTTCAATATTAATTTCTTCAGAAGTATTTCTTCAAGTGAGAAAGGGTATTGACAAAGTCGAGATATGTGTACATACATGAGACATAAATTCTAATGCATGCGTAGATTATGTAAGATGCATAAATATGTACAAAATTGTGCCATCGTCTTCATCAAATGGAACACATGGGTGATTTTAGCCGATAATAGGGTCCCAGATACACAGTTACTGGTCTCAATTCACCGTTCATCGTGGTCATGGGTCCATTGTAATACCGAAAGAACGAAGATCTCCCACGATTTTGAATATTGAGATTGCACAAATGCTCCCAACAGTCCATCCATCCAGAGAATTTCCTGGTGAGGAACGGTGCCTGCCCGATGATCATGGACGAATTTTGGACTGTCATTGTTGCAGCCACTACGTCCAGTTGATAAGCAAATCTTTCCGTCAAAAGCTGAAATGGTTTTCTAGGTTAAACCGAAATTTTAATTTTAAATGACACAAGTAAAAATTACCTTGGCTAGACCCGTTACACTGTTAACCAAAAGTCTATTGTGAAAAACTCTTGTAATCGCAAGAAATACGGCTGCTGGGAACATTATTTTTAGATTTTCAGACAGCAGACGAGGAACCAACCCCTTAAATAATCCTGGAAATTTATCAAAGTTCAATCATAGGAACAATTAGAGTAATCAAAATTAGAGTGATGACACCTAATATGTAAATATTTAAATTATATGTACATATGCATAACCTACCAAAAAACCCATCCTCATTGAGTATGGCTTTTAACGAGCTACAAATTGACCTAATCGTCAAATAAGTTAAAATCAGTTTCATCTAAAACAAAGTATGATAAGTATTTACTTAATTAATCTAAAATTTCTCACGTGTATCTTCCCTCACGTCCCACAAATTGGGCAACCATTCGAATCGTAATGACATAAAGTGGGTGTGAAACCATCGTACCGAGTGAAACGGTGAACATCCGCCAGCCTGTTGTCATCAATATGTCCAGAACATTTGGAGGACATTTACTGTTGCAGTTTAGTCTAAGGCTCAAAAGATTGACACGGCTTTTTCCTGGGGGACGGTGTGAATCCCATTTTGGTTGATAAGTTCCATTGACATAATTTGCAACAAGGGTTGCGGCGAGGTGGTGACAAATTGTTGGCGCAAATCCGCGATAACAGCCTTGAACTCCGTCAATGGAAATCATATATCGTACTATCGGGGTTTAAACAAGGGTCAGGTCAGGTCAAACTAGTATTACTAGAATAATTTATTTGAGTGGATACCATAACTGAAGGAATTTGGCAAGGCTAGGCAGGTGTCACCAAAAAATTTCTCACGCTGAGGAAAGATTGGTTCATATCCAATCTATGTATCATTCGAATCACAATAAAAATTACGAGATGCTGATTCTAAGCAGTTCTAAAAGTTAGGAAGAACACAATGTACAAGAACCTCGCACTTTCATCAACGTTTGGGCGCATTCGAAGGGATATGAAATCGTATGTTGGACCAAATCTTCCAATGTGATCCCCATCATTTCGTCAAGTTGGACTGGAGTTGATTTTCTAACCTGGTTGGGCATCATTGGAAGTCGTCTTAATCCATTTAGTATTTAATACACAACATGATCATTGATTATTGACATTTTATCATCCTACACAATACACTTGCACGATTACTTGACTTATCTAGGAAACGCTTGGGTGTCTATAGAGAATATTTTTATAAAACACCAATGCAAATACATTCACAAGCGTCCGAGATCATTCTGTCCCCACGACCTCCTGACTAATAATTAGTTATTATTAATCCTAATTCTATGTTGTAATAATTTTGCTTTGTAAGCAAAGCAAACATGGCATGTTTAATGTTCACTCTAAAACTTAACCACTACTGTTTGTTCGTATAGGCCAACATGACTATAATATTTTGACATTTTCTCTAATAAAAAAACTAGCATCGACATTCCAAGTGCAATGATCAACAAGTAAAACATTATGACTCCATTCGAATCCAAACTTTGTGGTCGGAATAATTTTTCCTCCTTGTTATATCTCTCCTTCAGAATTTCAATCTCACGTTCGCTTTTTAACAGCGTCAATTTCTTTAAAAACTTGTAAAGGCCTGATTGCACAATGTACCCAATCCTTTGAAAAACACCGAATCCAGTTTGAGCTATTTTCCATCCAAGCCTGTGCATATGAAATTTACTTTTTCCCTTGTAAAAGGGGATGTTGGGAAAATATTTCCGTAAGCGAATCAGCGTTTCCTCCATGTTACTTTCCAGTGCGAAATAAAAGATTTTTTTGCCACAATCCTCACTTGACATTGTTTTTCCGATATCTTTCAACTCGTCTAGAGTTGTTGTTAGCTGATCAATTATTTCTTGCATTCCATTGCAAAACTTTTCCGACATCTCATCTCCAAAATATGTAAGTTTTCGCGAAGATGACCAGTACTTTAAGGTGCGTTTATGCTTCACGTAATCGTCACGTCCTCCTCCAAATCCGATTTTTTGATTGGTTAAAATTTTTAATTGTCGTAGTGATAATTTAGTTCAGCCAATCAAAAAATCGGATTTGAAGGAGGACGTGACGATGACGTGAAGCATAAACACCACTTTAGTTTGCTATTATGACAATCATACAGCGCATGCATGAGGTCCACTCCCAAGTCCGTATACTCTTCATATCGTTCAGAATTTTGATGACTCTGATTAAACATTTTTTCTAGAGCCGTTTTCAATGATTTCTCGCCCGTGAAGCTGATCAAGATTGTAGAGTTGTGAATATTTTCGATATGATGCCATTTTAGTACTTGAGGTTTTTGAGCAGTCAAATTAGTGATGCCCAATCCAATATAATAGTTGACGAGTACAATGCAATTTAACAAAAACGTACCAAAAATTACTCTGAACAGGAATTTAAACTGTTTTGAACTCCTAGTCTTGTAGACCTTGTGGTCACGATTTACTCTCCAATAAAATTGAGAAAGTATGGCAAATGTCATTGCTTCTGCCAAACGGAAGGCGAAAATTTTTGCCTTTTCCTTCGACAGCTTGGGTCCTTTTATCACATATCTGAGAACAAAGCATCCCAACAAAGGTGCAGCAACCATGAAGAATGTTAGCGTGGTCCAGATCCATACGTCAAACGGATTGATATACGCATTAAAATCAAGTCCTTTGCTGAAGCCGTTGCAAGTAATGAAGTTGAAACTATCCATGTCGAAGATAACATGGTGAAAGAATGGATTCGGATAGGAATTCTGCCTCACGACAATTTGTGGGTACGAGTCACGTCCATACGGAAGCCTTGTGACGTTCAACCATCGCGAAGTTGTCCCAGACTTTGTTAGCACCAACTGCAAGAGGAGTTTTGTCAGCAAATCTTCTTCGGAACTGGAGGAAAATGCGATGGTTTGAAGATCGATCTCTTGGAGAAGCGGAGATGAAGCAGGGTCATATCCTATTTCGTGTTGAGTAAGTTTCCAAATATAATTTAAGCCCTCTTTATGAATTTCAAGCACTTTTGGGCGAAAAATGTCAGGGAGAAATGATCCCATTTGGTGAAAATGGTATCTGAGATAGTCGCATTGTTTGCACACATACCACATTTCCAATATTTCAAGTGAGCTTGATAACCCGATAATAAATGTGTCGCTTGGAATTACGTTCTCATTCTCAATCAAGCCGTAGCTTAGGACAGGAGTAAATTTTTTTGCAAACGTTTTATGGTTTGAATTTAGAAAAATGTAAATAATTTCACGAAAGTGTGTAGTTACAATTTTAGAGGTTTTATCAATTGGTGAGATTAGAGTATTTGGACCTTCAAATATTTGTTGTGTTGAACTCCAAATTGGAATAAGGAGGATAATTGCGATTCTGAGAATATATTTTGTATGCGTGTGATAAAATCGTTTTCCATACGGAAATGTATCCATGATGTCCAAATTGCTAAATAGATGGACTGGAACATTGTGACATATTGAATAAACGGCGTCATCGCTAAAGTCGCTCCTTTCCAGTTGATTTATCAGATTGATATAGGTGTCCTTGAAATTGTATGAAAATTGTTCCAGGGATGTCGACAATGTGGTTGGGCTGGGGGATTGGCGTCCCAGTGAATGCAATTTACTGGGGTAGTGGTCAATCTTCTTGCCTTTAGCTTTTCTTGGTGTGACTGCTTGTGGACAAGTGTTAGACTCAAAGTGCAATGCTTCTTCTTGAAGCAAAATCTCAGTGTCACACATACAAATTGCTATGCCAAGTATTAAAATGCGTACAAGCAATATTGCTTCAACCATTTTAATATCAATTAAGACTAGCTTATTGGTTTTAATTTGTGTAGTTTAACAAAGACGTCTCAAATTCATTCCGACAAAACAATGAGCTGGACAATATTGTCTTTTCAATCACACTACTTTGCATTTTGTGGGGAAAGTAGTAGATCGTTGGTAAATATCTGATTGAAAATGCAATTTCATTAATCCAGGGCGTGTCATAAATCGAAGAATATATCCTTGATGTATTGATTTTATTATGTTTGAACTAAATAAGTATGTACAGTACGAGCTCGTATGTATAGCATGCTTTATCACTAATAACCCTCACATTACATTGAAAAAAGAACAGCCTTATGTGAACCATAATGACATGTGGCTCGCCGAATCTGTGGAGTGTGTGCATCTGTACTTTGCACCAAATATGTATAAGTAGTTTATTTCATGAACCACATGTCAATTGTGCAAATTTTACTGAATAGTATTTTTCCGATGCATACAAATATCTATGCAAATTTTATTGTAAATAATAATTTATTACACCTCAAAATTTATAACGCTATAATACTTTACTTCCAAATCGAGCGAGGTCAGCCACATTGTTCTCGCTGCCTTGAACTTTCCCCACGCAACCACGTCGAACGGATCGGATGGTTCCGTGTGGGATTTGCACTTGGCTGACATCCGTGATAAGGTATGGTTTGTACTCGGAAGAAGGTTCTGGGTAAAGGCAGATGGAATTTCCAATGTATCCTGGCTGGTCATAAACGGTCCATGGGGAAGCCCCCGTGATGATAATGGACTTGTGATTCCCTGCAAGGTTGAGGTTCGGCAAGTCGGCGAAGGTGTACTCCTCATCCCCCTGGAAATAATCCTCCGCGTAGAGGGTGAAGGTGTCGGAGCGGAAATCTTGAGGGGAGCCAGCAAACCTCGCCGAACTCACGTATCCTCCCACCGTGACCAAATTAGTGCAAAAGTTGCTAGAGCCAAATACATATTCTACGCCACTCAAATCACCCGTGTTATATATGGAGTTGACATAGAAGATCCACCTGCGTAAACAATGGCAATGGTATTAAAGTAAAGTTTTATAATGTGCCAATTTGGCATGATTTTGGGTGTACTACATATTATTGCTTAATTTGAGCCTCTTACATTCCAGTGACACAAACGGATTGTGCTCGGTTGTCGAAATTGTTCTGTTGCAAGTCTGGAGCGTAGGTCTGAGGAATTATTATGTACTCTCCGAGCTGGTTTCGAGATTCGTAGAGGATGGCCCTTTGTTGGACTTGTTGGCCGATGATGGTCTGCACGGAGAGGAGGAGGAGGACGCAGCAAATTCGTTGCATGGTTGATGGCGAAAAAGGGTACTTGGTAGTGGGAGGAGGATCAGGTATTTAAAAAATATGCAGATTCAATTGTTATATGTAGCTGTTGAGCTAGCTTGGGAGAGTGTGTAAATTTGAATGTGATGAGGAGATCAGAATCACACATTTTTATATCATTTTCAACCTCAAATCAGTCAGGATTAACAATTAACAACCACATGCGCCTGGAACTGATGATGGTTACATAAAAATGATCAACAAATTCAATATTTTGCACTTGAATGTAAAGTTCTAGTGAAAACACATTTATTTGATGAATGAATGATGATGAAAGTGGATACAATAGCATGGCTTATCTAGGATATCAGTAATATGATGACGTCCTGCACTCGACAATTAATTCAATTCTTGTGCAAATAAGGAGATCCAGCAATAAACAAACTGCACTGATACAGATTATATCCTGTAGTGGTTCGTGGTACTCTGGTAAAGGATCAGTTTGTTTTGGAGCACACAATATTTTTAATAATACGTGCACGTAAACATCCATTTGGTCACAAGTACTCACAACAACTTGGATTTGTTTTTATGATGCATTATTCCTCAAGTGATTCTGCGTATGATACTTGATTCGAATTCTGAGACAGGAAATCCAGGATAAAATATTGTTCATGTGTTATGAACAGGACTAATGGACAGATATTCAACTACATACGGTCGAGACAAATTGGTCAAGTTATAGAAAATATTTAATTTATATAGAACACAGAACCCTTCATGTACGAATGCCAATTAATCATGATTTACAATTGATTCAAAACAAGAATCCTTTCGAAAGGACATCACTGGCCAGGCAATTCCAGGTGAATCTCCGTTTGCCGTTTTGACATTGGGATTCAAGAATACGAAAGGCTCATTGACAATGCCAGTGGGCGATGATTTTTTCTCTGCTTGAATGCAGATTGATTCGCCTTGGAAGTTACTTTTCTCAAAGAGTCTCCATCCCAAGGATCCCGTTACAATTATAGAATTCCTTACGTCGTTGTTCAAACTGGCGTCGGAGTCGGTAAAATATTCCTCTTTTCCTTGGAAGTAAATGTTGGAGTAAAAAGTGATGGAATCGCTGGCAGTATCAGTTGCTGACCCCACGAATCTCAGAGAGGACGCCTTGCCCTCAATAATTTTCAGGTTGGAGCAGTACGAATAGCCAGACACGTATTCCATATCTCCCATTTCCTTTGTATTGTAATGTGAATGTTCGTACAATAACCACCTAAATATAAAATTGAATATTCTTATTTTGCCGAATGTGCATACATAATATTTACTTTTTTGGTACTTTATATTTCAAAAGCTATGTATTCCTTACGTTCCGTTGACGCATACCGACTGGACCCGATTATCAAATTTTTTTACGGAAAGATCTGGAAAATATGTAGTAGGAACAAAAACTGATTCGCCGGTTTGATTTTTACCTTCGTAAACAACAATTGAGGGGAGAATCGGATAATTGGTACAAGAAACTAAATGAACCCCAAATCCTGATAATAGTACCAAAATTGTATGTAACGTCATTTTGAAAGCAATAAGATGTGGAGTACAAGTATAATAATTTTGTGGAATCGTGATCAACTGGTGACCTTTTTAACGACTGTGAAGAAATATTCGGTCATTTAGGGCGAAGTATGATTATTTTTGGGGATTTGCGTACGCGTGAGCATGTGCATGTAGATTACGAAGAGTTAAATATATGTATAAATGTATGTCTTGCAATCTTAAACCAATATTTGATTTGATTAATCTACTTTGATTTGAAACTGGAAGAATGTGCGGGCAGAACGGTGATTGTTATGTGCATATCGTCGTTGAAGCTGCCAAAAGAGCCAAATCCATTTTGTGTCAATTGACACAAAATGGATTTGGCTCTTTTGGCAGCTTCAACGACGATATTTGTTATTAGATCATCAAATGTTTGCTGTGAACTATGGATAAACCTTTTATCGGAAAGTGTTATGATGGGTTAATGACTCAATCTGGTCATCTGGATTTTTGATTGAACTAACATCCTGCCCTAAATTTGCAACTAGTGTTTAATCTTATTCCTCAGGGTGTTTCAATTTCTGTATGTACATACATTTAACATGCATACATACATACATGACTGTTATATTTACGTATATCCGTTCATCTTTTAAGATAATAATTCAGTATTGATGTATTTATATTCACAAGAAGATGAGTTCACAGGTTCTGATGTGGTAAATTAGGTCGGTGGGGTCCATTACACCAAAATTGAAGAATACGACCCCCACTCAACCTGATCGCATGACTTCACTCATGCAAAGCTGCTGCAACTTTTCATACACAAATCAATATGAATATTTCCTTATGATTCAACATGTGCATTTCCTTTGTATGTACTGAAATGTTTGCATTTCACGTTTCTAGGAGCCTCGTCGCCCAACTCAAAAGCTATATGCAATTGAAAATGATGGTTTGAGCATGACATGACGCATGTATCTGGATGTACATGTATTTTCATATTGTGATGCAGGTCAAATTATTTTTCCACTAACCCAACCAACAAAGTTTAGCATTTGATACCATCAGTCAACCATTTGTTGTTCAGAACTATTTATTTGTTAGTCTAGTCAATTCACATGTCAATCTGCAGCAAAAATACCTCGGCACGTCACTATTATTATTATTATTATTGTTATAGAATGTAATAAAATACAAGTATTTTTAAACGTGGAAATGCAACTGGATCCTGTTCCAGTCATGTTGCTGTGCATCAATTAACATATTTGATCCTGTACATGTTTGGACTAGAAGATTTAATGACGCATCAGACATTATGCACTCCCACTTCCCATTATTTGCTTGTGATTAAGTAATAATAATTATAATGTCCAACGTTAGTTTGTCAACTGACTCAAATTCACATGTGAATCCAACTTTGCACTACATTCTCTCTGTTCCGGGATGGCTAAGGATTACGAATTTGGTAACAAGTGATTACTGTTTGCTCATCAACAAGTTTTACGTACTGGAGATTGTTATTATTATATTTGTCGATTCGTAGGCTTTGGGGTTATTGTGCATAATATTGTCATCGATTGGCCATAGTGACGATTTCCGAGGGGAGGGTGAAGCGTGGGTGCCCTACGTCTACTATTATGGGTTGGGCTACAACGAGGAACGAGCTAATGTCTGGAGCTTGATAGTTATCTGCGTGTGCTTTACCACGTCCTCAGTTTTCCTCTTGTTGCTGTTATCCACCGCAGGTGCAGTGAAGAGGTGGAGAGCTTGGGTAAATTGCATGCATGTAAACGATAACAACGAAGGGATGACAAGTAGATGCTGAAATTTAAAGGCTAATAGCAGTTTTCTTTTTGCTTCATGTTTTACAGAACAGATTTCTTAATCTGTCCTTAGCTTTTCTTCTCTTGACTGGATGGATTTCTGGCCTCTTGGGCTTTCTTCTTTTTCGTCAAGGATGCTGCAGAGTAGAAGTGTTTGGCACGGAACGAATTACACACGAATTGGATGGATATGCACAAGCTTGCCTGTGTCTGATTAACCCGCATAATGACCCAGATCGGTCGTATCCAGTTTTATTATACCAAGATGCACCAACGGGGATACAGTTTGTTAAAGTTCAACCGCATCATGCGAATGCGCACATTACAAACTTGGTAATAATACATACACACTTCATGATCTGTATTTCTTGGTATCTGCATTTGTATCTTGTGATTCTCATAGATTTCCATGCTTATCAATGTCATCGTTTACTTTGTTGCTGCGTTTAAGGTATGAAGAATGTCTGCATAATATATACGTAAGTGTTCAATCGAAGGTATGTGAGTACAAATAATGAGTCTTATTGTTGCTGGTTAGGATATTGTGAATTGTTTAATAAAACTATCTAAATATAATACAAACTGCATTCAAGGCGTATTGGAAAATGATTCAGTTTTATTTCCAGGTGTCGAAAACGAATTAACTAGTTGATTTCACATCACTTTTAGACATTGTGCTTTTTTCTGTTTTTGTATTACTTTCCAATTTAGGTTTGCTCGTGTGCTCCGTTTCATCCTAAAATATTATGAAATGGAATTATGGTAAACTATTGTATTAATATAACTAAATTTAGAACAAAGTTCAGTACCTCAACTTTGTCCTTCAACTTGGTTAGAGCTTCCTTAAAACTACTTTCAAGTGGTCTCAAATCGGAATTTTTGACAGGAATCTTGACAAAGTTTGTTTTCCCAGTTTGTTTCATAGTTTTTTTGTAAATTCCAATCTGTAATCACACATTATGTGATTAAAGTTTGACTGCAATACTAATATTAATTAGTAACGGCAGAATCATAAACCTGGTCCTGTTGAATCAAGGACACCGCTTGTCCCTCCCGACCAGCACGAGCACATCTTCCGATCCGATGAATATACGTTTTTGTGTATCCAGGCAGGTCATAGGATATGACGTAGTCCACACTTGGAATATCAATTCCTCGGGCCATTTGGTCAGATGTGATCAAGCTGTTATCCGTTAATGTAAAAATACACATGATCAACCAACAATTTACATGCTTTGTTTCAACCATACGTTAAAACCTTGCGTAATTTCAGGGGGTATCTCCCATAAGCCATGTGTTAAACTTTTAACACGTGTAGTATATGGACCTTTCCGGAAGATTCCATCCTACTCGTGTTAAAAGGGGGGTCTTGACCATTGGGTTTTAATGCATGGTTTCAACCGACAATTCATGATCTCCTGCATATGATAAATATAGATTACGCCACTTACATGTCAATGACGCCACTGGAAAATTGTTTTAGAACAAGATCTCTTGTTTTAGGATTCCATTTTGCAGATACTTCTCGAACATTTAAATGTCCCATAAACTTTAAAAGGAGACACAGTCGGTGAGTATTTTCTTTAGTGTTTGAGAAACACAAGACACGTTTCCACTTGAAGTGTGAAATTAAGTATGTCAAAACCAAGGGTTTCGTTTCTTTTTTGCACAAAACGAATGATTCAACAAGTTCTGTGGGTGTGGAGTACTTTCCAACAAATGAATCAGAAACTAAGGTCGAGCTGGAAGTTGTATTATTATCTTGCAGAGGAGCACCATCTTGCTCTCCACTATGCGTTTCTTTTACTACTTGTTTCCTCTCCACAACCGAGGTGAACAATTTTGGCTCAAACAAATGTAGCTTTTCTAATGATTCCGGATTTTGCGATAATGTAGCGGAAAATAAAAGTTTCTGGAAAGCTTTCAGGTGAGCTGGCATCCATTTTACAGTCAGAGGAAGAGATCTCCATTGGTTAACTCCTATGAAGAAACAGGTTTAATTGCAATTGTTCGTCTAATCTCCCAAGTATTAAAAAGATAATACACCAACATACCAATAGGATGCGAATCCCAAAATTTAGATTCCAACCGTTGCAGCCAGTCTCCTTCTTGGTCATCTAAAGTCCGATCTGCCTCGTCTACAACTAAAAATCTCAACTTGGATATATCAAACCCGTCGGTTTGCTCCAAATGGTCGATTAATCTCCCTGGGGTGGCAATTATAATGTCGTGTGGAGTCGCCAGTCTCCCTGTAGCTCCTAAAATAGTATGCATTACGAGTATGTTATTATATTTTAAATATGTTTGAAGAATGGGAGTGAATGTTGACGCTTACCAACTTTAACCAGAGCGTCTCTCTCAGCCGAAAATGTCAATCGTTTAGTAATAAGAAATATCGAAAGTCCACTACCAGCAGAATAAGTTTTAAACACAGAATATACTTGCGTGGCAAGAACTTCAGTGGGTAAAACTACAATTGCTCTGACACAAGGGTAAATCCTCGATACTTTCAAAATATGGATAAGTGGGAGCGAGTAGGCTAAAGTCTTTCCACTTCCAGTTGGAGCAGAAACACATATGTCAGACGGTCTATATAACTTTGGGCTGTGTCCTGAGATCAACCAAGGAATTACTTGTTGTTGAACTGGGAAAAAATAGGGAATAAAGTTTTGTTTTAAAATGTTAATGATTTGTGAGTCCAATCCAAAAGAGTCAATCGGAGCCTTGTCGTCCTTAAGATTGCAGGAAACGACGGAAGGATTTGATAGCCATTCTGGAAGGATACGTTTGACCTATGAAAGAATTAGTTATTTATTCATTGAATAATTTACAATTCCTAATTAATTGAAATTGTTGCGTGTTAACTTACAGTTTGTTGTTTAAACTGGTTGACATCTCCAATGACCGTGAAACCTCCAAAATCTACGCCCAACTCCGTTCCAACCAGAGCCGTCTTTTTGTTCTTCTCTTTTGCTCGTCGTTTAGCTCGCTTAGACAATGGTGTGCCAGCAACATTCGAAAGTTTGGGATCTCCTTGAATTTCTTCCTGCTTATCCTCTGTTTCTGCAGCCCCTTTTACTTTATTGACAACTGGCTCCTTTCTTGACATCTCCTTCTTCATCTTCTTCTTGTTTGGCACAGATTCGACGTGGATATTTGCTGCGTGTTTTTGAGTCTTAGTAGAAGCACTGTCGATTGTACGTTTTCTTGAGGTCCCATTCTCTGATTTTACTGGTATTTCCGTCAAAGATTTGTTTTCACCCTCTGCATTCACGATAGCCTGAGATTTTCGAATCTTTGCTTTCTTCAAAAGTTTCTTCAGTAGTTGTCGCTCCAATATTTCTTCTGGCGATGCCCCCGCACCCTCACCCTGTAATTGGTCACCACCATCGTCACCCAGATACCTGAAATAATTATCATTTATGAATATGAATATACTAATCTTATCAATCATATCAATAATCTTATGATCAACTCAAAATATTCAAATCATCATGTCTCATGAATTAATCACAAATTGTGATTCACAATGAATGATAAACGGGTAAAATATCAAAGCTCATTGTATGCAATTACTGGACTTATTGAAATACCTGTTTATTGGAAATATTGACATGTCTCCAGAATTTCAGGATCCGAGAAAACTTCAAACTTTATATTTTTACGATTTTTCGAAGTGCAGCAGGTAAAAGATCAGCACGTGTTTTCAAAGTACAGCAGAGTGAGGCTGATTTGAAGGACTGAGCCTCCCGCCACACCGCCTCTGACATCACAGACTCACAGATGACAAATACAGTTACAACAAATCCAAATCCTGCTAATACACGTGTAAATTAAATTGACCACTTGAATTTCACTTTTTGACCTCTTTTTATCCATAAATTACCTTTTCATAATTCTGATCCGACAAAAAATGGTGAGTTCATAACTTGGATATTTTATAAGTACTATAAACATTCCATGTTCCGTGAGATTATGTTGAGTTGAAATTTAAAATTTTTAACTTGCAAGAGATTGTAATAAGAATATAAGAAGTTCATGTTTTAAAGTTCAAAATATATCTTTAAAGAATAACAGCACTTTGGCATTCGAATATAAACTAAATAACACAATTTCTCTCGTTCTAAATTAAGGTTTACACCATCGACCTATTGCTGCTGCTCTGAAGTCAAATGTGGACGTCATGTTGGAAAATATTAGGTCAAAACCTACGGGATATACAAATCAAGCGTATTCACCAGTCCAGGAATTTGGTTATTCATCTTCACAAGAAAGACGTCGACTAACTTGGGTGGACCCCTCCCTTTTTACGAGCCCTTCTTCGTATTGTTATGGCACGGAGTTGCTGGTATCAGGGTGTCGAAATGAGAGACATGTTTGCCAGAAAAGGTCAGAGAAGAAATTTATCTCCGAGCAGTTTTCAAAAACAAAAAATGGATTCGCCAGCAGCATCAGTATCGCAAATGCATCGTGCCCGATCGAAATCTTCGTCGGAGAGAGTTGACGCCACAGACAGTTATTTTAATGGTGGTGGTACGCTTAATGATAAACGTGGTTCCATATCTTCGATCAAACATCGGAACGTCTATAATTTAGCAATATTCGACGTGGACAACAGCAGTGATCCGTTTTCAGAACGTAGTAATGATATTCATAATAATAATCTTGATAGCACTCACAGAGTTTCTGGTAGCACTCGAAATTTACTGGCCGGGAGAGAACTTATAATTGGAGAACGCATCAGGAGTAGAACTAGAACTTTAAGTGGAAGTGGTGATGTCGGTGACAGAAGTGGCAGCAAAAGTAGAAGTCAACACCATTCGTCGACCGAATCGAGATACGATGTTCGAATTGCAGAGTTAATTAATGTTGTGCTGCTCACCTGTGTGTTTGTCTTGGGGGTGCTTAGTGCTGTATTTGTAATTGTGTGCTATAAACATGGAGATTTTGGAATGGGTCCAGTCCGGGGAGGCAGAGGAAGAACCGAGTTATTTCAACCCTTTCCAGAAGCCGAACAACTTGCCGTCATCGATGAACATTATTTGGACCCTGTGATACCCTCGTTGGATGAATATCTTGAGGATAATGAGTGTGATGGGGAGAATAAATTGGGTATGTCCCTCACGATGCTTTTGGTCAATAGTTATTATTAATTTGAATTTAAATTCTATGCACCTACATTGAAAACATTTTATTTCATAGCACTGGAGCTGGAGGCGATTACGTCTCTGAGATCTGCCTTGGACAAAAAAGGAGAAGGGAAGTTGACCAAGGCTCAAAAGCTATTTCAACATGCCATGGCCCTTTGCCCACGAATGCCGGACGTGTTAACAGCATATGGTGAATTCTATGAGGAGACAAGACAAGATTATATGATGGCAGGTAAGAACCGAGTTATTTCAACCCTTTCCAAAAGCCGAGCAACTTGCTGTCATTGATGAACTTATTATTATTATGATGGCAGATCATCTGTATGTCCAGGCACTGACATACTCGCCTCGACACACAAAAGCACTCATTAACAGGAAAAGGACACTTCCTGTTGTTGAAGAATTGGATGAGAAACGCTTGAACCGAATTGATGCCAAAAGAGAACAACTCCTCCAACTTTCAGAAACTAACCGAGCTCTAAGAAGAATCAGGAAGGAAGCATACTTTCAGCATATTTACCACAGTGCTGGCATAGAAGGAAACACAATGAGTCTGGCACAAACCCGTTTAATTGTTGAAACCCGTATGGCCGTCGGAGGCAAATCCATCATTGAACATAATGAAATATTGGGATTAGATGCCGCTATGCGATTTGTCAATTCCAGGTATAATATTTGTAAAATAATCCATAAGTTATGAACAAGGTCTCATGACAAGTTCCGGTCAAAATGAATGGATTAATTATATACGCTGTTAATAACACATGAATTTAATTGATATGAACTTTCAGCCTGGTTAATCGAATTGGAAAAATCACAATTCGAGACATCTTACTAATTCACAAGAACTTGATGGGCTTTGTGGATCCTGGTGACGCTGGGCAGTTCCGTCAGACGCAAGTGTTTGTTGGAAATCATGTCCCTCCACACCCTGAAGAAGTTTTGGAACAAATGTCTCAACTTGTGGAGTGGTTGAACTCGGAAGAAGCACTGACACTGCATCCAATTCACTATGCCGCAATTGTAAGTGGATTATTTAATTTTTTATTGTGCTTTATGCTGTTTTATTGAATATGCATGATTTTCCATTAATGTAAATACCGTAATTGTGATAAACAACAGGCACACTACAAACTAGTCTGGATTCATCCATTTATTGACGGGAACGGCCGGACGGCTCGACTACTAATGAATTGGGTGTTAATGCAAGCCAACTATCCTCCTGTTATAATTCGAAAACAAGATAGAATCTTCTATTATGAACATCTCACCACAGCCAACAAGGGGGACCTTCGTCCCTTCATCAGGTTTGTGGGAGAGTGTACTGAGAAGACTATGGATGTTTATTTGTGGGCCACCCAAGAACACAACATTTTAGAACTTGAAGATGATCACAGTGAGAATTAACATTTGATTGAGGATAATGAAGATCTCAAAAAAAATCATCAATAATAAGTTATAAATCATTTGCACTGCTACACTGCTAGCCAACTTCCGGTGAAAATATTTTACACAAATAATAATATAATAGTAATAATACGACGATGAGGACGACTGAATCTATTATTTTAACTCTAACGTGATATAGCGATAAATGAAAAGTGAATATTACAATGTAGTACTATTCAATAGTTATATGTAAATGTACTTGGGGAGATTTTAATTATGGAGTCATTCATTTTAGTTTTAATTTTATTATGTTAATTGATTTCAATTTGATTAGTAACTTTGATGAGATGGGATGGAACAAAGCCTTCGACACCCAGAGATTTAAATATAATATAATATAAGCGTCCAAATGAAGGATGAAATTGTTTTATGAAATTGTATTGATAAGCACTTGAATAAACAACTTTGATACACCATGAACTTGTTTTCGTCTTATGAAAATGACGGTAATGCTCTGGAATGAGTCAACATTCTTCAATCTTTGCATAACGCAAGGTCAATAATGTGCACACAAATTGATTACATCAAATTACTGATCTGACAGTAATTTGCAGACTGCAAATTGCAGTCTACATTACAATCACGGAAATGAAGCAAGATGCCCACTCGCTCACGATGAAAGTAGGGCAGAACCCAGCGCGAGTAATGTTGACTTGATATTCTGCTCAGGTTGCTCCCACTTATGACTTCTCTATTTCACTTGCATTGCATTTTTACTACATTTTGTACATTCTTTTCTGTCCTGATAAGTCTAATCTGATATCAACAGAGGGTTTGTTGTCAAAACAAACTGTGGGGTTACATGATTATCGAAAGAGTTAAACCAAAGAGAGGAGAGAGAGATGTCGGAGATTCGTCAGGCGCAGGAAGCCATCAGTGAAGGGTTCATTTGTGCCAATTGTCGACGACAGTTTGGTGGAGTTTCCGAGCTACTCACCCACTACGAACTCTGTCAGAAGAAGGGGGGTGGTGGGGACGAAAACGGGGCGTCCTCCGGATTCAAGAGCATTTTTGGAAAGGCCAGACAAAAGTTGAAGTTTGAGTCACAACAAATCCAGTCACAGTTCCAGCAGCAGCAGCCATCGTGGTCCTCGTCGCGGGGTCCGCAGCAGGGAAGCGGGTTTCAGGACAAGTCCAGCCCCACACCCACATATTTTAATGACTTTGACACCTCCACGGACGTTCAAGGAGTGGTCCGTTCATCCTTTGAGGATTTCAGAAAAATTCGCTCAGGGCGGATGGAACGGTATGCTGCAGAAAGTAACAAGTTAAAGATAAGACTGTCCAAATTGGTCTCGGGGCTGGAAAAATTTCCTGGGCTGATGACAAAGTCTACTGCTGGATGTAAGCATAATGATCTGATTTGTACTTATATATATACTTATACTTATTTTTTATATAAGGAGAGTTGTGACTGGCTGGGGAAAGTAATATTGCTTTATTTTATTATAGTTCAGGACTCATCAGAATGGAAAGCACATGAAAAATCCGTGGTAAATTGGCTGGAGGAAAAACCCGTGACGAGATGTCCCGAATGTACACAAGCGTTTAGTCTGCTCAGGCGGAAGCATCACTGTAGACTCTGTGGATCAATTTTATGTGATGATTGTTCTGGGTTCATTCCTCTCGCAGAATCATTCGAAATACTGCATTCCGAAAGAAAAATACGCGAATCATCCGCCTGTGCTTCCATTACATTCCGAACGTGCGTCCATTGTGCCAGAATTTTAAGACAAGAGAGCCAATCCCCGTTCAGCAAGTATAATAAGAAAGGTGCAGACAGCACAGAGAAAACATTATTAGAAGTTTATGGCACGATCAGGGAAAAGATGGCAGAAATTGATAACCTCCTCCCACAACTAGTCACTGTTGTAGAATCCATTAGGAGTGGAGAAACTTTGTACAGCCGAGAAGAAGGGAATTCACTTAGGTCCAAATTGCTTCGTGCTACAGAGCAAATTGACCTTTTAAGTAAGCAAATAAGTACACTCAAGTGCGAATCTAGCTCGATGCTTATGTTGCAGCAAAGAATACGTCAGAATTGTGTCGCCTATATTCGAGACTTTATAAGATCAGTTCCGGTTGTACCAGATGCTGCGGATGACTCTTCTTCGACATCTTCAAGCATTGGTGGAGCTTCCAGCATTATTTTAACAGGGGATGGGTGGTCAATATCAGCCCCTGAGCATCATGATGATGGCTCTCATGGTGTAGGGGCACATTCAATCGATATTGATGACAATCCGGTACAACAACAAATAAAAAACGTCAAGTTTTATATAGAACAAGCAAAGGCGGCTGGTAAAATGGACGAAGTGGAAATGCTCGTGTCAAGTTTACGGGATTTGCTTTTGTGGCAAAATGACCAGGAAAATAAATTTTAGCAACCTTTTCGTTTCATATCTATCTAAGTGTATAATAATAGTGTAATTTGTATGCAAAGTATGTGACATTCTTTTAAATCTTTATTCAGAAGAAGACAACTCTGTCAAAGTTTTTTGTTACTGTGTTCCTACGTACATACGTATATACATGTCTATTTAGATAGCTTTATTATCAAAATAAAGTTTTTGTGATATTAAAAGTACTTATATACTCGTGTCAGTCAATTTCTCTTAAAATGTACGTGTCTGTAAAATAACATATATGCATGAGTTTAAAGATTTCATTGTAGAGAGCATACTAATAAATTTCATTTATTATTTAGTTTTAATTTTGATGGTTACCTGTTTTTCGTAAAAAGATGAATTGCGCAAAAGACTACAAAAAGAATGAAAAGTATTAGTCCAGTGATAGAAAAAGCAGCAGCCAAGAAATAGTTTTTCCCTGCAACCATTCTTGAATTTGTGAGAATCACAGATTTTGTCCCATTGAACGTTGATATTTGCATTTCTTAATACGAAACGTACATAACATTATTATTAAAATTATTATTCAAACTATTGTGTGAAATGGACAATTAACTTACGATATTCAATATGCAAGGAATACTTCCCTGCAGGTAACCCATCAGAATAACTGTTGTTTGGTTGTGAGTCAACTATTCTATGCAATTTACGAAAGTTTGGAAATGCAGCAGTTTTCATCCAAATTATGAAATCTTCATTTTCGAAGCCATTGTTTGACCGGTTGCTGTCTAGTTCCCAAATGTGCTTCTTCCAATCTGTCCAAAAATGATTTTTGTACAAAATTTCTTGAAAACATCTCAAAACTTGAGAGTCCATAAAAAATGTTTAAAGAACAATTTATGTACAGTGAAACTTTTTCAGATCAATTTGCAAAATCAGTAGGGGGTTTCTCGTTATGACATCATGAAATAAGATATACTATACATTTTAGTACGTAAAAACAACCAATTTCCTGAACATAGCAGGCTGCTGCTACGTCGAATAAGATACTTCTGCGCCAACGACCTACACGACCTCCCAACACCCTACACTGGTCAACCACTTTATATTCCACGTATATCCTCGAATCATATTTTATGTATAGAATACTACAACTGTGTTCCAAATTCCAAGTCAATAAATTAAGATTAGTTAACTATTAATAGACAGACGAACTGAACAGTTCCACAAGTCCTAATTACTCGGGCTAAAAGTGTATGCATTTTGTTAGGAATACTGACCAGGAGGTTTTCCAAAGTATGACCACACAGGATCACGGGGGTTGTCCATTTTATCCTGATCAAAATTAAAATGTGAAGAAGACTTTTACGCATGCAAATATATGCAATATAATGGCAAAGTTACCGGATTATTAAACTTTTTCTTATCCGAATCCCATGCAATTCCAGTCTTTAGTAGAGGCACAAAGTGATCTTGCTCATCATTATACCAATGTGACAGTTTGATCACGTCAAAAAACATTGAATTCGCCTGCAGTCCACACGGAAGAATAGGACGATCCCAATTGTCTGTTGGTCATATAATAAAAATAGTGCAGTGTAATAAATAAATATGCATACCAGATATGTACGTATGTGTACTTAAATACCTAGACGGAAGCGTTCCGGTTTACAATACTCGGACGGTTCGGCAGCAACCTCTTCGTCCTTCTCATTCTTCCTTAAATTTCCCCCCTTGAACTGGTTTTCATCCCTGTTCGTGTAGTACCTCAAGTGATTTTGATAAAAATTGGTCAACGCGTAATAAATGTAAACGGTACCCTGAGAGAGAAGAGCGTTTGAGATTACATTTTCTGCAAGATTTCATTATTTTTCCACCACCAAAGTAAATCATGTAAATAATGTCTGACATTCATGGGGGTTTTCAGCTCAAAGTCGATCCTGCACTGGCACTCGGGTGGGCGTGGCTCCTCTTCGTCGTGTTGGTGCCAGGTTTTGGGAAACCTGTGGGTTTTGTAGAGCACGCCATCCAAAACGGCCTCGCAAGTGGCGTTCGCATGTTCCACATTCGTGCTTCTGCAATTTGAGTATGTGATGGACAACTCCTGGATGTTCTCCGCATAAAAGTAGATTCCGATCCCGAGTGGAATGAAGATGATGGACGTGACGAAAAACAACGGAAAAATAAATCCTGCGTTTAAGACGGGGTAATACGTTGGCAAGGTTTGCTGCAGAAATTTGATATCTGGAAGCATTTAAAATTTGATTTGTCACAAATTGTTCGTTAAAACGGGATTGTAGTGATGTATACAATACCTCGAGGTCTTTTAGATTCTGTGTTTCTAGTTGATCCATATTGTTCACCAAAGCTGCTATCATCCTTCTGCGAAACCTCACCCATATTTTCTTGATATATTATTGTGATTCATTCACTAACCAAGTATAATCACTGAATTGAATAAAGAAAACATTAATGATGGCATTGAAAGCTGCGAGGTCCTGTATATGGTATATTCCAAATCAATTCTATGACCTACGTCGTACTTATCTAGAGATTAGATAAGCCTAAATTAGCTGATTATGCAGGCACACTGGCGGGCAATACTAGAAGGTAAGGTAAATAAATATGTTGAGCACAGATTTCCTGTAATACAGGCCCTATTACATGCAAAACTGTTTAATGAACAGTGGATAATTATTGAATGTAAAAAGTGCAAAAGAGGCCTCCAACTATAAAAGTCCAGTACCTCTTGGCTGTGCAAACAATAATGACTGTCACCCTCAAATGATGGCTATACACATAAATAAATACACTCGGTCAAGATTTAAATAAAGCATACTTTACTGTCAGTTAGATTACAAAATGCATTTCACAATTTTATGCAAATCATTTATTTAGATTTGATTGGGAGGAAGATAGAGTCTGGAAGGTGGGGTGACGCTTATTCTTTGCAACTCGTCTTGATTTGCATTTTGGTGGTCGGTGGAAGACTCGGCTTCTGGCACGGAAAGTGATGCTGATGGAGGTGGTAAATATCTCAAATCTGCATCTGAAATTTTTGGCTGTACGAAAAATTGATTCCCGGATTGATTAAAGGCTTCAGTCACACTAGTTTCTGATCGTCCTCTAGGCGTTGTTGACAATAGTAGGGAGGGTTCCAACCTGGCTGTCGTACTCTCAGTTAAAGATTGTTCTTCTGGCTTGACAAATTGGGATATATATTCGTATGAAAATGTGGTTGTTGGCGTTTTCGGGCTGATGTTCTGAGCTGAGTCAACTTGAAAAATCTCTGTTACAGTTTCGCGACCATGATCTTTACTCTTCAAAGTGGAAGAAATTGTGGTCTTATCCAACAACAAAGTTGTGGGGACACTGCTTGTGGAAAATTGGAATGCAGCGTTTGATGGTGTCTGATGTATTGTTGATGGTGATGACATGGAATACGGTTCTGCTAACTTTGTATTGCTTGGAGTGGACGAGGACGCACCTTCAAATTCAGCTAATGATAGCGTCGATGATGGCATTGAGGTGGACTTGATCTCTGTCGTATTTTCGTACAAATATTGAACTTGATGAGTTGCGTTTTGTGCAAGTGTAGTTAAAGATTTGAGCGATGTGACCATTGGCGTTATACTTGCGGAATATTGAGTTGTAACTGCTGTTGTAGTATCGAGAGCGGTTTTGGACGAGGCTGTAGTGACATTTAGATCCGGACTAAAAAATCTTCTGAGTTCTGTTTCGTTTAAATTTTGGAACAAGGCAAGATTTCGACTGTAGTCAGTGTCATTGTCGTAATCGTCGCTATACACGTCGTTATAGTACTCGGACGTTTCTGTAGTACTGGTGGAAGCGCTTGCAGAAGTGGGTTTGGAAGTGCTGTTCGAGGTTAAGTTGGCTTTCTTGGATATCACAATTCTAAAATAGGGCTCAGTCGTAGAAGGTGGTCTGCCATTGGAGGAATGATCGTAAAATTCGGATTGATCTGGAGGCCCATATTTCATAGAAGTAGTAGGATTTCCAATCCTATTACGACGACTTCCAGTTTGTGCAAATAGAAAGCATAGCATTGAAAGTGCCAGTCCACCAATCAAAATCTATAATATTTATTAAGTTATTTATCTTGTAATTAGCTCTTTATCTATTAAAATTATAAAATGAACGAAAAGAGATTACCGTTTTCAACATGGTTTTCAGGCTCACTTGTGGTCCCTTTCAAAATTCAAAAGTAATTAATCTAGTCATAAATCCAAATGTGATCTATATATTGCCACAATAGCCCCAGATTGTTTTTACATGTAAGTAATGGTCGTTGTATGAAAAGCTACTTGTGGATGCAATCACTCGATTTGCATGTACAAATGCAGGAAATCAAATAGCTTGAGAGCAAAACCTTCTTCAAACAACATTGGAGAGCATGTAAGAAATAAGGGTCCATTTTTACAGAATTAAATCTTGGCTAAACCCAAGTCAAATAAGATTCACCTTGGCTGACACTCATGGTGTATGCAAAATGCAAACAAGAAAGGGGTGGTCATCTCAATGTTTTTCTTGTGTTTGCCTCTCTTGATGCGATACTCATGTTGCATATGCACAAATATGTGCACCTCCATGCACAGACTACTGAATCTTATGCAGCATGAGCGAAGCGTTGTAAAGAATGGTCATCGTAATAATGCATCGTTTCCTTTCGAATGCATCGACATGCTCGCAACGCAGCTTCTCAATTCGTGCGGATGAAATGAACTATTAGCTCATCTCATCATCATTCACGGCCGACTTCAATTAGCAGGATTGAGAGGTGGGTGGGAGGGGGATGAGATGGATGGTGTCCATTATTAGCACCACGCGATCACTAGTTGGTTGTACGACGATGGCGACGACCAAGACGGCGAAGACCAAGTTGAGTTTTACTATAAAGAAGTACACGGACACCATTTATTGTTGGTTGATGAGATGGACTACTATTGCATAATAACCCTTCATATTTTGATGTTTGGCAAATATTATTATTTTACTTTGTTCAAATAACTCAAAGCTAAAAAACATACATACACCGGCTCATTTGACGACCACTTCAAATGAATTGTGAATCCAACAATTTTTCATTCACTGTTCATGTTTGTGCAACTGCAACGGTAATTCGGCACGTTTGCCATACTGGATGCCGTCGGACAGGCTCCTTCTCTCAAATAATAATCATTGTCATTAATTGTCGTATTATTATTGAACATGGCAGTACTCATTTTCTGACCAATCAATGGGATTTCATTGATTCGGAGTGACGGCCAATATTTGTATGCATAGATTTTTATTTGGTCAGTGTATGATGGTTTTGTCACTTTATTATTTTGTATCAGTTAATTTTTCAGAGTTGCACAATCTCAATCAATTCAGTTTTAACTAGTAAAACATGGCCTGAAAATATTATTACACCAAGTTTCAATTGATTTCGTAATAGAGTTACGAATGCATGCAACAATGGCATCGATAACAGGATCAGATCGAGTAGTGGATTTGCAATAAGAATAATTTTAAGACATAATATCTACTACAAACTGAGATATACATATTCGCATATAAATCAATCCATGATCCAGATTCATTTAATGATTGCTTGAGCTTGACCGAGTTAAATGCATATTTTATAATGAGAAAGTTTGTGATTCATACGATGTGTGTTGCGTATTTATTAGATACGATACTACGATTACTTTATCTACTCAATATATGTATGTTAAAGCTTTAATAAAAATTATTTGTATTTATAAAATGTTGAAATTTTCCTTCTTTATAAATATTGCTCTGTTTTGACGTTTTGCAATTTCATACTATACATATATCAATTCCAAGATGAAGATGAATATCGGGCATGGTCAAGTTCAGCTCTATTTGCATAACAAACGCTTAATTATCCATCTCAAATGACAAGATATTGATAACCTTTTGACCCTTGTAAATATTGAAATAAATGAAGTCTTCGATTTTGCGAAATATGCCACAAATAACCACTGATTTTCACTCCAGTCGTACTCTAACAATCATTTGCTCATTAGTTACATTCAGTGAACAAGGTTTAACTTCTACCAAAATGTACAAAAAATTTGTATTTTCTATTGTTCCGTTGATTCTTGCTTTGGTAGCGGCCAGCGAGACCAGGAAAGCTGTCCGGATGGGATCTTATGGTCGCCAAGGGCATTATTTATTTTTATTATTTATGGTTGCAATCAAGTCAAATAAAATATATTTCTGCAGGGTACAAATGCGTCTCCGAATGTGAAATGAGGGACGGGACAGATTATTTCTGGTAACTTTTACTTTTAGTTAGACTTCTGAGATTACTTTTTCTTTGCTTGAAGACTACTTTTAAATAACTCACTTTACAGGTGTGATGCTCATCATCCAACAAACCATTTCAAAGGAGATTGTAATAAGCTAAACTTTGCATCTTTTGCTTTGTAGTAATTTCTAATTATAATGTTTGTTTATTTCTAGATTACTGGGACTATTGTTCCAAGGATGATGATTTTGACTATAAAGGAGCGCCATGTTATATCGAGCATGCCTGTGGTCATCATGGATGGAAATACAAATGGTGTTATACGAGTGAAGACAAATCTTCTTGGGGATATTGTGGATATAAAGTACTAAATTAATTCTCAACTTGGTGTTTAAGCTAAATAAAGTTCAACATGATTTACTATTTTACAACTTGAGTTATTACAACGGAAATACATTGTATGCACTGGAAAATTCTGAAGTTCAGAATCTGAACCCGTGCATAGCAATTGATATATACTTCATACCACACATGTCTTTGTTTAACCTTGAATTAATCCTTGTCAGATAATCTCAAGAACTTTTTTCATCTGTTCAATTTTCAGTTAAGAATAGTCCGGGTTTGCATGTTTTGTTTAGTGTGTGTACAAAGCATAGCTTAAAATGGTAGAAATTAAAATTAATTTTACAAGTCGATTTTTCTGGTTTTATTGTGCCATTAATTTTGCCATTGCCAGTGAAAACGGTTCACCACCTCCAATTGTGAAAATTTCAGATGGGAAACTTTCAGGGAAAGTCTTGACGTCAAGAAGTGGAAATGAATATTATGCATTTCTGGGAGTACCATTTGGGAAAGCGAAAAGATTCGAGGTTCAACTCAATACGATGTAATCAAGTGTTTAACCATGATCCAATATTTAAATGTCAACTTCAACATTTCAGGTTGCAACAAATCCTGAACCTTGGGTCGATATTTATAATGCCACCGAATTTGGAGCAGAATGTATGCAATTCGACTTGATAGGAAAAACCGTTGTAGGAGACGAAGACTGTTTGTTTCTTAATGTCTACACCACACATGTATAAATATGCATCCATTAACTATATTCATCTATTACAATAAGGTCACCTTCGTCAACTTAATTATTTTTAACCCAGCCTCAATTCGAAGAAAAGAGCTCCAAAACAAGTGAGACGTTTCACCCCGTGATGGTGTGGTTACACGGGGGTGGTTTTAGTTTTGGGTCTTCAAATATTTACTCTGCAAATTATTTCATGGACGAACCGGTCGTATTGGTCACTCTTAATTATCGACTAGGCGCTTTCGGTAAGAACTGAACCAGTTAAATAATGACCACTAATTCAAATTGACGTAGGTAAATTTTTGACAATTTTGCACAGGGTTCCTGGATACACAGGATGGAGTTGTTCCAGGAAATTTAGGGCTTCGAGATCAGCGCCTAGCTTTGGAATGGGTAACTGGACCAGTTTACTCATGGAAATATATAATTTACTTGAGCGGCTTTTGAAGAACAATGAAGAATGTTTGTTGAAGGTCCATAAAAATATTGCTATGTTCGGAGGCGATTCTTCTCGTGTGACGTTTTTCGGATCTAGTGCGGGTGCTGCATCGGTGGCTCTTCATATGCTTACCGAAACCTCAGGTTGTGGCTACACGTGGTCATATACATAAGTAATAGATGTCTGAATAGTTTAATAAATTTATGTCCATAATGCAGCCCTGTTTCATCGTGGAATTTCGGAGAGCAGTACAGCTTTATCGTCGTGGCTAATTCAGAGAAACCCAAGGAAAAATGCTCAAAACCTTGCAAGGTTTTTAAATTGCTCAACACAACCTTCACATGAACTTGTTAGCTGTCTAAAGTCTAAATCAGGTTCAGATATTGTCGATGCCATGTCACTGTTTAAGGTATGAAACAATGCATAACAAATATCTTGCAACTTTATATATGTATGTACACGTACTCTTTGTTGTCTGTATTTTCTACATTTGGAATTTATGTATTTAGTTGGGAAGTACAGTTTCGGATGCAAATTTTCTCTTTACACCTTCTATTGAAAATTCGCCGGATTCCGAACAGCCGTACTTAAAAAAATGTCCAGAGGAACTTATTGCAAATGCAAAGTTTTTACATTCAATTCCGTGGATGGTGGGATGTAATAAAAACGACGGAATTCTCAATGTTGGCTCCAGTATGACACATATTCTTACATACATATAAAGCTGTAATAAAAAATTTTGCTTAATTACATGTTACTATTAATTCTTAGTTTTAGAGACAAGGTCCTCCACCATAAATGAAATTATTGCAAATTGGACCGAAATTTCTCCTTGGCTATTTGTCTACAATTATGATATCGATGGAGGAAAGGACGCAATGGACGAAATTTCTTTCAAAATTAAGGGAAGATTACTCTCCTCTGATGGACAAATTGATGAAGATCATTTTTTAACAAGTTTACCAATATTGGTGGGAGACAGGTGGGAAGTATCAGGGACAGTGAAATCTATTCAAAAGCTGCGAGGAAAGATTCCAATGTTTCCATTCATTTTTTCCTACTTTGGAAATTTCTCATATACCAACAAATTTTTCGGTTTAAAACGCCGTCATGGTTAGTAAACATGTACATATCTCTTAACAAATTGTTGTAGCAAGAGATCACTAAATTGAGAGAGTTTTAGGTGTTGGACATTTGGACGAACTGCAATATCTATTTGATGGAGTATATGGAGCACCTTCATACAATGACGAAAATAAGAATGAGGAAACAAAGTTTTCTCAGGAACTTGTGAAATTATGGGTTGAGTTTGCTACGACCGGGTAGAATAACAATAGATGCACGATTGCTTGACCTTAAGTATCTAGGTAACGCGTCTCCCTTAACGGTTGCGACAAATGGTCGAGTTACAAATAAAATATTCATTTTTAAATCGTTGGTTCAAAAACGGCGTTTGAGTCTCCAACTACTTTGACCCTTAATAACTTTTGAATGGGCAGACATAGAGACTTAACTCTTTAAGATGAAATCATCTTAATTTTTAGCTTGATTTTTTAAGCTGAAAATCTCGAGGGTACTATTTCGAATAGTAAACATGAAATCTCCAGTATGCAGCCTTTATGAGCCCGAGTCAGGGCTTATGTACTCGTCATGTCCGTCTGTCCGTCTTGCGATAACTGTCGTAAAACTAATCCGATCGAGTTGAAATTTTGCACATATGTAGTATGGGTTAAATGAGGAGAGTTAAGTTCAAAGATAGGCAAAATCGGTCAAGTGGTTGACCGGTGGGGTCATATAGGTGTCGGGTATTATGTAAAGAAATTTCAAAATTGTAGTAGAAAGGTGAAATGTTGCTAATGGCTCCAAATGAAAATTTGAAAATTTTTCATATCATATGGGGTGACCCATACCAATTTTCAAATTCGTCACGTCGAGCAGAAATTTGGTAGAAAAGTTAGTAATGGCTCCTAATGTAACAATATAAATTAAAATAGGAAAAATTTTCCGAGTTCGTTAGGTCCTTGTTTTATAATGGTTTACCAAAAATAAATCAAAAAATTATATACACGTCGTTCATTACGAGTGACGAGTTCTGCTCTCAGAATCAGTGAATAATGACATCTTACAAAACCCCGCAAAGTTGATTTATTTTTAGCCTAGTGGTTAGCCTAAGATGGTTCTTATCGAACCATCATGTCCTTCCGGAACACGATAGACAAAATGGCTGAACCGATTGAGTTGAAATTTTGGGGAGACCGTAGGGCTGGATCCTTACAGATTTTTTAAAAATATGCCACTCCACAAGTTTAAATGCATTTGGTACAATAAAATTTCATGGAAAATGTTTGGTTTGACTGATAACCACAGAGTCTGACTCGGGCTAAATAAAGGATGGAGATTTCAAGTTTAATTTTCGAAATAGTACCCTCGAGATTTTTAGCTTAAAAAATTAAGCTAAAAATTACGATGATTTCATCCTCAAGAATTAATGTTCTATGTCTGCCCATTCAAAAGTTATTAAAGGTCAAAGTAGTTGGTGTATTTGTAAGGGACTTTTACACCAACTATTTTTAAAATAATTATTTTATTTATAACTCCACCATTTGTCGCAACCGTTAAGGGTAACTAGGCACTAAAAGTCAAGCAATCGTGCAATAGATGATAATACGTGGACTTGGATAAATGCAAGGTCCTGAATTTTACTTAGTTACGTGTCTATATACACACGTAACTAAGTAAAATTCAGGACCTTGGATAAATGTAAATGACATTTTTCTGCTCCCAAGCAGAATACCATCTACAAACAGTTTCAGAGGCTGGAACCATGTTGCATCTGAGCCAGACAAAGCGATGCCATTATCATTTTATGACATTGCCGACCATAGCGGAATACCAAAATATATTCACGTAGATGCAGATTTTAATGAAAGGATGCAATTTTGGGAGAAAATACTTCCTCCAACTTGTAAAACACCATTATGGAACTCAAACTCCAATAAGCATCTCGAACTTTAAGTTTGGCACTTGATACATAATTGATGAGATGAGTAATACAATTATAATCACTTGATTCGAGTTGTATTGGTTTGTTGTCGAGTATTCTATTAAATGCAAAGGGAAAAGCAAATATATGAAGAGATTAAATAAGTAAATTGCAATTTGATTTGATTATATGGTCGGGTGTTACCCACAAGTGTGTAATTACATGCATTCTTGTTATCACATGCTTCTGCTATCTATTCATCCACATTTATATGTATTTATTATTCACACTGTTGAGCTCTGCACATCATATACTAATTACAAATTACCTGCAAAATAAGTGCAACTTTTCCTTCTCTTATTTCTGTCGTTGAATAAAATTATGGTGGGATACAAGCTAACATATTGGGATTTGGAAGGGAGGGGCGAGCCAATCAGAATGCTATTTGCAGCAGCGAACGTGAAATTTATCGATAATCGTATTTCAAAAGAATCTTGGCCGGAATTGAAGGAGAGTGAGTCAATTTGCATTTGCCACACATGCACATATTTGCCTATAACATACAACTAATATTAATTGGGCAAAATATGCGTTTGTGTAGGAATGCCGTGGGGGCAGATACCTATACTGGAATTTGATGGCAAAGTAATTGCCCAATCGTTGACAATCTGTCGATATCTTGCTCAAAAATATAACTTTGCTGGAAGGGACCCATGGGAATCTGCAAAATGTGACGAGTATGTCGATGCACTAACTGATCTAGTCGGAGGTAAACAAAATTATGATAAAAATACGAAATATGAAACTTGTGTCATATTTCATGCGTATGGCTTCACAGGGATGAAGGGCATCGTACATGCTGAAAACGATCAAGTCCGAGCTACAAGAAAGGCAAAATTTTTACAAGAAACCATGTCTGGATGTCTCGGTAAATTTGAAGAATTGATGGCAAGTCAAGTGGATTCCTCATTTCTTGTGGGTGGGAAACTCTCATGGGCCGACATTGTGTTGGTGGTAATGTTGGAACGATTAGAAACTCCGTCCTACGCTGGACCCTCGTTGCTGGATACTTACCCAAACTTGAAAATGATTAGAATTGCAGTCTATAACTATCCGGGTATTCAAGAATGGGTAGAAAATAGACGAAAAAAGTAGTCAGTAGTCTAATCGCATTTAGATTGAAGAAGATTTATTTAGTGTGATATTCTGTCTGAATAATAAAATATATACTGCAAATTTGCATACACATTAATTTTTGATCGGCTAATACTTGTTCTTAATAATACGTTCACAAGCATCCTTGTAATACTTGGACATGAGGATTTCTTTTCTATGCAATTTGCGAATGAAGCGACAGTCGGTTTTGTGAGTGAAAATGGGAATATTTTTGTGGTCATGAATGTATGAGCAATGTCTGGTTTTGGTAAAGAGTCTCGGCATGTCTGCCGCATTCCAAAATTTGCTGTCGCCACGTACAGCTCGACAGTAACATTTTCGACAGAGGCAAAGTTGGACAATCTTACGATTCAGGTGATCTGCGATGCTGTTTCCTTCTTTGAGGTAAATGCTGTCCAAATCTTGCGCCCTCACCCGGTCATACGGATTTATGTTGTAAAATGGGTTTCTGATGCTCTTTAGAGTCCGATAGTAGTCTGAACGAAGTAGTTCATCGCACTCGAAACATTTGTCGTGCCCTTTGTAGTTGCATCTGGTAACTGCGGGGGGTATCAGCCTGACAGGGTCTTTGCCAAAAGAACATGCTTTGCGAATTTCTCCAGGTTTCCGTGTCAAGTCGTAGGAACCCACTCTAAATAAAATTTGTACGTGTTTAGGTGGATGAGTACATAATAATGCACGTTAATTTGGCTCTATAATTTATTTAACTTAATTGATTTGTAATTATTATTACCCAACTGTTTGAAACTTTGATTCCTTTTTAAAGCGAGTGACTGCTAAATGGCTACCAAATCCGATGAAACTTTGCAAGCACAAGTTTCTCAATTCTTCTTGTGTCATTTTAGCGTGACTTCCCAAATGAGTTGACATTTCTTGCAAAATATCGGATTCTGATGCCCTTCTCCCCTCCTCGAGCGATATGCCAGGCATGGATTTTTTAGGCAGCTCCTTCTTTATCTTGATTTTCTTTCGTGGCAGAGGAACCGCAACCCATTGTTGGTACGCATTCGGGGCTGGATTGTTTTGCAGAAAGTCTTTGGCAAATCGAGGACCGGAGAGTCCGCCGATTCGATACCCTTTGTTACTAATCCCACCGGCACACAATTTACTTTCACAAGGAAGGTACTTTGGGTTTGGAACATCTCCAGGAGCACAATTCATGGCGTACTCAATGGCAAAACGAGAAACTCCTGGGTCTTCGGGAAAGTACGTTCGAGATTTTGAAGACAGGAAGACCACTCTGCTTTTCTTGTCGGTGTTCTCAACTGAAAATAATAAATTACGAATCTGGTACATATGCCAATGTTATATTTACTCTTCAAAATTGTATTGCTACATAATGCTTTAGTATGTAAAAATAAATAAGTAGATCTTACACTCATTCATGATGTTTGTGAGCCACTCCACGTCCTCTGGAATTATTCCTTGAGACGACTCATCGTTATCCACATCAGCGGAAGTCTTATTTCCTTTGACCATCCTGCCCTCCACTACTTGTCAAATGTGACTGTGTGGTAGACAGAAATTTCTGACCCTTATAAAGATTATCCTGCCTATCTTATTGATGTGCTGGAGAAAGCGTCACATATCACGAACACCTTTGATCCAGAGCTCAGGGCAGAAAAACGGTACAAAAGGATACAAATTATGTATGCCTGACACCTGAACTAGAAATCTTATTACGAATCACAATGGTAAGTCAAATTGAGTCTGTCATCACTAAAGAACGTGGGGAATTCGTTTTTGAGAGTGAATAAAGGGTCACGGTTAACTAAACCATCAACATCCATGGCTACTTGCAGATGCACATGATTCATCATGTGTCAAAATTCTTTACAGGCAATTTATTTCCAAGTCTGGTTGGAATAAAGAACAATAACGTCGACTCACAAAAGGTCGAAAGATTTAGATTACTTTCCATTGATCCAGTCATATCTTTTGCCACATAATAATAAATTTGTGTAGAATTATACGCAGTTTCTCCAAACTTGTATTCTTTCATTGTTGAGTTAAACATTGTTGTTGTTAGCATCGCACATAATGTGTTTGTTTCTTATCCTCTTCAATTGGATGAATTTCGAGCTGCATATCTTCCACTACAAATAAAATATTGACTACTGCTACGCAAGCCATTGTAGTATAACTAATAATCTTGCATGTGCAATATCACACATGACAAATTTCTTCGATTTACGACATTTATCGCAAATTTTGTAAACCAATACGAGCCATAAGCTCAGCATTGCGAGGAGTGGTGAGACATAGGTGCCCCTGGTATAGATACACAATCGTTAATTGGATAGAAGTGATCCGTCATCAATAGTCCCTATAAAATTTGAAGCTATCTTGCAGATTTACCAGTTTTATTGGAAACTTTGGTTTTCTGCCGCTGTGATGTCTTTTTTGTTATCACGACAAAGGTCAGCCCATTTCAGCTGAAATGTGCTCGCACACGCTACCATGCGATCCGTCCATTAAATTTGCAACTACTGCAGCAGATTTAAATCACATCCAGCTTTGTTCATTCCTTCTTCCCAACAACTCGTGCAAATTTAATATGACTCTGCAGATATGAACTTCCGCATTTTCCATGTCGCATTTATGCATATGTACTAAAGCTAGCGAGCCTCTACTAATATCCTAAATGCAAACAACAAGTATTCAGTACAAATGCCGATATAAAACTAATTTCAATATCACACTTTGGAAATCTTTTGGAATTAACAACAAATTAATCGTAAGTAAATGTATTCAACGTGTGACAACAAATGAAACAAAACGTACATTTTGTCCATGCATGCATACACACAGATACATATGTATGTGCGTGTATGTATCTACAGCTAACACTCCGGCAGAATCGATATTATGTGGACATACATACAGCTAAAGGTAAGTTTTCCGTTATTTTACAGTAAAAATGAGCATCACAAGCGTTGGTGTATGTAAAGCTGAGCGAGGAGAAAATAATTAAATTGGGAAACTTTGGTCGATTTGTCCAACAATTTGACATCCAACAAAAAAAACGGGTACTAATTTTGTTTCAATTATGGCATGAATTGATTGGGGCGTATCAAGCGGTCTTCTGGTGGAAGCATGCTTATTAAGGTGAAACCCGCATTGCGCTGGACTTTTGTGCCAGTATTATTATAGGAGCAACCCGAACGTGTTCATGTATTTAACCGTTCTAAGGTTCCTCCTCCGTTGTCCATTAAAAACGAATGAAATCAAAATGCAGATGTATCGACTGTTGTGTGGCGCATTTACTTGTGCAGTCAGTCACGGAAAGAAATATTTAGCTCACAATAAAAGTACGGGACAAGATCTGCTCAGTTTATTTCGGTCACAAAACAGCAACGTACATATTACTCGTATGCACATATATACGTATCTATATACATTTTCGTGTATTATAGAGACAGGAACTTTGCTAAGAAATAGGAAAAGCTCCTTTATTTTACTCAGAGAGTTGCATATTTAAATTTTACTACATTGGCACATAGGATTCCCCTCCAGGGAACTTCTCAGCTTGTAATCTCATCGTCGCGAGAGCAATTACGGGATACACATTCGAGTGAAAGTAGCAATCTATGATAACCTTTCCACTTGGCAAGGTTATTTTTTTGCAAGGCCTGTCTCCACTCAAATTAATTTTTTCACTCAAAATCCTGGAGAGATTTTCTGGAGTAGCAGTGCAGTATTTTCGCACACTCGTAAAGCCGCACTGCGAAGGTAGCGTGATGAATGACTGGCAAGTGGGGAAATTGTGAAGGAGAAAGCAAATCCAAATCAACAACGGTCGGTGGTTCATTCCTCGGTGTGTTAGTGTGTTTTTCGAGTGAGTGAGTGAGTGACTCAGAGCTGGGACAATCGGAACAATGCGTATTAGAAATACGTATGCAGAACAGACAGAAGCAAGCAGGGAAAGAGTGAGATATACACTTCCGAATAATTAATTTCGTTTCCGAAAACCTGGATGAAGTAGAAAATGCGCCCATAAATAAATAGAAGTGATTCGGTCTGCCAAACACATTTTACATCCTCCCTTAAATAAAATTCTCAATCCTCGTCAGAACGATTGAGAGGATGGAATGGAAAATCCAGCAGACAGACTTCTTCTTTCTTCATGTCTCTCCTGCATGATTTTGCAGATGTGCTACAAAGTAAGTTTAGAATGCATCGAGCGGATATATTTACAATAGCTTCGCTGAATATTTATCTATTATGCGAGGCAATAGACATGGTGTTGAAGATGCGTCCGAGACAAAGTGAGAAATTGTGTAGATGAAGTAAAAAGATTGCAAGTAAAAACCTTCTTTCAATTAAAATACCAATGTGCCTGATATCGGTGAAATAGTACCAATAAATATATATCGAACCCATGATCAATCCGTGCTGCTGGTGCTCTGCAGAAGCAGGAGTTTACATTCTTCTATTTTTTAACCTTGTAAGTTTTTGTACGCATTCTCTTACCTAAAACTATATTTCTTCTCTATCAAAAAAAGGATTTTTGTAATTTCAGCTATATTTTGTGGTTTGTGTTATATTCGGAGTGATATTTTCTTCATGGACGATTACAGTGGCCTTAGAAGATACATATCCGTTAGGTAAGCCGTAAATATTATTGTAAATTATTGGCAACTCGCAGTCATCGCTTTGATTTTAATAATTTTGTCAGACTGCTTGCGTGTCGATACTCTTGCTCTTTTTTTGTGAAAATACAGTTCATGTCATGGAATTAGCTATAGTGTTGTACCTGTACGCTACCTGCTTTGCGACTGGTGTTCTTCGCCCTGTTCATCATGTTTGCCTGGCATGTGCCGCTTGAAAATCGATCCTGGGCCATTATTTTCATATTCAATAACAGGAAAAATATTTAAAAAAAGATCTTTTAACCAGTACAATTGTAAATCACGGATTCTCATTTAGTGAACAAATGCTGCACACTGAATGCTGAATTACTGTGCACTGCACTGAAGTACATTACTCATTGTCATTACTAAATACTTCTGGTTGTCACTTGCAGTGTACTTTTGTCTCTTTGGTTATTGCCATTGGGAAAATTGCAATACGATTTGCTTGCCAAAAAGCATTGAGTTCACCATGCGATGAATGAATTAAACTTAGAAATCTCCGCTTGTGTCAAGTTGTTTGGATTATTTGCTTTGGCACCCAACCTGTGCTTCTGAATTTATCACGCATGCCATGAATTCTTGATGATGATCATCAATTTTAATTACTTAATGTTCATTTCAGGTTACAGAGCAGTTAATACCGTAGTTTGGATTGCGTTCGTCATATTTTTTGCAATGGAAACTTTCCTTGGGTCTCACCTTCTAACCGCTGTAAACAGAAGTGATAATCCTCAAGAATTTAGACAGTGGATAAGGTTACGAATCGTCCTGTTGTTGTTTATCTGCCCTATCATTGGCCTTTTTGCCTACTTGCACTTTAGCGTTCTGACCATAAGCATTCTCATAGTTATAACGATTTACGAGTTTTATTACATTTGGGTAGTTTATTACTACTCCTTAGAGCTGGACATTCTTCTGGAAACGGATTCAATGGGGATTGGCGACGATAAAACGTGATATTTGTTGCAATCAGTACAATTTATTAGTTTACATGTTTCAGGTTCAAAATCTATCAACCACATTTTATTGACATATGTAAGTTGTAAGTAATTCTGCAAACAGCCGACCAAACACGCTCCATATAGATCCACAACTGCATGCATGTTACTTGAGAATTCCACATTGTTCTGACAAGTAAAAGTTTCCAAATCATTTGCTTAAACAAAACAAAGGATAATTCCCGTGTACATATATCCTCCAAATGCAATTTCAAGACAAAGGTGAACTATTAGTAATTATACAAGCAATAACTTACTCCGCTATACTTTAAGATGGTTGATTGATGACGGTTTTAAACTCCAAATATGTTTTCTTATGTATTCAATTATGTAATTAGGATGTAATTATCAAATTTTTATAAAGACGTTAAATATATCAACGAGTTTAACTTAAATGGTTTATAACGTTGTTTATTTAAACCCAATGGCTCACAGTATTATGTATTTATTTATTTTGTACACTGTTCTGTTCAAATAATTTAAATTGAAATAAATTATATAAATTATTCTTCATGCTTACTTCATGCTTTTGAAAATGACTCGAAAAATGGACTATTGAAAACGCCATGAGGATCATAAAAGTCCAAAACTCGAATTGCTGTGTTCCACGCAGGTCCGTAGGAATGTTTTATAAGTTGTTTGAAGGTGCCTTCATGACCTTTGAAGGACCCAGACTCGTGTGCCCATTCCGTCCGAATTGACCACAGCGGTCGAAGCAGTCCATAATCTCCTTGAAAAGTAGCGTACATCCAGGGCTCCAACTCTTCAACAAACTCAACCCCACTCTCATCGCCGGGGAGAAACTCCATCTCGAACACCACGCCCACTTCAAATTCTGGGTGATTTTTCACGGGAGATAGAACACTCAAGGCTGGAGGAACCAGAGGGCTGCCGTTTTCTTTCACAGACGAGGGGGAATCCAAACTGGAAATCCTGATTTTTAAAGGACGAGTTGTTGGATACTTTCTTTTTTGCTTGAATTGATCCCTGAGTAAGGAAAATTGTTCGTAAAAGTCATAAACAACCTGCTGAATATCGGCTCGAGTTGTGAGTACAACATATCCCTTCGATTTGTACGATTCTGTGTCGTTCGTGAACGTGAAGAAGGTGTCATGTGAAGTACCCCAAATGTCATTCGCCCCACTCAATCGCATCCGAACGACCTCAATGTCGAACATAAATCTGGAGAAGAGAGGAGAAAACGAGGGGAACATGTAGACTAATTTGGAGACAACGGCACTCGCCATGTTTATTATTGGACTGGATGCTCCGGATAAATATTTTGTATTCACTTTCAGAGAGCCCATTGGTCTCTTCGTCTCCTTGGACCACACTATGACAAAAGACAAAACAATGATTAAAATTAAATTTAAAGAAAATTTAATGAAATTTAAAGAAGCACTGTTCATCAAAAGTACCACTAACAAGATGAATATTTCGAGAGGAGTCGCAGTCAGCCCTATCTGGTCAAGTACACTAACAAACTTTTTAACATATACACAATAGCCCTCAAAGTCCACGTAAAAATTTATAAATGTAACCATGTAATTATTTGATATCAAACAAAACTTGACTTGGAGGAGGAAACGTACACATGAATTTTAGTTTACAAATATATTTTTGCCTGATGAAGAAATTCTGTATGAATATCGAAAGCTTGCAACAATAAATACTTCAAGTTAAAATGTCCTCTGATGCCGATGTAATGGATCAATATAATGATTAAAATAAAATTTATGAATGCCTTTTGAAGCTTATGCATATTGTGCGCGTCTTATTTACGCATTCTCACCTTTAACCCACGAGCGATCAACATAAGGGAAATATGTGACTTCTACTTTTCCAAACTGTTCCACCAAGTAGGCGAAACTCTCTTCAATCATGTAAAACGAGGAATTCGGGTTGGCGTACAAGTTTTCGGACGGAAATTCGGAGAAGGTTTGACATCGCAGGTGATACCGGGGCTGAACAAGCAGTGTCACTTGGGTGAGGAAGGACCGCCCCAAGTTGGTGAGAAAGGCGAGAGACCGAGGGTCTGGACGGTCAAACTTTTTAAGAGAATAAACCTCTAGAGTTCTGTCCCACGCTACCGTTTTGAAACTCATTACAAGATTGCTGACGGTTCCAAAGGGGTTGGAAGCCTTCTCTTTGTGATTGTTAACCCCAATGCCATACGCACCTATTTGTAAAAAGTAGGAAAATTCAAGATAAAAAATGCATCTCATGTCAAATATGGTATTTAAGTCGAATATTAGTAGAAGTTTTGGAGATTTATTTATTGTAGGGGGTGGATATTTCTGAAGACACGAAGAAAAATTTAATGAAAATTTTGTCATGAGTGGGAATTTAAAGAAATTGCAAAATTGGTAAGAGGAATCTTTGGATTGGTTGAGAAATGTTGTGCTTAAAATAAGAACGTATGGTACGAACCTATTGCGATGGCTTCTCCCACAGTCAAAACTTTCTGACCCGGAATTGGAGCAATCGGGAGACCGTGTCCGTTTTTCTCCAAAAACGCTAGCAGATCCAGCATCATGACCCCAGTTTCAACAGTGACCAGATTTGCATTCACCATTTGCATTTTGGTGAGATGTTTAGTTGCATCGACAAGCAGGGTGCGAGTGCAGTTGCCGTCGCGAGTAAGTTTTTCTCCCCAAAATCTGGACGACATTGAGGACATAGCACTTAAGAGTTCCACAGAAAGGAGGTTGAAGTCGCTGTTCATTGCCCAATTAGTCAAAAGGACAATTTGAGATGAACTTTTTGGGAATGCTTTCCACAACAATTTGTCTGGAAGTTTCCGGTCTGGGTCCTTTATCACCTCTCGTTTTAAGTGAATAGTTGAAGGGAAGTCGGAAGGGAGGCGACAACTAGCGTACGAGATTCCGAGCATTTGCAGTATTCCACGAGGTTCTTCAGTGGATTCACCTGCACACAATTTTTAATACTATTTTTTAAATGGATTTTTGGTTAGCTTTTATGTAAAAAAATACAATTACGTTAATTATTGTCACCTTGTGATATAAGTAAATACAAAATCCAAGCGTGATAACTTAGTCGAAAAGTGTAAAATGACATTTTCTACAATTGTCGTGATAATGGATGGTAATAATTTCAGTGTCGGATCAAGACTGGGATCTCTTATTTTAAACATGTGCATGTTTCCAAGATTGAGTTTCTGAATGGAAGGAAATCTAGTTTTCTTGGAGCGACAGATATTTAGATTATTTGACTTGGAAATGGAAATCCAAAGAAATGGATAACTGGGTCACTTATTTGTTCCATCATATTCAATATTGGTCTCTAATTATGGTGACAAGTTCATGTTCTTATGTATGTTATGTATGTGTGTATATATATTATGTACTCTGTGCTTGTAAAATCCGAAAATGAACACATTTGGATGGACATATGTACATCATATTCATGGGTATGGCTCGTGACACTGCGTGTTCCTGGGCCCCTCCTGAGTGAGATTTGTGAACTTATGTACATACATTTAGATAGTATCAAACATTCGATAGTTCAGTATGAATCCAGAGATATATTTAGTACTTTGCACCTGTAAATCGTAAAATGAAGGGTTAATTTTGAGTGCGGAACTCCATGTAAGTACTCGTAAATTTAAGAGGCACAATGTTTTGGTTTTGTAACAATCCCTTCTTCCGCATGATAATAATGATAAGTGGGCAGTTGTAACAGTATCCATTTCACTTGGAGAGTGAGTGAGCGAGTGTCATCAATGTAACAATAATCCTTTCAGTATGAGTGACAAAGGTTCAATGAGGTGTCCTTAATTTCAGTCAGTCACAGTTTCAGTCAGGGTGTAAAAGGTTTATTTATTAGTTGGCTTGAGGTTTAGGATGCACAGATGAAAGGTGTGCTTCTCGTGCACAGGTACCGGTTGGTACATCACCTACTTAATTTTAGTTTTGGGCAGCTTTTATTATTCCATTTTTGACATTTCCTACAGTGTATGCATAGTGTTGAATGGCAGGAATGTGAATAATGCTGCAAGTGCTAAATTCCAATATACTCAATAAACTTCCACTTATCCTTAGGATTAGAGCAGACAAATGGTTTTATCACTTCTCAAGATGCACTTGGGAATTCCGGAATGGACAAAGAGATACATCAGCCTGAATGTTGTTGTTAGCGCTAATGAAATTAAAGCGTGCAAGGGCACCGACGATGCTACGTCACTCGACAGTGCCATTAAGTTTGTACTCATTGAACTCCATGATCTGGAAATGGGATAAAAACCTTTCGCAAACTTTGATCCAACATAGTTGAAGTTGTGGAGAGACACACATTGAAGCGAAATTTTAATTCCATTTGTCCATAAATTTCATAAACATGCTGAAATTGTTCTTTATTTTCGGAATTGTCGGATTCGGATTCGTCGAGTCGCAATACAATACTGGTAATTTAGATTTTCCTAGTTTTGCCACTTTAGTACTTTGATTTTGATTTTACCAAATTGTTACCAATAGGCCCACCAACTAACAACAACCCTTGTGCGCAGCACCAATGTCCACCCAACTTTCGTTGCCAGATTCAGCAAGTGCAGTGCTTCAACCCCCCTTGTAACAGCATCGCGACCTGCCAACCAATTCGTGAGGAGATATAATATAAATCCTTTCTGTAGACTAAAAATAGGCATCTACAACAGATTTTCTTTAAATTATAAATGCAGAGAATCAGCCCTCACAACCATCGTGTGCCAGTGTGTCTTGTCGACGAGGAAGCCGTTGCGTCCTTCAACCCGTCCGATGTTTCCGAGGACCCTGCTACCCGGTTCCCCGATGCGTATTTCGTCGAGGTGGAGGGGGATTCAATGGAGGAGGAGGATACTAATTTTAAATAAGATACGGCAGCAACTTTCTCACTAATAATAATAATTTTGGTGCATACATATGTTCATTTTATTACATTTTCTACCTACACTACAAATATGGAATACAATAATGTTGCAAAAATGAAAGCAAATGTCCCAGAATAAACTTTCCATGAATCAGGATGAGGCAGATAATTTTTTTTCTGAAAATCCGCATGGTAGCTTTTGAATTCGTTTTGGTAGTTTTCTAACTCTTCAAGTTTTGTGCTCATTTCTTTCCAAGCATCAGCCAAGGTTTTCGCTTTGGAATTTCCCTGTACGCTGGACCGTTTCTTTCTATTTTGGACACTCCCCTTTTCTAGCAAGGATTTTGAGTCATTTTTATGATAATGATGTGCTTCTGCAGCAATAATTTTCAAGGATCTAGTTCGAGTGGGTGTTATCCAACACCGTTGAGATCGAACAACTTGGTCAATCAGTTGGTAGATCCTTTCTATGGAGGCTACGTAAGTTGCAAATTCGGTGCCGTCTGGAAATAAGTCAGGAATTTGTGCCCAGTTTATTTTTCCTGGAAATAATCATTTCATATTTTTTATCATTCGAACTGTTAGACTTTAAAATACAGGTGCACACCATTGCAAAATGGCAAAATTAATTGTAGTCCATACCATCCTTAGACTCGCAAACTTGAGTTGAGAATCCCAAGAGAAGATTTGAGTTGTTCACAGCATCTAGTAAACTAAATGCTTCACAGAAAAAGCGTAATTCTGCGTTTTCTTCTCTCTCTAGATTTTCAAATTTTGGATTAAGAGTGAGTTTATCGTCGTCCATTGTAGTATTAGGTTTCCCACCAAGAGAAATTAATTAGTAATACTTATGATTAAATTGGTGTAAAATTATAATATTTTTCGGGAGTTTGAATTATTTGGGCCGGCCAAAGTATTTGTGTGGATAAAGGAATATTTGTCATCCTCATACAATTGGGTTTGAAAGTTGTGTAATGATTAGCAGTGCATGCACATATGTATGTAAGCATATGGCGGAAGAAATTATCTAATCTGCACCACCTTATTTACTTTGTGATACATGATTTGTGTGACTCATGAAGAATTGGAAAAGTATGTGTATCCAATTACTTAGTATATGCATTTGTACTTTGATCTGTATGTATACGTAAATTTTACAATCAACAATCAATTCAGGTTAAATGTGTTAATGGTAGTAACTTCAACATATATTTAAGATATTAACTTACGTAATACATTTGTATATTTTCATAAATGTATATTTCTAATGAGCACAATTACAACATATTGATGCATACATATCGTATTGTCTTAGCCTGCATGTTGATTCTATGTAAGCATGGGAGGAGTTTTGGGAGTCAAATGATGTTATAATGTAGTTGTTTGCTTATTAGTTAATAACACGTCAAAGGTATAAATAATAATGAGAAAGTAATTAGAGGAGTAGTGAAGTCGTTAGGAAGATTTTCTTAGTTCGATGTCGTTTGATAAGAAACTGTGTTGCAATGGCTGATGCATAACCATTAAGTTCATTAACGTAATAATCCATGAAGACAAACTGCTTCCAACATGCATGGCGGTTGGTCACTGCAAATTATTTGCTCCACGCACCCACCAGGAGGACATGTTTTCAACGTACAGTTGTGTGGAGATGCTAAAATAAGTAAATCGTATGAGAATGAGGTTCATAAAAATAAAAGAATTAAATTGTGGGTAATCTACCGCTTTCTTCTACGCATTTGTAATCCCATATTAGAGGACAAGGTGGGTCATCGCGGAGACAAGATTGAGGACGCCTTTGAAGGGCGTGTGTGAGTCCAGGAGGACACAATTGAGCTGCCATTATTGGGTTCACTTTTGGGTGATAGAGTCCCTTTAGTATTTACATGAAATATATATTTACTTGATTGGAGTATTTATCACGACAAAAATTACTGCTAAACTCTTACGTTATTTTTCTGGCATTCAGAAAAAATTTTCACGTCTGTGTTCTTTGGAGATCGTTTTGAATAAGTGGATGCCATGTTTTCCATTTTGTCAACGTTCTTCCACGATACACACATTTCGTCTTCATTGCATTGGGATTGTCCACACTTGTCGATTACTTTATTGCTTGGAGTCATCACTTCAGAGGAACTTGAAGGCAGGGGCTCAGGCATCATTAGGGTTGGAGTACTTGGAGTGGATGCAGAATTCATAATTGAGTTTTCCTCTTCCCCTTGTTTCGGTACCAAATTGACACCCGCTTTCATCATCCGGATTGGATTCTTTGTAGGTTGAGCAGGTTTAGAATTGCCAACTGCTCGTTTAGACGATAATGTCTTTAAAATTAGAGAATATCACATAAATATGATAATATAATATGATACCTTCTTTTAGCAACGGACGCATGAGCAATTTCACACCATTCGATGGACGTGACTGGTTGCGACATACAACTTTGAAAGGAACTATAGTTTCCAATGACGTTGTGCCTCCATTGCCTGAAGGGAATTGTATAATGTTGGCATTTTATAATCAAATGATCGCATAATGTTACAAGCCAATTACCATTAGGAATTCCGTCAAAGAAGATTTGAAGAAACCCAGAAAGGATAAAACCACTCCGAACTGCTGTTGGCAGAATCATGCTTTTAAATATGGATAACTATCACAGGATATATTTCGAATGTCGTCTAGAGTTGTAACGGTTCCAACTTTATATAAACTTTGTGCCGTGATTCAATGATATGTGCAACAGTTGACGTGACCGAACGCATCAAAATAAGTAATGACAACTCCTTGAAATTAATATTCTTTAATATAAAAAAGCATCCTTGTAAAAATGGCGAATTTGTAAAGTGCTTTTACTCATGCATGTGCAAGTCAAATCATCACAATGTAATTTATTTGCACGTAGCAATGGGTATGCATGGAAGGACTTCGTCGCACTCTGCAACTTCTACACATGATTCCTCTGGAGGGCACGTTTTGAATCGGCAGGAGTGAATTTCTCTGTCCAAAGCATCTGTTCATAGTAAATATTTACTAGATAATCGCTGATTATTATGGATAAATAGGCATGAGCGTACCAGAAATTGCTACACATTTGTACTTCCAAATCAAGGGACAAGGTGGCTCATCTTGAAGACACGCTTGGGGTTCATGCAGGATGGAATGCATTTCTCCATTTCCACAAAGTCCACCTCCACTTGGATTTATCTTGGTGTGATAATCACCCTGCATCAAAATATTCATTTATTGCTTTGTATGACCAATTTAAAAATAAGATTAAATTTTGAAGGAAAAATTACATTTTTTTTGAGGCATTGATGAATCAGGAGTGGGGATTCATTATTGTGACCTGTTCTTCCATCTTTTACTTTTACCCAAGTGACGCACATTTCGTCATTTAAGTGGCATTTTCCAGGACCACATTTTCCATGAAGTGCAAAGTCATACGTGATCGTCTTCCCGTAACCCGGAAGTTGGAATATTTTTGCATGTCGTGTTCCACGGATAGAACTATTACTCGTTGTTATTGGTTTAGTGGTTGTAAGTGCTGGAGAGGATATTTATAAAAAAAATAATAATAGGAAAATTGTAATCCATATTCAGAGAGCTCAAATAATAAATTCTCACTAGAAATATTGTAAAAAAAGGAGGATGGAATTTGAATTGTTTGATTTTCCAGAGTTAAGTTGAAAGGTACTTTGGCGTCAATTTCATTTTCCTTGTCCCTTCCTGATATCCGTCAGAAATCATATTTTAATTAGAGTCTTTTGAGAGTGGAACAAGAATATTTTTTGTAAATGCTTTTTCGCTCACCGATTCCAAACTTTAGTCCCAAAATACCAGACATTAGAAATGTTGCTTTAATCGCCATCGGAAAAACCATCACGAGATGACTCAACTCTAGAGTATTGTATCTTAAACTAAAAAATCTCAACTGCGTAAATATTATTTATCAAGAAAGGGCAGTAATTGTGATTTGCAGTACTACCAAAGCCCAAGTGAAAATAGTTATTATTTATTAATTGTAATTATGTGCCATTTCAGGAAGAACAATAAATGTGCAGTCCGCTGATATGAATATGACCAGCAATAAATGTGACAACGCGTTCTAATCCAATCACAGAAAATACTCAAATGCAGAATACATCAAAGGGTTCATAGCGTTGTGAATCCAGAATCAAAGTTTGCGTTTGTAAAAAGTGTTAATGGTAAAACTTGAATTTGCATTGTCACTGATCTTAACAATCAATGCCATGTAGAAGATGTTTCCTTCATTCCATCATGATCACGAATTTGTATTGAACAGAAAACAAGTAATTATACAACGTGAAAATAAATTCATTAACATTCTTTGCAACTTTTAAGCACTTGGTTTCCAGATGACAATTCATTCAAGTACGTACTATTTTTCAGTGAATATTGATTTGATTGTGAGAATATTTTTTATAAATAATTTCCATTAAACAAAGTATAAGTGCTATTACTATAAACCAGAAATAATACACATAAAGAAATCTCAACTCTTTCAATCCTAAATCATCATGATACTTCTTTTTAACCTTGGTACAAGTTACCACAACGCCTTTTAAATAGTTGCTGAAATATCGTTGGGTCAGTCCACTTTGGTAGATTTTTAAAATCCTGCATAATACAAAAATCCAAATAAATGTGCAGAAGGGACTAAACCTATTCCTTAAAAATAACCAGGCATTTCTCACCCAATTCCAAAGACTTGTCTATGCTTAAAATCAAAACTGCAATAAAAACCCGACTTAATTATTCCTCCATCGATCTGAACTTTGGACACTTCACATATTTCCTCCATTGATTTCTTATGCTGTGTGACTGCTATGAAAAAGAGGTCGGTGGTGTCCAAATGAGCATGGTTTCCTTTGAATACTAACTCCAACGACTCGTTGTAGCCAACATTCGAGTGTTTAAATTTGAACCCCTTAAAAGTACACGCAAATTTTACCTTAAATCTGTCATACTACAAATATGCATATTGACGATAAAGGCAATAATTTACTTATTTACATCATCAGAGTGAGTGGGAAGTGATGAATTAACACTGGAAATGGCGTAAACGGTAAATCCTGACTCTGCCAACTGAGGAAACCTTACGATTATGTCAATATTTGTTGTGAAATATGATAAAATTGCTGCTGAATAAAATGAGTAGAGCCAAACAGACAGCATCATTCCACAACATATTACAATGTTAATGAGCGTTCTTGGAGGACTTTCAGAAGAATTGAGTCTATTGTTGTAACCTGACAAACAGAGAAAAAATATGAGAATCATGTACAAGCACTTGTAATGAAATTTATCAACCACAATTCAACCTTGTTGTGAAATTGTAGCCAAAGCCCATCCGACACCACTGAGGATTCGAAGAAGCACACTAAACAAAGAAATATTCCAACTGCGAGTGAGCTTGGACAACTCTGCCAAAATTCCAACCGCAGATAAAATCATAATTGTGGCGATTGCTAGATCCGATTTAAATGGTTTTTGAAAAACGTTGTGCTGTTCTATGAGATTTGTGGGTTGTTGGAAATGAGCATAAAATCTAAATGTACACATTGCATGTTCATATTTGTAAGATGCGTTTTTATACCAGATTGGCACAAAATATTTGGATATTCTTACGGATCTGACCCAAATGCGATCATAGGAACGCCGTATTGGAGTCGATATAGAACATTGTACAACAGTCCTTATAATAAATGAAGAATTACTATAAACAAATTAATTTGTTCATAAGTAAACTTGGTTCTACTAACCAATCGCAATATCTGCAGTTCCTTTGATTTGTCGAAAATTCAAACGAGTTAGTTGACCCATTACGAATCACGTCGAACTTGTGACATGTACAATTGTTAAATCTTTACCAGTAGCGAGTTGATACGCCATTGTTGAATTTTGTAACGCTGTTGCAATTTCCTCTTCTGGGAAAAAATCATCCACCACAACTGATTTTATTCTGTGCATGGGATTGAAGCTATTATCACGAAGATGACGATTTGATTGAAAGGATTTTCATTAAATTGACTTACGAAAAATTCATCATGAATTGCAAATCTTGAAGTGTTTGAAAGCTGATGCCCGAACTAATAACTCTCGACCCATTGGGAAATGTGGTCACGCCAATGAGACCTTGCTCTTCCTGAAATAGTCAACTGCAGTTAGTATTAAGTAAACTAAAATAAAGGAAAACAATTAAAGTACACTATGTAACGCACGCTTGCGGTGACTCTCAGCTCTAATCCCATTAAATTCATTGATAATGCCATGATTAGTTCAGAATGAAAAAAACATTGACAGAATTACGGATTTGGCAAAATAAGTTTTTATGTTACTTATGTAAGTGCTACGTATAAAGTCGTATGCATCAAGCATATGGATATATGAATTCAGTTTATGATGTGTGTGGAAATAAGCCGATTAAGCTAAAAGGTTTGTGAAATGTTTTTAACATTGTCAACTTTATTAAATTGACATTTCATAACGTAAACATTGAATTTTAGCCAAAGCAAACTAAGTTAGGTAAATCGATTTTTAATATAATTGAGATAGGGTGAACATGTCAGGGCGAGTGAAAGTAGTAGAAAACCGTAAATAGTTTAATATATATGTATATAGTGGTTAATTCATTTAAGGGTCCTCTGATTTTTCATCAGCCTCTGGCGTTTGCTCTTGTTCCTGAAACCACAATTAATTAGAAGAAAGATTACCCATTGAATAAATTGTGTCTAGTTTACCTTTCCTGCTTTGATCAAAGCTTTCAGTACACGCTGTTTCTTTGATGGAACAACAATTGGTTTTGCCGACTCACCAACTGCTCCGCTGGGACCTGCCTTTGACTCTTCTTCTTCACTTATTTTTATGACTGGAATTTCTGACCTTGTCGACGCAACCGAATCAGTGCAAGAAGGTTTTCTAGGAACTCCTGAAGTCGAAGTTCCTGAAGGTCGGGACGTTTTTCGATGTCCTGCCCCCACATCTTCTGGCAGTGATGCTTGGTCAATATCTGTGGCGTTGCCGTCATCTTCCGCCGATGCGGCTGCTGATGCTGCTGCTGCGGCCTGCAATTGTCTCGTTTTCAAAGCTGCGCGTTTTGCAGCCCCTGCAAATCCCGTCATTTTCCCTGATGTTAAGATTGAAGTCCTTTTCTCCTTTCCTCCTTCCCCTGAAGACTTGGGGTTCATCATAGGAATCAACGACTGCCATTTCCCCATCGGCGTGTCGTCCTTTTTCCCAGCCATTTTAAACATTTTCCTCCGTTCTTCGGTTCTCTCCCTTCGAAGTTGAAATTTCAAATCGACATTTGCTTCCCGCAAGGCTCCAGTGAGTGAAAGCAAGTAGTAAATGATGAGGATTAGCAGGACCAATAATGGAATTACGATACCAGGCGAAGCAATATAGTTAAGAATCTGAAATTTTTTAGAACGAGCATTGTCAGTGTTGTGCACTTATATGCATGTACATATCTTCATCGAAGCAATGAATACTTACCCAGTGCAAGCTCTCTGGTAGAGCATTGAGAATGGCTTGTGTCAAAATGTGATATATTCGCTCATAGTTGGAGAAGGGTCCGCAGTGCCTGAGTAATAATTAAAAGCATTATCATCGCATTTATCCCAAACCAGGTTACCTACAGTAGGTTACCTACAATATTTTATTATCACTATACGCACACAGGAATAGACAAAAAACACAAACTGAGATTTGTATACTGTAGCAGCGTGGGGTCCAGCATATAAATATGCTGCGATTTGAAGACAATTTAAAACAAATCTGGTTGGAAAACTCGACAATTGGAACTCTGATCAAGTTAGTAGGATTTTTTAGTGGCAAAATTATTACGATTGCAATTCCGGACAAAATTAATATGGATTGGATTGGAATAATTCTGATTTGACTCATTCCTTTTCCATTTTCAAATAATTTTATGTGACTAATTGCTTATAACGATTTGTGAATTAAATGACTAATAAATTGCATTAACATTTGAAAATATTCTAGTTATTTTTTCATTGTGCGAATGCATGTGTTCATACCATGAAGGTTGAAGCCACACCACGGCAAACGCGACTGGAAGTGTGCAGAGGAAGAGCATGAAGAGAAGGAGAGCAAAGTAGAAATTGTTGGAACGCGATGCTCGGAACACAGTTTCGTGAGGAACGTTGCAGGTCATCACAGCCCAAGAACGGATGTACATGAGCACCACCAATTTGATCAAATTCAGCGTGGGCAGACCGGGAGAGAAGAACATACCCATCCACACCATGCCCTGGTTCTGAAATACAAATTAGTTGACCGTTACTTGGGGGATATATCAACTCCTGACCTACAAAGGTCGTCGATAAAGTTCAACAGTGTCGATAAAGTTCTTTATGTCGTTTTTGTTATTCTAATGTTATGAATTGTGATTGTGATATGCTTGGTACTTATCAATTTATCATTTACTTACGTTCACCAGATGCAGAATGTTTTCTGCTATCTTAAAGTCACCTGAACAAAAACAAATCATAACGTGACTAACGATGGTTACTGCGGTCAGACGCAAGGATAAAAATTGGCGAATTCGAAGCGAAAACTGTCATACCATATTGAGGAAATTTCTTTTCAAGGTCCCAGCACCAGCAGGGATTTAAAATACGAACAAGAATTGCACGAATAAAATCAAGCACAAGAATAAATCCAACGGTGAAGATCTATTGAAAAATAATAAATTACTTGCTTGCAGTAATTATGTAGGTACCTACAAGTAATTTCTAATTGCATTATTTGCAGCTATTACCAAGTCCATCACAGTTAGTTTAACGAGCTCCTGGCCAAACATGGTTTCCCAACAAAGCTTTCTTAATTTTATACTAGTATCTGGTGGCAAAGTGGGTGGAGGTTCAGTCGTTGCTTGAATTTCAGAACACAAAAATGGAAATTAGAGTCATTAATTTGTACATGTTGTACTATTTTGTGTTGTAATGTACGTAACATTACTTATGCAAGAACGGCTTTGCGGAACCCAACAGTTGTCAGTCCGTGGTCCTAGCATTACTTCCAAAGAGCAAAACGTATCAGTGCAGTTTAAAAACTCATTTAAATCTGAAGGACTTGTTTTTCCGTCTTCACAAATGGTGACATAACATTTCTTGGTCTCCTTATCGTCCATATTCACTTTAACCGTAGTCCCAAAAGTAGAGTTCCAATAGGGAGACGTCACCTTCCTCGTTTCTACAACGCTTTCCAAAGTCGTGACCCATTTGGAAAAATCACGAACTTTTGAGTAGTCAATTTCATCCGTTTTTGTAGAATTATGGTTGAATATCTGTTGTACAGATTATAAAATCAAGAAATCAATAACGTACTATTGGAGGGAATCTACTGAAAAATTTGCATAGTAATTATTTCATATTTGTTTACCATTGTTACAACAGCCATTACGTTTGTCAAGAACTTGTCGAGACTTTCAGGGGTGGTAGGTTCTGGGAGGAAGGTTGTCGTGGAGGGCATTTCCGTGGTCGTAGTCGTGCTCGGGTCTTCCTTGGGCTCCACTGGAATGTCGCCTCGAGTGGACGACTTCCCATAAAAGCCATTTCCATTGCGTCCCAATTTGAGAACAAAGCTATCGTCCTCATCCTCCTCACTCACTACTGGATATTTTGACCAGTCTGGCTGTGTGTAATCTTCATCGGGTGGATCAGTTGGTTTTCCATTGGGGAAGTTGCTTTTGCTGTGCGTCGTTCTTTTGAATTTTGGCTTACGTGTCCCATTAGTTTTGTTCTTCTTAAGCGAGCCAGGTTTCCTGGGTTTAATTTTCTTTGGGGGTCGGAATGTGCTCGTATCTGGACCTGCCGAGGAAACCCCGATGATTTCTGTACTCTCGTAGTATTCACTTGAACTTGAGGCATTCGCATAAGTGGATGAAAGTATGGGCAGATAAGTCACATTGCTTGAAAGATCTCCCAGAAATGGGGTTGTCCTTGTAAGCGTAGGAACAATTGTGGCTGATTGAAATACAGGGAAGAATTTAGTTTTATTGTTAGGTTATAAACAATAAATTAAATAATGTATGTACTCACCTAGATATGCACTCAAAAGTTTCACTACAAATAGAAATGATTAAATTATTATCAAACACCATTTTCTTTAATTTGATTGAGCACCACGCCAAAAGATTGTGGAAAGTAGGTTGGATTGGATTAGAATGCTATCTAACGTTGAATATTAGTCGAAATTTTTGTATCCTCATGTTAATTTTTGATAGTCTTAGGTTATTAACGGTCATATTTTTTGAACTATTTGGTAACGAACAGAAGGTTGTTCCATGCAGAAAGCGTAGCGTTGTATAAGCTGACTTTTAAATGAATTATTATAATAACAATTTGAAAACAAATAAAAGTCCTGCTTGTTGCATAAAACATATACCAAACTTATTGAATAGTTTATACATGTTCATACCCATTATTGGAAGAGCTGAAATAATATAGACAGCAATGTGGATTAGTTCATACAATTTACAAATTCCCTTGTAATTTCCCTACGAGAACTTTAGTTTATTTACCCGTAATTAATGCAGTTTTGTTTTCGGGTGTCCACAGACTTGTTTCATTCAAGTCTACAGTGGACTGATTTGTCCAAAATGTATAATTTTCATCTGCAAAAAAATGAATGCGAGAATACGTAAACTTCCTAAACGATCTAAAAGACGGGTTGACATAAATTAAATTTTAAAATAGGAACAAGGTTGGCTTGGCCATAACTAACCGTCCGCATATTCCGACCAGGTTTCACTCGTGTACTCCGTAACATTACCAGCATTAAATATTTGAGAAATGTCCGTCGTTGGCAGTAGCGTATGAATTAATTTCCACCACTCTGTTCATATAAAATTATGCAATAGTTTTCAGTTTCTGTCAAAGCACTTGCATTAAGATTATTCTACTGTCAAGTACCCGTCATGTTGAATTTTCCATTGGAACTCATAGTGTGTGAAGTGTTGGGTGCAAGGGACGAGGAAATTTCATTTATCGGCAAGAGCGTCGTGAGATTTGCAATAAAAACGAGAACGGCATTGTTCTGCTTGAAGTCCTCATAGGACGCGTAGTTTTCAAGAATCGTGCAGTTGACGCTGACATCGGAGCAAAACGGGGGCTCGGTTGTTGGTGGCATCAAAGTTGTCGTATAGTTTGGACGTAATGCTTCGAGGTCTTGAGACTGCACGGATACACACAAATACTTAAATAAAATACGCTCATACATAAAGCGTTCAAGCTACGATGTTTGACTTTAATACCATTTTGGCAACTTTCCCAAACAAGGCGAAGATGAGAGTATACCTAAATAAATACGAAAATAAGTACAAACGTTCATCACAATTGTTTTCTGTTCCAAGTGCATAGTATTAATTCATTTCAATTTATCTAAATTTGGGTCAAATTGAGAAGTTTGAGTGAAACCCGTACAAGTTGAGGAAGTTGAGGACCATAATTCTACGAGTAAGCAATTTATAAATTAGTCTATGTGCAATTATGATGTATCTTCTATTATTGAGAATTCATGTTGTACCTTGCTAACTGCCATCTCAACTGTTTTCTGGGATGATAGTTCTCCAATAAGCCAATTAATTCAAAGATGTTTGGAAAAATAGTGGTAATTAGTGAGAGGGCCAACGTGATTTCATTTTGTCGCCACCACTTTCAATTTGAAGAAACGAGCATTAATTAATCGTAACCGTAAGTTGAAGTACTTGTTAGTATTAGCGATGTTGTATTACCGAGTCTGTCGGTTTGACATCTCCAGATCTGCGAACTACCAACACGACGGCTCCAGCCGACGACATGAGTAGCAAAAGAATGAGAAAGTTGGCCAGAACACGAAGACTAATTATTTTCCAACTACGACGGAGAGTTAAACAATCATTAAGTAATGATGCAAGTGTTTCAGAACTAAATTTAACCAGATTTTACTTTCTCTCATCCTTTGTCCTTTCCTTTTCTTCCAAGAGTGCTTCCTTAAATCCTATAACATTTGCTTAGTACTGATGACTATGTTGTATTACCATTTCTAGCTTAAATAGCGGATTATGACCTCACCCATAGTTATTGAGGCAAATCGGTTGAAAGCAGTTTCAGGATTTCCAATCATGTAATCTACAGTAATCGTAAATACTTATTTACATTTCTACATTTTCCAGTCATTCTAATTCTGCGTAGAATTATTTTTGTCGACAAATTTTAATCTAGAATTTGGAAGGTTACCCCAAGAACAGAAAAGTTTCCAGCTAAACGCGCATTCATCCTCCTTTTCGGATAGCTTAGACTGACGAGAATTTTTGGCCATTCTAGATTGTCACGAAACAATTGGTACATAAATTGAAAGCGTTGCATTAAATATTCGATGTACGAACTTGCGTAAGATGGCAATAAAGCTGTAAATGTAGACACCCATGCCCGTCATAAAATATGAGAGTGGGAGAGGATATCCTTCCTTCGTTTTTTTCTGGTCAGTGTAGAATCCGTAAAAGAATGGAGAATGCTTTAAGCTTCCTAAGACGTCAGGGATTTGATACACGTATTTATTTTCACAGGAATAGGTCAGCAAAGCAATGTAAAAGTACCTTCAAATTCCCAAATGGTTGAGAGATAAGTTGCAGTTTTCTCTTCTGACGGGAGCAACATTTTCCGTTGACCAGCATTTTTGGGGTCAGCAGCCAATACCTTGTAACGGAAAAATTAGCCTGTTCATAGGGTTGTACAGGTAGTGTTAGTATGACTGTACTACTTACCTCTGGTACAACGACGAAGCAAATGAGTATTGCAGAGATCTTGATGTCATATACAATAAAGTATAATTAATTAGTTGCATGTGTTCAAAATATAGTGAAAAGTGGAGAAAGCGAAAGAGAGACTGTCCCATTTTGGCAGGTTTCTGAAAGTCCTTACTTACGCCTACTTAACGGTATTGCAGAGAATGTGTACCAAATTCATACTCAACAATTAATTTGTCCTTTTTGTGTTGGAATTGGAATAACTATTTTTGAGCAGATGTGATTGATCTAAAACTCATGGCGATTCCCATATTAAATCGTCTTTTCTCTCACACTGTTTGATTTTTTTTTACATTTACATATCAAAGACTAATAACGAATGATACGTGTTTTTCACCAACCACTAAATTAATCCAAAATATCCAACGGAGGAATGTAAAATATGAAGCCACCTAAAAATACTTTGAATGTTATAGTAGATATACAAGGATATGAGACATAATATGAGATTTCATCTCAACCATAGCTTTCACCTACCACAGATCCAAAATGAGATTCAATTTGCTTGATTCTCAACTCCCAAGGAATCATATTTGCAGCCATGTTTAATAGCTGTCGTTTCAGGTGTTGCCAATACTGGAACATGGAGTACATAGCATCATAAGTATTTTCACTTAAAAAGCTCAGCATGCAAGTATGTTAGAATTATCGGCAAGCCCAAATTTTCTTTTCTTACTCTCATCAACATCAGCTTGAATCTTGCCATGATGTCCTTTGTGCTTTTAGATTGAGCGAGCCTCTCCTGCAACTCACCTATATTGTTACTGCATGATTAGGCATATCCAATAAATAATTAGTACGTAATGCTGAAGTACGAAAACTTCGCTCCCTCAATGATAAACTCTGAGGAGGGGAGCTTGCGAGGTTGATAATAACAGATCTTGATGCCCTTTGGATATGTGGTAGGGACCCATGAGTGTACTAAAACCCTGAATTGGTTTGACTCCATGGCCACATTTACGCCCGGCACACCCACTCAAAAATGTCCAAAAAACGCTTTCACCCCAGTTTTCACTCACTCAAATCCACGCCAAAAATCCAATTTTACTCGGATTTTGAAATTTCTTTCACCATTATACTCCCAGATAGTTGCTTTCTTCAATCCAATATCAAACTCAATTTTTTCGAAATTTTTAGTATTTTTAAAATTTAAATTTCTGAATGAGCATTGTTGTAGCAATCAACAAGGCAAATTATGCCTGCGAAATAATAATCAGCAAAATTGAGTTTGATATTGGATTGAAGAAAGCAACTATCGGGGAGTATATTGGTGAAAGAAATTTCAAAATCCGAGTAAAATTGGATTTTTGGCGTGGATTTGAGTGAGTGAAAACTGGAGTGAAAGCGTTTTTTGAGCATTTTTGAGTGGGTGTGCCGGGCGTAAATGTGGCCATGGAGTCAAACCACTTCAGGGTTTTAGTACACTCATGGGTCCCTACCACATATCCAAAGGGCATCAAGATCTGTTATTATCAACCTCGCAAGCTCCCCTCCTGAGGAGTCGAGGTTTTCGTCCTTGCATGACGATATTTTAATAGACGATCCGTATTATGCAGTGATACCCACCCTCGTGCCTCTTAACATACTCCTTCGCTTGCTGGGTCTGAAATTTAATGGCATGAATTTGTCATCCCATTCTCTATGCAGACTTATTCCTAAGACTATCAGGTCAGAGTCCACCTACCAATTTAAACTTTCTCCGCATTTCCCACGGCTGCTGCTTAACATGGTCTAGTAGCTCCTTATGCAGGCGAATATTCTCAAATATTTGCTCTTGTGTTGCAGCCTCGCCATCCATGCTGATCGCCGTACTAATTTACAATTTAAAGAAATGCCTTTACATGCGTAAAGTTTTTTGTGGGCTAAAATTTATCTCATTAAATAGAAAAATAAGGTCAACCCACTCTCCGGAACTGGTAGTGAAGACGGATGAACGCCGACGGTCGCTGTCGAAGGGGGAAGAAGTTCTCCTCTTGCCACCCTTCACTTTCCGCATGGACGTTCGCCGCTGGAGAATGGCTGTCATTGAAGCCGAGTAATCATCATCCTCATCTATTACCCATCAAGATGATTTTTACAACCACATCTCATTAAAGGGTCCAATCATATTTTAGGTAAAGCAGGAAGAAAGAAGTGAGAAAATAATCAAATAACGACAATCAAATTATGTAATCACGATTTTTTTTGTGCCTAAAAATTGTCTACACTGAACTTAATAGGTGTTTGTATATAACGATAAAACAGACGGCATGCAAAAGCTTTATGCAAACAATTGTTGCATATCCTCATCATTCACGGTCGAAAGTACAACATAGGAAAATGAGATCATAATATCAAACCAGACACTACAGCCACAACGGAAAGTCGGTTTCCAGGATTTAATGGAGAGGATTGACCTTGCCCGGGAGGCATAACGGGGGACGGGCTGCCACCCCCACCGCCGACCATGGCACCACCCTCGTTCATGTTTAACACATTCACTTTCACGGACACGTCGGAGGGGAGGTCGCCAGGGCTGCTGGGAGGCAGATGGTGGGGGTCGCCGTAGTCCGTGTCAGACCAGGAGGAGCGTTCTCTCTCATACTCTGGGGCAAATGAGACTGACAATCTGTCCACCGAGGGTTGAGGCGAACTTGGCTCTCCGGGCGACTGCAACAAAGATAATCACAAAAATATCGTCGCTAAATTGTCCACGAATATTTTCCACTCTTCACATCACATTATCCTTTAATCGAACGAAATGGAAGGATTTAGGCCATAAATTAGCCCCTCTCTTATGAAGAGTGACAGGTGAATGACTCTTTCACTGCGATATATTTTGCGAGACAGTAGGTAGTTCCACGTTGATTGTATATTACTTAAAAATTAATATGAAACAACTTCACAATAACAATAACAACGTCCTTCTTGGACTTTAAACTTGGTTTTAAAATTCAAAGCGACTTTTATTGCATTGTATGCAGATTCCCGACAGATTTAGGTCGAAAGTCTGTGTTTCTCGACTTGTCCTCCCCAACATGTTTGTGAGAAATTTAATTGCTTGCGGTATTTGGGTGGGTAAAAATATTAGTATTGGGCTTTTCCAAACGGTCGCCGAACCTTAGGTTGGGCTTATATTGTAAATATGTTTTCCATGAAAAAAGGGAGGGAGGTACAGACAGCTAACAAATGAAGTTTATTTGAAGCGTTGAAGTCCAAGTGAGTTCTGAGCATTTTGTGAGCATCACGAGCCATCCAGACCAGACTTGGATGAGAGGTAGCGGTGGTTGAGGAGACTGCGGAATTACTGCCAAACCAGTGAAAGTAGCAGAAACCAACTTTGCTTTCTTTGTATTGGATTGGATTTTATCCACTAATGTAAATGGACTCGACTCACTTCATTTCATAAATCGCATCCCCAAGTCGCTCCGCCGTTCAAGCTACTTGCTGCACCTGAATAAAATCCTCAGTCGCATGCATTTACGGGGAGACCGGATACGCACTCCTACGCCATCATTAGGTGTACGTGTAATGGGCTCATCCTAGTGTTAATAGGGTCGTGTTATTCTTACGTGCTACATAAGTCATAGGTGTACGCCTGGGTTTTAGTCTTCATCTATCGATGAATGAATTAAAGCACAAAAAACATAATTTATTCCCCATGATAGAAATTTCAGGGATTATCTGACTTTTTGAAATCGCAGAAATGATGTGCTTTCATAAAGCGGCTACATAATAAAAAGAACGATGACCTTAGGAGACTGCGTGCTATCTGAGAATCCCATAACTTTAGAAAATTGTTGTAATCCGACCAAGCAAGTCTGATCGAGCTACGTACATATAGCTGGCGAGCAAAGTATAATAATGGTCGTGAATCTTGGCCAGGCAGATCATCGTTGAGGGCAGACGCCTCGGATCGTTGGTAGGAAGATGAAAAGCAGGAGCAGCCAGTGAGTTATTTCTTGGACCTCGCCCACCATCAACGTAACCTGTACGTGCCTCGTACATATGTATCATAAACTTATGATAAAGCTTATAATGTGCACTAGATTTGTCCCACTTTCACCAACTCAACCCCTGTCTGAACCCGTCTGACTGATTTCCACGCCACGCCACGCCAAGTCAATCCTGTGCTTGATTTACACGCCGTACACATGGATGGAGAAAGTAGGAAAGGTTTAGGCTGGCTCCTTTGGCTCGCCTTTCTTACTTTCAACCCATGCAAAATGATGCACAGTTTACTTCTCTCACATCACAAATAAACAAATGATTATCTACCTGTGATTTCCTGACTTGAGATAAAGCTTCGAGATGGGTTTCGTTTTAGATTCCCAAACGAAATGTATACTTGGAGAAAAGATGATAATGTTTATGACATATCGCGATATAGCCTTTTCTTTCTTTGTTTGTTTGTCATCCCACCTCCATTGTAAATCCCGTGACGCTATTAAAACCAGTGTTCATAAGATACATTTCAGGGCTGAACGTTTTTAGGGTAGACAATTGCCATCGACTTGTGTCAGTGGGTGGGGAATAGTGGGAGGACACGGTATGAGCAACACTGCTATGTTTATACCTAAGGACAAGAGACATACGACTACTTAAGTATGGATGTATACCTACGTCTACGAATATATGTACGTATTGTGCATATATATGGCTGGATAGGGAGAGGTGAGCAATAACAACATCCTGGAAAAGATAACTAGACACACGCCCATCCAATCCATTCACTCACCACTTTCACCCAAATCCGCTTCCTGCTCGCCGAGTCAGTCAGCATCCACTTACACACCACGAGCATGAACTTGGCCAGATTTTTACATGTTTGGATTTATTGCTCATTTTATCAACGGGTATGAGATTACTTTCACTCAATACATCAATAACGGTGTACATATAAATACGTACTAAAGGGAGGGCAGCCTGGTGGATACGAATTTGGCCTTGAATAACCCCGGAACGGTTTGTCGTAGCGGGTCAAAATTTTGAACAGAAGAGCATGTTATCCTCAGATAGTTGTGTGCAAAAATTCAACTCTCTACTTTCAAAAATGCCTCCCCCACAGCCCCCAGAAGTTGAGACACTCGTTTCAACTTTTTCCAAACTCCGTCTAAAAAATTCGGTCCCCACAGAAAGATTTTCTTTTCATCTATCCGAACTCAAACAAGTCGATTTGACTTATATCAGGGGATTGTATAGGTATTTCACTATTCCAAATGATTTTTATCCCCAATCTAGGTTCAAGGTCATTTGCATAATCTTGGGTCAACTTTGCCGTCTGGGAGGACGCTCCGTCATGATGAAAAATCACCTTAATTATTATTTTACCGTGCAAATTAGGAAAATTGTATTCTAAAAGTGGTTTCAGTACAAGGTCCACATAATACTTCGAAGATTCCTTCACTTTTTGGGGGACTTTGATAAGTGGGAGGACACCACGACAGGACATTGCACCCACGACCATCAACTGTTTAAAAAAGTTCTCCTCACTGAAAAGCACCAAATTTCTTGAATTTTTTTTCGGCATTTGTCGTGTAGTAAGCTCTTCGAACCCAATTAGTAACTTGTAGGGAAAATAGTTCTTCGTCAATTGTCACCAATAGCTCACTTCTATTCCTCAACAGAATATTCAAATAAATTTTTTTGCAAACACGGGCGAGATTTTTTCTGGAACTATTTGAAATGACTGTCTCAGCTTCTGGGGGCTGTGGGGCAGGCCTTTTTCAAAGTAGAAGGCTGAAATTTTGCACACAACTATCTGAGGATAATATGCTCGTCTGTTCAAAATTTTGACCCGCTACGACAAACCGTTCCGGGGTTATTCAAGGTCAAATTCGTATCCACCAGGCCGCCCTCCCTTTGGTATGTGTGTATAGCCAATCTGGGAATGCATAATATTGCCCAAATCGACTGATGAGTTGTAATATGATTGTTGTGTGATGGTCGATATAGATTGTCGCTTTTGCGTGTACGAATAAATTTATTGATTGATCGGCGTGAATTGAATGTTTATGTAAATATATATGTATCGACTGATCGAGCTGAACACGTGCAGCATGCATCGTTATTTATTATGACAGTTTATACGTTTATTTCGGACAACTTGTTAAATTTTAGCTTCTATTAGTAGAGAATAAGGACAATCATGTACCGTATTTAAGCCAAAACAGCGTGTGTGCATATGCATGCATACGATCTGACTCGCGTCATTTTAATGTTTATATGAATTCATGGAAGTAATAGCAGAGATGACAGAGTAATTTGAATATTATTCATGTGGAATCATCTCAAATTGCTATCCCAATAAATTAAATGTCGTAAAAGCTAACAATTGCCATACCTGAACAACAATTCTACTGCTTTTTGGGGCGTCCACACGTAGAATTCCAGGAGCATTTTTAGTTCTCGGACTCCCACTCGTACTGACAACACCACCACCACCACCACCACTAACACCAGCCTCAGCAGTCGCCTCTTTTTCCATTCTTTTGTTCTTAGCTCGATCAGTGAGCAGGGATCTTTATCTCATTTTTCCACAGCAATCGGCAAAATCATGGGTGAATAAATCTAGAACAGGATCAATTATTGGTTTCCTTCCGTTGCCTTAATTTTTCAAACCATGATTTATTCTCGGCGGACGCTGTGTTCCCTTTGCTAATCCAAATTTATGTGTGCAACAGTAATTTACATTGCACAGAGATAAAAGTAGGGAAACGAGTCTACAATTAAAATCTCTTTCTACTGACATACCAAATCTTGATTCATGTCGTAGGTTGGTTGGCTGATGAACGAATGAATGAGTCCCACAAGGAAGGGAAAGTCGTGAATTTAGTGCTGAGCTCTGGGAATACATATTATCTGATGAGCAGCAGTAGGAGAAAGCAGTACATGCATGGAGACCTTTTACGATTATCATCATTAACACCACCACCACCACCAACAGGCAGGCAGGAGGCTGCTAAAAGTCTCCGTAGTCCGCTTTCACTTAGTACTGCATGCAAATATCAAACAAGACGACCGACAGACAGGCCAGGCAGACATCAGAACAAATTATTCGGCTATTTGCAGTGGAAAAACAGAATATTTCTCTTCATATGCATTACATCATGTTCATAGAGAGAAAGAACGCGTATATGTGCACATACATCTCTAATTTTATTGATGATGGGGTGTTTCGGCGAATGAAATCCCCCGTCATTTCTCGTTTACCAATTTTTCCCCTCATTTTCCAAATTAGAATGATTGGTGTTAAGCTGGCTGCCCGATTATTGGTTCTTCATAGTGCAATGACCAGGTTTTAATATACATCACCCAAAGCTATAGATCTCTCATGTCACCTACATTCACTCAAGTGTCATTCAAGCATCGGATAATATGTCATGTTATCACGGATTGGCTATGGTATTGGAGTTTATTGCAGGTTTTATATGCAAATGTACATACTAAACTTGGAGTTGAATGGCTAATTCTTTTCCATGTTTCCCTTTTAAGGAAGAAGTGCTTTGGGAAAATGAATTGCCCACGTGGGTGAAAGTCAGGTACGCGAGTGGTAATAAAAGCACGTAGACGAACATATGTATGTATGCACGAGAAAAATTATACCTCGTCGTCACATTTTATGCAGATTCCAGATTTAGGTCGACTCCTGGCTGTATCTCCTTTTTTTCGTTTAATGGTGGCAGTGGGATTTGGATAAAAATCTACAATGTTTTACTTTCTCCATCATCATTCAGCATCCAGCAACACTCAGGATGCTAGATTAAAGGGATTACTCTGCCAACCTAGAGCATGCAATGCAGTTACTGCTGCTGCTTGTTTCACCAAAATAGGTCTAGACAGATAACAATATCAATGAAATGAAAAAAGGTGTTGTTGGCGAACCATCGTGAAATTCCTTTATCGCTACTTTTTCATTCAACTGCTGTAAAGCATCTTCTTGGATATCACATCCAGCAGAATTATTACTCTCACGCTGACCAACTAGTTAATTCGACACGCCCATTTTGACCTAAATTCTACGTTATTTTGCTGAATTGAATGTGACTCCACGAACCTGATTAGTATTGTTTCTACGATTGTGTTACTTATTCATGAAAACTTTCGGGAATTATTGATGCCTGCTCCAGACTCATGTCATTAGTACAATTTTGTACATATTTTACAACGATGCTTCATGATCATTATGCCATACACTCCAATTTCTATTTTTATTTTCTTGTTAAAACTATCACAGGGACAATTAAAAATTTCGACCAATGTAATGTCGACCATTTAAAGAAAACTGAATTATATCAAACAATCTTATAGAACATGTTACAATAAGAATAATACAACCTAAAATGCGTTAGACGTAACCTTTTCACCCAATAATAATGCCAATTTTATTGCTAAATTTTTGCATGTGACATCCTTGAATCATATTGATTCCCTTCACCATAATGAACGATACCTGATCACAGTAATCACATGAAATTAGTGAAACGTTGCATTCCTCATGCAACTGCAGTGTGTCATCATTCGAATGAATTTTAATTAGGAGCTTGAGACTTTTAATAGAATAAAATATCAATTAAAACCAGCCATCAGCATACGTAGCTCTTGAACAAATAAATGTACGCCGAGGGATGGAGGAGCATAGAAGAAAGTGGTCTCACGAGTGGAAAACCCGTTCGACTGGCTGAGCAGCCCATCTGAACAAGGCCCACAAAAGTTGTGTTAAATTCAACTCTATAGAATTGCAGTCTTTTTTGCAGTCACTTTTTCGACAATATACACATACAAAAGAACAGATCACAATTTTAGAAATATTTCCATATTTCCATCCAAGTATTTAGAACAATGAGAAGGCTATAGCAAATATCACATTGCAATATCAAAATAATAAACTAGTAATGGTCATGGACAGATCAGCGTCGTCACCACCCACGGAGTCGCCAAATCCTCTTCTTATTCACACGGTAATAAATAAAGAGAGAGGGATGATTGTTGAACTTCAATTTTAATAACAATACTTGATTCTTATTACATAATGACGACTAATAATAATAATAATGATAATCGAACAGGTTATAAAAGAGGTTTCGTACTACCTGACCCCACCTGACTTGAAGGTGTGTCGTTTAGTCTGTTCTTTTTGGGACGAAGAGTTGTCCCGACTCTTGCGGAAAGTGTCACATCTTCCCCTCCTCACAAATCAGAGACTGCAAGACTTTCTTCAAGCTTCCATAATGAAGTGAGAATACCATCAATTACTTAATTCCGTAATACATAAGGAAATGATTGAATTTAAATTTTAAAATAATTATTTGTAGCCACACCTTTTGCTCAAACTATCAATTGGGTCAAGATGTGACCATGAATCTCGAAGTAGGGAGCCTTGTCTGGAGATTTTTCCATATCTACGGCCCTTTCATAAAATCACTCTACCTGGACAATTGTAAATTGTCACGGGAAGACTTGCTGTCCATTTTGTACAACTCTTGTCCCAACTTGGAAGAACTTATGTTGATTGGCAGTGGAGTGGAGGAGGGCCTTTTTCTCCAACCTCCACCACTCCCTTCCCAAGATGAGATCGTTGTAGAAGAAGGGAACGAAAAAGAGTCCACCACCCCATTGTCACCCTTCTCCAATAGTAGTAGTAGTAGTAATAGTATCAACAACCTCGGTAACCTCAAAAACATAAAGTGCCTTCGTGTCAACTTGATTTGTACACGGATGATTCGAAATACTAAACTGATGGCGGATCTGCTGAAAATTTCTCCGAACGTCGAGACAATTTCTTGGATTGAAACTTTCTTGGGTGAGTCATCCGCATTTCATTATTTCATATGTGCAAAAAGGGATAAGTTGTATGATCTGAAAGAACCACAAACGAGTACAAACTGAAGCACCTCAACTGTCTTGAGTTAACTTGTTTTGAAAATATCACTCGTAATTCAAAGGCCAACATCATTACAATCATTTCTTTCTGTAACATAATTCTCTTCCATCTTCCTCATATTATTTTAATCAATGATATATCCCTTTTTAGATGAAGTTCGATACGATCGAAATTTTCAACTCGATCTGGAACGAGCTTGGTGTGCTAAACCCCATGAAAATGGGATAACAATCAGGTATGCCATAATATTATCAAAAAACGGTTGTACGTACGACATGTAAAAGGTTTTAATTGAAACCCTTGCTTAATTTATCAGAGATACTATTTGCGACACGGCAATCCATCATAAAGAACTCAGCTTGAGTAAATTGAGTAGAATAGAGAGCAATATGAGGTAAGACAAGTCAACAATATATATATTCTTCTAAATATCAATATTGGTACAATTATTCACAAAATATGTATGTACACGTTGTAACAATGAGATATTTTTGTAACTAATTTCAGGCTTAACAATGAGTCCATCCAAGTATTGGAGAGCCGACAATTTCCTCTAAACTTTTTAGATATCAGTTTAACCATCGATGTGGAACCTGTGGTACTATCTTCACTCCTCACGACGTTATCCGGGTCATTGTCTACCCTCCGGCTAGAATTTTACCCAACCCACGGAACAACAAATTTTTTCTCTTTCAATTTCCCAAAAATGTTCAAAATGGAGCATTTATTTGTGCAAAAATTTTCATCCAATTTTTCATTTTATAAAAATTTCAATGCAACTAAATTTCCGCTCTTGAAAACTCTGACCTTTTGTGAGACTGATTTCAAGTCGATGGTGGAAAATGATGACGAGATTTTGCAAGGCTGTAGCGATAATAACATTAAACATTTTGGTTTTCCGATTAGACTGAAAAACGAAAGTATTCGAATTTTGCAAGTTACTTGTGATCTGAGTAGGAATTCACTATCGAGTGAGGGGATTTCTGGGTTGGCAAATTTTTTTCCAAACTTAAAGGAAGCAAGAATGGAAAATTTTGACAGGATGGATAAATCCATTTGGGAGGCTAATTTCTTAAAGTTAAAATTCTTTGGTTCACCATCAGACAAAGGATTAGGGGGACTGCCTTCGCCAAAGGGAGAAAATGAATGCTCCAAATGTTGCAAACATTTCATGAGAGGTTCATACCAGCATCAGCAGCGTTGATTACAACAACAATTCACATATTTATATATCGACCACACTAACAGCCACTTTATAAGAAGCTGATACTACTATATATAAGATGATAATGAGGGATCATTCTTCCCAAAAACATGAAAAAGTTCCGTTCAAATTGACGCAATACGTAAACTATCAGTCATAATAATTATGTATATGCAAAAATCTGTTAATTAATCCATAAATAATTGTCGATACCAAACTCATTTTAATTGGGGTAGTTTTATTCTATTTAAACTTAAATACATCATAACATTTATGAGGTTGTTTTATATTATTAACCTAGCTTCAAGAGCGGATAACTATACTTATGCATACATAATGTACATATGTATTACACCAAACTGATATTGTGCTAAAGTGAAATACATGCAATAAACATCATGCTTAAGTTTATGTGATAATTTGAACAAATGTTGTTTCCTTTTTTGAAAATCAATTGATAAATTTTGGGATTTTAATTAAGGAAATTATATTCAAGTAAGTAATTTTACTGTTTTGTTTTAAATTATTATTTGGTAAAGGTTATCCTCGCTACTTCATCCGTAATAACAAACGCCAATCATTTGTAGTTTGGTTGACATTGCCGTGCAATTGTTTGCCTTTGCCCAGGGAAGCAAGGAAGTGCTGGATCAATTCTCCTCTTATCAATCCTGTAATTCATAAAGTCTGCTGGGTACGACCATGCGGGGATGCATGTGGGATCTGTAGCTCTTGAGTCATAAACATCCCAAAATAAAACTTCGTCCCTTTCACAGAAGGCCCGGGTTGAAGTTAGATGACAATTTCCATTCATGTAAACCCAGTGTAAACAATCGGTTTCTTTAATTTTGTCAAAAGTTTGCTGCCAAGAACATGCGTTTCTTTCACAGCGTGGCTGACCCTGATCAAGAACTAGCCAGTCATTATGGTGACATGGTCCCTGTTTAGAAATGAGAGAAAAGATTATACATATTATTGCTTTACTATTACATAAAATGTCAAATACTGTGGACCTGGGAATAAACAGGATAACACCAGTCGTCCAAAAATACTAACGGCCGCCCGCAATTATATCCAACTTCAGGATCGCAATCACATTTCCCGAATTGAGACCCAGAGCGATCCAAGAAAAATTTCATGTTTGGTTTGCATGGTCCCCTGTATCCGACTTCGAAGCATTTATTGTGTTTTCTCGAGTATGCGAAGCGTTTGTAACCAGCAATGTCATTTTGAGGGCAGATGAACTCGGATTTTGACTCGAAGGGATAAGTGTACTGCAAATTAAAGTTTATACGTGTAGGTATTGCACAGTAACAATTATCACAATTGGTATAATAAATAAATAAGTACATACGTGCGTCTCAAATGGTGGAGTAATGTCAACGGTTCCTACTGACTGTTGTGTGATAAAAATTGCATGGATTTTTTAGAATTTCACTATGAGAATTAACATAGCTATTATGTTTCTTACCTGTTTAGTGGGTTTAATGTACCCATTTCTATCAATTATTTTCTGAAATTAAAAAATATCATACAGTGTAATACTGGAAATGGCAAAGGACTTATGTATATATATAAATCAGATGTATAATAATCCATTGCTCCAGTTGAAGTTGTTAATTACATATCTATGGTGTAAATATACATATGATTACGATTACCGGTAATGGAAATTGTTCAGGTTGATTTTTCAGTGCAAACTGATCTTTGTCGTCAGTATGAGAAATCCTTCCAGTTATTTGGTCTCTCTGAAAAATGGGGGGTTGCTTGTCATTTCCCCCGTAAATTCTGTTGCTGTTCTGAGAAAAATGCAAACGTGTATTTAATTCATAAAAGATTCAGCAGACTTAATTTTTTAAGCTAAACCTCATAGTCCATGAAATCAGGGGGAAAATATTCCATTGAAGTCCACCCTGTGCCCGGTATCGTGGCTCTGATTTTCCGGTCCCTCGCACTCACATTGGTGAAATTATGGTCAAGAACAACTGACACTGCAATTAGTAATACAACTTTCATAATTAAATTCATGTTTATTTTGAGGTTATTTACAAATTATTTGGAACAATGTGGGCTTGCTGGTTGAGAGAATACCACTGGAACAAATTTTTATTCTTTGGACAGCTACATATATACTCAACTATACATAGGTTCAAGTCATAATTAATCGAGGAATCAGTTCGAGATTCCCACAGAGGTTATACACCTCAAAAAAATCACTTTTCATTATGACAGACCCACGCCACTCGCAATTACTGCCTTGACTTTGCATGGGGTTCTCACCATTTGTAGTAAATCTACGCAGTTGTCCAGTTTTTTGTACATTTTCTCTTCATGTTGGTGTACATGACTCCAGTTTGATGCATAAATAGGCTACCTAACCTTGGAGACATTGTGGGGACAAACGCATGTATTTAAGATAAGGGGAGGAGTTTAACATTGTAAGGATAGGAAAACTCATATTTCTGTGGGGACACGGTTCCGCAACCCCTGATTTGATGTATGTGCATGAGTACAACAATTGGATAAGTAAATAGAAAATATAGCTTACGAATTTATTTGTTTCATGCATACTTTATTCATGAGTGGCAAGACAAGAGAAATACAGTCAAGTTCTCGTTACGCATTTCTAAGTACACATATTTAGTTTACATCGACACTCAATAATATTCTAAACGTTCTTTTCTTAAACGATTGCTTAAGATCCAGGACCACGTTCAAACTACCATTTGTATTTTAAATCCATCACACACAATGTAATTGCTAAGTAAAAAGCCACACCAATGGAAGCAATCACGTTTTTAGCAGAATTTGGGGTTGTAGTTTCCAGAGTGGTTGAGCTAGTAGGTGCAGGTGTGGTTGAGCTAGCGGAGGTGGGTGTGGTTGAGCTAGCGGATGTAGGTGTGGTTGACGTAGTATATGTGGTTGTAGATTGTGGTGTGGTTGACGTCACTTGATTACCCTCGTCGGTTCTTATATTGTATTCTGTCGGATCAACAGAATCTCCTTGAAGAGCAATATGGACAACCGAATTTTCCATCGCACTTTGAATGAATGTGTGTGTCAAAATCAATCCATCATGTACAGCGGAGTTTGGAGTTTGTTCTGTGTATGAATACCATCCAGAAATTTGACCTGACGTCAACAAGTTTAGCGTGAATCCTGCATCGGGAATTTGATATTTGAAATATCGCTTTTCATTTTTATTCAGCGTTCCGTTGTGTTCGTCGCCAATCTCGGGTTCTTGGGGAACCTCGCAGGTGGCCTTGTTCATTTGAAAAAAGAATTCGGCTAGTGCCTCGTAGTCGTTGACCCTGAAAACTCTGGACGAGTCGTTGAGTGCTATTTGCTGAAGCTCACTTTCCCTGATGTCCTGCTCGTTGCCAATTCCAACGGCGAAGGAAGTCAAATTAGCGGTTTTTACTGCGGCAACGGCAACCGTGAGGTTTCCTCGATTGCTATTTCCATCCGTGAACGTGGCAACAACTTGTGGGACTCCGGGTCGTGGGGTGGCCTGGTTGAAGAATGTGACCGCCATGAGGAGACCAGCAGGAGTATTCGTATTTCCATTTGGATAACGCACATTCCGGATGGTGGTATTCATTGCTGAGGGAGTTAGAGTGTTACTAAAGTCAAATATTTTTTGTGCATTGTCAGAATAGAGAACGAACGCCACACGAGTGGAATTCAAGGAGAAAGTTTGGACCAAGTCGGCAACGAAGCCTTTGGCTCGAATGAAGGCGCCAGCTCCGATACTCCGAGACCCATCAAGGACTATGCAAATGTCCATCAACCCTTCGCAAACACCGCCATCGCTTTCCAGTCTCTTCACCAGGTCCTTGTACGTTGTAGCGTTTTGATCTGCTCTACACAATAATATGCAAAAATGTAGATGAGATAAATTCGAACTAGATGAGTGGACAGTGACGTGGAGTATTAAAATGAAAATAATTTCAGTTAACTTATGCGCTTAGGATATCTAAACTCTCTAAACGCACAAAATTAGCGTGAGGTAATACGTACCTGTTGTAATTGAGCCTCCAGTACTCGGCTTGACTATCAATGGTTCCGGGGATGGGTCTGTTACTGAGGGAGAGCGTGTGCAAGTACAGCCTGGCCCCTAATCCGGAATACATGGGGACGAGAAGGTCAGCCCAAGTGACACTGTTCCATTGGATGTTCCAAGTGGCGTCAAGCCTCTGATAAATCGTATTTAGACCCGGCACATTTTTGGTCTGATTAAACAGAACTTCGTCCAATTGCCAAATTCCCCCAAAATAATCTGGTCTGTATGTTTTATCATCTTCGCCATCTCGACTTTCGACGTAGGACAACCTCCGCAGCAGATTTTGATCGTGGGGGAAAATTCCTGAGCGTTGAATTTTTCTTACCACGGCTTCAGAGACGTCTGCCCCCTTGGATCTAGGAGTCAAGGTCTCATCTATGCTTTGTGAGTAGACCAATGCTAAAACCCCTATGAAAATGATAAGTTGACCTTGTATTTGAATCATTTCAACCAGTTGTGTTTCTCAATGTCTTTGTTTGACCAACTGCGATTTATCCACTAGTCGTCAATAAATAATGTCACCTTGTTTTGTCACAGTGAAACAAAAGTGTACTAAAAAGTGTAATCATTTCATCTGTCATTCATTTCACGATAATCATGTCAATTGATTACGCTTTGCAGATGTTTTTTCACATAAATCGAGCAATTTCTACACGTTATATAATTTGATGCTATGTCTTTGTATGAAGCCAATTAAAATTATCCACTCGAGAACGAATAAAACAAATAATTATGATATCATAAACAAGTATTTTCCCTGGCTGAATGAGTCAATTATGACACCAGATAAATACATGACAGGCATTGACAGGTCACCAGTGCGAACATTTGCACTCGATAGAAATTTTAAATGATTTAATTTCTGAGAGCTACTCTAATTTATCCTGCAGCATTAGTTGGTGGTGAAAGGGAGGCGGAAGTGATGGACGGGGAAAGCCAAAGAAGCGAGGAATGGAAGAATGGAGAAAGCCACCACCACCACCAGACTTCTCCTCTACTCATCCGCTCTGTGCCTAAAGTTTGTCTCTAAAATATTAATTAGTGTTATTTTAGAATAAACACACATTATTGTTTATTCGAATTTCGAGTTGGAAGTTCCACTAATTTCGAAATCATTTTCTGTAAGTTTTCCTTTCACATCTTATCTTAATATACTTAAAGTTTTGTTATATTAAAACCAAATGAGAAATTCACAGTGAGAATCCGATGCAAGTCCAAAGGTGGATTTTAATTTTTGAGGTTGTTTGTTTGTTTGTGAAACTGACCATGCGGTAGTTCCATATTATTGGCTGAACGTAATTTATACAAGCCAGGCCAGATCGCATAAGGATGATTACCCTATAATGTACTAGCTTTAATCATATATTATGAATAATAATTATGCCTGATAAGACTCATCACTTCTCATATATTCAACATCATAGTTAATACAGTATTGGGGGAGATATTTTCTGTACTGAGTGACCCAAGTTCTCACTCAACCTTATTGCAATATGCATGTACAACATACTTATGTACATATTGCAAAATTAGCATAAAACCGTAATTTTATTTTATTTGATAATAGGAATCAGCTGAGAATAATTCGAAACTATGAGTAAACCACCGGTAGCCATTCTTTCGTATGACAACCTGGTTCACGCGCTAGCTGGGTCTGCTGTAAGTAATTATTTAGAATTGTTTAAGCCGAAATTAATTATTAATTATTCTCATTTTAGGGTAGCGTAACAGCCATGTCCGCTTTTTACCCATTGGACACCATCCGAGCTAGATTACAATGTATGACAAGATTTTTATTTCAATGAAGCCAAATATGTTGGACATATGTAAAATATTTATTCGTAATTGTAGTGGATGACCGAGTGGAAGCAAAAAATACACTAGTCATGCTAATTGAACTGACGAAAAGGGAAGGAATGTAATGCGATGCAAGCCTTATTCGTTTCGTCATGTATATAAAGAAATATATTTAGTCTAAAAATGTAACGTTTGATCTTTTAAGACCGAGCTTGTACCGAGGATTAGTTCCTGTCCTTCAAAGTTTATGCGTCTCAAATTTTGTGTACTTTTACTCCTTCCATGGCCTGAAGTCCTACATCTCAGACAAAATCCCAGCGTCTGCTATTCGAGACTTATTTCTGGGTTCTGTAGCCGGTGTTATCAATGTTTTGACGACGACTCCTTTATGGGTAATATATATTTGCTTATGAAGAACGATGTACGTTAGTGGACTTGATTTTTTTTGAAATTTTATTACTTATACTGCAGTACCTATAATTTGACTGATTTGCACTACTTAATTACTTATCCACTGCATACATTAACCACTTCCAGACATTCACAAGTATATTCAATACTTACACTAGTGTAAATAATTTATATTACAACAGGTAGTCAACACAAGAATGAAAATGCAAGGCCTCCCTCCTGCACCTGGACAGCAGTGCGTAAAGTACAAAAATCTTTTAGGTAATATTTTAAATTTGCAGTCTGCTGAATAGTACAATAAAATAAGTAACAATGGTCTGATAAACTGATGTGTTTCAAATTTGCAGATGGATTAAATCAAATTTACAAACGAGAAGGGCTTCAAGCTTTATGGGCAGGAACTCTTCCTTCACTAATGCTAGGTAATTTTAATTTATGGAAGGATTTTACATGTTTCAATTTGGGTTATTCAGTGTTTTGTTTGAATTACCTACAGTCATTAATCCAGCGATTCAGTTCATGACTTATGAAAGCGTCAAGAGACGCCTCAGGTTTCGATATGGCGACAGAGAATTTTCATCACTGGTGTATTTCCTTGTGGGCGCTGTTGCCAAAACTGTGGCTACCGTATTGACCTATCCACTCCAAATTGTTCAAACGAAACTTAGAGTATGTATATTATTATGTACTGTCAAGTTATATGTTTTGGATTCTGGTTTGGAATTAACTTATTGACATCATATCAATTATTTCAGCATGGTCATAAAATGGAAGGTCTTCGACCAAATGCATCCATGCAAGAAATATTCAGAGCAATAATTCGGAAATATGGGCTAAAAGGTATTTTCAAAGGCATGGAATCTAAGATCCTGCAGACCGTACTTACTTCTGCTCTCATGTTCACAATCTATGAAAAAATCGCTGCATTTGTGTTCCGACTAATGCGAGTCAAACGACACATAAAATCGTAAAATTCTAGTCAATCTATTTTGTCATTTGTAAAATTTTGAAGTACTTAAATTATTAATTAACTACAAGATTTACCATTGTTGTATGTGTTTGTGCGATGTCTTTATAGTAACTTTCGCTGTGGATGATTTACGTTCAATTTACACACATCAAGACCAGATTTTGCACAAGTACTTTTCAATATAAAATTTTATTAAAAACACACTAGATATACAATTTAATTAAAATGCGCACATGTATTCATTCATTTTCACAACTTTTAAAACGTCATTGTTTGACTTTTCCAAGAGTGCATATTAAAATTTATCAAGCACCTTATCAAAAGGCAAAAATACATTTCTTAAACATGCACTAAAAGCAGATCACATTATTCCGTTTTTCCTACCGTTTCACTACAATGTCTTTTTGAGTATGAAGAAAATTAGACCCTGCATCAGTGACTATACATACCCATCAGCGACCCAATAATAAATCGTCCCTTGGTTGCTTCAATCTCTTGACTAAAACATACGTAATAGATAAAATGATGATTAAAGCTGGAATTCCTAGTCCGATTCCAATAATGATAAAGACGAGAGTGGACACAAAATCTTGTGGAGGTTCACCAAATCCAGTTGAATATGTCCTGGATAAAATGATTATTTTTAATGTGGTAGATCATAAATTTTAAAATAAATGTAAGATATTCTATTAACATTTACCATGAAATATGTTTAGTCTTGTTGTAAAAACCATCTTGTTGTGTTCCGAAGCTAATATTGACGGCTTCCAACAACATACTATCCACATCAGCACCATAATATGAGTACAAAATTGAGTCTTGTACGTTATCGTCACCATTGACACTGGAAGCATTTTGAAGTGGATAGGACCAAACGTCAACCGAGTCAATGACGTCTCTAACCTCTCCTGTATAGCAGATCGGCTTCCACTGAATAAAGCTCTGATCGGTTTTGTTAAGAATTGGTGTCCGGACACTAAGAGTTTCAAATACTCCAGGCGTATGTTCATCATCCAGTGTTTTCGTCCTCTCCAATCGCATACGTTCATTCTTCAAGTCCTTCAAGTGTGCTCCCTGAACTACGAGATATTTAAATCCGATTCTAGGGTGACCAGGGTAGTCAGTTTCCGTCAGATTCAACTGAACATCATTAAACGCAATGTCGACTTGTGTGCTATTCTCAGAATAAAGCATGTATGGTAGAACATCACTATAACCGTTGGAACTCTTCATTCGAATCTATTTTGCATAAAATTAGGTATTACTAGCAATTCTTAACATTGCGATATCATTGCGAGTCGTATTGTATACTTCCATTACCGTAAACTTGAAATAACCATCGGGTCCCAAATCAAAAACTTGTTTGCTTTCATTAAAGTAGTGGATATATTTTTTGGCAGTCAGCGTGTAACTCAAGTGAGTAGAATTTTGGTAAGAAATATTATCAAATCTCTCCCATATGAAATTTTTGGTCTGATATCCAGTAATCATGCTCTGATTAATTTGATTTAGTTGAACTACGTCATTGATGTCGTCCGCAATCCAAATCTAAAATAATATCGAGACAATGTGTAGGTGGAGGAATTAAAAAAAACTGTTAAATTGTACATATGTAAATAAATACTATTACTGCAGGTTATTAATACCTTGACTAAACTCCACCCAAAACTATAAAGTGCTGGTGGGTTAAAAGTGATGGATGGAGTAGGGACATTTTCCTCTAGCATTTCGTCCCAATTAACATTCAGAGTACTGTTTAACGACGTACGAGCCATCAGAAGCGTCGGAGCCCCGATGAAACTTTAATTTGGGACAAATTTATGGGTCATTACATAGTATTATTAATATCCATATGTATGCATATATATATACCTCCAAAGGAAATGATAGCAATCAGTTTTCCCTTCAGACTTAATGTGAAGCCTGTTGAGAAAAAATGAGTTAATTTTGACTTGGCGTATAAAGGGGATACGTGGGGGTTGCCGTACTGACATTGTATCGCTTAATTAGTGCGTTTTTATCACTAAATGAAACCGACTTAAAACTTGTCAAGTTACATTTTCTTACAATGTCATGTTTGTCAAGGCGGAGCAGTTAACACCGAACCGTACTTGACATCCAGGATTAATTACTGTGGTGAACTGTTTTATAGAACAACAGACAATTGCAAATCATTATATGCACACATAAATATGTCCTACTTATCCAACTCATTGATTCTAATACCTTCCTAACTTCTTCTATTTTCATGTCATCCCTTCCATTTGACATTCCTTCCGTAGACACAATAAGCCCGAATAGTCCCAGGGTCGCACCCAGTAAAAGCAATTGCAGGGAAGACATTTAGCTTTACTTTCCTAAAAAAATCGAGAGTCTTCTGTCAATTAGGTAATCTGATTTTTAATGAACACGTGTTAAAAATATATAATTAATTACCGTGTAAAATAAATAAGGGAAAAATTTTAGAATAGCGGCGGATCGATATCGGGTCGAGTGATAGGTCATTTTGTTCAGTTTGACGAGCTGAACAAGAATATCGAAACCCGAATGCGCGGAAACGCTCCGTTCAAAAGTTATGGCGGGTCAAAGTTTGAAATTTTTATTGCATTTTTGGACGTTTCAAAGAATTCTAAGACTTAGTCTCACTTTCCCCCAAAGCGGAAAATTTTTTGGGGTATATTGAGATTTTGGGGGGGTAAGGTGAGATTTTTAGTTTTTATTGCAGAATATTGAATTTCAATCATTTTTCGGCACGCCGGGAGGGTTTTCGGGGTACTTAGAGACTTTTGGGGTTATTTCCTATCTAATTCTCCTAATCTTCTAGGTAGCACTTCTAGGTAGCACTTCTAGGTAGCACTTCTAGGTAGCACTTCTAGATAGCATTTCTAGGTAGTACTTCTAGGTAGCACTTCTAGGTAGCATTTCTAGGTAGCACTTCTAGATATCATTTCTAGGTAGCACTTCTCTCTAGCTAGGATTATAGTCACACCATTTCACGCTTTCCGCCTACCTAGTATATCTAACCTAACCTGCTCGCTTCGCTCGCTTAAACACGAACAATACCCCAATATGGGACATAATTACGATAATCGTTTGCACACACCACCTCAATCATCTTGCATTCACCAAAAAATTCTAGGTATCACTTCTAGGTACCACTTCTAGGTAGCACTTCTAGGTAGTTCTTCTAGGTAGCACTTCTAGGGAGAACTTCTAGGTACAACTTCTAGCTAGCTCTTCTAGGTAGCACTTCTAGGTAGCTAGTTCTGCTGCCTCTCTAGCTAGGATTATAGTCACACCATTTCACGCTTTCCGCCTACCTAGTATATCTAACCTAACCTGCTCGCTTCGCTCGCTTAAACACGAACAATACCCCAATATGGGACATCATCTCACCTTACCCAAAAATCTTAAAAATACACCAGAAGTCTCAAAACCCGTGAAACCCCTCCCGCTTGGGGGAAAGTGATCGAAATTCAATATTCTACAATAGAAACTAGAAATCTAGCTAGCTCGTCTAGCTAGCTCCGCTAGCTAGCTCTTCTAGCAGACTCTTCTAGCTAGCTCTGCTAGCTAGCTCCGCTAGCTGGCTCTTCTAGCTAGCTCCGCTAGCTGGCTCTTCTAGCTAGCTCCGTTAGCTGGCTCTTCTAGCTAGGTCTGATTGAAAACTGATTGAAAATCAATATTTCACATTTAAAACCAGATATCTCATCTTACCCCAAAATCTCAATATACCCCAAAAGTCTTAAAAACCCATGAAATCACTCCCGCATAGCGGGAAACTGATTGAAAATCAATATTTCACATTAAAAACTAAAAATCTCACCTTACCCCCAAAATCTCAATATACCCCAAAAAATTTTCCGCTTTGGGGGAAAGTGAGACAAAGTCTTAGAATTCTTTGAAACGTCCAAAAATGCAATAAAAATTTCAAACTTTGACCCGCCATAACTTTTGAACGGAGCGTTTCCGCGCATTCGGGTTTCGATATTCTTGTTCAGCTCGTCAAACTGAACAAAATGACCTATCACTCGACCCGATATCGATCCGCCGCTATTCTAAAGTATACCCTAAATAAGTAAATATTTTATATGTTATACGCCCACATATATGTAGAAGTTTCTCTTTTACGAGTTTTACGACTCCTTAGTTTTCGTTGTACGACACACCGTTCTAATCTGGACAAGATGTGACTAGACTCATCATCTCATCGATTTTATTATATTGGAAATATTTGTTTTCTCGTCGTTTAATCAGACAAATCAACAAATTTTATTCCCAACTCTTGTGAAAACAATGGTTCAATCAAAAATCAACCCACTTTGTGTTTGACTTGAACGCAAAACAGATCGAACAGCAGACTGAGGTTTTACTTGTTATGCTGAATGAATCATCTGTCTGTTGTTACATATAAAGTTGACAGAAGTAGCATGTACTACATACATAACATGGAATTGGAATATATATCATGGATCTATAGAATATACATATACATGTAACATGTAATATATAACATGTAATATTTGGCTTTTTGGTTCTGCGGTTTTGTTCTTCCTTGTAACTCCGTCACTTCATTTCAAGTCATTTTACATATTTCCAGGTCTAAAATAACCTGAACTTATTTAGATTCATTATTATATGAATTTGATGTCATACAATAATATGAATAGAATGAGTTGCTACAATTAAAACTAATAATAATGATTTGAATGACTCTAAAATTCAAGTGTGCAAATTATTCGTGCTTAAAGTGCATTTCTTTTGTAAAATCTATTGAAATATGAGAATGCATTTTATCCAATGATATTAATTCACTCATTTACAGTCCATTGAGTTGTCACCATTTGTTGATTCTTGTAATAATCTAAGCAATTGACAAACCTATAGCCTTGGTCATTATTCGTTAAATGTCTGAGATGAATGTGGATGGGGTTTGGAATATTTTAGGATTGGCGATTGTTAAAAGTCTGCAAATAAGCTACAATAATTTATTGGTGACAAAATGCTTTGTCTTGAAAGTTGTTATTCAGCTTGCTACTACATACATACTCTTTGTTAAGCATCATACATATATTGTATATTCTCATATCACATATACATATCACATATACATATATTCTCATTAAAAACACACAAGCGACATGGCAGTAGAAGTTGAATCATATCAAGGTATTTCATAATAGAGTTCTTGAAAACGGTGTGGACATTTTGTAATTCTATACCATATGCATGACCGATTTGTAAACTGATAGCTTAGACAAACATTGATTACGAAAATTCGTTTATTTGTTAACTGAATTTTGAATTGATGGAACAAGTTTTTGAAGTTTTGGTTCCTCATAAATGAACATTTTAAAAATAGTTCGCATAATTACATTAAATATGTGAAATATTATAACATATTATTACATTAAATATGTGATATTGTGTAGTTTAGGTTAGAAACCAACCGGACACCGAAATATAATGACATTCAAGACGATTTTTTGCACATGAAGATCAACATTGGATATTGCAGTCGAAAATCGATTTATGTATAGTTTTTTTACTGCTATACAACCACTATACATATACTCACTAATAGTGTTGTTTTTTGTTCTTTACCTCATATTGCTATACAAGTATGCAAAAGTTACGCTACAAGTATACATATGTAATATATAAATTTTACTTACAAATGCTCAAAGGATGTGTCGTATTCTATGTCTACTATTGGTATGTCTACCGGTATGTAGATGTGTATGTGTATGCTACAAGTTTTGTCCATTCCACAATTTAATGAGACGTTGCTCACTATTTAGAGATCATTAGGATTTTAGCACTCGCAACGTAAGCATCCTTCATTTTGCGAATTTCCAGTTGTCTACAATATGGCCATTTATCACGTTTTGTGTCTCACCTTAATCGGTGTTTTTGCCACCCGAGTATCCGGTTATGCTGGTGGTGCACCCAACAGTGAAGCCATCTGCCAAGACCTCACCCCAAAACATGGCGTTGATGCCCAGAGCTCAGCATCGCCCTACAAACTTACCTTGGACAAGACAGAGGTGAAGCCTGGTCAGGAGGTCAAATTGACCATTTCTGGAAACGGTGTCACTTTCAAAGGATTTTTGGTGCAAGGGAGGAAAGTGGGATCGGAGGGACCTTCCAGCCCCGTGGGCAAGTTTATCGCCGTCCAGAACGCTGGTGAAAGCCAACCTCTCAACTGCGGCAACATTGTGGGGTCCTCCATCACGCATACCAACAACAAGGAGAAGACTAGTAAAAAAAATTAAACTACATTTTTTATGAGAACTCTTAAATTAAATTAAATTAAATTAGGTCTCACCCTCACCTGGGTTGCGCCAGAGTCCAAGGGGACCTACCAATTGCTGTAAGATGACAATAATAAGGATCACTTTCATTCATGCAATATCTTCCCCAGTAAATCTTAATCAATAGATTGACTATAACTCGTACTATTTATTTTTTTTTCCGCAGGACTACTGTTGTTCAATCGGGATACACTTTCTGGGTGGCCCAACCTTCAGAAAGTATCAATGTTGTTTAATTTTGTATACCGAATTTAGTATATTAAATTTCATTTTGGCTGTATGCGTTTTTTTCTTTATGAAATGCCAATTTAAATTGGCTTGAAATATAATTGTTACGTCATTCATTATTTGCTAAAATAAATGGCAGGTATCCAAATGTTTTCTCAAATAGAGTGGTTGAAAAATACATATTTCGTGCATCATGTACATAGCCTGACAAACCATCAATTTTCCAGGTAAAAAATACGTCACATATATAACCGTCGTATAATAGTCCAACCCGTTCATCGTTATGTAGTGTCTGCTAAATAGCAGGGTGAAGGTCGAGATGAGGCCGAGACAATAAGTGCTTGCTTAAGCTTCATATGAAACTAGATTTAATTTTTTGCCAACAATTTCCAATTTACCTGGTAATTGCTTTGCTACCCAGTGAGTACGTACCTATCGCATTATTCGCATTCTGATTGTCCTTTGCGAAAATTTTGGTTATCATTCTTACATAAGGAATGCGTCATACAACAGGTGCGCAAAATCAGTCGGAGAACTTGGGATTAGCTGGATCTATCCAGCTTACATACTCATCGCAATTTGATAATTTATTTACTTGCTTCGTTATTGTATCTTATTGTTATATCTTATTTGTGACCAAATTCTAACTACAATACAAAAGTACAATTAAGGGTGTGTCATGTTACAAATTGTGCATCGTCATCATCATTTTACCGAGAGAGATAAAATCTCTCTTATTTTATATATCTTCAATTATTCTCCTTCATCTAATCTCTGCTCCCAAATCCCACTGCGACTAGTTAGCAATGTGTTAGTTGGGCAGTTAGAGGGTACTTTTTTGCCAAAATTGCACGAGCAATATTTGCTGCGAATAAAAAAATGAGTCACGGTGGTTTTAACCCTTTATGTATTCCCTGATCATGATCAACTTGACAAACTCGTCGACAATGACAAATTAATGCATATTATTGTTTTTATACAACTCTCAATCTCATCATGTGCATATGTGTGTATGCAACAAGAACCACTTGGTCGCGTCCTATCACATTTCCTTGAACTGATTAAAATTCAGGAGGCATATGTTTATGACTTCAATGTAAATTTTTAAAAAACTCAATATTTTTACATGTTCATGCATACGTAAATGCCACAGAAATGAGTAATAAGCACAGTTCCATTGTTGCACATGAAGTTCATAAAAGTATGAACTAAACACAATATACAAAATCCTGGAATTGTTCAGCGGATGAAGATGAGATAAAGGGGAAAGTGTCAAATAAATTTCTGAAGGTCAGTGGTCAGCGATGGATGAGATTTATACTTATTGTTTGTAGAAGGTGAGAATACTCCCGTTCGCGTGCTTCATTATTATATTGTAATGTTATAAGTGCTGAATAATGCTGTGACAAAGGGAAGCGGATGACACACAAAATTGCACAAAAGTGGTAATTAAGCAGCATCACGAATTAAAACAATTACACATTAACCTAAGTGGCATTTAACAACGCGAATGTGACAACTGAGCGCATTCTGGTGTGCTATATTATGTAGCAACCAAGGATTTTCTGGTGAATCTCCCCGTATAATCTATTGTGGCGTACTTGGTAGAATAGGAAACCTTGTACAAAACTCATCTCCTTATAGACTTTAAATGTCTAAAAAGAAAGTCTCACTTTTCCCGAGCATATGTAACCATCCAAACCAGTGTAATTTTTATACGCTATCATCTACTATTTCATTATACCACTATGAGTTTGTTTGTACATTAAAACGGTTGCAAACTCGTAAGAAATGCATGTAAAATTTGCAATCGTTCTAATACACAATCTTCATAATAATTGTAATTTTTTAAATATTGTAAACATCTTTGGGAAACAGAGATGGGAAAGTGAGACGAGTGGATAAGTGGGAAAAGTGAGATTCGCTGTTTGGGGCATAATGGCGAAGGCAGGCAGGGGCAAAGTGAGAATTGTCCATGCCACGACTTACGGTGGGAAGGCCTAGAAGTTCAAGAGTTTGGATGGAGTCTGCTTGACACTGCACACTGATAACATAACAGAACCGGCTTGCATTAATAACAAGCCGAGGCAGGTAAGGCCCGGGCTTATCGACTTTCAATTTGGACTAAGATATCCTCACACGTTAGCCTACACAATAAATAATCGTTAATGTATGCGATATACGTGATTGAGTGGCATTTTGTCCAAATTGCAGATAAATTAAATTGACGGGATTCTGGTTCGTTTAACTGAAGTTGTTTTGTTTGTTTAAAGACTTGTTTTTTGGGTCCCTGTAAAATTGGATAAGCTGAGATGGCTGTGAAACTTCTCAAAGGAAAGAATGGTGACACTTCTGCACAAAAATACGAAACTTTGCTCAAGCTAACCATCCTAACTTTAGGAGCCATACTATGTAAGTCCTCCATACCACTTAATTATTCTGCTCCTCAAAAACATTTGAAATTGTTTATAATGAATTTCTAAATTGTATGTAATTGCAGCATTTTCCACTCGACTATTCTCTGTATTGCGCTACGAAAGTGTCATTCATGAATTCGATCCGTACTTTAACTATAGAGTAATATACATAGCTTTTTTAAGATATTGAACATAGTGTATATTATAATATGTTTCACTGTGTTAGACGACGAAATATCTTGCTGAGGAAGGATATTATAGCTTTCACAACTGGTTTGATGACCGAGCATGGTAAGTTCAGTTACATTTATTTACCCCATCTCTATTTATGTTATTGCTTATTTTATTGCTCAAAAATACTTTTTTCTTGGAATAGGTATCCTCTTGGGCGTATTATTGGTGAGCAAAGCTGATAATTCAGAATCATTTTTATTTGAACATTGAATAATAAGATTACTTATGCACTAAAAGGGGGTACCATTTATCCTGGGCTCATGGTCACAAGTGCCGTTTTCTACCACATTCTGAACTTCTTCAACTTTGCCATTGATGTCCGTAATGTGTGTGTGTTTTTGGCTCCTCTCTTCTCCAGCTTCACTACCATTGTGACTTATTTACTTACCAAAGAGTTGAAAGTGAGTAACAATAATAATAATCTTGGGTTTACACAAATTTTAAAATATTTTAATCTGAGCAGGATGAAGGAGCCGGCTTGACAGCGTAAGAATTTCCAGCTGCTTTACCGTCATATTCATGTCTAATATTTTTTAAGTAAAATCTTCATTCGTATTGATTTCAGAGCTGTAATGATAGCAATTGTGCCAGGCTACATCTCTCGATCGGTTGCAGGATCATATGATAATGAAGGGATTGCAATTTTTTGCATGCTTCTGACGTATTATCTTTGGATTAAAGCTGTTAAATCGGGATCTGTGTTTTGGGGAGCTTTATGCTCTGTTGCATATTTTTACATGGTATGCTCGTGTGATTGAGATAAAATAAGTTATTTTCTTGCAGAGGCAGGGTTTGTTATAATGCTAATTTTCTGTAGGTATCATCTTGGGGTGGATATGTTTTCTTGATAAACTTAATTCCCTTGCACGTTTTCACATTGATTGTTACTGGTCGATTTTCACACAGAATATACGTGGCATATAGTACCGTGTACTGCATTGGTACTATAATGTCGATGCAGATTCCATTTGTTGGATTCCAGCCTGTCCAGACTTCAGAACATATGTTGGTAATATATTACAATATGTAACAGGCACATTATGTGCATAGTAATTAGCACCACACAAAAATGATTGTAGATGTAAAAGTTTTATATTGTTAACGCAGGCGTTCGGTGTTTTTGGTCTTAGCCAAATTGTTGCTTTCATTGACTACTTAAAGTCGAAGTTATCTCAAGAAAATTTTGAGACTTTGTTCCATGCATTGTTTACTACATTCGGAGTGGTTCTTGCTGGAGGTGCCACAATATTATGGGCTACAGGTAAATATTGAATCCCTTGTAATGAAACTGCAGAGTAGATGAGTTGAATAATTGGTGTAATTCGATTCGACAGGGAAAATTGCACCTTGGACTGGACGATTTTACTCCTTGTTGGATCCTTCTTACGCCAAAAACAACATTCCCATAATTGCCTCAGGTTAGTTTTTGTAATTCTGGTATTATATTCATTTCCTAACCCTGTGAAATTTTGAATTAATTGTCCAAGACTAAGCATAAAAAGTAATATTGTATTGATCATCCCTGCATCAAATTTAAATGAGTACTTATTAATATCAATGATTCAATTTTTATGTCGCCTCCCTAGTCAGTGAGGTGAGCAATTTTTTAAAACTTTTTTCTTTGATATAATTGATATTTTCTTTGACATCGTGTAATGTATTTTTTAGCATCAACCAACAGCTTGGAGCTCCTTTTACTTCGACTTGCAACTACTGGTTTTCTTGTTCCCGGTGGGCTTGTATATTTGTTTTACCAATTTAAACGACGCCAATATCTTTATTATTCTGTATGGAATAACAAGCATTTATTTTGCTGTAAGTGGCGAAATTCCTATTCTGATTCAGAGCTTTTATTCATTCGTAAAAATCATTCCTAAAAATTAACACTGGACAATTCATTGATTTAGGGGGTCATGGTTCGATTGATGTTGGTGTTAGCTCCAGTCATGTGTGTGTTGGGTGGAATCGCAGTCAGTTCATTGCTGGGAAAATACATGAAAGACCTAGATTGGGGCGGCAAAACGCAGGAAAAACAACGCCCAGTGAAAACTAAAGAAGCAGCAAGTCCACAAGGGAAACGGCAAGAGGTACATGCATTTTTATGCATGCATAGTAATTTTCACACCTAGAATTTACGAGTTATTCAATTACCAATTGCTTACCTTTTTAATAGGTCGCAATTGCATTTGTGGGAATGCTTACGCTGTTTATGGTCATGTACGGATATTTTTTATATTTATCAAAACTTTGGTAACCTTATACCCCTTAGTAATTATGTATGCAAGCTAAAATATATTTATGTTTATTAAGGTATGCCCTGCACTGCACATGGGTTACGTCAGAAGCTTACAGCAGCCCAAGTATTGTTTTATCTGCCCGATCCTACGACGGTTCACTCATAATCTTTGACGATTTCCGTGAAGCCTACTACTGGCTAAGGATGAATACTCCACCCGTTAGTCATTTTTGCCAATAATTACTTTGCATATTTTGTTTTATAATGGAGGAATTTTTAACAATTTTGATAGGATGCAAAAATCATGTCTTGGTGGGATTATGGTATGTGTTTTTTAATGAAATGCATACCACAAACAAAGTTGAAATTCATTGTTGACTGCATTTTACATCAGGATATCAAATAACAGCGATGGCGAATCGAACAATATTAGTGGACAATAACACTTGGTAAGTATATTTGGAATAATGCTTATTATCATTTAATTAAAAATTATGTTGTACTTCATAATGAGAAATTAATTATAATAATAGGAATAATACCCACATAAGCCGAGTCGGTAATACGTTTTACTATATATTCAGGAAATATTATGCATCAGACACATTATTTGAAGATTATAACTAAGAAATTTTCTTTCGAGCAGGACAAGCAATGGCATCTCCAGAGGAAAAAGCTTACGAAATAATGCGAGAACTTGATGTAGACTATGTTCTAGTCATTTTTGGTGGTAAGTAAAACCAATATCCTCATCAGTAATTAGTCAAGTAATTAATTATTTAAATCAATGGATGTTTGCCTACTCATATAGGTTTGACTGGATATTCTTCTGACGGTACGTATGCTGTGGGGTTTTCTGTTTTATTGATATGACATTTCAGTTAAATAAAGTTAGTCTTGCTTAATGGGTTACTGCTTTCCAGATATTAATAAATTTTTGTGGATGGTCCGCATTGGTGGAAGTACTGACAAAGGAAATCACATCAAAGAGCAAGATTATTACAGTCCCTCAGGTGAATTTCGAATCGATAGAGACGGCTCTTCAACAATGCTAAACAGCTTGATGTACAAGCTCTGCTATTACAAGTTTGGACAAATGTACACTGAAGGTGGGAAGCCGACTGGATATGACCGCGTTAGAAGTGCTGAAATTGGTACATTTTTACTTAATACTATATCACTATATAAATACGATATTAAATCTGAAACTAATCGTAAGTGTACACTGAATTTTTGTTTCAGGAAATAAGGATTTCGAGTTGGATGTATTAGAAGAGGCCTACACGACTGAACACTGGCTTGTACGCATTTATCGGGTCAAACCTTTGCCTAATCGAGGTGCAAGATAACTCAAATCTTTAACATTCATATGAAACAGGACACGACTACATAAGCTATGCTACTTGACTACTGTTTATTGTGTATTTATTATTAAGCAAAGTATAAAAGTCATATTTCTTAAATTGACTGAATATCTTAAGAATTAATTGTGAATTTAATGTCTCAGCCTCACTCAGTCCGTCAGCCCAGATTAATTGTGATAAATTATTTCATTCTTTTTTAATCCGTTATTGTCGTCAGTACTTTAACTGCAAATAAAACTTACGTGTAGCTCATCAATAATAAAAATAATTCTTGTTCATGCTTGTTAAAAAACTTGATATAATATTTTGTTAATTGTTAAGTATTATGTTTCAGTTTTAGATGAATACTTATTACACTTTGCGAACGAAGAATAAAATAAAATCTAGCTAAAATATAGAGTTTGGGAAAAGGTGTGATGGAAATACAAGCGTAAATTACTGTGCATCCTATTTTATAACATAATTTCATTCTTGGAAATAAGCATGGTGCAGAGATCTGAGGAAAGTTGAGATTTGAGACAACATGGGAGGAACATGATTTTTTCGATTCCACTCGCGAATTATGTCAGTCGAATAAAATCAACAGAAGATAAATGCAAAATTAATGTTATTTGCTGATTTTAAAAGAAACCATCTGTTTCAGGAAAGAAAATAATAATTTTTGATTAATTGTTGTGAAAGTGATTAGTTCTGTTAGGGAATAATAAGATACGGAATCCTTACTCACACTTCCCACCCCCATCTCTTACGGTAGTTTGTATTTTAGGTAAGTAAAAACTCACAACTCCACCAAATATTTTGTTAACCTTGCCCCTTTGACCAGATGCAGAGTCAGGCAGAGAATGGTGGCGGTGGGGCGTCGACGGGTCCGGCAGGGGGTGACCCCTACGCGCTCCTGGGGTCCATGATCATGCTGACCCAGTCGAAGGCCAAGACGAGCATACTGGACAAGTCGCTGAGCAAGGGGAAGACCGACATGCACCTCAGCGGATTCGCCCTCCTCTTCTCCGAAATCGTCCAGTACTGCCAAAACAGGAGCAACAGCGTTTCAGAACTGCATTCAAAGTGAAGCTTCATTTTAATTACAATGCGCAATTTTCTCATGAGTAAATAGATATTCAATTTAAACAAATTATTAGGCTGTCCGACATGGGGAAACAAGTTGGAATCAAAGTTATTGATCTTATTGTCCTCCGGGAGAAAAATTATAAACGGGAAATCAAGCTCTTAAACATGTTGCTGTTTATAAGATCTACAGTCTGGAAGGTTATTTTTACATCATTTACTATAGATTTTGTAGAATTGGCTTATTTTTGCATTTATTATAGACGCTGTTTGGGAAAGAAGCAGACAAACTAGAACATTCAACAGATGACAACAGACAATATTATATTTTGGAAAAGGAACCTCTAGTAAATAGATTTATATCTGTTCCTAAAGACAAAGGGAATCTGAACTGTGCGGCGTTCAATGCTGGAATTGTTGAAGGTGTTTTGGAAACTTCGGGATTTGTAAGTGCTCGAAATACGTCGTAAAGTTATTATATTTATTCTTCAATTTCTGGACGAGGTTTAGCAAATGAATTCTACTTTCACTTCCAGCCAGCTAAAGTCATTGCACAGTGGCATAAAGGAATTACTTACTACGTTATTGAATTTGATGAGTCTGTCATTACCAGAGATAAACAACTCGATGAACGCTAAACATCTTATGAAACTTATGCAATGTTTTAATTTTATAAAATTGTTTTTTTTTCTGGATGAATATTTAAGAATAAATTAAGCACTATTGGTCAGTCCAATTTAGTCTGTCAATATTAATTATGACATAACGGAGTATGCTAGTTAACAATCATATAACTTTTCATATAATTTATTCACATCGATACCACATTGACCTTGATTATTTAGGACAGATTTAAAACGAAACTTCTAAACCTGGTGTCATTATTTGATGGAAATGCTCACACAGTTTCGTCATGCACCTGTTGTCATCTTATGACATTTATGACATTCGTAATAGAATTCACATCACAAGAGAGAAAGACCTACATCCAACAGCCATCAAATGACCAACATTTATCACCTTTTAACACAACTACGATTGCACCATAATTTAGGGGCTACATTCGGCTAGAGTCTCTCTAGATCAATCCAATATCCTTCAACCAAGTTGTTGTTTGCCTAAAATGATTACAGTGATATTTGCATTCTCAAAATACAATGAGCATTACATCAAAAGTGCATCATTCATTCGTCGTATTGCATAGTAATAAAACAAATGATGTGTTGCAACTCTTAGCAATTAGATATTTTTTAATGTGAGTCTGAAAGAGGTTGACAATGACATTGCTGTGCCGCATTGTCGTTGCAGAGAGAGCATATCCCTGTCCATTAAACTTTGAAAATTCTGAAGGAATATTAATATTATATAAGAACGGTTGTCTTCTTCCAGAAAAAATTGCAAATCGCTTGTTTTTTGGTACCCTGTTGCAATTATTTAGTACAATGGCACAGATCAAGTATATGGTGCATCATTTTATATTTTTTTTAAGGAATCGATTGCAATTGAGTGCGAGACAAGCTGCTCTCCTCGTACTAATTCAATCTGCTGCAGTTTTGAAGTCATCACTATCAGCACTAACAGGTAATGACATAAGTACGTGATATTTTGTAATTGTACCCTGGACGCTGACCTTTAACAACCCTTTTGCTTAGGTTGAACCTCATTATACTTATACTCATAGTCACCATAACTGACTATCTTGGGCTGAACAATCTGAGTATATAATTGCCAAAACTGACTATAATTCAGTGTTATACCAAATACGGCTTCTTCACAATGTATTAAAAGATGATGCAGAGTGAATTGATTTTGCAGTTAAAATGTTCATTTTGCTCAAAGTTTTTACTAGCGTTGTTATATATGCGAATATGAAAAGGTGTCATCGTTATGTAATAAGTAAGTTTGATGCCTATACGCGACCAACAAAATAATGTCACGAACACGATGAAACGCCAATCTATGTAAATATCTATCCTGAGGGAACCGGTCCCAAATTGCTGCAATAACTATTTGCTGAAGCTATGGTCGAGGATCCCCCAATAGTTGCCTGTGCTGATAGGGTTGTGTCCATTAATTTCGATTCTTTGATTCAGCCCTTCTTTCCTTGGCTATGTATTTCATTATGCTAACTAACTAAGCCACATTTTCATATATGTCCACTACTCCTGGTGAGGCAATGAAGCTCTATAACCAAATATGCGACGACTTGAATTAGTCATTAGGCGTGTGTCTCATAGTCTCATCCAACTTGTGAAGCATCTACCTCAAAAATATGTGCAGCAATATTGCATCGAGTTATTGTATGCGTACTTCTTTTTCCATTGTTATTGTTGCATGAATTAAATATGAATTGTAGAGCCAAAAAGCAAGGGCTCTGCTCTGCGAGTCCCCACGCTTTGATGCTTCTCACTTTCTGTCATTCATTCTTTGGTTGTATTACGTAAGTGGTTCTCAATAATAGGTTAGGTTGCAAGTTTCGCACTTATCATCATCACCTTCTTCTGCTCCCAGCTTGCTCTGGAGTATCCGTGAACAATAACTACTTACTTACTTAAAGGGTAGCTCTTTCCTCCAAACAATTTCACTCTTTTTGTAGGACTTTTTCCTGGTGTCTCAATTGGTCAGTGCAACTGGGACACAAAAAAATACAATTGTTCAGCAGTTCATTAATTTGAACAAGCCCCTCATGCACGATCAAACCTCATTTTGATAATACCCATGACCAAGTAACTCTGCGAGTGTGTTGTTGGATTGTTGTACACCACTGGAACCAGTGATTGGTTACATACGTGAGACTAGTGCAGTGGTATTGCTGAAATAATATCTTGGTGTAGGCACGATTTTCTGTCGATTCGCTTCTTGAACGATAAAGCCGTAAAATTATAAGAAGAAACTTAATACGTAGGTTTGATAGGCTGCATTTGTTGCCTGGGACAAGCCAGCCATCACATTCTGTCGAAGGGAGTTTGGAATAAGAAGGAAAGTACTGGAACCACGAGCACAGACCATCGTCGGCTTTTGACCAGAAGTGGTCAATTCTTAGACTGGACTTGTGTATTCATCGGCCTGGAAGGACGCCAACATTTAATAAGTAAGCAGCCACATTTCATCATATTAATAGACATATCTGTATCGGCGCTTAAAATTCATCTACTTGTAGAGTCCGAAAGTTATTGTATATTAGAGAATCAGCTCAATTGCAACGTTGGTGTGTCTAAATGTATGTTTGGCAATATTTCATTTTTATTTGTTTAAATACCAAAAAATAATCGACACATCTTCATTTCATGCATAAGTTGTACCATGTGCACAACATTTTGCAAGGCATTTTGGGACGTTTGTTGAGATCCACATCCAACTAAACCTAAGCAATAGTTAAGTTAGTCTCTGACGAAACTCATCGTGAGATAGGAAATCCCCCATGTTTGCAAGAAACCTAAAAGTTTAACATTTTCCTCCTCAAATTACTTGGACAAATGACACAACGCGAAGTTATATCAGCCAAATCGTGCTTGTCATTGTCACAACAGGGAGTTTTGTGACTATTATAAAATTTACGCAGACCAGGAGAACGAGCAACTTAAATTAGACATATAAAATTGCATATCTTAAATATAATTGCATGGGTTTACTATAGGCAGTGGTGTTCTGTTCTGTTATCCTTGAATTCTCAATGTTAAGCTAGGCTGTCAAAAAAGTAAACTAGGAGAACAATAATTAAATGGGATTCAATTGCAATAGTTTTTAACCACAAGTCAATTATTAATTTTGTTACCTCATAAATATCGCATCACGATCACGAAGAATCGCGATTAGGAGGAAGACACTGCTACATTATGTACTCTGAGGATGGCTTTTTGGCTTGGCATGCACCAACCTATTTCTTTTTCCAATTAATCCCTAACTCACTATAACGTAATGAATTCATTACCACGTACGTACATAACCTGCAGCAAAGTCCAAGATTCATTCATTGAGAGATTTTTTGCAAATTTTTCTGCAAAATCGTTCTGCAATTTTTTATGTATACATATAATGTTTTGAACTCCATAAATGAAGGTGATTTTTGGCCCAGAATTAAATAATATAATCGTTTATCCTCTTTATTATTTGTCTTCTTCTTTTAGCAAGGTCTTAAATATTAATTTAATAAATTGATGAGCTAGTGAATTGCATTGTCATTTCCTTGCATAAGAAAAAGTATTGACTTTGATTACGGGAAATAATTGTAGCCGTTGGGTCAACACTTAAAATTGGAGATCTCGATTTGCAAGTTTTTACACTCTTTTGATTTTATTGCACTGATCGGTATGATACAAATTGTAAGCAGACCATGGATTTATCCACAAATTCTCATCATTATCAACCGTGTACTTTGCTATGAAGACCTTGACTTGTGTGTGTTGAATTTGTTTTACCTTGAAGCAATTACTCGATGTGTGTCGAAATCACACACTCTAAGGATTGTTCTTCTTCCAGGAGTAATACTTAATAATTGTCTTCTGAAGTAGGCAAATAGTAGGCAAGCAGCTACGTAGGTATCATCATGACTAGGCTTTTATCATAGCTTTACATAGTCCACCATAGTTCAACCCACTTTATAATTGTGAGTTTGCATGCAATCCGATTACATTTTGTATGGAATTTCAGTTAGAAATACCTGGTTATTTTCTTCCTTGGCGTGTTAATGATTGCGTTTGAATGAAACCTGTGGGCATTCTCAAGGAAGACATAAATCATGAATTATTTTGAAAAAAGTATTACAAATTTAGTAGATCTATAATATTCATATTTTCACTTGGTATTGAATTTGTTCCTTCGTTCGCTCATTCATTCATTCATCATTGCGTACAGCTAATGAATATTGCGACAAAGGAAATGCCGAAATAAGTATTAGATTCATGATCTTCTTTCTGCGGTTTCGTAGTAAATAATCCCAACCACAGCTACTTTCCAGCAATGCGGAATTCCTCAAGGTTAATTAAAATGTTATTTCATTTAAATGAACGTTGTACATAATTACGCTGCCAAAATTCATGTTCGGCTATTGCATTGCGAATCATTTGCTGAAAATTCGGGTTCTTGTGCCTGGTACTTGTACTTGTTTGTACCTTGTACTTGGCATACTTGGTACCAATAGAAATTTAGCATGTCATAATTATGAAATCTAATAGTAAACCTTTAGGAATATGTAATAATTTTACGGCACGAGTAGTTGTACCCCGTAAAAGCTTAAAAAACTGGACATTGTGAAACCTGTTCAGCCACATTTCAATTCTCCGGCTTTCTGTTGTACCTACGTACCTGCATATTTAATATGTATATACTACCATATTTTAATGAAGCCACTTTTTACAACTTTTTACAGCATGAAGTCTCTAATTTGGACACTTTTGGTCGTGTTGGCCATCGGCTGGAGTGCTGATGATGTGCAATGTCGAAGCATTGATGTAAGACCACCTTATCTTGACTCTTGACGCACACAAACACACCTTAAAGCTACAGGTTAATGTGTCATAATTGACATAACGAATGGGTAAATTTTTACAACAGGCGTCTGCATCACCATCTTCAAGTGCCATTCCAATTGACGTAGAAGAACAAAATACCTCATCCTCCATTGACGCTGCTGTGGACGTAGCTGCTGAAATTCTAACCGTGGAAGTAATTGGTGATGCTGTGGACAAAACCTTAGAATCCGAAGTTGAATCCCAAGCGAAAGCTAAAAAAGAAGCTATTGCTCAAATTATGAAACTTGGAGAGACGGAAGCGATCAAAGAAATTGTTGATGATGCAAAGCGTACGACTGGTGGTGGACTGGCACCCGCAGACCAAAAAGCGGCTTCAGAAGCTGTGAATTCAGAAATCCAGATAGTAAAAACCATCAGCGACACAGTTGACAAATCACTCGAATCTGAGGTACAATCCCAAGCGAACGCCAAAGAGCAAGCTATCGCTCAAATTATGAAACTGGCTGAAACGGAAGCAATCAAAGGTATTTTGAGTGATGCTTCTAAATTGGGAAACATGAGACCAGCTCCACCCACCTCCAATCTCAACATTCCCATCCCCACCCTAGACTTTGAAACTGGTTCCGGGGACAACGACAATGAAATTTCTGGAACACGAGACAAGAGAACGGTTGCTCAAATCAGTCGCTATGCTACATGCCTTTTCACCATTCTGGTCAATCCCAACTGCTTCTCGGAAATCCGATCCAGCGGGGGAGGAGGTGGTGGGGTAGCCCGCGCTGGAGGTTTGTTTGGTGGCCTTCTTGGGGGTGGGGCAGGTGGGCGATCTGGATCCTCAAGATCGTCGTCGAGGCAGGAAGCCTACAATCGGCAGTTGAGGCAGTGGATGGAATATCAAAAGCGTCAAATTGCTAAATTGAACGCTACTGAGGGAGGAAACTATACGACGCCATTTCCCATTCTTCCCCCATCCCCTCCTCCACCAGGAGATGATGAAGATACGACGCAAAGACCTCAAGGATTCATCGGCCGATTTATTCAGTGGAAGTTGAATTTAATTCCAACACTGTTCAGGACAGCAAGATCTCTCTTTTCCTCCATCCTTCCCTTCATCCAGAATCTTGGAGGTGGTGGAGGTGGAGGAGGTGGAGGACTGGCCGGACTGTTTGCTGGCCTTGGAGGCGGTGGTGGTGGGGGTGGTTCATTTGGTGGAAGTGGTGGCAGTTATGGGGACTCGGTATCCAGTTATCGACCTTCTTCAGGCTCTTCCTCCTCCTCCTCCTCTTTGGGTTCTGGAAGTAGCGACTCTGGCAGTGGTTCGTCAGGCGCATCTGCTGCCGAAACCTCCACTTACAGGATTTCCCTGGGTTAAATATTCCTAATTGATTAAAATTATTAGACTTATCGTCTGAACAGAGCTGTGCTAATTAATTAAAATATAGTTAGATAGTCGCCAATTAGCAAATAGTAAACTAATTGATAATTTTACTAGTTAATTTGACATTTTAAAATACTAATTACCTTCTAAATGACTAATTTTAAATTGAATTCAATTAGATTTCTTAGCTACACTAGATCTAATAATAATGGAGGGTATTCATTTGTGACATATTTAGACAAATCCGAGATAAGAAAATTCCTATTATTTTAAGTAATTTTCATAACATGTTAGTTACATGTAATTCATAAGCACCACAAGTTTGGAGTATTTTAGGCTATTTTCTTGTAATTAACTCTGGTTAAAGTTAGATAAAAGTTTAATTTAATAAATGTAAATTCAATTTTCAACTCAAATTTGTATCTATAAACGAAGAACTTATCTATAACTGTGAGCAGTTCAATACGAATGTGAAATATGGAAGGAAAATTACCAAAGTATACAACGTTTGACTAATTTAACAAATCAACTTTAACTAGCCAACAAATCGGTATTCGAATTTAAGTAGCCGGTATATGTCTGTAATTCTGATTGATTAAAAGAACTGCTGTGTAGCTTATGCATATAATTATATTTATGCTACATACATGAGTTATAGGGCATAATTAAATCAGTCAATCTAGAATTTTTTCATCTCTTGACACTTTCTGCACAGAGACGTTTTGACAAAGTTTTCCTTGAACAAGAAGCCTCATCATGAGGATGTTGTGATACACGATCATTAAATTATATGCATTACTAGACAAAGACACGTAACACATAAGAAATAAAGAGGACTTATTTTATTTTATGTTAAAAATTGGTGCTTTTAGATAATAGTGTTACGTAAAATGTAATTGTTTGTTGTGCGGAATGTTAAAAAATGAGATAAATAAATAAATACACGATAATGGATCTGGATCAATGTCTGCAGAGGTCAAGTGAATGGTTGGTGTTAGTAGCAAATTGTGGATAACATACAATTTTTTACTGCTCGACAAGAATCCCTTCAACCTTTTTCATGTAGTCGTAAAAGCCGTACATGTCTTTTTTCACTAAAGTCAACAATTATACAATTTCTGCCGTATACAATATGTTGCATGAGATATGCTGCACACATAGCCTTTGCAAATGTCATGTCAGCCAGGGGAAGATGGAAATGAAGTCATGATCACTTTGGTTTCACTTTCAAAGCAAACACTTGTGTTTATCCCATTCGTTCTCAAGTGCGACACTCATAGCATTAATTACATGAACTACCATCGTGGCAAACTTATTGGGTGGCCTGAAAATTATTTTTTTGTAAATCATGCGAATATGACAAAGGTTTTTTCTCACGAGGATGCCCCAACCAAGCCTTGATTTTACTTATTGTTAAAAAATGCAAAATGCCATTTGGCTACATAAGGTAAAGCCAATTGATATTTTTTCAACTGCAGTTAGTTGTATCCAGGGCTTATAGTACTTAGAATGAGAAAAGTGGGCGCAGCGTACTCGCGATTAAGAAAACATAGAGAAGCGGCGATGGTGGTGACCGTGGCCAATGCATACGTACAACAAGGAAAGAAGAGCAAAATGAAACAAACACGGTTAATGAAAAGTTAAATGCGAAAAGCCTTTTTCTTGTAGGCACTAATGATATATTATAGTGTGGTATTTCTCGTTAGTGTGTCCCTACAGATTGTCAATAATATAAATCAGCGCATCGTGCACGTGTATCGACCTTGATGGGGATTGGTTCGAAGGAATTTTTGGCCTTTGTCTGAGAAAAATAAGTTTAAACAAAAACTGAATTGTGCAGATCATCAAGTCAATCTGACTGGGTTTTGGATTACGTAAGTAATGAAATCCATCCATCTACATATGAAAATGCGTTCATAGATTGAACCAGAAAAAAAATTGGTTGTACTCTGGAAACAATTTTAGAGAGTCTCAATCTAGAGGTCTTCAGTCTACAGCAATCCAATTATATTATAAACATACATGGCTTAACTTTAGATAACAAGTATAAGGGCTTTTTTGCTGAGAATGAAATGCAGAATTTTCTCATCGAGTGGAAACTGGATAAATTATAATTCCATTGAAAGTTCCAATATATATTCTCGCCACACATTTTACAACTGTATGTAAACACTCAGTTCTGCAAAACTACAAACCATATCAATCTTAACAATAATGGCTATAATGAGGTAAGAAGAGCATAGGATAGCCGCTCATTTGCAGTAAAATCATTATTATTGCAAAATATATAATGAAAAATAAATTGAATTTGTTTATTTAGTAGCTCCACGTTAAATACAAGTTAATGTATGGTCATTAAAATAACTAACGACTTATTTTTTCTTTCTATTGCCTCCTCCACCGAGACTACCTCCTCGTCCCCCTTTTCGTCCCTTCTTCTTCTTCGAAGCCTGTGATTGGTTCTTCAGCCGTTTCTTTTCTTTAACTTTCCTATCCTTCAGAATTTGTTCGGGTCGTTTCAGTTCCGAGTTAAATTTGACTCCTTTCTGTTTATTAACACCGCTGGGTCCATCGTTCTTTCCGGTTTTCACGAGACGTTTCGAAAAAGCAGGTTGTCTGAATGCAGGGTTGCTACCTTTCTTTGCAAAATCATCGCCGTCGCTATTATCATCATCACTGTTGGACTCCGACTGTTGTTGTAGTTTAGATTTGTCTTGCCAAACTTTGTATCGATCGCTCTTGTACGATGCAGAGATCCACGCACCCGATTCTGTTTTAATTTTCTTAGCCTTGAGATCCTACACAAACATAAATTACACAATGAATGACTCATTCAATAGCTTAGACATTAAAGACAACAAAAGGAGGAAACTAATGACTCACTTTTCCTGTTGAAACATATTTCTTCTTTTTTTGATCCCATTTCATGATACTCCGTTGTGCTTTCAGCATGTCTGAGTCGTCCCCTGTTATGTCCATGACGGACTCTTGAATTTGCTTGTCGAAGGTAGTTCCCACGGACAATCTGAAATAGATGCACATTAAAAATTGTAGTAAAGCTCCATCATTATTCCTCTTACCCTTCATACACAAATTATCTTCTTATCGTTATCTGTATCGTTATGCGTATTTTAATGGTCACCAACAACCACCGAACTACCTAATTAGTACTTACCCTGTTTCCGTTAAATGGTCCTTTGGAAGATATGGTATAAAATTCTCCACGTCCTTCTTTTGTAACTTGTCAGGTCTTCCAATACCATAAATGGACTGAGAATTCAATTTTGTTGTGCGATACTTTTCTACAGATCGTTGATCTTTGCTTCGTTTTATCTTCATAATTTTATTTGTCTCAGAGCTAGCTTTTGGACCAATCTCAAATATTGTCTGAAATTAAATACTAGAATTATATTTCTGTATGAATACCTAAAATTCATGATTGACAATGGTAAGAAACAGCGGAATACCGAATGCGGACGATATCTATGTATTTGCGATATTAATGTATCCATTGGATCCGCATCAACATGGGCAGAAAATATGGGATGTATTGGAAGTCTGCTAACTTCAATATCTTTAGCCCTACGATTACTTTCTGTCGAAGCACTTGGTCTACTCTTCAAATACTGCGAATAGCCATTTTTGCAAGTTTTGCTAAGAGTTTCCTATATAGCATTGAACCAAAAACATACGATATATTCATATCTTCAATATTGTTGGAGGAGGAAGTATTTCCTTTTTGCTAGGATGAACTTACCAATTCTGCTTTGATAGTAACTATATTTGATATTATTCCATTTTCCTCATTCAAAACGTCCTGTGGAATTCTTCCTACCAGGACTGATTCATTGTCTGCGCTTCCATCCAACAAATTATTAAATTTCAGGGTCTTGTTAAGAAACAAATGAAGGTCCAAGAGAAATGCAACCTCGTCCGGTGCAATAATCGAGTACGCCACTCCACTTCGACCAGCCCGAGCAACTCGGCCTGTAATATGTCATCAAATTCATCGTCAATTTGAGCAAAAATTCAATGCACCATTTAATAAATCCTGTTGTTGATTCGTGCTTACCAACTCTGTGCATAAACAGTTTTGGCTTGGCTGGAAAGTGAAAATTGATTACATTGTCCAGAATTGGAATATCAATTCCTCTGGCAGCAATATCAGTAACAATCATCACATTGCACTTTCCACTCCTAAATTTAGCAATGGAAATCTTTCTAGCAGCAGGATCCAAGCTTGAATAAATGTAACAATTTGAAATGTTTTCTTCATCGAGAAGCTGAAAATATAAACATTTTTTGTACATTCAATTATTCACTTGTTTAAAGGAGACTATACTATATTAGAATATGACAATGTTTTTTATACCTGGTGGATAAACTCAACGTGATGTTTTGTTGCAACAAATACAATTGTCTGTCCCTTTTCATCAATCAGGTTTTTGATGAGATGTAAGAGAGCCGCCAGCTTATCTTCAGATCGACACGCCAAATACGTCAGTTTTAGCATTTCAGGGAGTTTCGAGTCCACATCCAACCTAAAATTATGAAATTATCATTTCAATCCCAAGACTATGGAAAATGTAAGGAAAGATTTATGTATGTAATAAACATACCGAATTAATGAAGGGTCGTGTAACCCGGCTTTAGTAAACTCGACAAGCAATTTTGGTAGCGTTGCAGAAAATAATACAGTTTGTCGAGACTCTGGTAGCCTCCTGACAATTTCAGAAACTTGTTCTCCAAATCCCATTTCAAACAATCTGAGGTATGCAAGAAATAAATCAATTAAATTAACTAACAATGGAAGCGCAAACCATGTTCAGCCAGGATTATTTTTTGACCATGTTAGTTTGAAAGAGGAAGTCTTTAGAAACAACATTTGGTTCGGCACTTGCGCAGATGCGCAAAATTTGACACGTTATGGACGCCGCAAATTCGCAAAAACGCATGGTTTTTCAGACGATGTACAGCGCGAAGCAGTTTTTGCGAAATTGTGGCGCCCATATCGCGCTGAATTTTGCGCATCTGCGCAAGTGCCGAACCAAATGTTGTTTCTAAAGACTTCCTCTTTCAAACTAACATGGTAAAAAAATAATCCCGGCTGAACATGGTTTGCGCTCCCATTGTAAGATATTTCGTAGTTAGTGAGCCACCAGGAGTTATTATGAATATTAGTAAATAACGTACCTGTCGGCTTCATCAAACACCACGTACTCTACACCATCCAACTTCATTTCCATCTCGACACAAAGATGCATGAATCGTCCAGGAGTTGCAATTACAACGTCGGGTTTATCGTGAATAACTTGAAACTGGTTCTCCATCGAGTCTCCACCAAGAATAGTTGCAACTTTTAGGTTAACGAATCTTCCAATTTCCCGAAAGAATTTTACAGTTTGCATTGCCAATTCTCTAGTTGGCGAAAGAATCAGAGCACGTGGGAATTTGGTAGTACTTCCAATAGCAGTTTTGTTGATATGAAGCTTTTCAAATAGTGGAATCAGAAATGCGGCTATAAAAACATAAAGAATATATTTATCGTTGGCATTAATGCTGTACGAAAAAGGACAATAAAAACTTTCAAACATGTATTTCAAACACAATTCTTCAATGTTAACAATATTTGCCATTCATGACCATACATTACTTTTGGAATTTAGACGTCAGTCTTTACTTATCTTACGGAGATAAAATAAATGAATCTTATTTATTCCAAATATTATCTAATCTTCTTATTATTGCTTTCTTTTGGTATGCCTATCATCCTTACCTGTTTTTCCACTTCCTGTTCTGGCCATGGCCACGACATCTCTTCCTTCAAGAATGAGAGGAACGGTCTGTAGACACGTGTGGATAAGTATTCAAGTAAAGTTATTTTTTCATTATAGTTTAAAAATATATTATCCAGTCATATTAGTTAGGTAATTTAATTTAGTTCATGCTACCTTTCTCTGTATGGGAGTGGGAACTTTGTAACCCCTTCGAAGAACTCCTTTTAACACCAATGGACTTAGGCCCATGCTCTGGAAGCCTCCCGTTTTTTTCTTGCTCCCCTTCGGACCCAAACCACTGCTCTCAGCACCCATTTCATTTGCCCCCTTCGTGAAATCGTCTTCATCATCAGACTCGTCATCGTCATCCTCAAATGTTTTTATTTCCTTAAAACTCTTGAATTGTTCTATCATCGAAGTCACTTCTAATTCGTCCGCCACGCCAGACTTGTTCTTTTTGTCTTGCCTCTTGACTTGAATAAAATTAGGGTTGCCCAACTTCTCCTCTTCTTCTTCCGAATCGTCGTCATTTCCAACTCGCTTATTGAAACGTGTCTTATTCCCAAATCCTGGACCTTTTTTCACTTTGTGTTGAAATTGATTCTTCACATTTCGATTCCCAAAACCTTTGTTATCGCCCCTACCCCCACTACTGAAGCTGGCATTTCCATCAATTTTATTATGGTTTTTATTGTTGATTTTAAAATTCTTGGACCCTTGGTTGTAATTACGATGAGCTGGAGCCCCGTCCCGAGAGCCGCTGCCACCACTCCCTCGAAATTTATTTCCTCCTTGACTTCGTCCTGGGGAAGAATTGAAATGTTTATTTTTTCGAATAAATCCATCCCTTTTGTTTCGGTTTCCTCCTCCCAGTTGTATTTGCTTGAACCCACTGTTTGAACGTGTGTTCGTGTGGGGCGAGTGGCCCCCCTTCTTTGGGGTGAACTTCATCTGAACTCTGGACGAAATCTAACACATACAACATATGACATGAATTATACAAGAATCAAAACCAATGTTAAACAATGGTTACAAGTAGTTAAATTTTGAACATAGACTGTACCAGATGTTGATGTGATTTTATGAACTAAACAACCGAACAGTCTCAATTAGAAATAAATTGATTTGATATTTATTTAGTTAATTTGTCAATATTTTGCACAGATATTTTGTCAATGTGCAGCTGCACGTGGAGTCAAAAGTTGAAATGCCGCTGGTGTAAATGGGGAGCCGCGAAAAAACACCATTCGGTGAGTATGCAAGTAAAGTGATGCAAGTGAGGAGAGCCGCCTTTGTTATCAACTATTATTACACGCATCGATGTTCTTCATATCAATTTGTAATTAAAAAAAAATACAAATTAAGAAGGTGGATGGCTTAGTAAATATATCAATTTCAAGACCGTGTGCCTACTTTATTGGAATTGTGAGTCACCTGTGACGTAAATATGACAAAGTTTATTTTGTAATGGGAACCCTTAAAGTCCTCAGCGGCATCAGCACTCTAAAAACTTGTTGTTCAACGCTTCTCTCCACCTACTCATCTCGGGGTCCACAAACGTTGTCATCTAACCATTCAGACTGGTCATTGTTTGATAAGTGTCCAACTACAAGAAGGAGCTACAGCAAAAGCAGCTCATTTCTTAAATCTCAGTCAAATTTATTGTCTGATGACCAGAGAAATGTGCACAACATTCCCAAGGGTTCAACATTGCTACCGCCATCCTTGGCAGCAAGGCTTGGCGGACTACAACAATTCAGCAGAGCTTCGAAACCTAAAACTGCAAAAGAGAAAGAGAACAAAGATGAAGAAAACACGACACATGATAGTAATCATAAGTCAATCATCACCTTTTCCAAATTGAGGGAGGAAGTTTTAGCAGAGCTAAATCACGTTGAGAAGGTTTTTGAATTTGATTGCTGTTATATTATGATAAATAGATTAATAAGTAAAAGCACAATAGTAAAATATGAAATATTATAATTTAGGTGGCAGGTGTAAAGTGGGTAAAGTTTCCGTATTTGTCAAAGTTGCTAAAAGGCCACCGCCGAGGGGAGTTGACTATTTTAACCGGCCCCACAGGAAGTGGAAAAACCACTTTTCTTAGCGAGTACTCCCTTGATTTGTGTACACAAGGGGTAAGGACAATATTGTTTAAATTGCTAACTGGGGAGAGACAAAGGCTGACAATTTAGTTTGCAATTGTTTAATTGTATAGGTGACGACCTTATGGGGCAGCTTTGAAATCCGAAATGTTCGATTAGCTAAAACTATGTTGATGCAGTTTTCAGAAACAAACCTTGAAAAGCACGTGGATGAGTATGAAAAATGGGCAGATAAATTTGAGCAGTTGCCTCTCTATTTTTTGACCTTCCATGGGCAGCAAAGCGTAAAAGATGTTGTTGAAGTATGTACTATTCGACCATTGGGAGGAGTGATGGGAATTATAGTTTGTATAATGCAAATATTCTATTTCTGATAGGCAATGACGCATGCTGTCAAGTTTCATGACATTGCACATGTGGTGGTTGACAACCTACAATTTATGCTTGGAGTGTCAGATGGTTCGACAAAAAACATGGACCGATACTGGAGACAAGACCTAATTGTAGGTAAGTAATCATACTACAGGCTTGTTTTGAAGTACTTCCACATCAGAAAATATGGAAAGGAAATAAGTTATACGTAACAACTTTATTTATAATTTCAGCTACTTTTAGGAAATTTGCCTCCATGAATAACTGTCATGTCACCCTTGTGATGCATCCACGGAAGGTACGGAGCTCATTAAATATTCATGGAAATTGATTTGGCATTTTTTTGTGCTCTTGCACTATTGTTGCATTAACACTTTATTTTTCGCATTTTAGGAAAGTGATGGTGTAGAATTATCGAACAATTCAATTTTTGGGGGAGCTAAAGCATCTCAAGAAGCTGACAACATATTAATCTTACAAGACAAAAGACTAACTTCCCCCCGAGGGAAGAAATATCTTCAAGTTACAAAAAATAGATTTAGTGGGGACTTAGGAATGTTTACTCTTGAATTTAATAGAGACTGCCTTAGCTATGCGACGAAAAAGAAACCTCGGTCGGACCAAGTGTTATTGAAACCTAAACATAAAGACAAAAATGATGGAGATTCTAATAATATTAGCACGACCAGTAGTGATACACAGATCTATGAGTGATAACCTCAGTTCCCCCTTCACTAGTCCTCATTATAGTAATAGTAATGTTAATCTAGGAAACGTGTAATTAAAATGTATATGAGACAGTGCCAAAAGTGCTTCATTGATTTATGGTAGGTTATTTATTACTTCATGATTTAATAAGACTTAATAAATTCATTTATAAGTTTGTAAAAGTACAAGAGTGAGGTTTAATAGTAAGACTAAGGTACTTGAAATATTGAATTTCAAATAACTAGCGAACTCTTATCAATATGCATGTAGTAGCTCATTTGGTTTCCAGTGTCACATCAACGGTCGTATAAAAGAACTACCATTTTGTTCTTTTTCGTTCTTCATCAATATTTCAAGTGATCATTTTCGACTCTTGCGTTTTCTTGTCCATCGTCAATCAACGTTCTGACCCCTTCTGCACTCACTCACGCCCACAACACAAAGTTAAAATTGAATGTTATCCAAGCAACGCATGTGCATTCAATTCATTCGTCTCCGAGTTAACTCTCCATCTCCTCCTGATGAATTAGTTGTCGATTCACCGTCTTCAGGCGTCTTCCCTGTGGCAGTTTCCGATAACAATGTAATTTCCAACCAAATCCTTCTCCAAGGTCATGAATTACAGGGTGGTTTAAATGTCAGGTTACAATGGAAAATTTTTTAACGGGAAAAATTTTTAAATTTCCATTAGTTACGGATTTGGGATTGAGATTTTTATTAATTTTTATTAAAACTTATGACAAAATTCTTAAAATATTGAATTTTAGGTAGCTAATGGATATTTGCGAATTTTTCCCATTGCAAAATTTTCCATTGTAACCTGACATTTAAACCACCCTGTACTTGCGCGTTAAAATTCTTAAAGTTTTTTTTTCGTATAAATGTATCATGTTTTTACAAACATTATTCATGAAATAAGTTTGATGTAAACACGATTACATCTGCATAGAAAAGATTTAAAACTTTTACAACAGGTACCAAACCAAACAGGAAGTATCAAATTCCGGCCCTTCTTCAGTAAAAAGCACTCCGATGACATCCCCGATTCCTGTCAGAAAGATTGTTGCTCCCATCGAGATAGGGATCCTTGCTTCATTCTTGTCTATTCGAAACTGTAAACATGAAATGGTCATAAATTAGTCTGGTTGGAATTCCATACTCAATGAAGAAAGTGGAAGTGAATCTTTTGCAGTTAAATGTCTCAGTTTGGTCTGCTAATTTTCTACGTGAAATGGAAGCATTTCTTGCATGGAAGCATTTACCTTGTGATCTTTATACATTTTATCATGGAGAAAACCAGGACCAAGAAAAACGGACGTGCAGTATATACATTTATGCAATTGTTGAAATTCTGTGTAAAAGCATGTCACATCTTTTTTCATTCTTGCGAGACTAGTAGACGACGATTCTTTGGAAAAGAAAAGGGAATCTGAGACAACGGAATGCAGTGCATCTACACATTACACAATGAGCAATATATTCTCATCATAACACTGCTCTTCCCACACATAAAGAAAAAATACATATGTATGAGTGCACCATGCTCTCTAAGACATTTGCTTTACAACAATAAAATGTCACTCTTTATTACAGCTCTTTAAATTGAGGGAGAGTGTGAGGTGTCGACGACGCACTTTTGCCCCTGCTCAACATTTTATGACGAGAAGCGAGTGCATGTGCACATAAATCCCAACGATAAGCAATGTTTAAGGGCACACGGTACAAGACGTAGGTATGATTCTTTTCCTTCAAGGGAGAAGGTTGGCAAAGAGAAAATCGTGCTTTGTTCTTCTTGTTTAGAGCCGAAGATAGGAGAGATAAAAATCTTGACTGGTTTGGCCAAATGCCATCCAGTTCGAACCTTTACCTTTCTTAAGAAAACGACTTTATCTGCTGCCCATCTTCGTTTTCTATAATATGTAATTCCACTACGAGTCTCTCTCTCGGGAAATTCTTTTATACAAACGAAAAGGGCATCGGAAGAACTGAAGAGGAATTATTAGTCTTTGGGCTGAATGACGAAGGATGACGCTCACCTTCCCAAGTCCTTTATAGAAAGAATCGTCTTGCGTGTGTCACTCGACCAAAAACGAGCCTATCTTCATCTCCAATCTAAAACTGAAGAAAGAAACCCTTGCATACTGATTAAAATCTAAATCTGGGTAAAATCTTCCCATATTATCCAAAAGGGACGGCAGATTTCATGAAAATCTTAATGAGAATAGAGTTTCAGCTGGACTTCAAAATTGTGATCGTGGGTATGTGTACATATTTAGTTGAAAAATTGATGGAAAGGAAGACGACGTGTTAGGCTGCTTCTTTGTTGGAAGAGAAAGCTTAAGGAAAATGGTGATGTTTCACTATTTTGGACATGAAACACAACTGTACGACAACATTTCATATTCCTCCAATATTAATGTTATCTAGAGATGCAAGATAAGTGACCGCCGCTAACAGAATGAGACATCAACAATGAAACCGAAACTTTGGGGCAGATGCGATCATTTTGTTGTGGGGAGAGATGTAGATTGTTGGATTTAATCTCGTCTGATAAGATGTTATTTTTGAATGATGTATCTGATAAAGTAGGAAGTAAAGGTACAGCGTGGAAGGTGGCACAAGGGTTTATTATTATAGTATCATTAGTTTGAGACATCTTCTCATTTTCACAAAGATAAAACTGATGATCAGATCCGAAATAGTGAAGGGGACATCACACCTAATTTGATAAATGAGACTTATCGGTCATCTTAAATATAAAGTAAGCGGCTACAGATAGCGGCCTACAAGTCACACCCTCAAAGGATTTCAAAACCAACTTTTGTACCACCAACAGTGATGTTGATGTGTCAGTTTCATACACTCCAAGATTTTATTAATTCCTTCACTGAAGCTTGGAAATGAGAGAAAATTTCCGCTTTGAAGCTAATGATGAAAAATTGTAGTCTCATCCCTTTACTTCATTTACAGACTTTCAGAATGCTTCATCTACTGCTGGACAAAATGCATTGATTTCTTGAGAAAAGCGCATCAAATTGTTTGTTGAACACGTTTTTGTTGAATTGAGTTCAAGCTTTCTTTAACAAATGGTAGCATTAATGGACGTAGTCTTACTTATTCTGTATTCAATTTTGTTATTGTGTCCTCTCCCAGGGTTTAGGTTGGAAGATCAGGACTATTGGTCTTGGTGGTCAATAATCGAGCGTCTTCGCGTCGAGCGTCATCCCAATACGTGCTTCGACGTATTGGGACGTGTGTGGGTATCCACGCTGGGATGCACATACAAATTCTGATAATCCAAAAACCTGTGAATGGCGGACTTCATTTATTTGATGAACTTTTTTCATTCTTCTTTGCTGTGCGCTTCTGAGCTAATAATCTCAACACATAAATATGTTTGTCATACTTTGTGAATCGGCTTCACTTGAAGTCCATGGAATATCTAGTTTACCGTAGTGTAAGGTTCCCTCCTCCCACCTTGTAGAAGAAATCGGAGCATTACTACAGTGTCAGCAGATAATCCGTACAAACGCAGGTAACTACACAGCATTAAGGCAAAGCATGGATTTTTCTTCCAAGATGAAGAAAAGAGAATGAATGAAGAATTGGATTCAAGATGGGACATTATGAACCTACGTAGAACATAATGGGCCACTTCCTGTGTATTCATCCAAGAAAGACAACACATTTTTTTCCATGTATCCACCATCCACTTATATACTCTCACTCTCTGAGCATCTATGTAGTAAAAAAAAATGTGATAGTTGGTGGTAATAAGTGGCTCACATCTTCTAGACGAGCTCCATGTTCATACAAAATACAAGGAGGACTGAGATGAGATTTAAAATTTTATCACAAATGAACCGTACACCCTGCAGAATCATAAAATGATGAGTTACGGCTACCTACCATGTCATCATATGCCACACGGACCAAGGGTTATTATATTTTTTATCATTTTACTTATTACTGCCTTCTTGTGGGCGGTTGGTCCATTACATGTGATACAAAGGAACAATTTGTGAATGGAGAAATGCTCAAGTACCGGGATAATAATAATAATACTAACTCTTGATAAAAAAGATGTGGATAGTTTTTTAACCAGAAAAGTATTTGTGTTGAGTTGTCCATTCATGTACCTGCTTTGATTGGAACTATGAGTAAAAGTACCTATATAAAGGCTATCTTCAATTATAATATTCACTTTATTTTTTTTACTCAGTGAGGTTTAGAAATCAAGTGTGTTATTGATGTTGGGACCTATTTAATTGAACTCGAATTTCATTATGAATGTCAAAAAATCAACCTAATTGTACTCAATAATCAACAGTATCTAACAAACGCCTTGTGTTGTGTATGTATATTTACGTAAGGAAAGTTTTACAAAAAATTGCACAGGAATGACGAGCAGATGAAACTCGAGAGGCTTTCCAGGAAGCAGAACCACCCAGTTGGTCATGTACTATTTGGAATTAGTTTGCTCACCAACCACCAATAAAACCCATTATCATCCTCTTATTGGTAATTGTCCAGTTGCTTTTGTTACTTGTAAATAGAAGGATGTTGATTGATTAGTGGCATAAAAATACCGAAATTGCTCTTTTCTTCTGGAAGTTTGGAGCGTGGGAACCCAAGGATTTCGCTTAAGTACATATTTTCCTTGGAGCGACTGCTCCTCTCCAATAATCTCAGTCGTTCGTGATCCCATTCTGTTTTAATCTCTCGGAACCAATAAAGTCATCAACGGTAATCAATGAAAGGAGAGTGGAGCAAGTCATCCGTTTAAATTTATGATACATTTAACTTTGACACGAGTTTTTCTGGGTAGTTTGAGTTTCTGGTAATTCAGTTGCAATGACGAAAAGCAGAATAATGTAATTGGTAATGTGCACCCTTATTGCTTTCCTTCCTCCGGCAAATCAATCACCAAATCGAGTACCCTTCTTTCTTAAGTGATGTTTACGAGGGGAATTAAGCAATAAAGCCCACTGTAAAACTAAGAATGTGAGATTTTATTGTTTTACAATCGCCAAGTCCAGGAGCTTGTACTTACATCTAAGGTCCAGACACCGATGATGAGGACTGAAAAATATCACATTTTGAGTCAAATGTTCTCTCGAGATCTGTAATAACGGACTCTGTCTTCCTGGTGTGTAATTTCTTTGGGAAATTGAAATGTTTGCTCTTTAT